GGGGGGGAGATTAGGATGTGGTGAGGATGAGGATGGAGGGTTGGAGGGACGGAGGGTTGGTGCTGTAGTGCATCTTTCTTTTTTTTGGTTCCCAACTGTCCACTCTTATTCTCCTTCTTCTTCTCCAACAACAACTTACAGTGCATCATGCAACCTTCCAACAGCACCCTGTCGCACCACAATCGCCGCATACAAATTCCTCTCACTCGCGCGCAACAGCGCACGAGGATCGCGCAGAAGAGGAACTCGCAGAACCACTATCAATTTCGGTTCCTTGGGAGGCTTTCCCGCCGCCACCACAGAGCCCTTTCGGCACAGCTTCTTGGGGCGAGATGATGGGGGACGGTGGTCGGAAGAGGAGGCGGGTTTGATGCTGTCATGGTCATTGTCGTTCTCGCGGACGCGTTTCTTGCCGCGTGCGGTGGTACGGCGAGCGGTGTTCTCGGCGTTCTTGTCGAGGGCGGTGGTTTGTGATGATGGGGGACGACGGTCGAGAGAGGAGACGGATTTGATGCTGCCATAGTCAATGTCGTTCTCGCGGGCGCGTTTCTTGCCGCGTGCGGTGGGACGGCGAGCGGTGTTCTCGGCGTTCTTGTCGAGGGCGGTGGTTTGTGATGATGGGGGACGACGGTCGAGAGAGGAGACGGATTTGATGCTGTCATGGTCAATGTCGTTCTCGCGGGCGCCTTTCTTGCCGCGTGCGGTGGGACGGCGAGCGGTGTTCTCGGCGTTCTTGTCGAGGGCGGTGGTTTTGCGTTTCTTGGGTGCTGATGATGGGGGACGACGGTCGAGAGAGGAGGCGGATTTGATGCTGTTATGGTCATTGTCGCTCTCGCGGGCGCGTTTCTTGCCGCGTGCGGTGGTACGGCGAGCGGTTTCCTCGGCGTCCTCAGCGTTCTTTTTGAGGGGGGTGATTTTGCGTTTCTTAGGTGCTGATGATGGGGGACGACGGTCGAGAGAAGAGGCGGATTTGATGCTGCCATGGTCATTGTCGTTCTCGCGGGCGCGTTTCTTGCCGCGTGCGGTGGTACGGTGAGCGTTGTCCTCGGCGTTCTTGGAGGAGGCGGATTTGATGCTGCCATGGTCATTGTCGTTCGAGCAGGCGCGTTTTTTGCCGCGTGCGGTGGTACGGCGAGCGTTGTCCTCGGCGTTCTTGGAGGAGGCGGATTTGATGCTGCCATGGTCATTGTCGTTCTCGCGGGCGCGTTTCTTGCCGCGTGCGGTGGTACGGTGAGCGTTGTCCTCGGCGTTCTTGGAGGAGGCGGATTTGATGCTGTCATGGTCATTGTCGTTCTTGCGGGCGCGTTTCTTGCCGTGTGCGGTGGTACGGCGAGCGTTGTCCTCGGCGTTCTTGGAGGAGGCGGACTTGATGCTGTCATAGTCATTGTCGTCCTCGCGGGCGCGTTTCTTGCCGCGTGCGGTGGTACGGCGAGCGGTTTTCTCGGCGTCCTCAGCGTTCGTTTTGAGGAGGGTGATTTTGCGTGTCTTGGGTGGTGGTGACATGTTTGACGATTGTGAGAGTGATTTGCGCTTTTTGTGTGCGTGTGCGGTCGAATTTGAAACAGCCATTTTGTTCTGTGTTTTTCGTTTTTCGTTTTGGGCAGGTTTGTGGACGAGTCGAGCTTTCAGCGCGCGCGCGAGCTATGGCTGGGGATCTTTGGTAAAGTTTAGCGCTTTCATGCAGGTGAGGTAGCTGTGAGCATGGCAACGGCTGGGCCTGCTAGGCGACAGAGTCGCACACGTAGCATACATTGGAAGAGTGTCGCTGAGTCTCTCTGTGTGTGGGTGTGTGAGTGTGTGAGTGTGTGAGTGTGTGTGAGAGCGAGAGTGAGAGAGAAGAGATCCGTATGCGTGACAAGAGTGGTGTCTGTAAGGCAATGTTATGTTGTGTGTGGTGGAGCGTCGATGCTGCAATGTGGATTCGCGGCCTCGCTTCACCTTGACTAGTGAAGCCGACTCTACGACACGACACGACACAACACGACACGACGCAAGTGAAGAGACACTTTCTCCATCCTCACCAGTTAATAACACGCTGTATGAGCACTCGCGCAAGTCCAGGAGAACAGCCTGCCGCGCCGGAGGTGATGCTCTCAGCCTAGCCGTACGATCAATCGTGCCTCATCATCACACTCGCGTTGGAATTGCGAACTTGCTTTCGAACCGTCAAGGATGAAGGGAAGCTGGCCGAGTGTTGTTACTCCCTGGGGAGGCGTGTCCCGCGGCGAGCGTCTCTGGGAAGGTGGGCAAAGATCTGGCGAGACGCACGAGGTGTGAGCATATTTCGCGCCCATGGACAACGGGAAGCACTTACTAGTGGCTGTGAATGGGTCGACGTGATCAAGGTATCGATACCGTCGACGCGAGCTGACTGCACGCTAGGTTGTGGTCTGCTATTGGTGAGTGTAAGTAGGAGGTAGGAGCTATTCACTTTTCCCTTCTTGATTGTGCAAGACACGACGCGCGCAGCTCATAAGTACAGCGTCCGAAGTTTGATTCTCTACAGCTGATATGCTGTTCCCTAGCAAGGTCGCGGCCTCTATGTACATTTTGGTGGTCGATCCTCGCTTACTCTGCTCAGTCGTCGTAGAGCAGGATCTTTGGGCGAGAATCGTAATGCAAAGAATGGATATGGGCTATTATCGGTCGCCCCCAGCGTTTTCCCTGGACAAAAGAACATGCAGGACTGCCCAATAGTGGACAGACCGCAAAAATAATGTCATCTCTTTGAGATGCTAACCGCCCCTCGAAGAAGAATTTCGGCATGAAGTCGTGATGAAAAAAGTCGGCAGTCTTGTTCAGCCTTCTCTGAAGTTCCCATTCCAGGTCAACTCCCCAATCGCATTTCAAAAATGGCACTGGGCGCCAGTGTGCCCATTTCAGCTTCACTGGTGCGAAGACCATCGCCACTTCAAGACCACTCGTGGCGCTCCCACCACTCCTCTGGCTTGCTGTGTTCAACCTGCTCACCCACCCATATCTTGGATTCTGGCGCGGAAACAGTCTTGCTTTGGTAACCACTCGGGATGTTGGACACCTGTGGCGACACGGGTATGTTGGAGACTTGTGGCTTTGGGATCGATGATGCTTGTGGTATAGCTGATGCTTGCGGTATGGCTGAGGCTTCCACTCCCGTGTTGTATGTTCGTGTTGGTCTGTAGTGACCGGGAATGTAGTCGTCCGCGACAGGAGCTGCAAGGGACGCTGCAGCGCAAATCGAGATAATGGCGGCGACCTTCATATTGATTTCTTGCGAAGCTGATGCTTGGCTAGAGAGTTCCTGCTTTCCACCTGGGTGACCTTCGAGCAAATGTTGAGTGCTCGGTGCAGGTGGATGAACGCTCAGTTGGAGTAGTGCTACAAAAAGGTAGCCATTGAGCCAACTAGCTGCTCAAGCCTAGCGTCGAGCATAGTCAGTCTATAGCGATGCCGCCTCGGCGATTCTTCCCAGTGTCGTCAGATCATCTGTGATGGAGTATCGCGAGGTGCATTAGATCACAACGGCGATTCCCGTTCTACCAATTCGGGCGCCTCTGGCGTGTGCTGTGAGCATAGGGAGTAACGATCGGCAGGATTTCACTTCCGTCGTCGAGCAGGCCTGGGCCTCCACTGCTTCTGCTAGATCATGTGCTATGAGGAACCCTGATAGCCCATTTACGAGTCGACGACTAATAGGCTTGAATTGGTATGCAGGACCTGTTCATGTTCGAGTGGGCAACGGCGACCCTCTCCTCTCGGGTTTCAAGTTTTCAGCTAGATGTGCCATCCGAGTCACGCTGTTAACGCAGTCCGATAGCAAAACCATGTGGTGCAGTATATCGAGTTTGCAGCTTTTCGAGCGGCCGGAACGAATGGCCCAACCAGGCTCCCGAATGGCTGCAAGCCTGATGCAATGGCTCATGCTAGCTTTGATGTTGTGCATTGTGGCTTCTTCGAATAACTTGGATAGGACTAGGTGGTAGGCGAGAAGCATGGCAATGCATGCTGGAGAGCCCACAAAGTTAAACCTCGGGTCTGTTCACCTGCTGTGCTCTGACGACTGGAGAAGTTGGAGAACAGTGGGTCGAGCTGCCTTCTCCGCATCCTGGTTGTGCGGTTTGGAAGAAGAAACGGAATTCTGGAGTGAGACCTCGGGCCCTGGAGATCTCTTGGCACACACAGACTGCAAGAATCAGGTACTGCGATTGTGGTCGGCAGGACTCTCTGGTACCGTAGGTAGTACTATGGCAGTCAGATTGGGACATGGCTGTCTGAATCTGCTTTGTCTGATGTACATAGGTAGTTACGCTTCAAGCCAACAGATCTGGGCCAGCGCTCGACCCGCCATGTCTCTGCTAGTAGGTGCCTAGGTGGTATAGCAGGTGTCCATCTCAAAGGCATCGGGGTTAGAGGGCGGGGGTGGCGAGACCGGTGCGACTTTTCGGTTCTCCAATCGCCCCGTCATCTGGCCTCAACGTCTTCTTTTCTCGCCCTGCGGCATCATATTTCATAGTTCTGGGCACCTCAGTGTCCCAACCAAAAAACATTGAAGACTCCATAGACGGGGCGTGGAAAGATTGAATGGAGCTATCTCAAAGACTCAAATTACTCCTACCTCCTACTACCTCCTACCACCTACCTCCTAGTCTATCCGGATTCCAACATGTCAGGCCATGGCCCATGAGCTGTGCGCTATTTCCGACTGCCGAAGGTTCGGTTTGAAAGACTCCTTGCTCCGAAACATGCCCAACATCTCTCTTCTGACCTCACCTACTCATACACGACTACGGAGGTACGTCCAGATGCCTTGTCACATTACACAGACTTCGAAGTGATTGCAAGCCCACACTTATCGCGGTATCTATGCCGATCGTCTGTCTTTCAACCGGCGCGGGAGGCAATGTCATGGTCACGTTTCACCGCTTCATTCACAAGATTTTGGTCGCGTCAACGACCTCCTGAGAACGCGTCGATGCTTTGATATCATCGCGTCTCATAGGTATGTTCATCACGGTAAGGAGTAGGATGCTCTGTTCGCCTCTTCTCACTTTGCAAATGCACACATCGAAAGCACCGTCTACTGTTATCTGCAACTATGGCTCGTACGCGCAGAGATCTTCTCTAATCCCGTTCGGATCGCTGCGAGAGATGCAACCAGACTGTACCTACTTCCACGACCAAAGCCGCTTTCGGTCGAGAACTCTCGGAAACGCTTGGAGGTACCTTCGTCCAAGGTCACAACCAGAATCTTCGACCAGCTTCTCGTCGTAGAAGGCCCCTTCGGCTGAGGCGCACAACGTCGCTTCGTATGTGTTCTCTAAGGAGATTGAAGTGCGCGATGGACAAAAGGAGATTGCTAATAAACGAGAGAACTGGAGCACATCTACAAGTAAGGGCTAGGCATTATGTGTTACGCAGGGACGAGGAAGAGTCATAATCATGTGCTAGAGAAAGGCCACCCAAGGACTAGCAGCATTGTACAGAAAAAAGCTGTAAGTTTCTGCATTGTCAGTACTTCGTATACAACAGTAAAATTTCTTGTATAATGAATAACGTGATGAGGCCACGACTCGATGTGCTCAAGGCAATATTGAGTATACCTGAATCAATCTGAGCCTTAGGGGACCTCTTCGTGTTCGCGACATAGGAGGTAGTGCTCGACTAACAGAGAGCTTACCTCAGGTATATGGTATCTTTAATCCCGATACTGGTGTACGGGGCAGGAAATTGCTTCGTCTCTAGCGAGAATCCTCAGTTGTACTGTACAATTCGAAATATGGAGTACATGTATATAAATGTATATTGCATGCACCTCTGTATCAATAGCGGGACCCGAGTCGTGCCGATACGAAAAAGCGCAGATCCTTCGCTGCAGGTGCTCATTTAGCAGAATCCTTGTAACCCTTGGCGGATTGTCGCTTCTTGTTCCCCATCCCTCTACGGAGGTAGAATGGGGACTTGCACCTGTCAACACCACACCACGCCATATCATTACCTTTCAGCATAGTTCATAATTATCCGTATATCAATACCATGTCTGCGCGTCGTAAGTCATAGCCAATCGGGATGCGAGCCTCGAACGGACCCTACTTGATTTAGCCATGTCAGCGCTGATGACGATTCAGTCGGTCTCGGCCTGGGTCTCCCAGTGACGACCACTTTCGCCTTGCCCCTCTCCCTCTACTACGTTTTTCTTCAAGGGCGCGTAGTACAGCAGCGCATCAAGGCCAACCAAGCCATTTCGCAATCCTCCTCACCGACCGCCGGCGAAGACGACGGACTCCTCGTAGCCTGTCGCGCTCAAGGCAACTTCAACGAAAACGTCCCACTCGCTCTTCTCCTTGCTGGATTCGTGGAGGCCAACGGAGGAAGCAGGAAAGTCCTGACCTGGGCTTTGGCCGCACTCACGCTTGCGAGAGTGATACATGTTGAGGCGGGATTGTTGGTGCATGGCAAGAAGCACGCGCATACAGGACCAGGACGTCCCATCGGCTTCTTCGCCACGCTTGGTGTTGAGTTGGGTCTTGCTGGCTATGGCGCTTACCTTGTGAAAGAGTACTGGGGTTTGTGATGGAGGGACATGGCGAGATACGCGATATGAGGAAACAGTGCTGCGTTTCGCGTGAATAGCTACGTGCCTTCGCGCGGCGCTCTCGCATTGTAACGATACCTATTCCATGATTTAATTTTAGCTACCTCCTAGGGATGGTGAACAGGTCAAACAGACATAGCTGCTGACCCCGCGCAAGGCAATTCTACGTAAATTGAGCAATGTGTTGATCAGGGAGTGCCGTTGATGTATGGCGCCCGGCAGAGCGTCTGCAGTCGTGCATGTTCGCATTGTGCACGCTTGGAGCCCAGTAGGTACTCTTTCTCTGCGGTCTAGAATGCTCGTGTGGTCTCTCATTGGACTACCTCCGAACTTGTCAAGAACCATCCATCTCACGCTCCCGTACCTTACATATGACGGAGTTGAGAGCAGGATACCATGTTAGCACCCTTGCCGGCGATCCAGATAAACTTCAGCTGAAAGGCTGGGCGTTGAGCCACGTGCCTTCCGTCTTGAACCTCTGCAGATCGAACCTGTGTACCTTCTTGAATCTTCTTCCTTTCCCACCAACCTCGACATCTTCCCCATACCATTTCCGTATCACGGGAGCTCTCATGCACCAGGACCTCTGTACAGTGCTATCTGTTCCCGAATCTGCGTGATATCTGGGATAAATCAGACTTTTTGGATTTTCAAATATCATCGTCATGGCCGAGCAACAGGACTCGATTGGTACACCTAATTCTGGTCGGTCTCGAAGGGAAGCACAAATCGTGGACCGACATCTGCCAGAAGGATACAGCGCAGAACCAGAAGCTGTGGCGTATGCCTCTCCCAGTGATGTGGAGGGTACATCATACTTCTCGAAATCTCCAGAGCCTGAGTCGAGTTTGAAGCTTCAAGGAGGCGACATGCATCGTGACATTTTCAAAATCAGAGCACGAGCAAAGAATGATGGAGGTCTAAGGCGATCCAATACGTTTGCCGCTGGACAAAGTCGTCGAGTCCTCTCCACTGCGGAGATTCCCGTGGGCGATCAGCTTCAGCCTGGCGGTATGCGAAGACAGTATGTGCAACGGCATACTGTACAGAGACGGCTTAGTACAGTCGCCACACCAGTGACCAGGAACTTCATATCATTTCTGGAGCTCTACGGTAGTTTTGCTGGCGAAAACCTGGAGGACACGGATTCGGATTTGGACCCTGACACGGAATCTGCCATAGATGAGGACGAAGCAGAGGCGAACCAAATGCCTGGCGAAAGACGACCGCTTCTTGGGAGAAGTAAGAGTTCAAAACGAGGAAAGCGCGAAGGAGATGCTGGCACGACGAAAACTTTTTTCACGCTGCTCAAGGCATTCGTCGGGACTGGAATCATGTTTCTACCGAAAGCATTTAGGAATGGTGGAATCCTGTTCTCCTCGATCACGCTCGTCATGGTCTCGTTTATCACGATACTCTGTTTCCGCCTTCTGCTTCAGTGCAGAGAGAGGTATGGTGGCGGTTATGGTGAAATCGGAGATGCAATCTTTGGCCGCAAATTCAGAGGACTCGTTCTGGCATCCATCACATTGTCACAATTGGGCTTTGTCTGCGCTGGCTTGATTTTTACAGCCGAGAACTTGCTATCGTTCTTGCAGGCACTTGTTCCAGCAGATAAGCCCCAGCCATTCAACACAGCCGCCCTGATCGCAATTCAATTTGTGATTCTCATCCCAATGGCTCTGATCCGAAATATCGCGAAGCTTGGACCCGCTGCGCTTCTTGCAGATGTCTTCATTCTCATCGGGCTGGTTTATATCTGGACATATGATATCAAAGAGCTAGCCTACCAAGGCATGGCTCCTACAGTGAAGCTCTTCAACCCGGACTCCTTTACACTTACTGTTGGCTCGGCAATCTTCACATTCGAAGGCATCGGACTTATCCTGCCAATTCAGTCTTCGATGAAGGAACCGGAGAAGTTCTCGTACCTGCTGTACTTGGTCATGTTCATCATCACCTGTATTTTCACCTCGGTTGGAGCTCTGTGCTATGCCACTTTCGGCGAAGAGACCAAGATTCAAATCATATCGAACTACCCGCAGGACAGCAAGCTGGTCAATGCCGTACAGTTCCTGTACTCCATGGCAGTCTTGGTTGGTGAACCTGTGCAGTTATTCCCAGCTGTTCGCATTATTGAGCAGTGGCTATTTGGCGACAAAGCTTCCGGCAAAAAGAGTGCTGGTGTCAAATGGTGGAAGAACCTTCTTCGCACTGCCATGATGTTGTTCTGTGGCCTCGTGGCGATCGTTGCCGCTGGAGATCTCGACAAGTTTGTGTCCCTGATCGGCGCTTTTGCTTGTGTGCCACTGGTATACATCTATCCGCCGGTACTACATCTTCGAGGCATTGCGGAGAAAAGGTCAGAGAAGATATTCGATATGGTTATGATCTGTGTCGGAGTGGTAGCAATGGCATATACGACGACGATGACACTAAAGCAGTGGATTGAGGGTTCACTATGAAGTAGTCTGTGGATATGACAGTAACACAAAAGTAAAGTAAATCAGATGATATAGCATAGCGTAGCATAGCGTAGCATAGCATAGCATAGCGTGGCATACAGGTAGTTACAGAGGACAGCAATTGCGATTTTATCACCATGCATGTACTCCCTCGCTCGGTTCCCTAGGAGGTAGCGTTCTTTGCCTTTCACGTGAAGCCCCACATTGAAGTGCTTCAAGACACCTCTCCGGCACCTGCAATCCTTAACAAGAGAACATCTTCTTCAACACCGCCTGCTCCTCTGTTCCTTTCACATCGCCACAATGAGCTCCAAGGTGATCAGCATCACCTCAACAGGCCACTTCAAACAAACCACGGCCTCCTCCACTTACACCGTCGTCGATTTCTACGCGTAAGAGCCCAAAGAAACAGAATGCGCCAGCGAACATCTACTGATCAGTTCACCTCACCTCACAGAGACTGGTGCGGACCATGCAAAGTGATAAGTCCAGTATTTGAACAACTCGCAGCAGCAGAGTCCAAACCCGGCCGCATCATCTTCGCCAAAGTCAACGTAGACAACCAACGCGATGTGGCATCCATCTATGGCATTTCAGCGTAAGCAACAGTACTCCAGTCTTTCCCCCATTGTCATGTCCCAATTATTGTAGTCCTTGCTGACGTGACGACTCTAGAATGCCTACGTTCCTGATCCTCAAAGGCAGTAAAGTCGTCGAAACCGTCCGAGGCGCAAACCCCACCGCTCTACGATCCGCCATCCTCTCGGCTGCCGCCGATGCTGCCAAAGGGCCTGCGAAAGCTGCTGGTTCTTCGGCTCTGTTTAGTGGAAAAGGCCAGACGCTGGGGAGTCAAGGTGGGAGTGGACCGAATAATGCTTCCGGGCCTGGCCTTGGGGCTAGTTTGCCGAATTTGGGACACGCTTTCTCTGCGCCAGGGGCATTCGCGCAAGGGAGGGGGATACCGGCTATGGTGGTGAGGTTCCTGGGACTATATTTCTCGACGCTTTTCAGCTTTGATCCGATCAGGACGGCGGAGGAGAGTCCGTTTGCGGTGAAAAAGACGAGTGTTAGGTCGAGGTGAGAGTGATGGTGAATGAATTATGAGAGATGAGGGCGTTGGAGGCGTTATATGTTTCATGGAGGAGGGTATTGCAACCATCAGTCATATCTTTGATGGTTGAATAACAGCAGGAGCAGAAGACATAGGAGGCTGGGCTGTCACCATGGGGCTTCTCGGACGCTGAGAGTGGTATCACATGTATCATACTGAAACGACTGCATCTGGACCTAGCTACCTGCCAAACCAGTCCACGTCGAACAATGTCGAAGATGGCCACTTCATGTGAGCAGGGCGAAAGTGTGCAAGGCGTGAACAGTCCATAATGGCGCGTTTGGCCGCTCGGCACCTCCTCGAAAACACGCTGTATGGGTTTCATCGGACTCAGCTTAGTAACAGGGGAAGAGATAGGTACCTGTAAGGCTGAGCTATACACCCTACTATACGGTACCGAGTAAGTGCGAGTGATATGTCTCAGCGGGAGACACGGGACGGGACGTGTAGCAGCCCCATTGGGAAGGATGAAGCATGTGACAATGACATCAAAAACCGACCACGCACACGCTTTGTACCCACATGTACATGTATACTCGGCCGGACGGGAGCTCCCCAGCATGAAGTCGATCAGTCTGGGTGACAGACAAAGCTTGCGCGCGTGAGCCATGTCCATGCAGCCTCAATTACAGTCCCTTCAGATTGGCAGCACACCTTCGCCATAGGGCAATTCACCATGGCGCCCATTCCGCTCATCGGCCGACTATACGTCCACGAGTTCCTGGCGCTGGCCGCGTCTTTTGCCATAGCCCTGCTCGAAGTCGTCGCACGAACCATCACGCTCCTCCTGCCCACGCCGATTATTCGTGGCCTGTACCGCCTCAGTCGCAACGCATTCAACAGCCTGTCCTCGCCTTACTCGCGACGCGCCCGCAACAAAAAGAGGAACGTGTCGAGTCCGATCGCACAGGCGCACGACTTTCTGGAGCTGTGCGAGCTGTATGGATATCTGGCTGAAGAGCATGTCGTGCAGACCGGTGATGGCTACCTGCTGGGCATCCATCGACTTGCCCATCGGCGAGGGGAGGAAGACCAGCGCGTCAATGCCGGACCGGGCAGCGTCGAGAAGAAGGTCGTCTACCTCCACCACGGCCTGATGATGAACAGCGAAGTCTGGGTGTGTCTGACCGAGGAGGAACGCTGTTTGCCATTCCTCCTCGTGGAGCAAGGCTACGATGTCTGGCTGGGCAACAATCGGGGGAACAAGTACAGCAAGAAATGCTTGCATTACGGGCCCACCGAGAACAAGTTCTGGAATTTCAGCATTGATCAATTCGCCTTCCATGATATCCCGGACAGTATCAACTACATCTTGGATACGACCTACCAGCCAAGTCTCTCCTATATCGGCTTTAGCCAGGGAACTGCCCAAGCGTTCGCTACTCTCTCAATACATCCCACACTGAACACTAAAGTCGACGTCTTCGTTGCTCTTGCGCCTGCAATGGCACCGCCGGGAATAGCATCTGGTCTGGTGAGCTCATTGGTTAAGTCAAATCCAGAAGTGCTGTACCTGCTATTTGGCAGACGCGCCATTCTTGGCAGCACCACCATGTGGCAGGCTCTATTATACCCAGCCATCTTCTCGTGGGTCATCGACAAATGCTTACGATTCTTGTTTGGCTGGAAAGCTCTGAATATTGCGCCCCACCAAAAGATCGCTGCATATCCGCATTTGTTCTCGTTCACCAGCACGAAAAGTGTGGTCCACTGGTTCCAGATCATCCGAAACGGCAAATTCCAGATGTTCGACGATGAAGTGACGAGTCCAACAAGCTTCAGTACCGGCAGCAAATACTACAAGGTAGCTAAGTTTCCAACCAAGAACATTAGGACACCTATCGTGCTTGTCTACGGTGGCAGCGACAGCTTAGTGGACATTAAGCTCATGATGAAAGAGCTGCCGAGGCATACAATCGCCAAGTGCATACCGAAGTACGAGCATCTGGATCTGCTCTGGGCCAGCGACGTTGACAAGCTCGTGTTTCCCCACGTGCTCGAGGCCCTGAAGAGCTATAGTCAGCAAGGTCAAGCCAAGCAGCAAGCTCTCGGCTGGCGGACAACTCGTCCAAGCCTCCTTGATGGAGCCGCTGTGACTCCGAATGGCTCGGCACCTCCTGGTTACTCCGACGAAGAAGGAAGCCACAATCATAGCCTCAATGGCTACCAAGGCACCGCCTTCGCAGACGAGCGACTCTCCAACAGCGAAGCGCAACTCGACGAGAGTGACGACGACGACGATATCTACCTCGACGAGACGCCACTCACCTTCACTCCCTATGCCTTCAGCAACTCTTCTCGAGTCCCTACTATAGACGCAGCGACCGGTATCAGACCAGCTCCGCTAGAAGTAAGTGCTACTGATACGGCAAGATAAGGGAAACTGACCTTACCCATTAGCGCAGATCACAGGACGCAGAAGTTGACGCAATAGAAGCCTCGATGCAGCCCAACCAATCATCGCAGCTGCAGCATGACCATCAGTCTCATTATGAGACTCCTGTACGATCTCGAACATCTCGCCCCTTGCAGCAACAGAAAAGCAGTCCGTATACTACCCTGAGCAACGCCACCGATGAAACTGTTGTGCCAAGATCCAGGCCCGAAGGATGGTGGTCTTCGACAAATACAAGTGCAACGAGCTTGGTGGCTGCGACGGATGATGATGGTGTTCCGCTGGAGATGAAGAGATCGAGAGATGATAGGAAATAGTGTGTAATCCATTAGATGTACCAGGTACTCTAGTAGTAAGGTAGTTGAAAATTGAAGTTATGGGAGTGGAAAAGTCGACCAATGTGTCTGTCTGCAAATACCTCATTTCTAATATGCTATTTCGCTCATGTCCGACGCAGAGGTAGGTGTGTGCAGTGTACTACCTAAGATATTCAAAAGAACGAGCCAATTATATACTGTACATATAGTTAACCAGACTTGGCAGAGATGTGGATGATAGGCGTCGTCGATTGATGATTCCGGTAGGTACATATAAGGTCTAACTCAGTGAAGCTACCTATTCATTCATATATGCTACTACCTGATTACCTGTTATGCAAGCTGTATCAAGCATAGGCACGGTAGGTAGAGAATAGATAGATCAATCAAGTCCCAAACCCTCTTTTAAGAATTGGATCCCGTCTTCCCGCAGCTTGAACTTCTGGATTTTGTTGGATGCAGTCTTGGGGTAGTCATTGACCCAAAAGACATACTTGGGCACTAACACAGATTTAGTCAGCCAGTATTCCTGTTCGAATTCGGAAAACAGAAAAAGAAAAAAGGAGAAGGGAAAAAAAAACAACAACAATGTAGCAGTCATTTGCAACTCACCTAGATGCCCACTCAACCTTTGCCTTACAAAATCTCTCACCTGTGTCCCACTAATTTGCTCCGCTCCTTCCGTTTTGTTCCTCACGATGAAAGCAGCCACAACCTCTCCATATTTCTCGTCCGGAAGTCCCACCACACTCACTTCTCTCACACCATCATGACTGAGCAGACAGTTCTCAATCTCAAGAGGATGGATATTCTCCCCACCTCTGATGATGAGATCTTTGATGCGTCCTGTAATGCTCACATACCCTTCCTCATCCATACTAGCTTCGTCCCCAGTCAACATCCACGTCTGCTCGTTGCCTTCCATGTCTGGTAATTTGATCATGGTCTCTTGCGTCTTCTTGGGATCATTCCAGTACTCCTTCATGAGCAGATAGCCTCTTACTGCCAACTCGCCTCTTTCGCCAATCCGGAGAGTTTTGGTTCTGTCAACAGGATCGATGACTCGGGCTTCGACGTGTGGTTGAAGTCTACCAACAGTTTCGATACGCTTCTGGATGGGATCATCTGTGCGCGTCATACACGACACGGGAGAGGTTTCCGTCATACCGTAGCAGATTGTCAATTCGTTCAAATTCAAGGTTTTGTGGAGTTTTCTCATTAGTTCTTGCGGGACGGATGAGCCTGCTGCTATGCCTGTTCGAAGGTGCTGAAACCCTTCGTTCTTTACTGTTCCGTTTTTGATGAGTTCCAATTCCGCCAGGAACATCGTTGCGACGCCGTAAAGCGCCGTGCCTTTGTATTCTTGCACAGCTTGAAGTGAGGACAGAGGATCAAAAGCCTCAGTAGGGAAGACAATGTGAGAACCATGTGTTGCTGCTGCCATGTAACCTAGAATGCATCCGAAGCAGTGAAAGAGTGGCGGCGGACATACGACAACATCGTCGGTTGTAAGTCGCATTCTCTGCCCAATTTGATGCCCATTGTTGAGGATCGAGCGATGGCTCAAGCAAGCAGCTTTGGGCGCTGAAGTTGTGCCGGAAGTGAATTGAATATTGATGACATCGTCCTTGTGTAGCTTCTGATCTGACAGAGCTTGGATGGAATTGCCTTCTTGTATCGCCTGATAAGGTACTGTGGCACCCAGAGACGCGGGATCGACTCGGCCGCGAGAGTTGTCTACGAGGATGATGTTTCGGAGAGCAGGACAAAGCTCCGACTCCAAATTCTTACCGTCAATGCCAGGAGCAATGTGCTGCAACATCTGCGAGTTGTCCCTAGGATCTTTGCGGACCAGGTGTGTCTCTGTTCCAATAATCAAGTGTGATGACTCCAAATGGTTCAGAGCACTAACGACCTGGTGCGCATTGAAGCTTGGGTTCAGCGGGTTGAGAATAGCACCGAGTTTGAAGATGGCATATGTCGCAATTGCAAACTCGATGTTATTGCCCAGCGAAACCGACACCCTGTCGCCCTTGTTGACTCCAACGCTTTGTAAGCCTCGTGCGAGAGCATTGGACTTTGCATCTAGCTCGCCATATGTCAAGGTGTTCCGCTGGTGCCTTGTCGAGACCCTGTATCATTCTTAACTCGTGCACTTTCTATCGCAAGGAAACGACTGTAGGAGGAGAGAAAGAAGGATTGGGATCGGGAGGCGGCGACGTACGCAGGGCGGTCTCCATATCGTGAGACGATCGAGGCGAAGTGTTCGGGAACTGTCTGCTCGAGGAGCGGCGGCTGGTATGTATCGAGTCAGCATGTATACTATTCCTCCTCCTCCTCCTCCTCCTCCTCCTCCTCCTCCTCCTCCCACCACCGCTACTACCGCCGCCGCCGCTGCAGAAGTTGATGTGCCGAACCTCAGTAGGCCCACGATCATGTGCTTTGGTGAGCAAGCTCCGTCGAGCCGTTCCAGCGATCCGAGGTGTGCCCCGCCCATGAATGCCCTGCCATTGAAAGCCTTTCAGCCTCCGGCTACCCACAGCCCGGAGGAACATATCGCAAGCACAGCTTCATCCAGTTGGAAGGAGTTTCGCAAGGTCGTACGCGCATTACAGGAAAGGTACAGAGCAGGGCAGGGCAGGCACAGGGTAATGTAGGTGTCGGTACAACCAAAGGTCATCGTTATAATAAGGTACCCGCCTCTGCGGGGTGAGAACTTATTACCCGACTTAGCGCCGTGGTCTGCGCCAAGAAGCGGTGATCTCGGGTTCTTCCTGCAACCAATAGGTGGGAGGTAGTTACCGAAAAAATATGTAGATCGATAAGAGGTACAGCGACTGGTCTGCTGCGCACAGTGCGCAGGTCGTGTTGGCATTGGCCAAATTACACGCCATATCTGGTCGCTCTCTGGAGCTGCAAGATGCCCGCCCGTATCATGCGCATGTCGCCATGTTATCCCAGAGTGGTCGTAACATCGTCATCATTCCTTCTTCTACACTACATGTAGGTATGCCTCCCGTGCAGTACGCCATGCGCCACGCTCTGGCTCTACTCTAAGGCCGATCTGTAAGTACAATGCAAATGTCGGTCGTGCGTCGTCGTGTCAATGAGTCATCGAGAAGAGGGATAGGCTAGCTAGAAGTCTGCGAACATCTTATCGTACTTCTCGTACATATCCTGTTCGCCTTTGGTATTAGAACAGGCCAAGAGCTGGCAGTCGTGCCTGCAGAACTCACCTTGGTATACGGCTGCTTCTCGGCAGGCTCGGGGTCATATTCGTCAAAGTTGCGCGTATCATCTGGCCCTTTCAGATGCGGTATGATGGGGCCTTTCATCCTTCGATGGTATAAGTCGTCCCAGTTGATATTGGAAAACCAAGGATGCTCCTTTACAGTAGCCGCGCCTCCAGCCATGTTCCCTAGTCTCTTCGTTACATCCACTGTGCAGAGGCCGGCAATGATGTCTCGAGCGTCTTTTCCCATGGCGCTCGGGTATCGTACTTTGCCCTCGACAATCTGCTCATATATCTTCATCGGGTTCTGGTCCCAGAAGGGCGGTTGTCCCACCAAGAACTCGTATATAAGAATGCCGAAAGCCCACCAGTCCACTGCGGTACCATGTCCAGTATTCCGGATCACTTCTGGAGCGAGATATTCGGGCGTGCCACATAAGGTATATGTCTCTCCTGTTTGTTGAGTGTCAGCTCCCGACGCATTGCCATGACTGGAGTGCTTGGGAGGCGTACGATCGTGTATCTTCTTGGCAAAACCAAAGTCTACGAGCTGTAAATGGCCATCGGCGTCAATCAGAATGTTTTCCGGCTTAAGGTCACGATATGCGACGCCTTCTCGCTCGTGTAAGAACTCGAGGATTAGTACAATCTCGGCAGCGTAAAATTGTGATGTAGTCTCGTTAAATCTCCGCGCTCGCCGTAGGTAGGAAAAGACTTCTCCACCGGGACAGTATTCTAGAACCATGTACAAGCATTCTGAGTCCTGGAAGCTTGCTACCATTGTGGTGATGAAGGGATGTCCAGCGACTCCTGCAAGCACATTACGCTCGTTGCGAACGTGCTCGACTTGCTTCAGTCGTATTACATCTGCTTTGCGTAGAATCTTAAGCGCAAAGACCTTGTTCCTGGAATCGTCCTTCCGGCCTGCCAGCTTGACCATCCACACTCGTGCAAAGGTGCCGGTACCGAGGGTCTTGACCAGGTCGAAGTCCTCTCGCCGCAAATGTTTGCTGGAGTGTCCTACGGGCTTGTTCTGGGGATCCACGACAATCTCATCGGGCTCCAAAGGTCGCTTGTCCGCCTCCCACTCTGCCAACTTGCGCTTCTCGTTTTCATGATCGGCGGCATTGTCTTTTGCCCCGGCTGCACTGCTCGTACTGTGTCTGTGGAACCTGGAAGTGATGTTGTGTACGACACCATTCGCCATGGTGGACGGGCGGTGGAACTGCTACCTGCAGCGCAGTGCAGTCTGGGCGGTTCGATGCAGGTCGACTGTGGGCGCAGCGCTCTGTCTTTACACGCAGCAACGCATGCTCCTTGGCGGTGTGTGTTTTTGAGGGTATTTCAACTCGCCGTCGGAACCAGGAAATCGGTAGAATTAGCTCGACCCCTTCGGCGCAACCAGTGGCAGTACAGGCGCGCGATCGAGCACTGTACGGTAGCTTTCAGCCGCGAGTACCGACGTTCTGGTCCGCTTCTCGTGGTCGAGTCAGGCACGCGAACACTGTTGGATAAATGCGGCCGAGGAGAACGGTAGTAGTAGTGGTTGTAGTAGGAGGTGGTAGTAGTGGTAGTAGCAGCAACAGTAGTTGTACCTTCGTAAGAGAGGTAGTAGCGCCGTGCGCGGGGTGAAAAGTACGCTGCCCGCTCGGACGACTCACTAGTATGGAGGTAAGGTCAGGTAAGAGGTAGGGTTGAAATAGCAAGATGGTGGTCTGGTGGTCACTTTTGCGCCAGAAAAAAACAAACAAAGCCACCAGGCCAACAGTACATGTAGTGATGGAGATAGTAGCTCACTGAGTGTGTAGGTACATGTACAGAGACTGCAGTGCCCTCCTCCCCGGAGCTCTTCATCAGGTCGAGACGCTCGCTTCGATCTGACTGACGTCATGCCGCGGCATCGATTCGCGTCTCGGGTCTGGACCCTGTGGAACTGAGTCTCGGACGCTAGCTGCTGCCGGACTCCGGCTGTTGCCCCGTGAGCCGTGCGTGGAGCCATTCACCACAAGTACATGTATACCTACTGCCTTAGAAGGTACTATGTTGTACTTCAAACTCCCTCCACACGAATGACTGAAAAGCCGACACTTGAAGGTAGGACTCTGAAACCGACTACATGACTGCTCTCCAAGAGATGTACCACGCTGGATCCTACCGCAATCGATAATGAACAAGACAAGCCAGAAAGCTACCTCCGAGGAGGTAGCATAGGTACTGGCTCATTCAATTCACAAGACCCGTCTTACTACATCTTCCCCCCACTGACGCGTTGTGATATCGTCAAAGCATCAAATAATCAAGCCTTCATGTTCTCTACCACCTTCAACCTCAAAAACCTTCTCAGCTCTCCATCAGCATACTTGCCTCCAATTCCCTTGTGTCCACCTTTGCCTACGCCCAAAGGTTCAGCCATATACCCTCCGTTGGGCACCATGCCCTCGTCATCCACGATAGTAGTCTGAAATTTGCCCCAGACTCCCACGATTGTGGCTTTCATATCTAACATGGCGAGGTTACTGCCTACGCACATCCTTCCACCGGAGCCGAACGCCCAGAAGTATCGGCTCATTTCGCGGAGTTGGTCTGCTGTGCGAGGAGTGTACACTGTATCTGTCATCGTGTCAACCGGGGCTGTGAGAGAGGGCGAAGAGGAGGCATTTAGCCAACGATCAGGCAGCCAACTATCTGGGTCAGGGAAGACATTGGGGTTACGATGGAGGGCATAAGCCTGTGACTGGACGCGAGTATTGGGAGGCAGATTCGCGTATACGGCACCGGCTTCGGGGTCTCCAAGCGTAGTGAGAGTATGCGAGGGGGTGATTCGGGGTTGTTGACCTGGGATGGCAGCGTGTAATCTCAATGACTCCATGAGGATTGCATGTAGGATTGGTAAAGCGTCGATGGCTTTTGCATCGAGGGAATCTTCTTCTTTCAAGGTTGAGATTTCCTTTCGTAGCATGTCCTGCCAGTGCTGGTTGGAAGTTTTGCTGAGTTGCCATGCTAGCCAAGTGAGCGTGATACTTGACGTGTCGAAGCCAGCGAGTGTGTGATCGAGTAGTTCGGACGCGATTTCAATTTTCAAGTTTCCTTCCGCTCCAATGCCTGACTTCTTCTGTTCTTTCTGCAAGCCCCCTTCCAGTTGTCTGTACACCGTCGGCACATCCCTCTCATTTACCTCCCCGCCGCCATCGATCTTCTGTGCCGTCTGCTTCGCTTTCTCACACATCCCCATCAACCAGCTCTCAATGTCCTGGTTGGCTCCATCGACCCAGGTGGGAACAACTAACCACTTCAACCCCAACTTGGCCAAAAACCTCGTGAATCCAGGACATTCCTGTGGCCAGAATGTATACTTCTGCCTCGCTTTGAAGTCATGAAAAAGTCTGATCCCACCATCCTTATCGCTAACCAAGAAGTCCGACCCGTTTTCCAGGCCAAAGATATAGGCACTGACAAAGTCCATCGTCACAGCGCAAAAGATATCATAGAACTCAATTCCACCACCTCCATTCGTCGCTTCTTTCTCAACTTCTGCCAATATTCTGGGCCTCAACCTTTCCTTGATAATCACCTCCGTCTGTTCATCCAAAGCCTTCGAACTTTGAAGCGTACTCTTAGCATAGATATTGCTCAAAATCCTCTTTCGTTTCGAATGTCCCTCTTTATCCTCCATGGCAAACATTGGTTGGACATCGTAATTTGAAAAGACATTGGAATACCATGTGCCTTTTTCGAAGCCTCCGGAATAGATTGTTCGAAGACCGCCTGAAACGCAGTTGACCGAGAGCTCGTTGGGTGCTATTCTCAGAATTGGGGCGTTGAACTTCTTGTGGAGGCATGCGAGGACGGGCGTGTCTTGTTGGAGGAGCCGGTGGTAGAGGACCCAAAGTGGGGAGATGGATGAAGACCAGTGTGCGGAAGGGACCTTGGAGAGCGGAGAGATGAATGCGGGATGCAGGATAAACTTGTACACGATCGTAAGAAAAAGGGCGCATGCTGCTGCTGTTGGGAGAAGTGGAAGAGACATGATGGCCGTTTTCTCTTTCTTGCCTCACTGTTGCTGGTGGCGGTTTTGGTGCTTGGATTGATGCTGTAAATGTTGACTGTCGTCAAAAAAGGTCCTTAGGTACCAGGTACCTAAGGTACCTATGTAAGAGGTAGGTACAGGTAGGCTCAGATTATAGCCTGAAGTAAGGCAGTACAGGCCAACATCCCGTCCCTTGCAATCTGTGGCGTCCTGGGCTTCAGTCCGGTGCGTAACGTATGTGTCCACTAATGTTGCCTCGAGGCGATGAACACCACCTGCAAGAAGTGCTTCGAATGTCACCTCTTATTGCAGCTTCGCGGCTGATATCGAACTTACCAGTAGGTGACGTTTAAGTAAGGTAAGGTAGATAAGATAGGCCAATCGCTGTCCCGTCATTGGCAGCTGTAGGCTACGTGTACCGAGAACTCGGAGAGCGGAATGGCGGGGTTGTTGTACACAGCAGAAGAATGACTGCTGGTTAAGAGGTTATAGTAGACGTTTCATTCGTACATGGCAGAGTATGCCATGGGTATCAAGTCTTGTGGTAGCGACTAGGTTAGATATAGCTGTTTGCTGGTTTTGCCTCAGTCGGCGTGCAGCTTCTGCGACGACTTGCTTGCCCTTCGACCGCAGGAAATGGCTGCACGTGTCGATCGGTCCTCACATGTTGGTGTCCTTCACTCTTCAACTTACACCTAGGCAGACCAGACCCTCACATTGAGGTCTACGCTTCCACTTGCGATCAAACACCTAATCTGCTCCTCTTCCATGGCCTTCTTCGCCGCAGCCCCATTCGTCAACCCATTCGTCTCAGATGACTCCTTGTACACACTCGGAGCCCATCTCAGACAACTGACGAAGTGATCAGCAGCTTCGATAGTTCTCACGCACTTTCCTTCCTGTGCCAAGTCCCAACATCTAATCGTCTTGTCATCTGAACACGATAACAGATACTTGCCTCCAGGATGGAAGACCAGAGATCGTATCCAGTTGTCATGCCCACTCAGTGTCTTCATGACGATTCCATTCGCGGAATGGATCTTTATAAGCTTATCGCGACCACCTGTCGCCAGATATTCGGCACTCGAACTTGCTGCTGGTGGCTTTTTCAACCCAGCCAAAGAGGCGAGGTGCTGATATGCTGAAGGTGGAGCAAAGGCGCAGCATTCGACCACATGTTCGTGAGCGAGAAAGGTCTGCTTCAGGGCATTTGAATCAGGTTGCGACAAATCCCACATCCTGCTCGTCTGGTCCGAACTTGTGCTCAGGAGCCACCTTCCATCAAAGGTGGGGGCGAGAGAGCGCACCCAGTCGCCATGCCCGCGCAATGTCCGTAGACAATATCCCGTTGTGACGTCCCATATCCGTATCGTTTTGTCTCGACTCGCGGATGCTAGAAGATTGCCAGAAAGAGGCGCTCCTGCTGCGCCCGAGGGAATGAAGCGTACTGAACTCACGCTGTGGTCATGCCCAGGGAGCGTGCGCACATTCTTGTAATCTTCGGCAGGATCCCATAATTTAATGGTCAAGTCTGAAGAACAGGACGCGAGAAGCGTGTTCCCTCGCGGACCACCAAAGTCCACATCCAGCACTGCCTTTGTGTGCGATTTCAACGTTCTTTCCAATTCGCCTAGCTCGTAGTCCCATATCTTGATAGTACAGTCTTCGCTGCCACTTGCTAGACTGGAGAACAGCGGATGGAATGCAACGCATGTGATGGGATTGCGGTGACTCTGCAGAGTGTGCCGTGCTGGTGCTCGTGGCAGCCACGTCTGAGGGTCGTGGTTCTTCCGCGCGGCCAGACTTGAAGGCGTAGCATTGTCCAGCTCATGCTGCAGCACCTTCACTCGATCCTCCAGATCCATGATCTTCTTCTGCATGCGCACGAGAGATGTCCATTTCTTTTCGATCAGCCCTTCGTACTTTTTGGCCGTTTCGGCGGAGAATTCAGATTCGGGCACATTGAGGGCCTCGCGCACCGCCAGGGCAGCCTCCGGGTGTTCGGTGACATTTAAGTAGGCGACAATGCTCTTGTGTCTGTCAGCGCCGGGTCATCAGCCAAAGCAGCGCAACAACAAGAATTGAGAAAAGCGGCGCATACAATTCTTCGGCCTGTTTGGTAGTTAATAGCTTGCTCATGATGTCTGTCGCCCTCACGCCGCCGCCGCCATCCACCAATTTCGCAGTGGAGGCAGCTCTATTCCCGTTCCAGATGAAGTCTGTTCACCGGTTGCCTGCCACTGTTGTCGCGGTCGGAGGCAGTCACTAGATTCTGTGCAGGCGCCGTCGTGCTCGGTGCGACTGGATAGTGCTTGCAGGTGCTGGAGTAGATATGGTGAAACGTGTATCGAGGTGATAGCAAGCACGGTAGGTGGCTTCTTCGTTTCTTCGACCGTGCGTGCGTGTTTCATCAAACTCACATGCTCGTGCTCACCTCACAACACTTACCCACGGGCGTTGCCGTGGAGGCATGGATGCGCAACAGTACGGTCGGCGGGAGTGGCTAACTGCTATCCGTCGCCCGACGTACTACCTCAGGTACCTAGGAGGTACCTACCTACCTAACTGATTGTTGGCCATCACCACCACCTTCTCTCCCCTTCCTTCTACACACGCTGTATCTCGCCCTCGACTTCGACATCGAATCCTGTCCGCCCACGATACTCCCTCAGAACAGCAACCCTAGTCTACACCCGCCGCCATGTCTCGTCACCACCCGTAAGTAGCGCACAACTCATATCTCACGACTGGCCCGCGGTCTGCGCTGACATTTCCCCAGCGATCTCGTCATGTGCCGCAAGACCGCAGGCATCTCCATCGGCCGACTCTGCGACAAATGCGACGGCAAATGCCCCGTCTGCGACTCTTACGTGCGACCGACGACCCTGGTGCGAATCTGCGATGAGTGCGCCTTTGGGAACTACCAGAACAAGTGTGTCGTGTGCGGTGGCGAGGGCATCTCGGACGCATTCTACTGCTTCGAATGTACGCGTCTGGAGAAGGACAGAGACGGGTGTCCCAAGATCATCAACCTGGGCAGTTCGAGGACGGATCTGTTCTACCAGAAGAAAAACTTCCGAAATCATTGAAGAGGAAAGCAGCGGCTTTTGCCCATGCACAATCGATGGGCTATGATCTCAGGCACACTGCACTATACCACTGCGGAGAGCGCGAAGGGCTGGTGGCCTCTCGCTCCGGACGACCAGGGCAGCCCACATTTAGCCTGCAAGCTAGCTTCAAAACGGTTGGCACTCAGGATAGCACCATGTGCGCTTCGATCAAGCCACCAGCATGCGCGTTCAGGTCTGGATCAGAACTTGGGCGCTTGGCTGTCCAATCCCAGGGTTGAGGACATACCGGAGCAATGCAGATGGGAGGCAGCATAGTTATGGTATGGTTTCAATCCAATTTCAAATCTCAAAACACGTACTTATGTTTCGACAGCCTGCTCATGTGCACCGCTTTATACGCTGACCCTTTGAGCTTTAAGCTCACACCTTTTTCCTGAAGACAAACACGATATCTGCAATGTATCGCTCGACTCGATTGATAAGGTGCGTGTCGCCCGCGTGTGGTTGCGTTCCTGTTGCATCTGTCGCTTCGTCAGAAAGGTCGGGCATGTACTCTTGTTTAACGCACTTACTTGAAGCGTGCGCCCTCAGCATCCACGCAAGGTCTTCTCGGAACAACGTATGTGGCAGCTCAATCTTCTGCAGACCTAACACATCTGCTGTGGTCTCGCACCACTTGATCCAACTCGAGCTTTCGCACGCTGGTGCGTGGATGTGAAAGATTTGCATTGTAGTCCCACTGCCCAAGCTCAGCAGCATTGCCTCCTGTGGCTGGGGTGTATCTGGATGGTCTCGCGTGGCAAACAGGACTTGCGTGTCATGCCGTATGGACTTGTCCATATCCTGTCTCGCATCGCATTCCGCATCGCCAAAGTCTGGTATGATCTCCGACAGTGCCTTGTGCACGCATGACACTTGCGGAGGTCGAATCTTGTAGGCCACGAATTGGGGGCATTGTGCGGTTGTCGACGGCGTGAGCTTATAAGTGTCGGTCGAGCATGAAGACGAAGAGCTCAGTGGCGGCGAAGGCGTTGTTCGTGACGACAAGGTAGGAAAGAACATGTTTGGCTGCTGGCATGTGATTCTTGACAAACCTCGAAGCATGGAAAAAGGACTGAGAAGCTTAGACTTTTTCCTTTTTTTATTTTCTTTTTTGGCTTGGTTACACAGGTATAGATGATCTTCAATATCTGTTGGGAATCACAACAGCAGCAGTTACGAGGCTGGGAGGAGGTACATGTGTAGGTTAAATACGATGGTTTCTGACCTTGTGTCATATTAGATATGTAGGTCGGGTTCCATGAAGAAGGATGGATACTTTGAGTCGAAACGGTTGAAGCTTCCATGGACAAGCACAACTGCAGAACTGCACAGGCCATTGACTCTCTCTCCGAGAAATTTTTGAATATTCAATAGGCGCCCTGTAAACACGGGACGCAGATCGAGAGACGACAAATCTACATACACATCTCCCGAAAAAGAACAGAAAAAAGAAAAAGAAAAATGCATGTCATCTCGACTCCTCTCTCTCTCTCTCTCTCTTCCCGAGAGAGGGGGAAATCTCGTTGCACCCAGACCCAAGACCCAAGACCCATACCCAGACTCCCAATAGAGCATTCCAACCTAAGACATATGAAACGGTCGAATTTGCCTTTTGACATTTTTCTTTAAAAAACAACAAACGTGAGCTTTTTTTCCCTAGTTCATTGCCTTTTCATTGCCTTTCCATTGCCTTTTCTGGCCTATCTGAGGTGAGTTTTTCTACTATGTAATTTCCATCACTCTTACCTGATCTTTAAAAAGACCTCTTCAACTCAATTTTCAAGGTTCGATTTGCAGATTTTGGGGGGGATGATGGAGATAAGATTATTTTGAGAGACGGGAGAGAGAGACAGAAGGCGAAAAGAAAAGAAAAAGAAAAAAGGATCAAAGGTGTGAAATGACGCTAGGTACATCACAGGTACCTGTACTTATGCTATCTTCTTCTTGGCCGCTTGAGATCAGGCTTGGCTTGCTCGACTTCCAGGTCTTCGACAATTACCCACGGATCTGCTTCTTCTCCATCTTCGTCTTCTTGTTCGTCCTCTTCTTGTTCTTCGTCTTCCTTCTCTTCGTCTTCTTTCTGTGGGTGTGACATGGCTCCATTACGCAGTTTCTCGGGCTTGGTGTCAACTTCAGAATCCTCTGCATTTAACTTTGCTGCCGGCTTCTCACCACCCGACATATTATAAAGATCATTCAGGAAGGATGTGAAATATAGCACTGCATTCAAAATCTCTTTACCGGTGGGGACGATATGTTCCTGTTTGCGGATCGTCAGCTACCACGCGTCTCATGTCGTTGAATGGACGCAGAAGCTCAGCTTACCTTGGGCAACAAGAACCCATACGTGCCACGATCACGCAGTTTGAGTTGGTATGCATACCGTACGCCCACGGTACGATAGAAAAAGTCCAACGCGGAGCCTCCATTGGGCTCAATACTCGGTCGAAGATGGACCTTTTTATTGCCAGACGTGTACACGGAATTGCCCTCGCATGCAGACATGACTTCGTAGTTGCGACCATGCGTGGTACGAATGGACTTGGAGAGACCCATGGCGAGCTCTTCGAGATTTTCCAAGCCAGGTGGCGCATCATCGCATGAATAGCTGTAGGGATACAGCACCTCTTGCGAATACGAGTGCAAGTCTAGAAAGCCGACAAAGTCCACGTTGTTGTTTTGCGTCTCATTCTTGGCCCAGTCAGCCAGCCGCTTGGCCTCGACAGCCTGGAAGGGCGCTTCGCCCGTGTAAGACTCGCTGCATGGATTGTCCGTGGCAGACCACTCGAAGCCGAATGAACGGTCCAGGTCCATGCCTTGACAGAATCGGATTCCCGTTTTCTGTCGATTCTTGCGCCACAGACGATCCGTCTCCCAGGTGTACACATAGCCATCCGGGTTCAAGATGGGTACAAAGACAAAGTCGAAACTTTCGAGCATTTCGGTGATGCTGTGATCCTTACCATAGCCCGTGATCAACGAGTATGCAATGTAGTTGACCGTCGTGGTGCTGATCCATTCTCGCGCGTGCAAGCTGCCCACAATCAGGATGGTCTTTCGCTGGGGTGGATTGGGATCGTCGTCCATGGAAGGATGTACGCCCACTCTCAGCGCGGGAATGTTGCGACCCTCGTACGACAAGCCAATGCTGAGGAGTCGGACGTGGGTGGTGAAGAGCGATGCCATCAAACGCAGCCATGGATCAATGACGTTCAAGGGCTGGTAGTCTGCGAAGAAGAGGTTGGCCTCGGGCTCGCTCGTCTGCGCCAAGTCTGCATTGAAAGGCCGCCGGGTCGGTGAAGCATGCGCAGCCGTGGTATCATGATGAGCGGACTTTTGATAGTTGGCGATGATGGCGTCTGATAGCTCCTTCTCTCGCAATAATGGCTTGTGCGCGTGCTGTAGCGAGGCCGGCAGCAGTCCCAGCAGGAGAGGGACGCTGTCCTTGGACAAGCGAATATCCACCCAGTCATGCGCAAACTCCCAGACATCCAGCATCAAGGTATCTGCCGCTTCGGCCAAGCTTGCCGACTCTTGCGCAGTGCTGAGGTTGAAGCGCAAGACCAAGTCCCCGCCATATGTCGCGAGAGTGCGCGCGGGCACGTGGCGATCGAAGGCCGTGTCTTTGGCGAGTGTGATGTGCTCGTGCCTGCGCTGCTCGAAGCCCAAGACAGATTGGAGGAAGTGGTGCTTGATGGTGGCCCATCGCGACTGTCGCGGCGGTTCGAGTGCATGATGTCGTGTGGGCGGAGCTGCAAGCGCCAGAGCACACAGCGCGAGGATGGCGGTGCTGTGGTACTTCATCGTGGCGGCGGCGCGAACATTGCCTCGTTGGTCGGATTACATGTAAATATGGTTAGGTAGTATGGCGGTATACACCAGGATTTGAAGAAGAAAAAGAAGTAGTAGAAGAAGAAGAAGAAGAACAGGAAGGATCAGAAGAAACACGAGTATGGAGAGAGAGAGGTATGAACAATGTCGAATGGAGTTGCCTGCTACATTAGGTAGGTACCTATCCTATGGTATCTCGCAGCAGGTCGTCACGAGCTTGCCATATTAGTTCTAGTTACCTAAAGAGCCATTGGAGCCATTTGTACAGAGTACAGCACATACTCCATTTGTATTGTGGGTAGTACATGTAATAGTACATGAAATAATAGGTAACTGTAGTTACCTACATGAATGAGTACAGTACATGTACTCAGGTAACCGTTGAGCTGGCCTCTTGTACCAGTGTACTAGGTAACCTCCTACCTCCTATCTCCTGGCCTGTGTCCTACCACTCTGCCCGTCACCGTCACCGTCTCTGCCTCTGCCTCTGCCTCTGCCTCCCTGTCCCGCCATGCCGTCGATGCAGAGATGGCTGCTGCACAATCTACAATAGGTGCTTGGTACTACTACCTCCGATAGTACTAGGAGGTACTACTAGATAGCACCACTACTGCACTTCATCGTAGACGTACCCGAGGACTGGCGCATCTGCCGGCCGAGGACGGAGAGGCTTGTCCAGTCATCGAATGGATGCCACTGGACACTCCCATTGCACTAGTTGCCGCGTGTTCGGTAGGTGGTGGTAGGCCGGTAGCTAGCCGTATGCTTGGGAGTGTCCCGCCTCTTGGCTGGTTGAGGAGTAGTTCAGGAGCCGGATCTGCTGGTCTCGTGCTGCTTGCTGCTTGTAAGTTGTGCCTTGTGAAGATTAGAAATTTAGGAATATCGGAAAAGCAGGGCAGGACAGGGCAGGGCAGGGCAGAGCAGGGCAGGACAGGACCAGAGACAGGGGAGACTCCACAAGCACATTTGGGGCATGCTACCTGCTAGGTAATATACTCATCAGTCATCACCGACACCAGCTACATGTACATGTGCTGTACGAAGTATCATGTAGGTGGTACTGTCTGTCCTTCGTTTACGCCTCGTCATTCAGCCACAACGCATCCTTCTCATCGTCGTCGTCGTCGTCTCACCCGGCATCCGCACATAAGCCAACCCCGCCGTCCCGACCGCCCGACGTGACGCAGCGCCATGTGGATATGTATGGCGATCTCAGGCCGTGCTGTGGTCAAAACAACTTGTAGCTTATTATGGATGCGCGCCAGCCAAAAAAAACCAGTAGCCAGGGGCAGAAAGATAGGGTGTACGTAAGTAAAGGTCACACTGTGGTGATGCTACAGGCTTTTGCGTAGAATTGACCTAGCCTCCCTTTACTTATCACCACTGCCCCGTGCGTAAGAAACCTCCTTTGCTCTGCCGAGAATCCTGCTTGTTGTTGGACAGTGAATGGTCCTGGTGCATGACCTGTAGGTATACACTTTTGTTGTTGCTTCTGTTGTTGTTGTTGTCGTTGTCGTTGTTCTTTTACAGTATTCTTGTTCTTGTCGTTGTGATTGCGCCTCACTCTAAACACACTGACCCTGTCGTCGATCCATTCCTCTCACCCACGCTTCCAGCCCTCCAGCTCGGAAGCCTCCCCAGCCGCACGAGCACAGTACACATACATAACACAATCTCAACGGCTGCCGTTCGAGTTCTACCTGAGAACGACCTACTTCGCCGTTAGAACTACTGTCGTTCGATCTGAACCGAACCACGCGCTCGGTGTACACACACACACACACACATCATACACGCGCTCATACACCACCCTTGGGTACCTTACTTCTTGGCTCGACAATCACCCATCATCCCATCACCCCTTCGCTTCGACTGCTTGCGATAGCCCCAATGCCCACGCCTTACGCAGCAAGGCGTTCCGGTAATGCCGCTTCTGCGACGCAAGAGTATACTGCTCTGGGACAGCAAGAAACTGCATCGTCAGCAGCATGAGCAGCAGCAGCAGCAGCAACAGGAGCAGCCGCATCAGCATCATCAGCATGAGCATGAGCATGTGCATGATCCTGGTGTGGAGGACTCGCCCTGCGGCAGCAGCCTGACTACTACTCCCAGTTTAGACCATCCTGCCCGGCCACCCAGCTCCTCAACATCCGCATCCTCGTCGCTCCACCCTAGCGCCGCCGCGAGCGCTGCCCTCCTACAACACCATCCGACTCTGAGCTCCCTCCCTCGCCCCGTCAGTGTCGCCGGCGAATGGCCCGTCGGCACTTCACGACTGTCACACGAACTCCACCCAGATGACATCGCCGAAACCAGCGCCGATGATCACCATGAGAATCCTGGGCAGTCGCGCTCGCGCTTCAGCCTGATGAAGTTACGCAACCACTCCGAACCGCATCTGTGGTCGCGCGCAAAATTGGAGGCCGAAAGAGAAAGAGAAAGAGCGGGAGAAGCACTTCCTCCCATTCCTGCCGTCACGGCCGAGGGCGTGCTTCCCATGATCGTCAAAACCGCGCCGACCATGGGCGCTGCCGAGCCGGATGTGCAGCAGCAGGGCCGTGAGAGGCAGCTCCGGCCGTCGGTATTCAGGAAACCAACGACAAGATCACGGGCATCGGAACAGGACCGCAGACCCTCTACAGACATGGCGCGATCGGCGAAAAAGGGCTCCTCGTTGCGATGGCGCCGGGGAAAGACGAGTGGCCTGGAGGATCTGCACAGGCTCTCGACAATGCACCTCCACGACCAGCACAGCGCACCTCCCTCATACGGCGAGCACTCCAGTTCGGCCCTTGCCGTGCCAGTCTCCCAAGCATCCGATCCTCGAATCTCGGAATCCTCCCGATCCGATGGCAGTTCTGGGGACGGGCAGATCTATGGCAGTACAACGACAACAACGCATACCGTCCAGACGCATACGACCTTCTTCAAATTGCCACGCCGGAATAAGAATCGCAACTCGCTGTTCCCGCTTCCTATCAAGCTGCCTCCTCCCGATGCGTCCCCACACGATACGAACGAGCCCACCACGCCGCGCGCTTCCACGCACTCTCTCACTCCAGAAGCCGTGGCAACTCCTTCGACAGAGGTGACTGCTGTACGGGGAGCCCATGCAGAAACGGAAGCCTTCAGTCAAGGCTCGCCCAAGAAGCTCTCTTTTGCAGATCCTGACATGAGTCTGTTCCGGCGAAGCTCTTCTCGATCAGAAGCGTCCAATACATCATCGCCACTACAACCGCCGATACGATTTGGTATGCGAGATAGATCCTCCACTCAGAGCTCGTCTGGGGCGCGCAGTGGTGGTGATGCAGACACGCCGCCACCACTCTCGGCTAGTGGCAGAAACTCTACTTCCACTGCAGGACGGTCCAGCTTTGGTGGTCTATTGAACCTGTCACGATTCCGGCAGAGTTCCGAACCGCACTCGCCGCGACATGGCTCGCCTGGCACCAGAAGCAAGTCAAACTCCTTTGCGATGAGTCGGGAAGCACTGGTGATACCGGAGCGGGAAGACGGCGATACGCCTGGAAAGTATCTGGAGCGTCTACAGTCTGCTGTGCCAAGGAGCGTGATTGCTGGGATATTGTCAAAATCGTCGGATTCATTTGCGCAGGCGGTGCTTCGCAGTTACACGAGAAGATTCCCATTCTTCACAGAGCCGATCGATATGTCGCTTCGGAAGTTCCTACTGGAAGCTGAATTGCCCAAAGAAACGCAGCAGGTGGACCGCGTGATACAAGCCTTTGCGGACCGATACCACGAGTGCAATCCTGGAATTTATTCCTCTGCAGATGTCGCGTACATTATCGCCTTTTCGATCATGATGTTGCACACGGATGCCTTCAATCGCAATAACAAGAGGAAAATGCAGAAACAAGATTACATCAAGAACACCTCCGGACAAGGCATCTCTGACGAGGTATTGGCCTGCTTTTATGACAATATCTGCTACACGCCATTCATTCATTACGACGAGGATGTGGATATCAATGGTGAGCGGGTACTTCACTTCACCCAATCGAGCAAGTCTGGTGGGAGGTTAAAGAGTGCAATACCCGGAGCTGCGGACATCACGAGGAAGCCTTCAGGGCCTGTTGATCCATACAATCTCATTGTGGAGCAGAAGCTGGATACACTCCGTCCCTCCATCAAGGACAGTATAATGATGGACGATCCGTACGACTATCGTGGAAGTCACGGCGACCTTGACCCGCAGTATCTGCAGCGGGCTTTCACGCATACAGGAATCATTCAAATCATCTCGGCAAGATCGCGTCCGGCAGCATACGAGAGCCAGGTAGTGAATGGGCAACCCAACTTGACCGAAACACAGCAGGGCATTGTCGATCTCAAAATTACCAAAGTCGGGTTACTGTGGCGGAAATCTGCCAAGAAGAAGAAGACGAGAAGTCCATGGCAGGAATGGGGCGCGATTCTTACGGGTTCGCAGTTGTACCTATTCAAAAACTCGCACTGGGCAAAGGGACTGATGCACCAGTTTGTCACCCATCAGAAGCCTGGCCAATCGAGAACCCCTGTGGTGTTTAAGCCTCCGTTGCAAGACTTCAAGCCGGATGCGCTGATCAAGACCGACAATGCCGTGGCGCTTGTGGATGCCACGTACACGCGGCATAAAAATGCTTTTACCTTTATTAGCAATTCCGGGCAGGAGGAAGTCTTATTGGCCGACAACGAGAGTGAACTGCATGATTGGTTGGGCTTGATCAACTATGCTGCTGCATTTCGCGCGGCCGGCGTGCGCATTCGTGGCATGACGGGGAGTAATGACGAAAGTACGTCTGCGCCGTCCCTGACGAGAATACAGTCATCCAGTTCGTCGAAATCGTTTCACACGCAGAACGGCGAAGTCACGGTGTCGCGCAGAGGTCTCGGTGCACAGCTTCAGCGGCAGGTCATGGCTGCACGGCGGCAGATTATGATTCGGAAAATTGCTGAGATTGAGGGCGAGATCGAGAATGCTTACAGGCAACTGGACGGCATGCTGCGCAATGCGCGACATCTTCTCATACTCGCGCCGATAGCACCGCGCACACGAGATGAAGTCGTTCTTGCGGCGGGTCGAGCTGACGCCACGATCAAATGGCTGCGTCGCGACATGTGGCGCCTAAAGTGTCACCGCGACATCCTTGCAATGGATGTCAGGATCGATGGCATGACTGCGAGTGAGCTCGAAAGGCTCATGCCTCATCACCAGCCGGCCGAGCTCGAGTCGGCGCGAAAAGACAGGCCAAAGTTACTTACGAGGTTCGGTTCCCACAAAATCGCCAAGAGTCCGCCGCAAAGTCCATCAGCCTTGAACTTCAACAGACCTCCGACGAGGGAGTCGATCGACGAGGGTTCCGGAGAAACGTCGACGACACAACCCAAGCCTGCGCGTGCACAGAAAGAGGAAAGTAGCTGGCGGCTCCCGCCTCTGAGCCTTAATGCACCTCCAGAGGAACAGCAGAACCGACGATCCGTCAGCAGTACGCTTCTCTCCGCTTCGCCGCCAGCAAGTCGGACTAGCCTCCAGCACTCGCACTCTGCGAATAGCATCCAGGCCGTGCGCACTCACTCATTCGAACCTTCAGAGAATGGTAATTCTGGCAAGCTCTCACAGACTGCCAGTGTGGATGAGCAAGAACTCCAGCGACTCGCACGAGCGAACACGAATATCGATTCTGCTATTGGGCAAGACCGCAGCGCTAGTGGCGATGCTGCAGCACTAAGCACGTCGCCAGAGAGCAACAAGCACAAAGGTGTGCGTAGGAGTCTGCACAAGACTTTGCGCGAGCACCATCATGGCAGTCACACGCATCGACATCGTCGCAACAAGGATAGCGAAAGCACTGTGCGTTCGGGCGTCGCCGAAGCGATGGAGCCCGAAGTGACGACCCCTGGTTTAACTCGCGAAAAACCTCGGTTTATCCTTCATGGAAAACAGGCATCTGTCGTGCAATTCGGTGGTGACTGGGAGCGCATGAAACTTCGGAGAGAACAGTACGAAGCTGGGCGTGCCTCCAGTGAATATCAATCGCAGCTCGACGCTGCATATCAACGTAGACGGTCCGAGGCTCAAGAGCGACTCCGCGCTGGTATGACGAGTCCAGTAGTGCAAGAGCTCAGAAACAGTTGCACCACAGACGATGACGATGACTCAGCCAGTATACTGTCAGCCGAATCCCGCAGCTTTAGGTCAGATGCGGAAGCTGCTGCAGCGTTTGCTGCTGTTGGTCATTCGGGAAAGTCATTGGACTCTGATGAAGAAGAATCAGAATTCCCTGGCTTCGACCTTTCGGACTGGGATCCAGATACTGGGCGGAGGACCACCATCCTCGGACCATTCCCTGTACAGCCATTGCAACAGCAGCAGACTCCGACCAAACGCAGACGTTTCAGCAGTCTTCAAAAAGGACGGGATGGTAATATTGAAGACGTCGAGGAATACGAATCTTCGCATCACAATAATCCAGAGAACAAGGGCATTTCAACATCAGCATCTGCCCACTCGACGAGTCCTACAGGCAGTCGAGTGGTAACTCCACCGGATATCCCAAGGAACAGGGAAAATAGGCGTACGGTAATTGGTCCTCCCACTTTTCCACCATATCAGGCATTAGCGACGGCGCATCAGGGATCCTATTCGACTAGGGCTACGACTACTGAAGAGGAGGCAGAATCCAGTAGTGCGAGGGGTTCATTCGTAGAAGGCGAACATGGATTTGTAAGAGCTATTGGGGACGATGAGTTGCGGAGTATGAGTTCAAGTCTGAACTCGAGTCCAGAGAAGAAGCAGAAGAAGCAGAGCTCGATCTAAGTCGGTGGATCGGGATGAAAACAAAAAAGTCTACCATGGACATGGTTTTTTGTGTGTGAGAGTATAGTTTTTATGTGTGTAAGACTTTTTGTAGTTCAAAAGGGCAGGACTGGAATGATACCCGAGATGGAAAGCCATGCGTTTCGAATGGAATTGAATTGAATTGAATCTGACCCTGTCCCTTCCCCTATTCGTACACTCTTTTTGCCCTTTTGACATGTCGCCGCGGCCTTTTCCTCGCTGAAACTTGCAGCTGCTGATCTCTCAACCGGATGACCATTGACCTTGTGGCCTTCCACATAGTATCCTGTTTTCTTTTCTTTTTCCCTTCTTAACCTGCTACATGTATTCATTCACCAATGCTCTGTCTTTTCTGCTTCCTTCGTCTGCTTCTCGCAGTTGTGAATATAGACTTGATTGCTGAACTGAATGAGCGAGTGGCGCAGTAGTGTATATGTACATAGCTGACATATATATATAGGTAGGTTTGATCGGATTTCTTTTTGGTAATGGTCTGCAGGAAGTCAATTCAGTTCTGCAAAACCATCATTCATCGAAAACGAACGAAGGAAAAGAGAAAGAACAAGAAGGAAGGGAAAGAAGAGAAAGAGTACTACTCACTCCTTTTCTCTCTCTTCTCTACCTCTTTACTCAAGAGAACACTTCACCTCACCTCAAAAACCCAACCCACGACCCAACCCAACCAACAACCCACCAATCAATCCCAAAATGTCCACAACCGCAACCCCCTCCACCCAACCTCTCATCTGGTCTTCCTCCCTCCTCCCATTCCTCCCCCTCTTTATCCTCTCCTCCCTCTTCTTCATCACACGACTCATCACCATCATCACCTATCGCACCACCATCCAAAAACAACAAAAACAACAACACCAACGAATCTGGGAAGAAATCTTCCTCTCACCAGCATGGATACTTTTACTTTTACAAACAATTCTCCAATGCATGAATTTGACTAGTCACAACAACAACAACAACAAGGAAAAAGCTGGTGTAAAGAGATATTTACTCGAAGTAGGATTTATCACGGGAAATGTATTAATGAAACTTTTCTTTTGTGCTTTATTTTTGAGGATTTTTCGTTCTAGTGCTAGTAGCAGTCGCGAGAGGAGGATGAGGACGATCATAAAGGTAGTGACAATAGTGACGATTTTGGCGGGGTTGGGGCTTATTTTTGGGGTGGTGTGGCAATGTCTTCCTATTCAAGCGGTGTGGAAGGTAGATGGGGGGAGGAGGATTGAAGGGACAAGATGTTTGAATCCAAAGGTGTTTTTTTATTCGTTTGGTGTGTTTGATATTTTGATGGATTTGATTGTAAGTTGGATTTGATCACTATCCCTCCCTCTTCTCCCCCGATGCCTGATAACTGGTATTTTATTTTATGTTGCGAGCTGACTATCGTTTGTCTCTTTTTTAGATCTATGTCCTTCCAATCACTCTTCTCAACAGTCTCCCCATCACCCGCACCAACAGCCTCGGCCTGATTTCGATTTTCATTCTCGGCGCATTCGTCATTTCCGCTTCCATCACCCGCATGGCATACTTGAAAGTCTCCTACACAGAGGAACGCTTTCTCATTTGGACGAGCATCGAAGCCAATTTCTCCATGATTCTCTGCTGTCTCCCCGCACTCGGAAATCTCAGTAATCAGATCTGGAATCGACTAACAACTCTCATCCGGGGAAGTAAGAGAGGAGGAGCGAAAACTGTTGGCGGGGCTGCTGCTAGAGGTCCTCCAAGTATACACGATTGGTATGATGTTTCTGGTCAGAATTTTGGAAAATATCCTCCGGCGGGCGTGATGGGGATGATGACGAATATTCATCATTCGCCGAATGCTTCGCCGCTGGGCTCGGAGTATGATTTGAGGATTTTGCCGTCGTTGTCGTTGTCGTTGTCGAAGGAGAAGAATACAGAGAAATGGGAGAAATGGATGAATAAAATCCAGAGTGTGAATCCTTTTATTAGCTCTTCATCATCATCATCAGCAGCAGCAGCAGCAACAACACCAAATAATATCGAAATTGGTAATCTCAACCACCCGCAATCTGCTACAAACATCACAGATTTGCGATATCAGAATCAGGAGAATGTTCCTGCGCGAGAACAGATGGCGTGGATGAAGAGAAATCTAGAAGAACGATCTGCTCGGGCTTTGGGCATTCGAGATGCTGCTGCTGCAAATGGACGGCCGAAATGGACAGCCGATACAAGTGATGTTGGTGAATTTTTGCGTGAGGGGCCTCAAGTTCCTACTGGAAAGGGGGAGAGGGAGAGTTGTTATGTGGGGAAGGGAAAGGAGAGAGCGGAGGGACACGGACCCCTGTAAGTGATGTGCAAGTACAAAATTACCTGATCTTTCTACCTTCTTCTTCTTCTCTTACTACCAACTTCTTTCTACATATCTTTTCAACAAAAAAAACCCCCAATATCATCTCCATCTCTGCCTCCTCGCTCTAACCAGTCTCTCACCTACTAAAAAAAGAAAGAAAACCCTCTCTAGTATCCCCAGATAAATCACAACATCCCCCCTCCCTTCAAAGTACCACCACCTCCTCCAGGTAGCTGAAGCTCTCTCTCTCTCTCTCGCCTATCAAACCTCCCCCGTCCCCCGGCAAAAGTAAAAAACAGGTACATATCTATCTTTCAAATCACTACAACTCAACTTCCCCAGTCTTCTTATCTTTGAAAGAACTACCTATCCTCTCAGAACTCTCTCTCTCTCCTGATGATGATTCTGATAAGGTGTATCATTTGTACGTCCAATGGGCGTTATCGTATTCCCTGGTTGGGTTACATATCATCTCCCCCACTCCACCCCTACTGTCTGTTTTCACTTTGTACCCAGAGAAGTACCTTTTCTTGCGCGACGGTAGATACTGGAGGTTGTTGGACGGCGGGCGTTATCAGTTCAGTTGGTTGATAGAGAGAGGAAGGGAGAGGGAGAGAGGGAGAGAGTGAGGGAGTTCTCCTGGGTTAGGTAGGTGAGATTGGTATTTGTGATTATTATTCTCTTTTATCTTTATCATCATCTTCATCGATATCAGTTTTACTATCGACATCGACATCGACATCGACATCTCCTCCCATCGGGTTTGACCTGGTCGCATGATAGTCGCATGTTTCCTCTGAATCGCTGATATCTTTTCCATCATCATCATCATCTTCTTCTTCTTCTCTATCGTACGTGAACCTCAGTCAGTCAGTCAGCCAAAAACATGGCCGAACAAGAACAACAAGAACTCCACCATGGCCTTCGAGTTTTGCCTCCAGCAGCTGGATATGGAATTGTCATTGGCATAGGAAGTTTTTTCGCCATTGTCATGTTGTGTATTACATGGATGCAAAATCGTTATGTACGTTTATTCTATCCTATCCTATTTATCTATCTATCGAAGAAGAGAAGTAAGTGAATGAATGAATACCTAACTCCCCCCTCCAATTCTCTCTTAAAACAGACCCGATTCTCCACCCACCAATCCGAAGAATTCAACACCGCCTCCCGCAGCATCAAACCCGGCCTAATCGCCTCCGGAATAGTGTCCTCCTGGACCTGGTCCGCCACCCTCCTCACAAGCAGTACATTCGCCTACAGCTACGGCATTTCCGGTCCGATGTGGTACGGTTGCGCCGGAACCTTCATGATTCTCGCTTTTGCTCTAATTTCCATAAAAATCAAATCCAACTTCCCCGGCGCGCACACTTTCCCAGAAATTGTACTCGCGAAACATGGATACGTGGCGCATGGGATATATTTATTTTTTGGCATCGCGACGAATATGTTGGTGGGTGCGTGTTTGGTGTTGGGGGGAAGTCAGGTGGTGGCTGCCATGACGGACATGTCGGTGTATGCGGCGTGTTTTTTGATTCCCGTGGTGGTGGCGGCATATGTGATTGTGGGGGGGTTGAGATCGACGTTTATTGCGGATTATATTCATACGGTGGTGTTGTTTGTGGTGATTTTTGTGTTTGGGTTTTTAATGTATGCGACGAGTGAAGAGGTGGGCTCGCCGAGTCGGTATTATGATTTGTTGGTGGAGGCGGCAGAGACGATGCCTATCCAGTCGAATGCGGGAGGAGGGTCGTATTTGACGTTTCGGTCGGTGGATGGGTTGGTTTTCGCCATGTGTTTGTTTGCGAGTGGATTTACGACCGTTTGGCTCGATCAGGCGTATTGGCAACGCGCCATTGCTTCGAGACCGGAGACGAGTGTGCAAGCGTATATCCTGGGAGGTATGGCTTGGTATGGTATGTCTCTGTCTCAACTGATCAGCAGCTCCTCCTCCTCCTCTCCCTGAAAGGCTCACATACCGACCGTGCTCGTCACGCGATACACTAACCATTCATCTCTCACACCCAGGCATTCCATTCGGTTTCGCAACAGCAATGGGCTTAGGATGTGCAGCTCTCACCAGCAATCCAAACTTCCCAACCTATCCCCACCCCCTTTCCGCCGAGCAAAACGCAGCAGGTCTCTCCGCGCCAGCAACAGCAATCGCGCTTCTCGGAAAAGGGGGAGCAGTTCTCATGCTCATCTTGCTCTTCATGGCCGTGACGTCCAGCACGTCTGCAGAGTTGATTGCCGTCTCATCACTGCTCACCTTTGACGTGTACAAGACATATATCTCTCCCAACGCACCATCGAGGAAGCTGGTTCAAGTCTCGCATTACGGTATCGTCATCTATGCGCTCGCTCTGGCAGCCTTTTGTTCGGTTCTCAACAAAGTCGGTCTCAACTTGACCTGGCTCTTGACAGTCCTCGCAACCATTGTCGGTGGAGGAGCCTGGCCCGTGGGTTTAGTCCTGCTCTGGTCCAAAATGTCAACGGCTGCAGTCATCCACGCACCCTGGATCGGACTGGTCTCTGGTCTGTTAGCATGGTTCATCACAACGTGGAAGCGAACGGGCGAGATCACCATTGCAAGTACAGGAGAGCCCCGGAATGGCTTGGCGGGAAATCTGTGCTCGTGCTGGGTGCCTTTGCTTGCAGCTGTAGCTCTGTCGTATGCCTTCCCTTCCAAGTACACTACCACAGACGCAAGGCAAATCGAGAGAGCGAATAGGATCAGAGGCATTGCATCTCTGCAGGGTGTGAGCCCTCCTCAGGAACACTCTCCAACTACTTCTACTACTGTTCATGTTGACCCGGAGAAGAAGAACGTGGTACATCAACAACAACATGATGAAAGTGATACTCGAAACACATCCCAGTCTGGCGCAGTCGTCCTTACTGGAAATGAGCTCGTGGACTTTCTCGAAAACACAAACATAGAGCCAATGGACTCGGAAGCTGTCAGGAGAGGAACCATTATTGCATGGACTGCAAATGTCGTCTTTGACCTCTTCGCATACATTCTGGTGCCATTTACTCTGTTCGGTACTGGCTATGTCTTTAGCCGAACCTTCTTTACGGGATGGGTGGTGGTATCCTTCATATGGGTATGGGTGAGCATGGTGATTTGCGTCATTTACCCAGTCGTAGAGAGCAGAAGTGCGCTCAAGGAGCTGTCCTCTGGTGTGTGGGGCGACATCAAGTCCTTGCTGGGAGGGAAGAAGGCTAGAGCTGCTAGTGATGAGATGACTGGCTCATGAGGACCGCTTCGATGCAGCGCAGCGTTCAGAATATGACTAGTGTTGACAACTGTTGTCGGTGTACGCGACCAGTGGTGAGTCAGAATGTGCTTACAGAGACGCAGACCTGTGGCTGGTCTTCACTCTTTGATAAATCAATAGAAGGAATTGGTCATGCAACAGGTACTTTCAGGTTCCCATCGCTTGGTCAACAGGGCACAGCTGCGTCTATTAATTCCTTGCTGACAACCGCATCCTAGCTACGATAGACCTCCACACCAAATGATGGCCAATATAGGTATGCCGTACCCCGAAGGATGCAGCCACTTTCTCACGCTGGGGCGGAGATCCGATATATTGAACTTGGTGTAACGAGACGTCATCGAATTGACAGCCATGATTAACAATTATCGCGTACCCCTGATCTCGCGCGTCTGGGACGATTTCGTACATGCAGATAGAAGAAAAGAACAGGATCCTTCCTTCCATGCACCGTGTGCTCATGCAAGGAATATCGAGCAGCATGACAGGCTGTTATCGTCGCTCGCTATGCAGAAGAGAGTCTTCCTTCTCATCCGAGCCGAACCGGCATGTCGGTGACTACATGTATTGGACCTATGGCCCAGCGACACGTTTTGAGCAGAAGGCGAGGAGCGAGCGCGTACAGAATATGTTGGCGAGAATCGGTCCAAGGCGACCATGTGCTTGGATGAAGTCATGATCTCAACTCGCCAGATCCCTGTTGCATGTCTGTTTCCAATATCCGATTAGTGGGCGATTTGATAGGCAGCTTAGAAATTATCAGCGTACCCGATACGCCCCACTGCATTGCAACAATATCTTCTTCCGACGGCAGCTTCGCTAGAGACGGGCTCTTCGTAGTGGGTGTTGAGAGAGAGAGAGAGTGTGTGTGTGTGGTGATCCCAGACGGCAGAATGGAACTGCCAACACAAAAGTTCCTCATCTAAATTCGCCGGGACTGACATCCAGATGCTTTTGCGCGTACGCCAGCACATCACTCCTCATATCCAGCTTCGTGAATCCGGGAACTTCCAGTCCTTGAATCTCGCCCTGGATGGCTGTAGAGACCATGAAGCTCTCCTCAAAGGCCTGGATTTTCATCTTCACGTCCAAAACTTCTTGCCCATTCATATGCACCTCCACGTCGTCGACCTCTTCACCCCACTGACCATGCGTATTGCATCGAGCCACCGTAGCAGGCTTCGGTGACCGAACATTGAGAAACTCGAGCTGCTTCAGCCACGGTGCAAGAAGAGCTTCGCCAGCGAGCTTGATGTAGGCCTCTTTGTAGCAGAAAAAGGTGTAGAATCTTCTCAGCTTCGCATCGACCAGTAAATCGGAATTGAACGTCACATCTCGTCCCGAGGGAGTGGTCAAGGTGATTTGCTTATTCCGCCGGAGTTCTCGATCGTACCTCCCAATCTCTGAAGCGGTCAAATGCGTGCCATCGAGTAGAGTGATGTAGTCGACATCAAACTTCATGGTCCAGCGCTCTTCATCGGAGAAGACAAAGTCGTAGATGTCGACCCAGCCATCGAGACCCTCTTGATCGATGGTCCGGTAATCATCTCGTTCGTTCACACAGACAATGTCTACGCCCACCATGACATTCGGCTCCAGTTGGGAGTGGGATGACATGAAGCCCTCTATACTTCCACTCGGAGTGTACCTGTGCCTCTTCTTCCCGTTCCAGCCGATCAAGGTGACGAGGCCCGCTTGATGCGAGACATTGAAGTCGATGCCTTCAATCGGGCGGCCTACAGCGTCCACGGCGCAGGGCTTGCCGTGCTTGGGATCGGTCTTGCGCGCCAGGCGGACCGCACTCCACGGAATGTCCAAGGCTTGACTGATGAACAGCCTCTTCAGCAGGGCCGAGCCCAGCGACATTTTCGCATCTTGTATAAACATCTTCCCACTGATGGTCTTTTGCTCGGACATGGAGATCAAGCTCATGGCCTCAGCGGCACCCGGGGCCGACCAGATGTTCTGGCCGGGCCATAGCGATCGCGTGTCGAGGAACCAACATGTGATTTCGCCCTTGGATCCGGCAGCGGAGTCGAGGTGGGCAGAATGGGCGGAGTGGGCGGCGGAGGAGAAGGTGTTGGCGATGCCGTTCATGAGTGACGAAAGGTCGGGGAAGTTGGTGGTCAAGGCATGAGGAAGATGTTGCGACAGCGACAGTGAGGGACCACGCTTGCGGGAAGATATCAGGCCCGTCGCCATAGTTTAGGTCTAACCCAGTAGAGTAAGGTATAGACAGCGGTAGGCCTGGCCAGGTGAGGGAGGGAGGGCCCGGAGGGAGGGAGGACGGGAGTAGTAGTAATAAGTGAAAACTGGCCGATGCTAATAAGTTATCATGTACATGTAGGCTAGAACTACCACCACTATGTACACCCTGACGAGAGAACGGGGCGAGGACATGTATATGAATGTAGGAGGTAATATGGGCGTGTCGACACACATCTAAACTTAGCCGAAGCATGATGCACCATCCTCACACAGATTCATAGAATAGACTTGCACCGCCGCATCGTGGAGTCCCGAAAGCCAGATCCGGAAGTACTGTATTGTAGAAGTGCTTGTGATAGGCAGAAGGGGGGGGGGGGAGTCAGGTACCTGAGTACAGTGAGTTACACTCAGTTACAGTGATAGTCGGCCCTGTCCTCTTCCGCTGCGCTGCCTCTTCATTATTATATTGCCATCCATTTTATGCCATCGTCTACTGCAGACTGCTGTAGTGAAACCCCAAAAAGTGATGACTGATTACATATGATTTTACTGTACCTTTTGCATTAATAAGGTACTATGTACTTCTTGGCAGAGTTGAAGTTGAGCTGGATGAGTAAGCCATAATGACCTCGACCAGCTCGAGTGTATTATCTAATCAATAATCTTTTGCATGTGCGTGCACCAACTTCCAAGTGACTAACACACCCCCACTAGAATAGATGAGGTGTGCTTCTATGCATGAACATTCCCGAATCACAACAACCATGACCTCCCCACCACCAACACCGCAGCACCTCTGCATCGGTGTCCTCGCCCTCCAAGGCGCCTTCATCGAACACATCACCCTCCTCACCCAAGCCGCGCCGTCCCTCACATCCCAACACAACACAACCTTCACCTTCCTCGAAGTACGAACCGCCGACCAACTCTCCCGCTGCAACGCTCTAATTCTCCCCGGAGGAGAAAGCACCGCAATTTCGCTCATCGCCGAACGCTGCGGCATGCTCGAACCTCTACGCCAGTTTGTCAAATTCCATCGACGGCCGACGTGGGGCACGTGTGCGGGATTAATTTTATTAGCGGAAGAGGCGAATAAGAGTAAAGCGACGGGACAGGAATTGATTGGAGGGTTGGATGTTCGAGTGCATAGGAATTATTTCGGGAGACAGGTTGAGTCTTTTGAAGCAGCGCTGGATTTGCCCTTTTTGAAAGAAGAGGGGAATGGAAAGAATGATGATGAGCAGCCGTTTCATTCAGTCTTTATTCGTGCGCCTGTGGTGGAGAGTATTTTGAAAACACCCTCAGAAGATGATGAGACGGAAAAGGAGGCGGTCGTAGGGATGGAAAAGAGTGCTGCAGTAGATGATACCCCCCCGACCATGAGACCTCGCATGCCCAATCGAGGAGAGACAGTATCAGCTCCCCAAATCAAAGCAACAAGTGCGCCCGTAGAAATTCTGGGTCGTCTCCCTGGCCGAGCGCGAGCAATCAAAAACAAAACAAGCACAGCAGAAGATTTAGGAGAAGAAGGCGACATTGTAGCAGTTCGACAAGGAAATGTCTTTGGAACATCCTTTCATCCCGAATTGACGGGTGATGAAAGAATACATGCTTGGTGGTTAAAGGAAGTTATCAAAAGTACATTTATGCAAGGAACTTGACCACTCTTTCCCCCCGGTTTTCTTTTTTCTTTCTTTTTGCTTTTTTTTTCTTTGCCTGCTTCGAATTGCTACCTTACCAACCTACCTACCTTACTTATTGTAATATTCAATCCCCTCCCTGTGAAGGTGGAATGCCGATTTGAAAACAGACGCCGTCGACGACACACAGCTCTTTTTTTTGGAAAGGAGTGAAGATGACTTCGAATGAGGTCACGCATATGAGGGTGATTGTCTGAAGTAGCAGGCACTCGAAACCCTCCCAGAAGAAGAAGAAGACGAACAAGAAGAGAAATGAAGAGTTGGATAAAAAGGTAAAAAGAACATTCATTATTCTCTCTGCCTCTCTGCTTTCCCTACCTCCCTCTATCCCTCCATCGCCCTCTTGCGGGTATCATTTCCACCTTTCCAAAAAATAATAAAAGCCACCCTCCCCCCGGCCTGGTCATAATGGTTCCATCCCATCCCTCTTTCACTCAAAAATCTGCAAGGAACAAGAATAGTCAGCTAAAAGTGGCCGGTTGCGTGCCTCAAAGAAGGAAGTTTTCTGTTGAGACCATTGGTGGATTTTAGGCCACACATGCCACCATGAGTTTCTTGTAATCACCTATGTATCAACTGATTAGCAAAAGATTCTTAACTTTGTCCCATTCGTTTACATGTAGGAAGGTTTTTTTCATAATAAAAAAGAAAAACTCACCACTCGTCTCCGACGCAATCCTCGCCGCCAAATCCTTCTTATAAAAATGTTTATACGCAGCTTTACACTGATGCAAACGCTGCTTATCCCAATGAATCATGACGACTCTCCGCACGAGGGCTTGGTCCTTGGTTCCCAGGCCCGCCATGGACGCTTCCAAGAGATCCGCATCGTTTTTCGCAGGATCTGCAGCAGCACCGATGATGAAGAGCAGAGCATCTTGCATGTGGCCCGAGAATTCGGCTTTGATGACAGATTGGAGGGAACGGTGATATTTGGCTTGGTAGGCTTGCACAATGGCGCGGATTTGGCCGTTGCTGCGCGAAGTGAGAATGGAGCAGACGGTCATTTGGTCAGTGCCGGTTTTGCCTTCGGTGGCGCTGTACATGTCTTTGATGTCTTGTTCTGTTTGTTGGGGGATGACGGGCGCAGACTCTTCGGCTCTGCGGGCGGACATGACCATGTCGAACATGCGTTCGGTCTTCATGCTCAGGTCACCCTTGACGTCTGACTCGAGGGATTTGCGGTACATGTGCTGGTAGTGCTGTTTGATGGCATTCATGTCTGCGTTGGAGCGTGCAAGGAGGACGTCGTTTAGAGCACTCTCCTTGGTGCCGAGACCTTTGATACTCTCGTGAATGACCCAGCAGTCTTGTTCCAGAGGACCGCGAATCATGGCTTCCAGTCCTTCGCGAAAGTAGCCCGAGGTCTCGGAGTGAACATCTTTGAGCAAGTCCCGCTTGTGTCGTTGCTGATAGACCTGCTTCACGGCTGCGATCTCTAAAGGACCCAGGGAGGCCATCACCTTGATTAGTAACGTCTCGTTTGTTCCAAAACCTTTCATCGATGCACGGAGGTCATCGGCCGCTCGTGTCACATCCTGATGCGATCGTTGGCGCAAGTCATAGCCGGGTGAAGGCAAGGCTGCTGGACCACCATATTGCTGCTGTTGTGGAAAGCCACCCGGTTGTTGCTGAGGGTAGGGAGATTGGCCAAAACCACCTTGTGCTGGCGGCGGGGGTCCTGGCGGCGGGCCTCCGAAGCCTGGGGCAGGAGGATCCCACTGACTGGCACCGGTAGGGCTGATGTAGTATGGGCGCTGACTGCTTGGGTCAAACTGGGAAGTCCATCCTGGAGGCAGCGGTGGTCCTCCTCCTTGTGGCGGCGGCGGACCAGGCGGGGCCCCGCCAAAGCCTTGTTGTTGTCCAAATCCGTGATTCATTGGTTGTTGATAATAGCCTCCTCCTGGTGGATATTCTGATTAAAAGTGGTCAGCGTGATGTTCTTATATCCGCCGTGCCATGGTGTAGAACGACGCCGCATGCCTCCACTGCGCCTCACACGGCATGTCATCGGCGCAGATCCGACGTTGCTTACGCTGATATGGCTGCGGTCCGCCGGGTGCGCCGTAGCTCTGTTGGTAGTGTGCCATGTTCCGCCAAGGACCAGAGAGTCAGCTGCAAAGTGTATCTTCTTTTCAGTATCTCGATTGGCAGACAGGATGTAAGTGGCCCGGGAAAGGAAAACAGTGGATTCGCAGATGCCTTTGAGAGAAAGCGAGTGCGGCGCAGTCAGTCGCACTGCCTAGGCAACAATGCAACAATGCACAAGAAAGAGATCACGCAGTGGGGCAGTGCAAAGGCAGATGCCCGTTACAGCCTTATAGGTACATTATGATTATGTACAAACAGTTTAACAGATGGAGCGGAAACCGATCCTTTCGGCCTCCATCCAAGGCCGTAATTTGGGGTACTAAGGTACCTGAGGTATCGAAGGATGGAGCATGAAATGATGTCTTCCTAATGCGACGTCGAGGATACATATATTTCTGCATATTACTGCTGTTAGGAGATGCAGTCATAATGCATAAATAATGAATGCCCGCACAAGGTTCCCCGTTGTAAAAGAGTTGGAGATGACGACATGCGTGTTCCTCCCACCCCCGGCTTACCTAGATAGGTAATACCCAGTCCGCAATGATATCCGATGTTTTCTTTCCCGTTAACGACATGATACATCTAAAGCCGACACTCGTAATACTTTACTTCCAAGGGCCAACAGAGACTCGACAAGAACCGTGCTGCTGTGAACTGGCTGAACCAAGAACTGGCTGAACCAAAACTAAACCAGCACGAGGCACTCTCTTGAACTTCATCGTACGGAGCAAAGCCAACATTCAACTGGGTGTACCAAGGATAATTTTTTATTAGGAAAAAAAAAAACAAGAGTGACTGTCCATTACACCCGTTTCTACTAAAGAGAGCGACCAGGTGCAGCTAAGGGGATTCGCATAGGCAGGAAATGATCCATCATCGAATGCCCACGGCCTTGTATGAGTGCAATCGTTCGATTTGTCGCAAAAGAGTGGTTTGTTCAAGTAGGTACTCTTTTGTAGATTGGTCCACTGGCCAGTAAGTGCGAGGGGCACCGGAGTGGCTGTCAACATTCCGTGGTAGATAGAGATTGGAACGAGAAGTCTCTCAAGCGCTGGGGGGTTCTGTCAATGATTAGTGAACAAGCCAAAAGAAAAACCCTCCCAACCCGCCCCCCCCCCCAAGAAATTGTAACAATAGAGTAATCCTACCTTCTAGAAATCGGGTTGATAGCAGATGCCTTGTGGCACGCCATTGACGGGGCCCTGGTTGGAGGTACAATAATTGCAGAGAGTATTAACGCAGTCACTGTTGTAAGTGCATGGACTGCCACAATAAGCGGCACCGGCGACGCTGATGAGATGGACGAGGCCGAGGAAAATTGCGACGAACTTCATTGCGAAGGAGCAATAGGAGGACAGCGTATGTGTGAGGGGTTCGTTGTCGAGCGATGAGATCTTGTAGATGTAGAAGCCAACTGTGTGTCGTGGAAAGGAGACGGGATGCTTGGAATAATGGACGTCGACAATGGGCTGACCAGTGGGATTATATAGTACCATCAGGGGACGTACTCCGCAAGCATGCGGTAGCAGACAGAGCTAGACATCTCGGCACATGAGATATCGAGGCTCGAGCATGAGAGTAGTTGGCTCCTTCGCTGCCAGCTTCCAACGCCATTCGAAGGTTCAATGCATTTCCCCATTACAGGATCAAGAAGCCTCGATACCAATAGCCGCTCGAACTCTCCGGTTCGAAACGTGGGCTCAAACAATAGGTTCATTGGCCGCGGTAGCTTAAGAAGTTGGATGCATTTATTAGGTAGCCTCTGGTATGCTCGTCAGTCTGTACTATCAGAATGCAGTTGGGAGTATGGATTATATAGACTTTGAGATTTCCTGTCTGCATCGTGATGACACTCCGCACAGCCTGATACCGATCGAACAACGAAGTAGCCCTACGGCCGTGCCCTAGCATGGGGCAAGTACCGAGTTGCTTATATGAATCAAGGTTCGTATGGAGACGAAGAGTAATTGTTCGAATGCGTAAAAGTTCTCTCTTACCTTGCAAGCACGTGGTCGTCTATCGCGATGCGTATGGCCGTATTGCTTGCTCTGGGAGTCCGAACCTGGGCTGACCGTTGACGTTGCGAATGCGGAGTGCGAAAGTACAGGTCCTTTTGGTTCCCCCCCCCCACATACCACCCCGGTCCAACCAACACTAGCCGTTTCCAAAAAGGTGTGTAGAGGGCTGCCCATAGCCTCGCCGTTGTGCCAAAGAGCGCACGCTTTAATTGGCGCGATCTTTTGAGTGAATACACTAGACTCAATGCGTTACAACCTCAAAAATCCAACATCTACCCTACCTGCCTATATAGGTACCTGCCTTCCCATCTGTCTCTACAGGCCACCTTGCCTATATTTCAGAAGAGAAGAACAAGAAGAAGCGAAGGTCAAGGACAAGGAGGAGGAGGCGGAGAAAGATTGGAAGAGGAAGAGGAAGAGGAAAGAAGAAGAAGAAGAAGATCCCGTAGGACATATTTCGTCCGGCTCTAGCTCCGGCCCCATGATAGGTGGACGTTATTACTAAGTTATTACTAATAAACGCGCCAGTGGAGTCGCGTAAGACACGCGTCATGATGAGTCGATCATTTCCAGATCCATCTCTCATGGACCCCAAAGCGTCATTCCATGTCATTCATTTATTCGTTCCATTCCAGTTGTAGTGCAGTAAGCTGTATCTCAGTACCTGAAAGGTGGTAGATTCTTGTGTATGTAGGTGTTGTCCAACATGCCTCCTGTCTGCTCACCACTCCTCGTCACCCCACGCCGCTTGTTCACATCTCTTCCCGTTGTAGCAAGAAGACCGTATACCTGTATCCCCTCATACACCGCATACACCGCGAAGAGACCAATACCTGTCTCCGCAGTCCGCACAACTCCCCCGTCATCAACCCGCACAACCCACCCTACCGCCAGAATGGCGTCTTCCACCTCCTCCACCTTTGGCGAGCTCAAAATCGAAAACACCAACATCAACTGCGCTCCCGGCGTAGAACTCTCCTCGCAACAAAAGACTCTCGTCGGCTCCGTCCTCGACCTCTTCGCCGGCCGCCCTTCTCTCGCCAAACTCCAACTCTGGCAAGACCAAGCAGAGTTCATCGACCCTTTGACCATCGCCAAAGGCCGCAAGCAATTCGAACCGCAATGGTACGGTCTGCAAGTCGCCTTTAGCGAAATCGAACGTTTGCACCATGAAGTCACTTCGGCAGGAAATCCCATCGAGATGGATCTTAAGACGAGATATGTGATCAAGGGAATTGGCAAGGAGCAGACCATTAATTCAAAGGTCAAGATTTGGGTTGAAGGGGACAAGATTAGCAAGCTGCATGACGAGTGGGATGGGAAGCTGCCCGAGTCGGGGATTGTAAAGGTGAGTGAGCGATATCTACCGGTGTTGAGTCCGTGGTGGTGGCTCAAGTATGGTGAGGGGTGGATCTTTCGGCTGTGGAGCTTCACTTGGAGCACATTGGTCTGGAGGGTGAGGTTGCTCGTTTCTTGCTAAATGAGAGCTGAGGTGAACTTGTGATTTGGAGTGACTCTCGCTGACATTTGATACTCTGCAGGCTTTCCAGAGGCTCAACGCCAATACTGTCCCGTACATGGTCTCAGTCCCCAAAACAGCCGAGGAAGATGCGAAGAGAGGCAACTAGTAGGGCCTCGTTGAAGACTACCCTATGTTGGAACGACTTGAGCTTTGTTCAGCTGCAGCTCACGAGAAACGAGGCAGCATAGCATGAATTCCGAGAATCGTTAGTTATGACCGAGCTAGACCAGTGCAGCTGTGCTACAACGACAGATATTTCTTAGCCCCGAGACATTTTTGCGACTTTCCATATCCCTCCCTCCTTCTCAGCCAAGTTTTCTGCTTTCACTTCGAATCCCGCCAGCACCTGCCTTGTATAGTATGTCATGTGCATAACGGCAAGGGCGCAAGTTCCAGTGTTTTCCAGCACGAATTCGACATTCCTGGATTCCACGATTGGCTACAGGTAGTCTCATTGCAAACAGACACCAGCTTCCTCTTCGTCTCAGTGCCACCAAGTGAAATGGCGATATGCCAGGCAGCCTCTAGCTCTTTTACAACGAATAATAACTCCCATCCAAAAATCGTACTTTCCACAGCCCCTCCCCATCATCCCTCTTTCTTCTTCTCATGCCCAGCAGTCGCCACCTCCAAAATTTCCTCCTCGAGCCCTCGCACATATAAAACTTCAACCCCAGCATCCATCAACTTCTTCCTCCCCTCATTCACACCCACAAACGTCTCTGGCTCTTGCACTCCACACACCACCATCCTAATACTCTGTTCCCCATCTTTCCTCTTCAACGCCAGAATTCGATCCACACAACTCACATTCCCCACACTTCTCCTCTGACACGGTTCCATGGTCGTATACAAAATAATATTTTTCGAGTTACCATTTTTCGCGGATAGAATCTCGCCCAGCTCGGATTCGCTGCACGAGTATTCTTGGGCGAGTTTGATGAAGCAGGATTGTTCGGCGTGCGTGTTTCCGGGACATTCGAGCGTGTAGCCTGTTGTGAGGGGGGCGAGATTGGGTGGGGCTAGGAGAAGTGCTCCTACGCTGAAGTTTGTGGGTTTGGGAGGGGATTTGCGCGCTTCGAGGAGGGCTAGGCGGAGGTAGTGGGTGTGGTCGTTGGGGCCGAAGACGGACATGTTTGGATGAGTTTGTAGGTTAGGTACCTTAGGTATGGAACCCTCGATTTTTGTTTGGTTTCCTGTTGGCAAATGGTGGGGATGAGGATGATGATGATGAGGAAGTATCTTGGAGTGGAGTTACAAGGAAAGGTACATGGAATCATAAATGCACCTTGGCCTACGTTATTTTGTACGACCGTCCAGGGTAAGATTCTAGGTATATGTGCCCTGTATATGATATTCGTGGCGATTCCCACATGTACCTGAATCTTCTTGATAAGAAAGGGGGTCTTCCAGTAATATTTTGCAGCAAGCGTTCAAAAGATACATGTAATGGGAGAGGAGGAAAATTTACGCGGAGAGTAGGTATACACCACCACGACCACCAGCTATTGTACTTACTCAATACGGCTCAGGTATGCATGTAAGTCAAACGTGGTCGAGTGTGCCCGAATTGAATCTGAATGCATAAAGCGTTTTTGTCTGACGTCAAAAGGTCAGCTACCTTATCAAGAGGACGGGATAAATTTTGGACTTTGCAGACGGAAGGCCAAAGTGGCCAATTCTCATGAACGTACCTCACCTCATGAATCTACTGTATACAGCACCTTTCTTTGATTCTATACCTCACCGTCGCCGCATGCGGCACCTTACCTTACCGTCGCCGTCGTCGCCGCATGCGGCGTATGGCTTTGTTACTGCTACCGCTTTGTCGCTATAAGTCACTTATCAAGTCGTCGCCGCCGCCGCCGTCGCTGTCAAAGTACGAACTACATATATATTTCTACTACTACTACTACTACTACTACTACTACTACTACTACTACTACCGCAACTATGCCCTACCGAGCTAAGTAAGAGTACGCTCGCTATAGTACTCGTAGCGTACGCTAACTAAGCCTACCTATAGTATTATCGCGAACATAACGCTCGCGCTCAAGATACTACAAGAAGGCGACGATACTATAACTGCGTTCGAAGCGCTACAAGCCTTCGAAGTACGCTATAACGAGGACGACGACTTAGACCCGGCAGATTAGATAGATAGTTAGATAGACAGTTAGACGGAGCCTCTAACGCCGGATCCAACGGTAGATCCGACGCCGGACGAGAGTAATAAGATAGATAACACGATAGATAATAATACCGAGTATAACCTTCGGCCGGCGGCGCTGTCCTCGGCGCTTATTGTAACTTACTACTAATACTCTTTCTCTCTCTATAGTAGTACCCCGCCCGTTAATCCCTATCCTCGCCGCCCTACGACTACTAACGCCGCCGATTTCTGGTTTTGCGCTGCCGAGAAGTAGTAGGGCTAGCTCAACGAGGCGAACGGCGAGGATGCTAAGAAGAAGAAGGTTGCGAAGAATAACCTATAGAAATTCGACTAGGCCGGCCGAATTATAGAGACTTACAAGGGGATTAACGCGCTAGATCCGTACTATTACTATACTCGTCCGGGCCTATCCGTTCCGTATAAGGTAGACCGGGTAAATAGCAAGATATATGCTTATTATAAGCGATACGTAAAGGTAGGGTATAATGCTAGTTAGCCTATAGAAGATGTAGATAGTAGTAAGCTAGTACGTCTTACTCGGCGAGTCGCCGCTATCGAGGTACGAGTAGACAGCTTAGATAGGTACGCGCGTAGTTGGATTAGCTTCTTTAAGGGCAGATTCAATTAGGTTAGCGGTAAGATATATGCCCTCGCTACTCGCTTGTAGCCCGAGAGGGGTGTTGCGCTGCCGACTATATTGGATTAGGCGTCTACTAGTAGTAATAGTACTAGTAGTAATAGTACTGTTAGTAATACGATAGTCTAAATAGAATAATTGAATTGAGTAGTAATTGAACTATCTAATACCCCTCCCCCCTAGGTACGTCGCTATTAAAGCTGTATCGTCTATATATAGTTAAGTACCTTTAGCGCCTACCTACCTACCTATAAGTACGGCCGCGAGCGCTAGTAAGTTAACCCCGAGCCTTTGCTACCGCTGCCGCCCTTCTTATTATAGTACTAATCTTCTCTCTGTCGCTATCTACTACTAGCGTTACGCCGGACCTACCCCCTTCTCGTCGTGTCGTCGTGTTATCGCCGTTATCCGAGAGGTTATATACCTCCGGCGGCTGCCTCGTATTAATTACCGAGTACGTCTACTCTAATCCCTTCTCTTTCTTAATAAAAAGCTCGTCTAAGTCGTACTTAATACTCTCGATTAGTACTACGGTAGGCTCGCGTATTGTAGGTAAGTATAACTCGAGGGGGGGCTCGTCGATTATAGTACTCTTCCTATCCTTACGCTTCAGATTCTTCGGCTTTAGCGATAGTAGCTGCTTTCTTAGTTAAATAACGATCGTAATCTTATATAAGCGGGCGGTCGTTCGGGTCCCTAGTATCTAGAATACTACTATAGCGTCCGCAACGATAGGTGTTCTCGTTGCTTTCTACGATACCTTAAGCGGTTTGCTGTCCTTATCGAAGCTAGTTGCTAGTATTATACTCTTAAAGTCGGGGATTTTATAGATTAGCTATACCGGAAGGTCGTCGGGGTCGATACGCCTAAGTAGGAAGTCTACGAGGCTGGTATTATCGTCCTCGGCCTCGGCGAGCCGGTTAGAGTTAGTAAAGTTGTTAGGTACTATTAGTACGAGCTCTGCCGCCTATAGTTCCTACTTTGCGGCCTTTACCTTCTTGTCTAGTTTGAGTACCTAGCGCTAGGTATAGACCCTATAGGTATACGCAAAGTAGACGGTTAGCGACCTCTAGGCTACGGCTAACGTCGTCGTCGTCGTCGGGGTCGACGCCGGCGCGGACTGTTAACAGTAGGTAACTAGTCTAGTACCGGTATAGGGGGCGACTACGGTAGCGGCTCTCTGTCGGTAATACGTATTAGCACTAGTATGCTCGTTATTCGCGTACTAGGGGATTATATCGAATGTCTAGAAACCCTAGTATTAACGATTAAGCGACTTATTAAAACTCGCGGTTAAAAGGGCTGCTTACCCTTACTACTAGAGCCGGTACTAATACTGTCGGTATACGCTAGGCTAACGGAGCCGGTATATTCGAGACGGTTAGTATCTGCCGAGGGCGTATCTTGAGTACGGTTGATAGCTCTTGTATAAATCGCTCCGTTAGACCGTCCGGATTCAGCTGTTTGTATTAGCTACAATAAGTAAACTTGCCGAACGTCGTCTTATAGTAGATCTATATCTGAACTAGATAGTACTCGGCCTATAACTTAGGTAGCTGCGACTATAATATAGACATAGCTACGATAGGGTTCCTAAAGTATATAGTAAGGAAGTATAAGTAATATAGTAAGTATATAAAAGGTTCTACCTCGTCGCCGCTTATAGCTAGGCTCGCCGAAGAAAAGCCAATAGAATTTTCACTTACTCCGGCCCCTGCCTCTACCCCCGGCGCCCCGGCGCCCCGCTGCCCTCCGCCCTCTTTATTATATTATATAAACTCGAAATCGACCGTACTATAGTCCTAGTTTACATTCGGTGCGCTATATAGCGTATTATTAACGAAAGCTTCTCGTGTCTTACGTTAGGGAATCCAATTCCGTACGGCTAGTAGCTTCTTAAGCTTACTAAGAATAGGTAATTGCCTAGAGGTAATATGCTTACTAATTAATCTTCGCAGTATAATATATACTAACTCGTAGGTGCGATCGCTAGTCAATTGGTCAAAGGAGGCTCTACTAATAGGCAGAGAGAGACTATAGCTCGTAAGCAGGTTGACCTTATACTACTTATATGTCTCGTCTAGGAGAAAAGCCTCTAAATCTACCTAGAATCAATTAATAAGCAGTATAGCGAGCGGGGGTAAGGCACTTACCAAACCCTTCTAGACTCTATTCGAGTATCTCGATAATAGCCTCCGGTATACGTACCCTCTACGACGCTGCACTATAAAGCTCTAGGTAGTAATATAGTACGTACGGAATGCCTAGAATTAAGTATAGACGGTTCGATTGTTTCCGGATCTTGTATATATTCTATATATAGGCGAATTCTACTACCGTAGTACGTATAATTTCTACGTATACCGCTAGGAAGGCTAGGCGATCTACGAGTAAGTTAGGGTTATATAAATACCTCGCATTTAGAGAGTAGAAGTATCCTCTCTATCTATTAAGTGCCTTAGCCTACTAATTCTACTATGCCTCGATACGCTAGTTTATCTTACTCGTACTATATCGGTAGTACTCGGTAAATGTAGGCGGTTCCGATAGTAGCAGACCGCGCTCGCGTAGCAACTCGTTCTTAGCGGCCGCGGCGGCGGCAACCTCTACGTCGTACGCAGTATATCGAACTATATAATACGCGTCCGCGGCTAAGATAGTCTCCCCCCTACGGTTAGAACAGAGAATCAACGGTATAACGCCGCTATTATAGTACAAGGTAGCTATATACTACGCGAGTACTAATACTACGGATCTACTAGTAATTCCTATATAGAGCTACTGTATATAGCGAGAGTAAACGTCGATAGTACTATAGATCTAAATGCCCTAGTACTCGAACTTGTAGTAAGTATCTATTAAGAGAGCGTATATTAGCCCGGGTATAATAATAGTACTATAGTGCTCTCTAGCTCTATCGCGGCGTCGCTATACCCTATCGGGGTTAAGTAGTCGGTATATATAGTAGATACGGTCCCTATACGAATAAGTTAGTCTACGAGCGGCTATAAGTATAATAATATATATAGTAGTATACCTCCTAATTAGGTTAGTCTTCGAGCGTAGGTATACGTAGAGGTTCCTCCGGCCGTACGTCTTAACCGACAACTTAGCTAGCTCGTTAGAGAGTATAGTAGCGATCTCTGCCTCTGCCTCCGCTTGTCGTTCTTAGGGCATCTGTTTGATAAACCCTAGCTCTTTGCGTATACGCCGATAGGTACGCTTTCCGATAGTCTAGCCGTTAATACGTAGAATCTAGTAGGCCTCCTCGTCGGTAAGACGTAGGTAATAGTAGGTATAAGCGATTCGGAGGTATAGGGCCTTAGTATTACTTAATTCGAGCCGGGTTCGTACTAGCGTATACGTTCTTATAAGCCTCTATAAAGTTAGCCGCCGTCGTAGCGTACTGAGCTCGATACGGACGCCGAATATAGTAAAGAGGTCCTTGCGGATAGACTAGTAGGTATGCCTATTAGCGTATAACCTAGTAATAAACTCGCGGAACTGCTCGTAATCTAGTACTTAACTACCGCGAGCTCTACTACTACGACGGCAAGGCATAGGCGCGAGCGACAGTAAGGCAGGCGGCGGAGGCGGCGGAGGGGTAGTAGACTGTCGAGGTATATAGACTGCGACGTATATTGCGGCGGCGGCGGTAACGTAGACTATAAGCGACGGTAAGGTAATCAACGAGGTATATATAGCGACGGCGACGGCGACGGCGACGGTGACGGTGACGGTGACGGTGAGGTAAGGTGCCGCATACGGCGACGGTGAGGTGTAGAATCAAAGAAAGGTGCTGTATACAGTAGATTCATAAGGTGAGGTACGTTCATGAGAATTGGCCACTTTGGCCTTCCGTCTTTGCACAACCACCCGACCCGACCCAACCCCACCCGGACGGACCTAACTTTATTCCAAAAACGAAGCGAAGTGATATATGCAGGTACAAATTATTACGGGCCAACCGCCCAATGGTAGTTACTAGTCAACAACCAAACACCACCCAAATGCAATGTTCAGCGTTACTATATATATATACCAGACGACGTAACGTCGTTAGCCCGGATTACTAGGAAAAGCACGGCTGCAGCAGGTACAGAATACTAAAGTAAGTAGGTAGGTAATTGTCAAGTTAACGAAATGTTATGTGGATTGGCATTTTTGAAAAGAATGCAAAAAAAACAATGAAAAAGAATCAAAAAAAAGCGCATAGAGAAGAGAGAGAGAGAGAGAGAGAGAGAGGGATCAGAGGGCTGGAGAGAAAGCAACAACGTGAATTTTCAAAAACAAGATAACTAACTATAAATCAATCTGACCAGAAGAATCTCAAGTCTGAGGTGGTGGGGGAGTGTTTTCTTTCTCACACAAAAGCGCCTGGTACGCATCTTTCTGTAAAGAGCGCCTGGCACGCATACATATTTCTGTCGTCTTCATCAAATAAAAACGTTTGGTTTTTCTTTGGTCAGATATCTAGCTGAGCTTCAGAGTGTTGCCAGCAACACCAACAACAGCGGCCTTGACCTTGGAGCTTCCCAGCAAGGTGTACTGGTAAGGGACACTGCCGAAGCTTCCCGAAGGAGCATCGTTCGAGCCACCGCCCAGAACGACGTCCTTGACCTCGGCAGTACCCTTGGTGTCGCTGTCAGCAGCCTGGATGGCTTTCCTGGTGCCCGCGAAGACGGTGCTCTCGATGAGAACCTTGGCACCCATTCTCGTGTTGACTCCGGTGTCGATGGTGTCAAAGTAGTTGTTGAAGATGTGTGCCATGCCGAAGCGCACCGAAGGCGCACGAGAGTTGATGTTGACCCAGTGGTTGTTCGCGTAGGTGACGTGGAGGTGTCCGGTGTCCTCATCGGCATTGCTGTCGCTGTGACCGACGAGAGAGGACTTCCAGTGGTCGTGGAACTTGGTGTTGGAGATGGTGACCCATTCACTGGCGTGGGTGACATCGCAGAGACCGTCGTAGTAGTCCTGTAGCTTTTGTTAGCGCGATGCGAGAGTGCGAAAGTGTAGACAGGGGCGTATGGCTTACCTTGTCGTGGGACATGTCAGATGAAAGATCCATGTGGTCGATCCACACGTTCTGGGAAGCTTGGATGCCGATCGCATCGCCAGTGTCCGCGAGAACCTTGCTCATGGCCAGGTTGCGAACGATGACATTGGAAACGTCCTTGATGTAGAGGGAGACACCTTCCAGCTTGGAGGACGAATCCAGGCCGAGGATCGATTTGTCACTGGCAACACGTCCCTGCGCATTACCCTTGATAGTGCCCTTGACGAAGATGACCATGGGCTCCGTTGCCTTCACGGCAGCAGTGAACTGAGCAAGTGAGCTGACAGTGGTTGTGGTGCCACCAGCTCCGCCAGTGGTGCTGTACATGACCAGTCAGCGCACGTTATGTTAATGGGGGAAAAGAGCAATTCGTACCCTCCATTCTGCGAGGCATATCCGACTGGTGCGTCAGTCGTGCTGGCTCTGGTCGCGACAGTCCCGCTGACTTGGTCAGAGGTACCGGCAGGCAGAGCAGATGCCAAGGAAGCAATCGCCGCCAGGGCGAAGGATGCTGAGGTCTTCATAATGGTGAATGTATATGTGTATGAATGTGTTCCGGGGGGTGAGAGAAGGAATGGACTCGAAGCTGTACTGAATGAAATACTACCGATGAGCGAGGAGGAGTGATCTTTTATAGCATTCCTTCTTGCACGCAACCCACTCGGATTCCTATGGCGTTACGTGCCAGATTCGGATGCGCTGCAGACGCTCTGGAACAATTAGGAAGGAGATGAAAGGGTATGGATCCAATCTATGTGACGCCATGTTCGTGCCCACATAGCAGCCGCAGCGGTACAACCAAGTACTGGTACCTGTGGGCCCTATGCCCTATGAGCCAGCGAGCAGGAGAATCGCGCGGAGAAATCGGACGCATGCGAAGCGTAGTGATAGATTGGACCCTCTCATCTACTCCAGACTGCTCACTAGTTGCGCCAGACTTGGCAAAGCTTGTAAATTGGCGACTTCCGCGACGGAGTCGCTTCCTAGTTCAGTACAGTGTTGGTACCAGCGTGTGGTTCCCTTCTTTGAAGAGGCCAGTACTGGAAAGCATCTTTTGGGTGTATACATCCAGCACTGAATGCAGATCATGCTTGGCGATGAGGAGTAACACTTCGATCGTGATATTCCACCACTCGCGTCACTGGTCCCCATGGACAGAGATGGCTCGTCGCTGTCTGGTCGCGTTCGATTCCAGACAAACGAACGAATCATGTGAGCTGTGGGTGTGTGAACCACGATCCGCTATTAGTGCTACCAAGAGGGCATATCGTGTCGTACCAGATGGAAGAGGAAGGTAGCAGATAGAGGAGTGATGTTTCATAAAAGACTTCGGTCGGTAAGGCCTTGCCGATTGCCTTAGTGCTTCGGAGTCTGCTTCCGTAAGGGAATCTGGTTGTATGTGTTCGGCGTGAGGACGTATGCGGGACTGGGTGCTGTCACACCCGGCTACGGTACAGGGACTGGCTGGCGAGCTGGCACCGCTGGCTACGGCAGCGGGACTGGCCGAAAAAAACAGGCCGAGCGATGCACCCACTGCCATCCACATTTTTAGATATCATTATTGATTTTGGCGCCTTGACTCCTGACTCCTGACTCCCTGGGCAAGCAGATTCGTCGCTTGTATACGAGCTGGGCGAGGACCAAGTCGCCATGACGAGTTGGGCAGTTGGAAAACGGTACTTGTCCTTGGGTAGTATTCGCTTCCCGAAGTCGTCGCTTGCTTCAGTCTTGATGAGATTCGTCACTTGGTGAAGTTCGTCGCTTGGTGAAGTTCTTCTATTGGCCGAGTCTGGCTATTGGTGGACTTTTGTAACGATAAGATGCTTGGACAGTGCAGTACCTTAGTGAGTTAGTCATGATGCACGGGGTTGAGCAGTCTCTTTTTGGCAAAGTGAAGGGGATCAAACAGCTCCACTCGGGCTAGAACTACGGCGCACCAAGTGCCGAATGGGAATGGCGGCCGAAGGAAAGCCGATGCCAGGGCAGAATAACGTGGCGATGGGCGTGGCAGCGGCGTGGCGGGGTGGAGCTAGGAGGATCTTCCCGAAGGAGAATGAATGGGTCAGTACACGACCACACGTGCGTAGGTATGTACCTGTATCTGTCAGTCCCCTATCGGAAGCCGAGGGGAATTCAGGTTGGAAGGGAAGAGCAGGCAAGGGAGCAGGGGAGAGGGGAAGTGAGGTGAAGTGAAGTGAAATGAAGGGAAGGGAAGGGAAGGGAAGTGGAGGGGTAGGAGATAGGAGAAACCTAAGGCAAACTTGGAAGGCTTCTGGTGCTTACTCATCCGTTGCGCTGAAGTGTTCCCGGGCATCGCCGTCTATCAATCATCACGTCTACTCGTCTAGGTACCTCCTACCTACATGTTCTGTATCCACCAGCCACAACGTTGACTACCGCCGCCAGCCATGTCGCATAGCAGTAAGTGTGCTCGACGCCGGCAACAAACCTCATCCAAATCACATGGCAATCTCAACTGACGGATCAAGAAAGAAATACCAGTCTCGCCTTCTTCACTGCGCACGAGAGGAACGAGCTGAAGGGCCACTGGGGCTCCAAGTCGACCCGACTCACCCGCGACAGCTTCTTGCCTTTCGGCAGCTGCCAGCTATGCCTCCTTCCCGCCCGTGATCCTGTCTCGTGCCCCAGCTATGGCCATCTTTTCTGCCGGGAGTGTGCCGTCAGCAACCTCCTCGCCCAGAGTAAGGAGCTGAAGCGCCTACGAAAAGAAGCCGAGCGCCGCCAACTGGAGGATGCGGAGGAGAAGGACCTCGAGGCTGCCGAGGCTCAGGCCCGCGCCGTCGAGGAATTTGAGAAAGTGCAAGCCGGTCTGAACGCCAGGTCGGGCGGCAGTGGTGCATCAACGAGACACACCATTGTCGGCCGAGAAAATGGGAAAGTGGTTGTTGAGCAAGATGTCGAGGAAGGCACGGGCAAAGGCACAAAGAGAAAGTTCGAGGTGGACGAGGCCGAGCTGGTCCGTCTAGCCAACCAAGACCGTGACAAGGCTAGAAAGCTTATGCAGGACGAGAAGGATGCGAAACCACACTTGCCCGCCTTCTGGGTTGCTGGCAAGACACCCGATAACAAGAAATCGGATCTAAAACCCATCAAACAGCACCCGACATGTCCTGCGGCTGCTGCCGATAAACCGCACGACTTCACCCTCAAGACTTTGGTGACTGTTCAGTTCACGGAAGAAAAGGAAAAGTCTTCGACCGACTCGACGGCGCCATCGCGCACTTGTCCGGCCTGCAATAAAGCTCTCTCCAATTCCACAAAAGCAATACTGGCCAAACCGTGTGGACATGTTCTTTGCAAGCCCTGCAGCGATAAGTTCCAAAAGTCCCCGGAGAAGTCAGCGCACGAGCACGAGCATGATGCTACGGTCCGATGTTATGTATGTCAGGAAGACGTGACCCCTGGCAGGAAGACGAGGCGCAAGAAGGACTCGGAGACGGGGGAGAAGGATAGTAAAGTGGAGAGAGGTCTAGTCGAGCTGGCTAGTGATGGGACTGGGTTTGCTGGCGGCGGCAAGAGTGAGGTCAAGAAACTGGGGATTGCTTTTCAGTGTTGAGACCTTTCCCGCAGATTTTATGGCTACGATGCCAGGCTATTTGTTCTGTATCAGCCTGTGCCGCTGTTTGTCACACTGACCACGACTTGCAATATATGGCGGAGCTTCCCATGATTGGAGTGCTGCAGGTACCGAGCAATAGTAGTGGAGCGGACAGACCGAGGACCCACTTCAGCTGTCCGCTGCGGACCGGCGAGGCTGAGGGCAGCCCATAGCCTCGCCGGCTGCGGACTCCATGGCCATCGACCATAGCATGTACTCTCAACAGTGCTCTCACGCATATATGGAGCCGAGAAGCAGACGAGCGAGAGAGAGAGAGAGAGAGAGAGCGCGTAGAATAAAAGTGCCCAGTCAATTGCCGTTCCCAAACCAACCCCAAAAGAAAAACTCAAAACTCATGTTCCAAACGCCCGGATCATGCTGTCAATCAACCTCTAACTTTGTTATATATTAAAAAACGAAAACCAAGAGATCCATCGTCCGCGTGGCTGCGGAGCACCACTACATCTGAGACATCCACTTGAAGCCACTTCTGTCTACGTAGGTATCCATATTACCACCGTTGCCTCCTACATAGTTGCTACCAATCATATAATGGCCCACTTATACGACAAGGCTGAGAGAATTACACTTGTGTATATGACGGGCGAGTATATGCATACCCGTATATATGAATTATACCTTACCTCAGGTGTATCCATACAATGGTGTCCCAGGGCGGCGGAGCGGGGTCCGATTTGTTGGGGTTCGGTTGTCAGGGAATAAAGATCATCTGATAAGCTTGGAGCTTTGGATTTGGCTCGGGGAGGGGTTAAGCAGAGGTAGCCTATGTCACTCACTCTTTATCAGCTTGACTATCTGTAGGTACTGCACCCATTCACTACTACTACTGCATGTCAATCGCACGCCGTTCTCTTCACTCTTCCTCTCTACACCCTTGATTGATCATGTCCTGCGATGAGCAGATGATGGAACCCGCCAGCAATGCGTCCGTATTACAACAACCGCATATCCTCCATCTCCCCGCAGAAATACGAGTAAACATTCTCGAATACGTCTTTTCTTCTTCCTCCTCTTCCTTCTCTTCCTCCGCCGGCCTCAAAACCTCCTCCACAGGAGAGATCCTCCTAGACGAACACTACCGCGCCAGTCAACATCTCCAACCGCTCCTCGTCTGTCGTCAATTCTACCGCGAAGCCAGCCTTTTCGCCTTTTCCCACACGCCCTTTCTCATCTCTAACCTCTTCACCTCCATTCCCCAACGCCTGCAACAGCAACAGCAACAGCAACAGCAACAGCAACAGCAACAGCAACAGCAACAACAGCCTCCACTCCTCCACCCGCAACAAACCGCCTCAATCCGCTCCCTCGCCTTCGTAGCAGACAAACGACATTTCCGCAACCTCATCGACTGGCACGACGGCCACCCCTGGGGAATCCCGTCCCTCGCCTTAGAATCTCTCACCATCATCCTGCACCGCTCCAGCGCATGGCATTACATGTTTGATTTCACATCATCACTCGTCTCCCTGCTACGCAGACTCCGGGGCGTGCGGAAAATCAAATTTGTGCAAAATGCAGCTTTGGTCAAGGGCAGTTTTCGCACGTGGTATAATCGGCTCGTGGGGCTGATGTTGAAAATTGATCATCGGGAACGCTATGAGAGATTTCCGGCGAGGGGGGAGGTGACGTGGTGGGTGTGGAGGTTTGATGAGGTGGGGAGGACGTTTACGTTGGAGGCGAGGCCGGCGAAGGAAATGGGTGTGGAGGAGGAGAGGTATATGCTGCAGATGTTGCCGTTGGTGGAGGAGTTGAGGAGGGATGTGGAGAGGGAGGAATGGAATCCAGGTATTATCTTCTTTTTCTTCTTCTTCTTCTTCTTTTTCATCATGAGGGTTTTGGAAGAGTGTTGGGGGGCTTGCTGATCTTCTGCTCCTTCTTCTCCTTCTGATGATGATGTCTTCTAGATCCGCGGTCCAGGATGATGTATTACTGAAAGACTCCAATCGGCATGATTCGCGTGAAGAACAAAGGATTCAGCAAAGGGAGTGGTCGCCGCAGATCTGAGTAGCTGTCAATAGTGTGTTCGCTCCGGTACCTCACTGTGCATGAAGCACGAAATGCGGCGTACAGGCACCGCATGTATTGCACATCATACAACTACAGTACCACTCAGCATACCTAGCGTACATACTCGCCAAAGCCCCGAGACCGTGTGAGCACAGAAACGAACCCCCCTAAACGCCGCATCACAATCATCGTTCGGTCGGCTGGCTGCTTATAGACCAGTCTCTTATCTGATCTTCTCTCCGTCTCTGTCAGGCTCTTTTTTGCCCACTCGCGTCGAGGCTACTCGTGGAATGCGGTGACATTCTCCCAAGTCATGATGCGTTGCCATCTTTGCATATGTGATGATGGTGCAAAACCGTCTAGGTGACAGTGTAACCGCCGTCAACACGGAGATCGGCACCAGTGACATATCCAGCCGCATCAGACAGCAGGAAAGTCACGGCACCCATGAGATCTTCTGGACGACCCATCTTGCCCTGAGGAATCAGACTGGTCCACTTTTGTGCAAGCTCTGGGTTGTCATCAAGAATCTTCTTGGTACTGTTATCCATCAAGTTAGTTTCCGTGTGTTACCTCTCGCTCTCTCGTGACCGCCAGACATTGTACTCACAGTGCTGTAAGCATGTAGCCCGGGCTAATGCAGTTCACACGGATACCTGCGTGAGCCCACTCGACGGCAAGGCAACTAGCCAGGTGTCGCACTGCGGCCTTGGCGGCGTTGTATGGAGCCTGTGGCTGAGGCACGTTGACAATTGCACCGCTCATGCTGCCAATCATGACCATGCTGCCTTTGGCCTGACGATTCATCAAGTGCTTGGCGACGGCGCAAGACCACAGGTATGTCCCATCCACGTTGACGCCCCACAGCTTCTGCATACGGTCGTGGGGGTACTCGATCGCGTCGAAATTCTCGGTGAAACCGGCAGAGGTGACGAGGTGGTCGACTTTGCCGTGCATCTCCACAATCTCAGCCATTGCGGCGTTCACCGAGTCTGGCGAAGAGACATCGCAGTAGTGGGCCGTGACCTTGGGAACGTCGCGGTCAGCGGCACCCGGGTTCTCCTTGCGGAATGTCTCCATGAGCATCTGAGCCTGCTTCTCGCCCTCCTCCTCTGTGAGATCTGTCAGTCACCCGTTCAATGCACCGCGATCATTGAGTGGTGGACTCACTGTTCAGGTCCACAATGGCAATGTTGGCTCCGCTGATGACCAAGGCCTGACTCATGACCAGGCCCAGGCCACGAGCACCTCCCGTCACAATTCCCGTGCGACCCTCTAAGCTGAAGGTCTCGAGTGTGCGCTTGAAGTGGAAGCCTCCACGTCCCTGAACGGGGGTGGAGCTAGGGAGATTCTCCTCCTCGGGGTACTCGACGCGAATGGTGTTATCTGTTCGCGAGAACTCGCCCTCGTGCTTGAAAGCTCCGGGCTTGCCCGTGGTCGAGTACTCGTCGTGCTTATCTTTGACGACATCGTCCTCGCGCTTGACGTTTGGTGTGATGCGAATGCCGCGAGTCGTCTGGCGAGCGACGGCGGCTGCGGTGGGTGGGCGGACAGCGGTGGTTGAGGCTCTCGAGACCTGGCGGAGGATGTTGTGTTTGAACATGGTGGTGACTGCTGGTGGTTGTGTGATTAGTAGCAGCTCAGGGTGGTCAAGTGAGTGAGTGTGTACTGACGGAAGTGGTGTTTGGATGGTGTGATTGGGATTGGGTGTTGTGTGTGTGCGTGTGTGTGTGAGAGGTGAAATTGAAAATGAAGCTCTCCAGGTGAGCTTTGACGTCGCCGTACGTACCTTAAGGGATGATGTAACACTCCACGCCGAACACTCCACTGTTTCGTGACGGGGGGGAGGACGATACAGCAGCTTACTGATGGAGGTGCAGTCTGCTATCTATCGTTTGTGTCACTGTGATATATCTTCCCCAAAGCGTGTTCGCTCATCAACAACAGTCGGGTCAATATTGGCGCTGGTGCGTTCACGGTTCACGGTTCACCACATGATTTTATTATTATTTATTTTCCAGCACCAGGGAAGGGAGCTTTGACGTGTTTGACGTGGGCGATTCGCAAGCCGCTAGCCGGCATTGGGCTAGCATTCCCCAATGCCCCGAGTTGTATGCAGGGACAAGGTTAGTTCTTAAACTTCTTATCCATATCCAATCCTCTACAGTAGTAGGAGGTGTGCCCTGTACCTCCTACCTTAGTTGTGTTGAGGATTATCTAATGAAGCTGGAAATGGATCACGACAACATCTCCGACCGCCTCCTATACCAGCTGGTATCACTTTCATCTCAAAGACTGCAGCGAGAGAGCATTATTGCTTGCTGAAAATATTCATGCGGATGATAAGGTCAGGTAGGTAGGCACCTACAGGTACCTGAGGTATGTATGTACCGTGCTCTGCTCATCCCGCGCGTTCCAAGAATACAAGACCTGCAGTATGATATTTATTACATGAGTCTACCTAATGTAGGTACATACAGCATGCTCACCGCTGGTCCCATCAATCAAATACAATCACAATGAATAATGGATATGATGGATCATCTGGCATACTTAGCGGGCGGGCGACAGTCTAGATCGATAAATTGCGAGGCTACGGTACCTTAGGTGTGGCCTCCAACAAGCAACATCCATCCCGTCGTACGAGCTGAGCCCGCATGACCAGACCAGACCAGACCATGCATGCCTGTGTGTCGCACCGCCGCCAAAATTGGAGTCGGCAAATCGGGCATCAGCCGCGCATGTCGGCTTGGCATTGGAGATTGGAAAGGCGGGCAGGTGTTATTACTCATTATTACAGCTGAAGCCTGACGGATTGACTGAGGTGTTTGACACTTGACAGATGGGAAAAGCGACACTGAATGCCGATACATACATGTAGGTACCTTACATGTACCGGTGCAGCTGGCGATCCCCGAGACAGACCCCTACGCAGACCCATAACCAGCACCTTCACAATACCCTCCCCGATCAAACGTCACGCCAAGAATCTGCTTCGCAACCCACTCCGCCGTCTTCGCATGCAGGCTAGCTTCTCTCAACCGCTCCATATCACCGTCCTTCCACCCAGGAAACACCTCAGCTCTTCCCTGGGCCAAAGCCTGAAAGATCACGAGTTGATCTCGCATGTGCTCATCGACCCACGTCCCAGAACACCATTCTTCTGCAAGGTTTTTGGTGACACCTTCGACCATTTCCGTGGTAGCTCGTAGTTGACAGGATATTTTCCGCTCGTAAAGCCAGTCGCGCGCGAGTATATATGATGAGCATTTCTCGTCTGCCGAAGGAACTGTGGCGATGAGGATAAAGTACATACGCTTATCATGCTGGCTGTCCTCGCACTCGATCATGAGTTTCTTGTTGGAGTCTGAGCTGGTGTCGGGTAGAATGCAATGACCAAAGTTATGCACAAGTGCGGGAAGTAGAATCTTGCGGAAATGCTCGTGGCAAGATGAGGGCGCAATGAATATCGCACGTAAGTTGGTCGGTTTGGCTGGTGCGGCTGTGAGGGTTTGGGGTGCATATCTGAAAGCCGGCAGAGGCATTCCAGATCGAGGAGGGATTTGGAGTGTGAAACTTCCGATGCCTGATGCGCCTTGATTCCAGCTACGTTTCTCCAAAACCACTTGCATGACGGGAAAACCTATGCGGGCAAGGGTCGGAAGGAGCACATATCTGATGTACTCGTAGGATGGCGAGCCGGACACATTTGTGCCTCCACTGACACGTAGATAGATGGTCGACTCAGTTGGCAGTTTCGCAAAGAGAAGGAAAGGCAGTATGGCTTGCAAAGCCAAGCTGGTACTTCCAGCAGTGCCGATATCGACATGGCATTCGTAGAACGGTCGGGTTTCGTCTCCTAGGGATGAACTCTTCTGGAAAACCGATGGCAGCCCACTCTGCATTGGCTGTCCTTGGCCCGGAGCCATAGTGAGCGTCTTGCTTCCTTTCTCAGCGCCGGACAAACGAGCGTTGCATGCCTGGGCCAGCCATTGCACACAGGCGAGGTGTTGTGGTTTTAAGCCGCCACTACCACTTCTCTTGCCTCGAATGTCATTGACTTGTACTGGTGTGCCTGTCAGTGCTGATAGGCAGAAGGCAATGCGCACCAGCTGGCCGCCGCCTTCGAGAGTGCGTCCGTCGAGCACAACAAGCTCTTTTTGCCGGACCTGGGGCTTGGCCATGGATTCAAATTCGTACTTTTCGTGGTCTTGGGATTCAATCTTCTATCGTGTTGGTATCGCAGCCTTTTGGTCGCAGCAAATGTGGATCAATGAACAGTGTCCACTTTGCTTGATGGAGCAGGAAAGGGAGCACACTGTACCTTCCCTCCCATCCTCACCCTACTAGGCTTACCTTACCTCAACACCGGGACTGAATTGCGGCTCATGGTCGCATGATGGTGTATTGTACAATTCACTCTGTTTGCAATAATGTACCTGTAGCGTCGAGCACATCTTCTCCCGTTCAGTGCTGTACATGGGCCATACTCATAGGAGGAGTGCTGGAGTGGACGGGACGGGCTTCTGCAAGATAAGACAGATGAACTCGCTTCGCACTGACCGGCTTTTGGGAATGGAAGGCCCGACGGCAGATCATCAGCCATGGCCATGATAGATGTTTGGGCACCTTACGGAGAAGTGAGGTGTTGGTGCGGCAAAACAGGCTTGCGATTCAGCCCAAGACGTCACCGCTGCAGCCCGACAGCTCCAGCCTCCAGGTCACTAGAATACAGATGATGATTGTTGTTGTGGGAGGAGAAGGAGGAGGCTGGGCTGGGCTGGGGTGGACTGGTTGCAGATTGGGCTGCAGAGGCTGGACTTCGCCATCGCCATCGCCATCGCCGAACCCGACACGATCAATAACAAGGATTCCTCGTCCATGTGCGAGATGCGCAAGACGGCCCCCGGGGGGAAGAGCAGCGGATAGCTTACGGGTACTGGGTACTACCTCCTACTACTGTACGGCAACAGGTCAAGGTTCGGGGTGGGAGTCGGAATGCGTTGTTTCATGCGGGCTAGGAGGGAAAAAGCAGATGTGCGTCCCGGGCATGGCGGAAGTGTTTCACGGACGACGAACAGTGAGGACTGTGGAGAGGCACATGTAGTACCTTATCTGGTAAGGTACCTAGGCTGATACCTGTACATACGGTTATGTAATCACCTCATGGAAACGAAATGGCTGCCCAGCGCGTGGTGGGTGCCCATCGCCAGACGCAGGCCGACGTCATTCTGGGTGAGAGAACTGTGCGTGATGTGCCCGATGATGTGTGCAGGCCTAGGATGCGATGCCTCCACCAGGCGGGCGGGTGCGCGGGCGGGCTGAATGTCAATGAACAGCGTGACAGGACAGGATTGATGCTGGGACGGGATAGGACAGGACGGGACAGGACAGGAGAGGACAGGACCATATCGATGAAGAAAGCGAACCCGCCAACCGCCCAACCCAAATGCCGTCGTCGTCGCCAGAGGGTGTAATGTGAGCGGGGCGGACGTAATGTTCCAGGAGGCATCATCTAGGTAAGGTAGCTGAGTTACGAGTAGTTCTAGTAGCTCCATCTCTTGCTGCCGCTGCTCGCTTGCGCGCCCACTCACTACCTGACCTGACCTTCCTGTTTTACTACCTGACTACTGCCCGCCATCCAACTCTCTGGTACGTGCAAGTCAGTGTGCCATCTTTGCCTTTGCCGTTGACTTCACCTCCCACCGCCACCACTGCCGCTTCCGCTCCAGCCACTGCCGCTGCCAGCGAGCATCACTGGTATTACCGTTTGTTCCTGCATTCGCTTGCAGTTCCGACACCTCACCGCCCGAGGGAGAGGAGAGTGAGAGAGAGGAAGAGAGAGAGTGAGAGTGAGCGAGAGAGAAAGAAGGGGAGAGGACAAGCAGCTGGACCTGCCCGCTGCCCGCTACATCCACATTCACACCCACACCCACACCCACCCTCACACCAGCAACTGCTGCTCAAGAGCATCAGCTGCTCACCTGACACCACAGAAGGCACTGGACACCAACTACCTCACCTTCCTGCCTGCCTCCCCGCCCGCCCGCCTGCATCTGCGCGCGGACACGTCGATGGTGGTCCATCTGATCTGGTCGATCAACAACCAGTCATAACTCCAACTACCGCCTCTTTCACTCCACTTCATCTTACCCGCCGCTAGCCTGTGCTGTAAACATGTCTCGGCACCCGCGAGAATATCCGGTGGCCGACCGCTACGACGACAGCCAGAGCGAGTTTTACCGACGTCCCCGCCGAGATCGTGACTACGACGACCTGGAGGTGGACATCACCCGCGAACGATATCCAGACGAACGACGACCCCGTCAAGAGACGCTGGTCAAGGAACGAGATACCGTCGTGAGTGAGCGTCGTGGGCCTCGCCTGCCAGACTTCTTGCGAGAGGATTATGGCAAGTCGTCGTCTTCAGGGCAGTTGGTCATTCGCGAAGAGAGACGCGAGGATGACGCCTCAAGCAGAGCCCCAACGAGACGGCGACGCAGTGTAGAGTCCGCGCGTAGTCGCCCCGCCCCAGAAAGAAGCGAAGAGGAGACCAAAATTGTGTTTCGAGAGCGCGAGCGGGAGCGACGACCACCATATCCAGAAACCCAGGCAGACGAAAAGGAGGAGATCATATTCAGGGAACGTACACGATCACGGCCCCCACCCCGTGAGCGAGGTGGTGAGAAGGAAGAGATCGATATCAGAATCACTCACGATGAACGTGAGCGCCGACCATCACCACCTCGTAGTGAAGCGCCGCCACCTATCGAGGAGATTCGCTTCAGACGAGGAGGTGGCGAGAGACCTGGCCCACCACCTTCAAAACCGGTCGAGAGAACTGAGATTGACATTCGCGAGCGTGAGCGTAGCGCTGCACCGCCGCCACCGCGTTCGCGAGTTGAAAGGGAGGAGATTGACATCCGAGAGCGACGCTCACCAGCCCCGCCACGCAGTGAGCGAGGAGAGATGGACCGAGAAGAAATCATCTTTCGTGAGCGCCGCTCTCCACCAGGACGTGGACGTGCCACTTTCGATGAGATCAAAATACGCGAGAGCAGCGCTCCTCCGCCCCGTCATCGCTCTGCGAGTCGGCCTCAGCTCATTGCCAGGAAGGAGGAAGAGTGGATAGTGCGCAGACCACGAACACCCTCGCCACCTCCACCACGAGACTACGAGAAAGAAGAGATCATCATCCGAAGAAGAAAGGAGCGCACTCCCTCGCCAGAACCAGAACCGGAACCGCCTCGCGAGCCAACTCCAGAGCCTTCGCCGCCGCCTCCACCACCATTAGAGCCCATCTATCGACCACCAATCATTCAAGAAGTAATCACTCATCACCGCCACATTGACCACGGCGTTGAGCGTGCTCGATCACCAACACCTCCTCCTCCACCTCCAGCTCCTGCACCGCCGAGCCCACCGCCACCGGAGACCAGAGAAGACAACCTGGAGATTGAAATTCACCGCAAAGGTATGCGTAATGGTAAAGCATACGAAGAGGATTTTACCATTGAAAAGGACTCCTGGGACCGTGAGGATCGTGTTGTCGAGCGCCGCCGTTCAGTCAGCATCGATCGGAAGCGATCTATGAGTGTCGCTACACGTCGGCGCTCACCCTCACGCAGCCACCGTCATTATGAAGACGAACTTGACGAAGAGGCAGAGTACTACAACCGCAAGATCTCGTCTCGGGCATATCCCGGCGAAGCGTACAATGGTGCGACGAGAGATTGGGGCCTTGTCGACATCCCTCCCGGAACTGAGCGTGTCCGAATGGACGGGATCGGTGGCGGAGCTCAAGAAATCACTTGGGGACGTTACAATGGTGAGAGGCGTGGCAAATTCATCTCGGGTGATCGTGTCTACGAGACCCCATACGGTAATGGATACGCATCCCCGCCACCGCTTCCAGCACCCGCGCCTCCTCCGCCACGCGAAGAACGGAGAGAAACCAAGGAGGAGATCAAGATCACGATGGATCGGCGTACGGGCGGCAGTAGCCATAAGAAGCGCGACAAGATGTGGACTGAAGTCACCAAAGACTTGGTGATCAAGGAAGCCATCGAGGAGATGGGCTATGAGTATGAAGAGAGTGATGAGCACTTCTATGTGATGGAATACCTAAAATATGTAAGCAGACTCCTCACCAGCGTGATAAACGTGCACATGTACTAACAGCCGCGTAGGAAGACGTACTCCATCTGGTGGAAGTGACCGAAGACATCAAGCGGGAGCGCCGTGAGCGTATACGCGAGCTTCAGTGGCAGAGGGAGCAGCGTGAAGCTCGTCCCAAGATGATAGCACCACCTCCTCCTCCGGTACCAGCACCACCAAAATCTGCTTATGACGAGCGCATCTACGAGCGCGAAATCATCATTGATCGCGACGGTCGCAGATATCGGCACTAGAATGTCCGTGGATGAGCAAAAGAGATATGGACTGCAGCAGCATCAGTGAGGCTAGAAATTTGAAAAAGAGGCAGCGTTCAAGCGAAGAGCGATCAGTTACAGACAGGCACGACATTCATAGCGACAACCTGGGAATGGAATAGAGAGACAGGCATACGTGCATTGCTTGCCAGCAGTCTACGACGTAACGAAAACCAACGACATGCATTAGTGAGCAAGCAAAGCACTGGTGCGGCGGTAATCTGCTGGGCGCTGGGTGGCTGGCTCAATGATCCGGATAGCTTTAGTAGTGGTGTGTTTATTTGAAATTTTCGTATATTCATCGCAACAGGTTACACGTACATGTAGTCCCCCTTTTCTTTTGGTGCAGATAAGCCAATCTCGCCATTGACGATACCTCCTAGGTACAGACGACAATCACAACCAAAGAGCTCGGAGGGGGTGTGGGGGGGGTGGAGATGATGTGGAGCATGCAGTTATGCACTGTGGTGACTGTGCACTGTGTGCAGTCGTAGTGGGATCCCTGTCGATATGTATCTACAGCGGGGCCGTCCGTCCACATCCCTACTTTCCATGACATCTTCAAAGCTGTTCAGTCAAAGCAGCGCAGCGCCCTGTAACGGTATGTACATAAATATATAAGGTACCTGTACCTAGGCATAAGAAGAAATCCCCCACTCATATATATCATTAAATCATGATTACAACTTCCCCACACCAGCCGTCGACGGCACTTTACTCGCATCCGCATCCGCAGCGACCAAGGTCAAACCTTTTAGTTTGTTCAAACTGGCCTGACCATTGCGATCCTTCAATTGTTTTCCCGAGCTCTTGTACGAGTTCTTTGGGCACGTCCTCCCCATGGTGCTCGAGCATGCACCCGCCACTGCGGTCGGGGCAAAGACGTTTCCGTTGAAACCTTGCTCGCAGGCGGCGACGTTATCAAATGTCGAGCCTTCGATGAGAACGTAGGTGGAGGAATCTCCTTCAAAGGCGTGGCCCGAGTTGTTGGACCAGTAGTTGTTGGCAGCATGGAGGACGGTTCCTTTGTCGATTTTGGGCGAGCGGCCGGATGTGTGGTGAATGTAGTTTCCTTTGAAGGTGATTAGGTCGTTTTCGCCGGTGAGGTAGAGTCCCCAGTAGTGTTGTCCGTCGCAGCTGGTGGAGTAGGTAGATTTGCCGTCGAATTCGCTGTTGGTGATGGCAACTCCCTTGTTGGTCTTGTAGCCTGCTACGATCATCATGCGGCCGATGAGGTTGATCTGGAAGGGAGAGGGGCGAATGGGTTAGTATGAAGTTGGTAATGGAAGAATTGTGATGGAGCTCTTTCTTACTTTGACGTGATCGATCCACACCTTGGAGGCGCCGTTGAGTGTGATTGCGTCTCCACCCCAGACATATCTAGATGGCACCGAAGGTCAGCGTGGATGCTCCCATAGAACGAGGAACCCGGATTCTGTTGTTATCAGGATGAACGTACTTGGGGTTGAGGTTGGTGATTTGAACGTTCTGGATAATGACATTGCTGACACCATTCGAAATGTCCAGGCCTTTGCCCTTGATGACGCCCTTGGTGCCTGTGCCAATGATGCTCTTGTTGCTCTTCACTCGGATGCCTGATGTTCCGGCTTTGTCGTATGTCACCTGCACCTTGCCTGCTCCAGCTTTGTAGTCGCCGCACCAGTTGTTTGCGTTAATGGCAAGTTGACATCCAGAACCGGTGCCCCAGGGCGCACAGCCGGTCTCCGTGACAGTACCTTCGGTGCCAGTGAAGTCAAAGGTCTTCGTTAAGACGATGGTCAACGCATCATTGGATGTGAGGTACTTGACAAGCTCGCCGGTTGTGGTTGGGGTGACAGTTTTGCCACCAGCTCCGCCAGTAGTACCAGTTGCAAAGCCTGGGGCCTTGCCAATGACAGACTGTGCCTGGGAAAGAGGACTGACGACCAGCGCCAACGTGAGCAGAGCTTGAGCAAGCATGGTGGAGGTGCGGTGTAAGATGGAGAACGAAGTGGTGAGCTTGCTTGCTCAAGACGAGATGCTACACCCTTTCGACATCTTTAAGTACTCAACGATATAAGATGAGAACGGTACTGCCCCCCTGACTGCCATATTGAGGGCAGTCTGCCCAGTAGAACGACGCGGCTTGGAAAACGGAGTGCAACTAACTTGAGACGACGGCAATGCAGGTCCACCGTGTCTGGATCTCGCGTGGTACGTACTGCGTAGTTTGGTCGCTGCTGTCGCGGGACTATGACCCAAAAAGGTAGGCGATTCACGGACTGGCCTCCGGTGCCTCTGTGCGCGTGCGCTGTGTCGACATTACGGTGCACAAAATTGTTTCGAATCTGTTCGGTACGCAGCAGCGTCCATATTGCGTGTCGATAGCTCGTCCAATCATGTCTCGCTCACGTTGTTGATTTCCTGTAGGTAGTTGGAGTGACGCTGCGTGGTCACAGAGTGATAGCAACCGCGGCTGGAAGGATTGTAAGTCGGCGCGGTCCGCCAAGCTGAAGTCGCGGATTGGTTGCAATCCACGGGCGGCCCACTCCCACTCCCCCATTTGAAGACGCTGTACTACGGTGCCACAATCGTCTACAACATCAAACATTGTTGAAAAGTTCGGCTGCGGTGTCCACAGCGAGTCAGCGAACAGTTTGCCTTGTGCTGATTACTGTACCTTAGCCTCTCGTCCTCAGCCCTAAGCAACCTAAGCCCATGCAGAGTCAGTCCGCGGGCCAAGCCGCCTACCTCCTACAATGCGGCTGAGTGAGCGACCCTCTCCATTCTGAACGTGGTCGGCACGGGCCGAGAGCTCATGCCTGAGCCAGACCACCGGCTCGCGTCGGTTCCTACCCTAATGTGGAAGCTCCTTTTTCGTAGCATGTTGATGGGTTTCGGTGCTTGGTTCTTGGACGGTTGGACCCGATACATCGGTGCGTTACATGTGGGAGCACGTGTATAGCCTGATGTGTGATATTAATAATCCTCATATCTGGTACAACTTGGATCCAAACGAGGTCGCCATCCAGCTGGTCCACTTGCGAAGCGAAGTCCACATGAGTAGGTAGTCTGTACTAGCAGACCCATTATGATTCGTAACGACGCAATTGCCAATAAGCGAATGCCAGCTTCGGTGGACGACCGTTCGGCATTGTCCGATGTGTGGCCCTGCTTACTCTGCATCAGACCACACTCACTACAGTAAGGGGCAAAAATATACCCTTGCGATTATAAATCGAGATCGTTATCGAATTGTCATCCTCCAAGTGTTGGAACTTACGATGGTTGTTAGCTGGTAGCTTCCTCATTCCCGTCTCTTCCTCTTCTGCACCTCTGAGACCCTGATGATGGAACATCGATCATAGCATAATTCCTGCCGTGATCGAACGCAAACCTCCATACCGTCTCAAAGGTGTGATTTACGTAGCAAAATGCAAGAGTTGCAAACCTTCTATCACGATACAGAGTCGTATGTTGAAGTGCAGGATTACAGTCGGTCTGCCAGCTGAAGTTCCTGAGGTCTGTAATTCAGCATATTCTCAGTTTTCACCTCCACGTGCATCCGCCGGTAGACTGACTCAGGCGTCCTTCAGCTAGTTTAGTATCAGTAGAATGGCCGGTTGTTGGAGCAGAGCGACAGTGCGAAGTGGTGAACCCCTGTACTATAGTAAAACCTGGCCGCGAATGCAAACTTGGCAATTGTCTGTCGAACCTTGCCAGCGTTGATTGTGGCGATGCCTGGGAGGCCATGCGCATGGCGACGCAGGATAGCTTCACTTGTGCAGTACAACCCGCTGGGATGCCTCTCAAGAAGCCTGAAAGCGTAGTTGACTTGGGATGCCGCCAAGCTATGCCAGAACCGGGGTGACTAGTGAAATAGGCAGGAGATGTAGGCTACCTCCTCCTTTCCGGCTGTAGCCCATAAGTTTCATACCACACTCTGGGATATGATACGAAGGCGAGCTTCGCTAACTTCTCGGAACCTCTTCCTTCACACAAAGTTGGATAGACCTGTATGATGTCGTCTAATGAACAAGTCCGCCCGAGGGCCGCCCACAAAGTGTGCGTCTGCCAGCATTGAAGCGCAGCAGCGAGTTTGCCCAGGAGAGTACCAGAAACGTATTGCGAAGTTCTGAACGAATGACGCTTTCTCTTTCCGCTGAATCGCAACTGCAAATGACCCGATCCCCAATTCCCGATTCGCGATGCGAAATGTATCGTCGTCGTTGACCGATGCGCGGACCAGATTCCTCCTACTCCTGCTCCTACTCCTACTCCTGCTCCTATTCCTATTCCTGCTCCTGTTCCTGTTCCTGTTCCTGCTCCTCCTCCTGCTCCTACTACTCTCCCTTCACATGACCACTCTTCGTATTCGAATCGGCCCATCAAGATCTGCGATAGTGACATCTTCCCCAAGAACCTTTCCCTTTCTCAAAATCTCACAATCCCCGAATTCCCTCAATTCAAACGCCAGCTCGTATACACCCGGGAGAACCTCCTCCCATTTCGTATATCCCAGCTCCGCAAGTTGCTCCTTACTGAGCTGAGTAGCGACCTCACTCGGTTTGAAGACCTCCGGCGGCTCCGTCTGATCGAGCATCTGGAGGAAAGCGTTTCTCACAGCTTCGCTCGTCGCAGCATCGGTGGATCGTGCTGGGCCTTTGGGTTGGATGCCCCAAAACCATTGATACCATGTCTGAGCAGGGAGTCGCGATGACGATGCGTACTCTTTGAGTTTCGCGTCGCGGTCGATTCGGGCGTCCATCGCGGTGATCTATGTGGTGCTCGAGGGCAATGTGTGGAAGCAAAAACATGTAGGTACTGAGGCGCGGAGGCGCAAGGAACGGTTTGAACAGGTGGAGGATGAGTCAGCACAGGAGAACGAGAAGCGGGATATAAGGGAGTGGAGTGTTACCTCCTAGGAGGTACGATCCGACAGATTTCAACTCACTGGTCGTGCTACATGTACCTCCTATAGGTAGTTACCGTACATACCTTAATGTAGGTATGCTCGCTACAGTCCACTCGGCGGCAAGGCTGATGATGGTCTTCGCCGAGAGCTGACAAAGGATGGGAGAGGTATGCAACGAACAGTTCACAACCTTCCAGGGTCTGCTTGTGCACGATGGATCTTGATCATCACGCCTATGTACGTAGCCGTGAATCTGGCCATAGCAATCAAGGAGGACAGTAAGGTAGCACTGCCAACAGCACAGCATACATCATGTGCTTGCTGCAGGTGCGCCTCGTCCTGGATGCTGCCCGGGTGAAGAGCCAGAAATCAAGTGTCCATGTAGCGCTTGTAGACTGATATCCTTGATTCACTGCATGCAGAAGCGGCGCCTGGGTCGCATCGTGCTCATTATTGACGTCCGCTTTTTGGGCATAGGCTCGCCTCCGGAGTCCGTGTTACCTGCAATAGCAGATCTACACTCTACAGTACCGGGCTTGAGCTCGTGGCTCATGCATCGGTACTTACTATCAGATCCGAACTCAAGTACCACTGCTCAAGCCCACGTCTGGTTGTACCTCGAGTGCTCATTTTCCGAGGCGTTCTCGAATTTCTGGGATTCGGGGTCATCAGTGGAACCCTTCTCGCAATTCCACGTTGTGTGCCTAGGTACCTTACGTGGCAGTATAGCGAGTCGCCCTAGCGCTGCGAGCTTTTCCGCGGAAACACAACGTAAGGTAGGGTACATGTAATCATGCACTCTCAGTGGGTTCTTGCACCTTTGGCGGCACAAGCCTTCAATGTGTAAGAGTCTGGCGGGCTCACAGCAATGTTAGTCCGGTCAACCCGGTGCGATACGCGGAAGTGTCCGATGGTCGGGGCATGCCGGATGAGGTCTCTGCCAGATGTGTGGCCTGTAGCTGCAGGGCTGTAGTGCCTCGGTGGTCGAGAACTCAACCTGCTCGAACACAGTGTTTCTGCTCCGCGGACATCGGCGACGCGACGATTTCGTACATGTACCTAGGCAGATAGTTATGCTAAGCACAAAAGAAAAAGTGAAAGAAACAAAAAGAACGAACAATGAAGTGGGGTGACGGTCGATCTGATTAGAAATCTTGGCGGCCGCGAGACGAAGCATCCGTCTCCTGTCCTGCCGAAATCATCATTACACCACGACACACACACTCTCTCTCTCCCTCAGGTCTCTCTCTCTTTCCACTGACATCTACTTGTACAGTACCTACATCATCACCGCGGTCCCCGCTTTTGTGTTCGAGTTTGGTTTTGTGCTCAAGCGGGAATAACGGAGCCGCCACTTTCGCGAACCGCGCATTATCCGCTATCAGATCCGACATCGCCAGCAATCCTGCACACGCTGGCCGAAGGAAGAAGGTGAGTTTGCTTTCTCGTCTTCGCCACGCCCGCCCAGCACAACAGCCCAGCGGCCCAGCGCCGCCGCCGCCGCCGCCTCCGCCGAATTCGAAGGTTCCGCCGAAGCGGCGAGAAGGACACGACCACATCATGTGCGACGACCTTGCCTCACACACACGGTTGCCATGTCCTCTCGCGCGCCCGCGGTGTGCATCGGCGAGGGGAGCAGTATCATCATCAACCACCTCACGTGACCACCGCGAAACACGCGGAAAGAGCGAGCGTCAGGGCCTCGGGTTAACTGGCCGGAAGAGCAAGTCCTTGACGTCTTCTGTTCGCCGGCGCGCAGATCTCCCCCTCCAGAGGCCCTGGTCTTGCCCCCCCAGTGACATATCACCACTCTACAATGCACCGTACCGTACCGGTACCGTACCGTCCTCTCCTCGCATTTCGTTGCATTTCTAATGCTTTGAAACCTCCTCACTGCACTACCTCCTACTACCGCTGACGATCACTGACAATGTCAGCACAGTGCACCACTACCCTCCTTGTACAATAACTCTTGTCCTACACCACATCCTGCCCGACTTGCCCCGGCATGTCTTCACTACACCCTCTGGCACGCCCGGCCAACAGACGCCATAGTTTCTCGGGCTTTGGCAAAGGACTGACCCTGCATCGCCACAAGAACATTCCCCACAACGAGACGAGTGATCCCACGAACCCTATACCGACAGAGCCTCGCAACACTCCAGGCATGAACTTGACCGTCGAACAAAAACTGCGCTTGAGCAATCTCACGAGCTCAATGTCTACAAATCCCCGGTCGAGTGGAGAGAGCTTGGGATTCTATACAGACGATGTCCATACCAGCGATTCGGAGGCTCCTTCGACTCCGCTTACCGAGCCGAGCGATCTCGTGGAGGACTCGATCAAGAGTATCAATAGCATGTCGTTGAGTGATGAACAATCCACAATGAAGAAGCGGAGAGCCAGCACGACATATGCGGGAAACGTGGACGACATCAGGAGGCTCATTGGGAACGGGACTGGCACCAAATTTCTGCAAAAGTACTGCTGTGGGGAAGGCTGCTGCATGATTGAATCGTTGCCACTACATACGGATGAGGTTGCATATGCACCCATCATCACACCCGCCAACGATGCATATCGATCCCTGAATCTCGACCTCCGATCGTTGTCCTTGGACACGGAGCTCACCAAGCTTCCAGATCCGCCGGCACAGAAAGTCTCGTTTGCAACGATTCGCCGACAGTCGATTGTCGAAAAGTTCCCCGACGAGTCCAGGCACAAGCATGATGCCGACGAGGTCAATGAGTACCCACCAGAATATATGAAGCCGCATCCGCCCTACAGCATCTTCAATGCGCCCATCTATGGTGCTCGAGAACTCACTAAGCCTGGTGCCGAGAAGCGAACCTTTCACTTTGATATTGATGTCACTGAATACCCGGAAGAAGGCGGTGTGGATTTCAAGGTCGGAGGCGCCATCGGCATTTGTCCACCCAACGATCCTGCAGTAGTGGAGGACATTCTCAACCAGCTTGGCGTGCCACGCTTTCAGCGAGACAAGGCCATTCGCCTGCGAACCAACGAAGGAAGATGGCCCACAATCTGGGGCGACGAGGAGGCCAGGGAACTGGTGTCGACCCGCAGAGAGATTTTGACGTGGACTGTGGACATTTCTTCTACAGCGCCGACCAAGCCAGTATTGAGCCTGCTGGCCGAGCACGCCTCGGAGCCCAATGAAAAGAAGATCCTACAGTACCTCTGCAGCGCACAAGGCCAAGCTACTTTCTGCGACCTGAGGACTGGTCCACATATAACGCTGCAACAATTACTCCACGCCTTCCCATCTTCGAAGCCGCCGCTCGAGGCGCTCTGTGGTGTTCTTAACCAGCTCATGCCACGCTTCTACTCACTCTCCAACGACCCCCACGTCTCATCTGCCCGAGAGGGTCTAGCCGGCCGCAGACTTATCGAGATGGCAGTCACAATTCACGAAACGAGCAACTTCGACGGCCGTCAACGGTCAGGCGTCGGATCAGGATACATGGAAAGGATCGCCAAGCGGTTCATCGAACACGATGAAAAGGCGCGAAAGGAGGCTGATGCACGTGGCTTCATGCTCCAAGAAGGCGTTGCTGGCCGCCGCCTCAATCTACATGTGCCCATGTTTCGCGGACTCATGTCAAACCCACTTTCCAAGAAATTCAACGCCGATGGACCCATGGTACTCATCGGAGCTGGTGTCGGTATGGCTCCATTCCGCGGCTTCATCCTGAATCGACTTAAGAATGCGAACTGTGCGAATAAGATTTGGCTCATTCAGGGCATTCGGGATACTATGCTGGATGAAATATACAAGGGCGAGCTTGGCGCGCACGAGAAAGACATCAAGAAGGTGGTGCAGTCTCGCGCAAAGACACTGCCTCCTGTCGCTGAAGATGACGACGGCGTGCTCGACAATGCGGACAGCGATGATCCTGCGAAGGTGGTCGATCCGAAGAAAGTCGACAAAGTCGCCAAATATGTGCAAGACGAAGTTCGACAACAAGCCGATATCGTCTGGTATGTCATCAACGCACTGGATGGGCGCATTTTCGTCTGCGGGTCTAGCAAGGGTATGGGCGAAGGTGTGGAAGCGGCACTCATTGATGTCGCCATGGACAAGGGCAATCTCGACTATGAGACTGCGAAGCAGTTTTGGGAGAGCAAGACTCAGGCTGGACAGTACATTGCTGAAACCTGGTAGCGCAAACGAACTTTGCACATGTGCAAGTATTAATTCGAATGCATGGCGTTGAAAAGGCGCTGTGCAGGAAAGAGGATAAAAAGCTGCAAAAGGAGCAGGAAAGGGGAAGGGGGTTTAGAAAGCCGGCCATTATTTCTGATAGCGTTCTCGCGATAGATTTTGATTCTTTTGAGGTGCTCATGCCTTGTACATAAAGTCGATCTGTATTACCTATTCTACCCTTACGCATCTCGAGCCGCTCTTGGAAAAAAGAATCACGCTCGAACGTTTTACATGTGGTAGAAGGGTGTACTGGCCACCAATGTGGGACAGGCAAAAAGAAGTCATGTGAGATGCCGTGAAACACTTGAAGGATAAAGTAGGATCGATTAAAAGAAAGACAGCGATATAATCAACGTTAAAGATCTACATACATTATCTATCATGATCCTCTATCAATCAGCCAAACGCTTCTCTTCTCAAGGGGAAAAAAACATTCCTCTCTCTCTCTCTCTCTCTCTCTCCCTCTCCCTCTCCCTCTCTCTCTCTGCACATCAGTCATCCAATATTCTGCTGCTGCTGCTGCTGGAATCATAACGAACCACCCCTACTACCTTAGTAGTAATAGCCATCCTCATCCTCATCATCGCCCTCATCTCCATACATAGCAGCAGCCAACAATACCTGTAATTGTAGCCACTGCTGCTGTAGCCACTGCTGCTGTAGCCGCTGCTGCTGCTGCTGCTGCATCATAAAAGGATTCAACATCCTACCGCCGATTATGCTTGTTGGGGAATTGTATCCACCAGCACCAGATCCAGATCCACCCGTCGTTATGCCTGCTAGGGGATGCATGCCGTAGGTGTAACTATTATTACCTCCTTGCATTGCTCTTAGAGCTTGTTGCTGTTGTTGCTGCATGGGATTTATACGGCTTCCACTGTTACTGTCGCCGCTATTGCTCATTGATCTACTACTCGCTTGCTGTGGCTGTTGCTGTTGCTGCTGCTGTTGCTGGGGATTTGTACATTCTCCTCTACTACTAGTAGTAGTACCGCCACAACGGCCACCCATGGCTGCACGTCGTTGCTGCGCGGCTAGCAAGTATCGCATTTGCATTTGTTGTTGCGGAGAAGCTTGGAGGTAGGTTTGGAGTTGTTGGGGGGTGAGGTGTGCGTTGTTGTTGTTGAAGGACATGGTCGAATTTTTGATTGATGGTTTGAATGGTGATGATGTTGTTCGTGGGGGGGAAGGGATTGCACGGCGTGGAGAAGTCTTTGGATTGTCGTAGGCGTAGTTGTTTTCCTTCCGAAGTTCTGGGTTTGTTGCTATTGTGGTTTGACTGTGCTGCTGGGTTGGGTTGTGTTTTCAATGGTAAGTAGGAGGCAGTCTTTATAAGGTGCCTTATACTTATACGGAAAGGGAGGTCGTGAATAGTGTTGGTATAGACAGTAGGGGACTTGAGCTATAATGCTCGAGACTCGAATGGGTTTTTTACGTGAAGATGTCTTTCCAGTCGATTGCACTCGATACCTAGGCGTAGTGGTTATACTTCCTCCCCGGATGTCCTGCTGGCCTTGTACAATGCACGTTCCCTTGCACTCATCATCTGTTGAATAATGATGTATCTAGTTCTTGCAGTAACCCGGGTAGATGGAGTCTCTGCTGTTGCTACACTATCGGGAGTAAAGTCCTGGAACATCTAGTCACGAAAGAGGCTGGGCCTTGGCACCTACCTAGGTGAGGTTCGTCATGCTTCCCCTGGACGTCCTACATTACATATACTTGCCTTGTTCGAAGCACGTTTCTTGCAAGAATTTGGTGACTAATAAGTCTCCCCCGTTGATGTCTTCGGCGATGAAGTTGGGAACTTGTAACGTACCTGTATCTGAGGTGGTTAGCAAGGGTGCGGAGAGGGTGCCTCAACTTTAGTACCTACTGAACTCTCTCACTCCATTCCGTCTGCTTGCTTCTACCTGCAAGGTCTTGATGGTGTGCTTCCATTATTCCTGGATCGCTGCGGCGGCAATGTAGAACGACAAGTGAAGAGAAATGAAGACATTTTTTTCCACCATGGAATATTCGAGAAGGATGGTGCCTTTTGATGGACGTCTCTACTACATACATACAAGTACTGTTATGGTGCGATGGCAGTACAGAATTAGTAACTGGAAGTGGAGCTAGAGAAGAGAAAAAATAAATCCGCCCGACATTTTCTAGCTCCAGCAGCGTAGAAGATTCGGGAAAAATCGTACCAACATCTCGGTTGGACCTCTCTACCGCTTGCTAGTACTGTAGCCTACCTTAGCTAAGGTATGTCTGTGATGCGGCCAAGACCATGCGCACTTTTGACAGATCAGCAGTTGCAGATGCCACGTCAGACTCTGCCTGCTCGTATGTGCGTAACTGCGTACATAGTCTTTTGGCTACTCGTACGGCGTACGCGTAAAAAGAAAGGCTCGGTTGAAAACGAGGCTACTGAGTGGCACGCAAGGGGTTCGCAAAAGTAGTGACATTACGCTAGTATTCTTAGCATATTCACATACTATTCAATCTACTATCTAGACGCGTTTTTTCTATACAACCAAGCCGATATTTACTAGGAAATAGAGTAGAGAGGGAGTAGGCTCTAGCGAGTTCAGAACATTAAAAATTACTATATTCTGTATAAGATGGAGTAAGTAGTAAGAAAAATAGCGTAATGTCACTTCTTTTGCAAACCCCTTGCACGGGAAGCGAAACCACGTCTATACCGGACAACGAAACATTCTTGATCTCGCTACTTCGGATGTCTGTCTTCATCAGCTCAGAACTGTGGGCAATTTGATATCCGAGTAGATATTCATCCACTGTCCAGTGGATGTGGCGAGAAATTTCCGTCGGGTGGCGGTCAGCATATAGTGTTGTGAGATATGTTGTATGTTGGCCCGGGGTAGCGAAACGGTTCGTCGTTCGGGGTGATATTGCATGGTGTCACGCTGTCCGTGCCTACCCATGAGCAGCGCACTCGATATGCAACAGCGGATATATGGTCGTATTGATTGTTGGGTCATGTTGCATTGGATCAACAGATCAGTGATGATCATGCCATCATGAGATCCCGTTTGGAAGTCTTGGTACGTATACTAGTTCGGCCAAGACCAGCGGTTATAGACGGTGGTCACAGAAATAGGCTGTCTAAAGGATCCAAAAATACATGTACTCCACTACTGGTTAAGTACTTTGGTACCTACGCTACCTTAGCTTTTGACTACACCCTGTGTCCCTGACAGTTTGTGAGTTGATGCAAAAGTAGGCACATGTAGAGGTATTTTTGGCGAACAAACAGCTTCATGCACGCCAACGGATGTACAGCCGTGCCGCACGCCCTGCCATGCCCTACCTGCATGAATGACGCTCATCGGAGACTTATTGGTGGCACATGTCGTGAATGGCGATGCCGATCTGGTGATGGTTGATGGTGGAGATATATGCCGTCAACCGTCTTTACGGGGTTGGCGTGACGTCGATGATGTGAGCCCCAAAAATCGGATCAGTCTGTACCTCCTAGTCCTACGGTCTGCCACCCTGCTGGATCGTACACCGTCTACTCGAATCGCCTTCGACAGAGATATCCCGAGATGCCGAACCTGGGCACGAGAAGCAGTGAACGAACCTAAGTGAAGCTCAGGCTCTCCAAGGGGCAAGGGCAGCTTCATAAAATGGTGGTTCGAGCTTTGGAAGTCTACTGTAGCCTGCTAGGAGCTAGGGTCGACGATCTAGATCGTCGCCCGCTGCTCAGGTGACATGTTTTCTCTACAAGTGTATGCATAGGCTATAGCACGTACTGAGGTTGACTTGAGGCTAATGTTCCACATTCCAGAGCTGCGGTGGAACAGAGAACATCTGCCAAGAGGGCACATAGCAATCAACTTCGCGATAGGGAGCATACAGGTAGCAGCCACCCAGAATGAAACTTGGTGTGCGGCGGCCATGTTCAGTTCTCTGCCTTTCTAGAGCTTTCCTACCTTTGCACCCATGCAGAGACATATGATCGGTTTTTCCGTAGGTACTGTAGCATGCCAAGGTCGGAGTAGCCCGAAAATATTCTCCATTCCAACCTATGCACAGGCCATGCATGCTATGGACGCTTCTCGGCGACATGGTCTGCAACCTATTCTGGTCTTTGCCCTCGTCTCCCCCGGGTCCAAAGATTAATAAAAGTTGGAACCTTAATCAATAGGATAGGAACCCTAGTCACTAGTCACGCTAATCTTAGGTCCTGGAAAACTAAGTGAGGCCACTGAGGCATCGCAACGGCATCGCAAGTATGTATATATAATGCTCGACCTCTCTCCTCGACTTCATCACTCCATCATCACACAAGCATTCCAACCCCAACAGTACAGTACTCTACACTACCCGGTACCAACACACTATACTCCCAAGTTCCCACTCCACCACAACAACCACCGACCACACCATCAACAATATGCAGATCATCGACTTCGCTCTGGTCGGCCTCGCTGTTGCTGCCCCAGTAGCACAGGAGGCCGTCATGGGGGCTACCACATGCCCTGGAATCAACGGCGGCAAAGCTGCTAGCAACAACAACCAAGCATACAGCCTCGACTGCGGCAAATGGGTCGACACCGATCAGCTCCTTCGCATCACGACGACCGAGGTCGGCTTCCAAGGCTGCTTGACCGCCTGTGACGGCACCATCGGCTGCGCTATCACGCAATACATCGCCAGCAACGAAGCTCAAACCACCGGCTCCTGCACACTCTACCCAGCGGGCTCCACCGTCAAGGACGGCGCGACCAACTCATGGACGGTTGCCACTAAGCTCGACCAATACGTGGGCCCAGACACACCACCGCAGACTCCTCTCGCACCAGGACCAGACGACAAGTTCGGCCTGATCGCCATCCACTCCGGCTCCGTCCTCCAAAACCAGGGCATCACCGCCAAGAACGGACGTCTCTTCGTCGGCGGCAAGCAAGACGCCGGTTGCACCACGCCCTCCGACTTTGCAACCTTCTACCTGAAGGATGGCGAAGGATGGCTCTACGGTGAAGCCACTCCTCAGCAACTCTGGGTCGACGCCAGCGGAATGGGTCAGGGTATCACCGGCTACACCACTGCCTCGCAGGCACCACCCAGCAGCGCTTCGCGCACGACCTTCACCGTCGACGGCGATGCTCACCTCCTCTTCAACGGCATCTCTGCTCAGGCCTGTCCTCCAGCGGATGACAACGTCGAGTCGGGCTGGCCCATCTGGTTCTCCGAGGCCGACAAGCCTGGTTACAATGAGGGCTGCATTGACATCAACCTTCGCGCTATCAAGGCTGATAACCCAGTCAGCTGCTTCTACACCTCTAACGAGTAAGTAGAGGTCTGGCCGGTGAACCAATAAGAACAAAGAAAAGAAAAAGACTTTTGTGATATTCTGAGATGCATAGCGCGGACGGGCGACATTTACCACAGCAGGTGGGACGGCATAGTGTTTTGCAGCAATTCTTGGCATGTCATTATTTTGTACATTAAAAGCGGCATGAACATCAATCGATACTTTGGACGGCCACAGACACACTCTCTCATGAGCTACGAACGACGAAAAAGAAGAAATGGCATAGCTTAATAGCTTATTTAATAAGACAAAAAACTCTGATTTGAACATTTGCTTTTTCCCTACACTTCAGGCTTCAGCATTATTCACTTATTCATTAGTTTCCGTCTCCTCTAGCTATTCACTTGGTGTGTATCCCAGCTTACGTGACTACCTACATGTACTACCTAATGTCGCGGGTTTTCCAAGCAGGCTTCTGCCACTCTCTACTGCAGACACCAGTTACTAGATACAGCAGTGCTGCGGGTATGCGTTGCTTTACATTCGGGATATTCAAGCACCAGTATGAGGTAGTGTAGGCCTAGACGTCACCACGAGGGATCTATTCCAAGGGAATCAGATGAATGAACAGAATTGCACCGAAAGACGTCTACATGATACACATCCACCATAGCTATATCAATGACCACAGTAAAACTGTCAGACATCCCACCATCAACAAAGATACATGTACCTGTAAATGCAGCTTCTTCACCTCATCTTCTTCACTTCATCTTCTTCTTACCGCTGCTGCCACTCCCCTCCATCTTCTGCACCAACAACAACCCCTCCACCATGCGTCCATACGCCTCCCACAAAACCCACAAAGGAATCACAACCCACAACGCCGCATTAAAAAACACCAAATACACCCACTTGTACATAAAATTGTCCGTCACCAAATTCCTCGACCCCGTCAACCATTCCGGCGCAAACGTCATCCATCCTCCATACAATTCCCCCGTCGCCAACACCGTCATCCAAAACCACACATCTGCAGAATTTTTGCGTAATTTCTCACAGATAAAAACTGCAATGGGTCCCGCGAGGAAGACAGTCAAAAGTTCTAAACTTATGATGGTTACATCACTACCTTCCCACCGATGGTCTGCGCGTGCGTATTCGCGCCATAAAGCAGCGAAGGGATTCGTGCCGAATTCTGAACCATAGATTCGGCTGGGGTCGTTGAGGAAATAGATTCCTGGAGGGAGAAATTTGCTTGTTGAGGCGTGTCCGAGGGCGCTGGCGGAGCTGGTGCTGATGGAGCTGAAGACGCAGTTGTAGAGATAGGAGCCTTCGAGAATGAAATGGATTAGGGCGTCGAAGGCGTGCCAGATGAAGAGTAGACGGATTTTGGTGGGCGTTGTGGGCCGTGGGAGGAAGGTGAGAGAGGCGCTGTAGGCTGCTAGGAGGATGGCGAGGGTCGCGCTGAGGGAGAAGATTGTTGTGGGGCTGATGATGGAGGGGGTTTCTTTGGTGTCCATGGTGGTGGTGACGGGCTGGGTTGTGGGGTATAGAGAGATATGGAAAGGAAGAAAAGATTCGTGGAATGGTGGAATATGTAAATGATGGGTATACAGTACAGACGCTGGGAGACGCGACGTGAGATGGACTCCACATTTTTAATTATTTTATTTTGACCTGTACCTAGTAACCTCACCTCCTGGCTCCTAGCTCGTCAGCTCGGTAGTTTTTTTGCCCTGAGCCCTAACTACACTTCTCTAGGGTCAAGGATGAATGAAGCGAACTTCCATCTCCATCCCATGGAATTGCATGGATAATGTAGCTTACCCTTACCTAATCTCTGCACACTGCACACTGCACAGTGACACTGTCCAATAATGACCTCCAGAAGCTCATTCATTCATTCATTCATCACACATCCATGGTTACTACTCTGGCGACAGTAACGGACACTAACCAAGGTACCTTACCTACCTGGAAGATTCGTTCTCCCTCCAGTCCCCCCCGACCGCTTGTACCAGACTTGGTGACTAAAAGTGCGAAGCCTGCATGAGCTGAATGTGCGTCTGTATTCAAAATATTGTATAGAGCATCATAACTGTACATGGGGTATATCAAAGTACACGAGGTAGCCCTCTTTTCACCTGCAAAGCCGCTCAGATGAGTGCCTGTCCTCGAAACATGCCCTCTCGAACCTCCTTGACGATATCCTTTCGATCATGCTTGCCCGTGAGCACAATGCCCCTGCCTCTTCTACCCATACGTCCCACGCGTCCCAGGCGATGAATGAAGTCGATACTGGTGTGAGGTACGTCATACAGGATGACATGCTTGACCAGGAGAGTGTCAATACCCCGAGACCCGATGTCTGTCATCACCAGAACTTTCGTGTTGGCGAGCGTTCGGGGAGCTGGGTTTCGTTCGAGAAGTTCACCGGCGGAGATCGCTTGACCGGACTCGTAGAGCCCAGCAGGAGCGACTTTCTTCTCTCTGCTCCTGGATGGAGGCACGACAGCACCAGTAAAGGCTGCCAAAGTTTCCGCTTGCTTTCGGTCATCACTGTCGCGGGACAACGCGCTTGCATCGATGCCCTTGGATTTCAAGTATTCCGTGAGCTCGACCGTCTTTTCACGCTCGTTGACAAACACGACAATCTTTCTTTCTCGGTCTTCGCTGGACTCCGCGGCTTCCTTGCCAATGTCCCAAATGGTCTGCGCACATGCCAGATCGCGATTGCCTTGATATGGCACTTTCTCAATATCTATAACGCTGAGTTGAACCCGTCGAGGAATGGCATGAAGATTGGGTGTGACGAGTCGTTTCGTTTCCGGGTATCGCTTGTTCAGATACGAGTCGACACTCCGAGGGATGGTGGCAGAGCAGAAAACGAGCTTCTCCAAAGAAGGTGCTGCACGATCGATGATGCTGGACGTGATGGGGCTGAAGGATCGGTCCAGTAGACTATCGGCTTCGTCAATGACCAGGTGTGATACTCGAGAAAGTATGTTGGGGTCACTCTCGCAGATGCTGTTGAGGAGATGCGGCGTGGCAATCACTATGTCAACACCGCGTGGGCCGAAAAGCTGGTTCCGTATGACTGTGCCTGTGAATGAAGCGCTGACCATGGCTGTGCGGTACTTCACGACGTGGGACAAGCTCTTGATCAAGGCACCGACTTGGTTTACCAACTCTGCAGTGGGAACCAAGATGATCCCGCGAGGCCGCCCCTTGGAGTGGTCTTCCACTTCGGGTGCGTCCAGCTCGTATATCCTGCCTTGCATCTTTCTCGCTTCTGCCGTTTTCAATGCTTCCTGCTCCTTCTCAGCAGCCTCAATCTTTTCGGCGCGCTTGATTGCATCAATCATGGGCAATGCATAAGCCAATGTCTTGCCAGATCCCGTCTCTGCTGCCAGTAGAAACTGCTGCATGCTCTTTGAAGGCTCATCTTCCACAACCTTCTTCTTCCGTCGGCCATTCGGTGTACCGAGGATGGCAGGTAGCGCTAATCGTTGAATGGGCGAAGGAGAGACATCGACCTGCCCGGCCAATGCCTGCGATATCACAGCCTCCTTGACTACAGGCAACAGGTCAAAGTCATCGAAGCTGTCCCTTTCGGCGATATCCTGCTTGATCTTGTTGCGCTTTTCGTATGATACATTCGCCAGTCTCCGCTGCATCTTCATCGCTCTCATCGGATCCTTGGGCGTCTCTTCCTTCTTGTGGCCTCCCGGCCTCATCTTGTCTTGCCTCTTCTGCTCAGCCGCCGATATTTTATTGCGCTGTACCTGCAGCGTCCTGGGGACATCTGTCGAGTTCATGCCACCCCAAGGACTATTCTTGGTCCTCATCTTGACCTGCTTGCCACTATTATCTGCAGTGGTTCTGGGCGGACCTTTGGCCACTCTCTCTGAGAGGACCATCCGCGACGGTTTGCGCTTGTGCAGCGTCGCCGCTGTGCGCGTCTGCTGCTGTTGCTGTCGCCATGGTGGTACGAAGGCCTTGGTCAGCGCCCTCGCCTCGCAGAAGGGGCAGATTGCAGCAGAAATCCGCTGCATTGTGATGGATTCGTAGTCCCGTCCTACCTCCTACGCACCTCCAAAAGTTCTCCAGTCGAAAGAAGTAGGTTGGCGCTAAGAACACGCCAAGCAAAATAGGCGGGCGTTTAGGGTTTCACGTGCGTAGTCGCCATAGCAACGCACGATGGGTAGCCCCACAATATTAATCAACAACACACATACATGTGGTCGGGCAAAGTCGAGAGTCGAGCTTTGCTTTGATCGCCCACACTACTTCACCTTGGTCGTATTCTCACTGCCACCATTCGTTTGAGCGATGCGCATTTCATTCGGTCGCGGCCAGATACTGTACAGCTTCTTCCTCACCGCGCGTTGAGACATCCATACATACATACTGTACATCCTTTTCGCGCGCGAGAGACTGCGAGAGCCTTGCCGACATAGCGCCAACGGCCTCCGCCTGTTTGGTCTTCCGGTCACCACCGACAACATTCCAGCGTGCGAGCCGCTGCATTGTTCACTTGCGCAGCACGCACGCACGCACACGCGCGACTCTTGTACCAGCGCAATGGATTCAGTACGCATCTAGCCTATATTGCCCACTGCCGCCGCCGCCGCCGCCGCTGCTGCTTTGCTCTACCCGCGCGGGACGCCGCACGCGATCTCTTGACCAGCTAACTCACCATGGTGCGACAGGTTCAGCCATTGCGCATCTCCAAGTCGGGCTCCTTGTCTTCGACATCATCATCCACCACCCCCAGCAAGATGGCGTCTCGGTCTGCCCTGGCCGAGATTGCCACCGCGTCTCCCCGTCGCAACTCGCCCAGCTACAACCAGGCTACGAGAAAGGCAAGTGCCAGGACCAGCCCCGCAACTGCGTGTTTACTAACACAGGCCGGCCATGCAGATGATTGTGTCGCGAGAAGCCTCGCCCTACACCGAAAACTCCTTCGCCAGTTCCGTGACCAGCTCTTTTGTTAACGAAAACACGTCGCCTCGCGATTTCTGGAAAACTCGAGACCCGATGTCGCCCGCTCGTTTGAGCACTGAGAACACATCCGATCGCGAACAGTCACCGGGGCTCCTGTCGCCTAAGCGCCGGGCCAGTATCGAGAAGCTCAAGCAGGCTGGACGTGTCAAGCAGAGCAATATCTTCGCGCTGGAGACGAAAGACGCGTATGACCCATTGAGCCTGCCCATTGTGGAGCGACCGAGCGCCAACCGTCCGCTGAGCGGAACCTTGGTCAACAACAGCTTCACCAGATTTGACAGTCTGAGAAAAGAGAACAACCCACTACAAAGCCCACAGAGGCCATCTGGACACAAACGCACAAACAGCGAAATCGCAGTGCCCATAATCAGCAGTCCATACGCAAAGTTCACATCTTCACCACAGAAGGAGCCGGCATCCTCACCTACCAAGTCTTCTCTTTCGCGAACCAGCCAATTTGGCAGTTCTTTCGAACTCGACGCGGGACCATGGTCTGATGGTGACGATCGTGCGCCCACGCCGCGCGCGCGCGCGATACATCGGCAGAACAAAAGTGTCACCTTCCACGAGGCGGACCCCGAGATCAACGTGTACGAGAATCCCACACCCGAGCCTTCGGTGTCAGCGGCCTCGGGTTCACGCGAAGGCTCTTTCGACTCGGAAGAGTACTATGACGACTACAGTTTCGATCGCGGTAGCTCGCTTTCGCCTTACCACAACGATGACAGCTTCGATGCAGACCTGGAGAATGCAGACAAGACTCCTGTCGTGCTGCCTGACGACTGGTCGCGGATGTCACCCGAGGCCGCTCGCCGAGACCTCGTTGATGAGAGCGATGATGTTTTTGAAGGCTCTTCTTCGTTGGATCTGCAACGTCAGCATCTTTCACGCTCCGAGAGCGTCAATTCTGATGGAGAGTCGCGCCCGCTGCCACCTCTGCCTGGGCTCATGACTGGCCGTCGCCATTCTGCGGCGGCCGCTGCAGAACGTGCCGCGAACCTTGCGCGCAATCTTCCATCCCCACCCCAGCGGCCGTCTTCGCAGACAATGGCACAGCGCTTGAATCTCGAAGAACACGGAGAAGCAGTGGAGCGGCCAAGCTCGAAGCACTCCGACGGCCATGCAGAGCTGACAATCACTAATCTGGACACTGGTGAGAGGCGGGACGTGCAAGTCAAGGCTGAAGAGGTTGACGAAGAGTCTCAACTTGCCGACCTTGAGGATTTCGATGCGGCCCCGATGATATCAAGAGAGAGCATATTGCGCAAGGTTCGCAATTCCAAGTACGAATTCAACGACGAGGATGAAACCCCCATTGAGGGAGGTGACAGCCCAGCGCGTCCCTCATACCAAGAACTTGCGATGATGGATCCAGACGAGCCAATCCCATCGCGGGAGAATAGTCATGATGCCAGTGAACATCATCTTGGCACTGAAGACGACGACCGAGAGGAGTCCCTGGATGTGGAGGTCAAGGACGAACCGGTGGACGACGACGCTATCGACCTGAGTTCGATCCCTGTAATGGACGAATGTTTGCTCGAGCCTTCGAGATCTCCCTCTCGTATGGAAGACTACGAGCGTCAGTCTTCTGTGTTGCGCCATGATGTCAGTGATCAAGACGATTCTGAGAGCCAGTATTCATCTCTCGAGCCAGATGCCGAAAGCACTGTTCTACAAGAAGCACAAGATCACGAGCAAGAGCAAGAAGTCGACGAGAACAAGGAGAAGCTCGAGGATGCAATGCAAATGCTCACAGTCAAGGATTTCTCCCAGCCAGAGCCGTCGATCAAGAAGTCCGTCAGTGGAGACTTCATGGGCTTGCCCTCATACCTCGCGTCCGATGACTTCGACTTTGGCATGAAGGACTACATCGGCACGGCCCCAGCACCAGAAGCCCCTGTCAGGAAGACCGACATTCTTGCTGAAGCACCAGTACTCCAACCTGCATTTGCGCCAGACTCGCCTGCGGACGCCAAGCCAGCCATGAAGGATTTGCCACGTCCCGCCTACGATGGCGCTGACTACGATGATCCGGATGGTTCGCCGCCAGGAACTCCAGACTCTGTTATACACCACTCGAGCAGCGAAGTCCACGCTCCCGAAGAGCAGGAAGCCTCAGCTGAGCCTGTACAGGAGGCACCGATCATTCCAGAGCGCCGAGCCACGATCAAGACCAATGGCCAGCTCAAGACCCGCGCTTCTGCAACCCCAGCAGATATGCGTTCGATGGCAGAACAGCGGAGGATCGTTAGTACCGGCCATCCTGTCCCTCCCATTCCGCAGTCTTATCAGACTGAGGCTAGTCAGACTAGTGAAGTCGATGAAGAACCGTCGCAATACTCCTCAGACGGTAACGAGTCGAAGGCCGACTCCGCTGTCGAGCCCAGCGAAGAGAGTATAAGCCGTCGAGAGAGCCGAAAGCAACTGAAGCTTGATCTCGAAATCCCTGGCATCTCAGTGGATGATGAAGACGATGGGCTGGGACTCGAACATGAGTTCGAGCGTGTCATCGAAAGCCAGAAGGTACGACATCGCTTTCCTACTAACGATTGTGAAAGATCTGGTTCTGCATTTCAGCAGAACTACGCCCCAGAATATCTTTCTCATGTTACTACCCCATATTCGCCACATCAGACCAGAACTGGTGCTAATCAAATTCCTCGCACACAGAAGGGCTACCTTATGCGCCAGAACACCAAGCTCGTGGTGGCTACCAATCGCAATTTCTCTGGCGAGAGCAACGGCACAGCAAGATCAAACGATGGACTGATGTCCCCAACGACAGAAGGGCGTCCGAGCTCTCGTGGCACGCGAAGCGCAAACTCCAGTCCTCGAAAGGGCAGTGGCATTCTCGAGACCGAAGCTTGGAATGGTAAGAGCCGCAGAAAGAGTCAGCGGCAAGCCTCCGCCGCGCAATACAGCAGCGGGCCAGCTCCGCCTCTGCCTGGCCAAGCCAGTGCTCTCGGTGTCGTGAATGAAAACTTTGCCGCAGGAACGAGTAGTTTGGAAGACGATGTTGGCGAGGGCGTCGAGCGAGGTCGTCTTTTCGTCAAAGTAGCCGGTGTGAAGGACCTGGATCTGCCGATGCCTATGAATGACCGACTTTACTTCCAGCTCACTCTGGATAACGGTTTGCACTGCGTGACGACCACTAGTCTGGAGTTGGGCAAGAATGCGCCGATCGGGCAGGAGTTTGAGCTTGTCGTTCTGAACGATCTGGAGTTTCAGCTCACACTCAACACCAATCTTCCCGCACCTCCGAAGCAACACATTCCACTCAATGCTCCAGCATCGCCAACAAAAGGCGCAAAGCACCAAAAGACTAGCAGCTTGTCTCGATTCTTGACCAGTCCAAAGAAGCGTGCAGAGAAGGAGCGCCAGGAGCGCGAAGCTGCTGAGGCGGAGGAACGCCGACAGATCGCCGAAGAGCGTCGGAAACGAGCCTCAGTGGTGCCAACAGCCTGGGACCTTTTGCACGACCTTGTGAACGCGCAAGATGGGTCCTTCGCCCGCGCCTACGTCAATCTGAAGGCGCATGAAAAGCAATGCTTCGGCCGAAAACTGATCGTCGACGTCCCTTGCTACAACGAGTGGGCGCTTGAGCGTGACTCGCACGTGGTCAACAGTGTGCGAAGCAAGCGTGGGAATGCTGGACCAGTGCGGCGACCGCCATATGTTGTTGGCTATTTGCAGCTCGAGCTGCTTTATGTTCCCAAGCCTGCGGGAGCAACCGATGAGGACATGCCGAAGAGCATGAGCAGTGCCGTACGCGAGATGAATAAGGCGAGTGATCGTGTCGAGGTGGTACACGAGGGCTATCTCAGCCAGCAAGGTGGCGATTGTGTACACTGGAGGAGACGTTTCTTTCGTCTGCAGGGTCCACGCTTGACAGCATACCATGAGCATACCCAGCAGAAACGGGCTGTAATCAATCTCAGCAAGGCTACGCGCCTGGTGGATGATAAGAGCACTCTTGTGTCGGACCCCAAGTCGAGCAACTCTGCCGGCAAAGGTGGGAGACGCAAGTCTGCTTTCGCGGAGGAAGATGAAGGCTATGCGTATGTCGAAGAAGGGTTCCGGATCCGATTTGCGAATGGTGAGACGATCGACTTCTATGCCGATAAAGCTGTAGACAAGGAAGAGTGGATGGCAGTACTCAGCCAGGTCATCGGCAAAGCTGATCCTGGCAAGAAGGCTGCTTCGTGGACAGACCTGGTCCTGGCACGAGAAAAGGTTGCCAAGACAACCTCCGTTCCTCCTACCACGGATGTTCGAGACTTCACCAAACCTCCGGCCCCAGGACGGAAGTTGAGCGATCGTAAACCAGTGTCAAGGAGTGTGCCGACTAGCCCGGTGAAAGGAACAGTCCCTGGTCGACAAGCTCCCATGCCGCCCGTTGCAGATGTTTCGAGGCCTAAGACGCCTCCAATGAGTCCACGACGAGGGCATCGATCAAGAGATGCCGTAAAAAGCATGATCTTCTAGGAGGAGAGCTCCGAGCGGCGTTACGCTTTTGAGGCATCGAGAGACCAGAATCCAGAATCGAACGATCGTTGAGAAGTGTGCAAGCGAATTTCCCATGTTATCGAGGTGTTGTTGTTTGTGGATGCAAGAGTTTTTCCTGTGCTCAATCGTTGAGCATTTCTCGTCTCTCTTACACAGTCTGGGTAGTGTACAAGTCATTGTAACATGAAGCAGTTCTTCCTTGCGTGTATCGGTACAATAGTGGAGCGGCGGCTTTGATGGGCGGCACGATGGAATGGAATCGGCGGGTTGTGTGGTATCGAGGAGGAGCTCCCGGTTCATTTGTTCGTTGCAGCCACGCAGCAAATGGGTAGTAAGATTGAAATGTGTAATGAGGAGGAAGAAAGCACTAGAGAAACTACTGGAATATGAGCAGCAGCAGCAAGAAAATTGAAAACGTACATGACATACTTACCTATCTGTGCATCTCTCACTCACTCGGGGAGCTCTCTCATGCGATTGATATATATATGTATGGTTCCTTTTTTCTCTTTTTCCCTCACATCACATGCTGCTGACATTTGTCATGTGAGTTCTTCGGCAGTAGCTATGGCAAGGATGTGGTGGTTGCTGTGATGAAGATTTTGATAGAGAGAGAGAGAAAGACAGAAAAGAGAAGGGAGAAGGGAGAGAGTGTGAGACAGAAACAGAGCGGAAGAAGAGAAGAGTGAGCGTGAGAGTGAGAGTGAGAGAGAGAAAGAATCTCACGTATTGTTCTTCGGCTGATCCGACCACATTCAGGGTCCTCTTGATCTCGAGAGAGAAAGAGAGGCAGAGAGCATCGATATCAGAGTTGTCTGTGTGTCTAATGTGTCAAAAACTATACGATGGGTAGTAGTAAGGTAACTAGCCAAACTAGGTATCTTAGCCAAACTAGGTAGTACGAACACTGTAACAGTGCACACCACGCGGGAGAGCGGGGAGCGGGAAGAGGAAGGGGGGAGGGGGGATGTTGAAGTCGCGCGTGCGTGCGTGAAGCCCCTTTTTTTCTTCTTTTCTTCTCTGCTCTTCTCGCCTCTGCGGCGGCTGTCTCTCCCTCTCTCTCGGTTCGGTTCGGTCTCTTCTCGCGCGCGCACGTGGCAACACCTGGATGATGTGAAGCAGGCAGGTTTACGGTTTACCTAGCAGGTACATGTATGATGGATGATATATGTGAGATAGACCCCGGGGTATGTACCACAGTATGTTCATACATACCTAGGTAGTTTTAGTTTCATCGCCCTATGCAACGCGAAGGGAGAAAAAAGGAAACAGAGAGAGAGAGAGAGAAAAAGAAAGGTGCACAGTGCACATTACCTTACACATCAACCAACCTCGCTAGACATGGGAACTTGTAAGGGTTTGGAAAGGGAAAGTGAGAGTCGAATCTCGGTAAAGGGGGAATAGGGGGGAAAAGTATTGGGGCTAGGTATGTAAGGTAGGTCCGACCGAAGGGAAGGGAAGGGAAGGGGGGATGTCTTCCGGTGTTCTTCTTTTTTCTTTTTGCTTCTAGATGATGATATTGGGGCTGCAAATTGGACTGGGTTGGATTGGATTGAGAAGATATGGAAATGAGTCTTTTTTTTTCTCTTTCTTTCTTTTCTTTAGGGAGCAGTAGTATTGAAAAATAGTGATGGGAAAAGGGGGATTAAAAAAAGAAAATTCTTTTCATTGCAGTGTGCTGTGATGAGGTAAACAAACAAAACCATCATCATTCCCATCTCTGTACTGCTCCGTCATCACGACTCCTTACAGACTCATTAGCCAAATACTCTCCCGTCACTCCGCCTAGATGGTCTAATGCTAGACGAACAGGGATCCGAGCCCCTTCTTCCGCCGTTTTGGGTGGTCGTGTTCCGCGGCGAGACACTAGTCCACCCATGTCGGTATCGATCCAGCCGGGACAGCAACAATTGATCAGGACGTGCGAGTCGGGATATTCTGTGCGATGCTGGTGGGAGAGGATGCGTGTGGCGGCGCGGAGGAGGGCTTTGCTGACATTGTAGCTGCGTTGAGGTCCTCCGAAGCCCGCAGCGGATTCGGTGGAAGTTCGGACGGAATTCTGGAAGAAAATTAAAAAAATAAATCTACGCGTGAGTTTCGCGTGACGGGGGCCGCGGGGCGTGCTTCAAGTTTTGTGTTTGAGATGAACCGATGGTTGATGCCCGGCGGCTGAATCATAATAATAAAATCATGATGATGATCACGAGAAGGCGTGGTGTGCAGGGACATGGCTTGTAACAATTAACAAATTTTCCCGGAATGCTTACCTCGAAGTCCTGTGCGATCTGCTCGAGGTCTGCAATTGTGGCAGCAGAGCGGAAGCGGTTCTGGATCTCTTCGTTGTAGATGTTGATGTTCGAGGCGACCGAGGACAAGCTCACAATCCTGCCCGTGTTGCTCAGTTGCGGGAGAAAGGTTTGACACATCTGCCAGGCCGCCATCATCAGCATTCTGCACCCCTTGTTCTCTGTCTGAGAAGGGAGAACGAAGATCAAACCTCAATGGTGCCTCGAAAGTTGATATCGATCGTCTTCTTCGCATGCTCCAAATTGTACTGCTGTTCAAAATCGAGATTGACTCCCGCATTATTGACCAGCACCGATACTTCCGGCACATGTTTCTTCACTTCGGCACCAAACGCGCGGATGCTCTCGCTCTTCGAAATGTCGAGTTGGGCATACAGGACCTTCTGGTTGCCATGCTGCGTTTTCAGTGCGAGGTCCTCGCCCTTGCGAGATGTCGCGAGCAACTGGAGAGGCCCCACGTCCGGCCGTGCCAGAATGGTTTCGCAAATGGCGCGTCCAATGCCTCTGTTCTGCAGTGCATCATGATGTCAAAAGGAGTTAATTTGGGCCATCTTTGAAAGGAGTGTACATGTAAGTACTGCTCTCAGCGGGATGGACTCACAGCACCGGTCACGATGATGGCACGAGGATGAAGCATGTCGGCGTTGTGGGCAGATGTTGTTGCGGAGGGAGTCATGGTCGTCAAGTTTACTTTCTGGCTCTGTGGCTGCCGAAGTCAAAGCTCGACAAGTTCTAGCGACACGGCACATGTTCAGGTACGTCCCTGAGGTGTATATGTAATTGTGAAGAGGCCAAGCGCTATTTCTATGACGCTTGCATCGAACTACATGTACTTCGCGCGCGCACATTGAATCCGATGGTTCGTGATGCGTGTCTACCCTGCTACATGTACCTCTCTCTACATCTGTCGTCGCTCACAAGACGGCGCCAGCCAGTCATAATGTCCGCCCCTTCATTGATAAGTCGGGGATGATGTGGTATCGATGCGCAGCCTGAGTCTGTGTAATCCCCAATCTGCTTTTGAGCGCGCTTACTCTACCTGCCAGGTCCGCCGCTGAATGCGTCTTGATGACATCGGGACGTGCAGTCGCTCGAGATGGGCGCGGATCGTTAGTGACAGGCGCACAAGTTGGATCCAGTTGGTAAGCTTCCTATTCTCCCAACTTCAACTTGAGCTGCGCCATTTCAGACGTCAGTTGTTCAAGTTGCTTGCCTTGTGTGTGCAGCATAGTGCGAATTTCGTGGAGTACATCGCGCAGACCGCCAGCTGCAGCACTGGCAGATGGCCCAGCCTGGGACGACGCCGGCGCCGTGGAGGTCGGAGCGGTGGACTTGCTCTCCTCACGAAGCTCGGAGGCTGGTTTGACCGATGCTGCAGGCACACCTTCGCCTGTGTTGCTTGCAAGGCTCTTTGGTTCTGCCTTCGGCTGAGATGCTGGGGCTGAGGACGTTTTGCTCACTACAGAGGCTGGCTTGCTAGCCTCCGCTTGTCGTGCTGCTATGACTGAGGGTCTCTCCACTGGTTTCTGAATCTCTTCAAAAGAGCTATCGTCGCGGACATCGTCGACCTCCTCTTCTGCCTTGTCTGCGAACTTGTCCGCGAGAGTAGCCATGGACTGCTTGTTCTGGTTCACACTTGGAAGCTCTCGCGTCGCCGCTGGAGCAGGAGTTGGCTCGGCCTTCGGTTCTGGCTTGGGCTCGGGTTTTGGTACTGCCGCAGGAGCAGGAGGTGCAGGTGTCGTGGTAGTTGGCTTCGGTCGTTCCTCTGCTGCCACCATCTGAGGCTCATTGCCATCGAACAAATCTTCCATGTTGAGCTTGGGCGGAAGTGCGCTCTTGCCTTGGAACCACTCCTCGCTGGACATTGCTGGTTGCGTTCCGATAGTGGGTGGGTAGATGTCGTCCTGGAAGGTTTCTGATCGTCTCGGCACTACGAACGAGATTGGCTCAATGTATGCATCATCAACGGACTTGAAGGCGCGCATGATCTCGTTGTCGTGAGTGTTGACTCCCCGCTTCGGCATGAACGCGAGGCCTCGTTGCGCGTTGGATGACCTGTACTCTGACAAGAACTCGAACTTGTCGTTTTGGTATTCGAAGTAGCGAATGTTTCCATCTCCCTTACCAGCAAGGTAGAGGATTTGCGAGCCATCGTCCCAGAATGGCATGACGACGCCTGAGCCCGAGTCGAGCGGCACAAAGTCGCCAATGGGGGTCGTGGGGTTCCTGGTGTCCCAAAGACCAAGTTGCCGTTCGCTCATCTTTGAGAACCCAGTAGTGACAACTCTGTCGTGGTCTCCCATCCATTGCACCTTGCTGATCTTCGCTCCACTGTGCCCAGGCACTTCGTGTGCTGGTTTTTCTTGCCGCACATCCCAGAAACGCAGCTTCTTATCCCTCGAAGTAGTCACCAGCGTGCTGCCGTCAGCGCTCCATGATAACGACGTGAAGATATCATTGCCCTTTAAGGTGAGCTTCGCCTTTCCGTTTTCGAGATCCCAGATCTTGACAGTATAATCGCCAGAGGACGAAGCGAGGACGTTTTCGGCCGCTGGGTTGAATAGCACATGGCCCACCTTTCTGCGACATCATTAGTACATGCCCCTGGTGCGCAGCCTCAATGGCGTGGCCACCTACCGCGAGTGGCCGCTCAGCTTGCCGACCGGTTTCACGTCCTCGGGCTCCTCGGCATCGGTGCGTAGCTGGAAGTTCTCGGGTACCTGCCAGAGGAAGACCTTGCCGTCGTCGGAGGCAGAGGCGATGATCGAGTCGTCGAAGGGACTCCAGTCCGTGTCCAGCACAACCGCGGTGTGTCCACGAAAGAGCGGGATTTGGTCGGGCAGCTTGCCTCGCTCTTCCAGGGGAATCACAGCGAACGCGCCACCACCGCCAGCTTCCCAGTTCACGGCAATGTACTTGGGATTGGCCTTGATCAGATTGCTGTCCCAGGCATTCTTAGAGATGCGCAGGTTGTCATAGCATTGTTCGCGCTTGACGTTCTGACCGAAGACGTGCCCTGCGCATTGTGAGACGTGGCCTCAGTAAGACCCCAAGTGGTGGATGGAGCCATTGTTGCCAGCTTACGGTATTTCGAGGCACGAACAAATCTGCCACTCATCGCTGGAGATGTGCCAGAGCGGACGCGGAGGGTAAAGGTACAGTGGGTATGTTGTCAGCGATCAATGGGTGGTGTAACGTCTGCGGGGCGGCGAGGAGGAGGAGCGGAGCAGCGGAGGGTGAGTGCGTCAAGTCGAGTGTCGAGTAAGGTGGTGGTGGTGGTGGTGGTGGTGGTAGCGTGCTTTGGTAGCTGGTGTGCGTGCGTATGTGAGAGAACACCTCAGCTGCAGCGCCACACCCTCCTCTCACGTCCGCAGCGGCGCCGCCAAGCCCGCCCGCGTCAGGTCAATGTCGACCTCTCTCTCTCTCTCTCTCTTCGTGTTCCTCCTCCTCAGCCTCCTTTCTTCTCAGCCTCTCCTCCTCCTCCTCCTTTTTCGCCTTTTCCTTTTCCTCCTCCGCTGCACTGCTTGTCGTCCTGTGCTCTACTCCATGTCTACCCGGCATTGAATCCTCTCAGATATTGCCAGTCATACAGTCGTCCACGTGAGTAACGACAGCATCACTCCCGGGCACAGCCCTAAACGTTGATCGCCTGGTCGGCCAACGCCTGCAAGCCACCGGCCTGTAGACGACGGCATGGTGGTAAGTGGTGCTGCTACCTTCGTATCACACCTCGACTATCATTCCAACACATTGCTTCAAGGCGGGGCAAAGTATGGCGCGCGACATCATTCACCCGACGCATGGCATGGCTCTCTTTACACGGGCAAGGATAGGCAGACTGCATTAATCTAACCAAGCTTTGCGTCTGCCGGCAGAAGTGTTGCACTTCGCTGTCGATGCAGGTACAAGTATATCGCACGTGTAACCTTCACCCTGCCTCGGCCATTTGTGCATCTTTTCCTACTATGCGTGAAAATGGTGCGCTCCCTTTCCTGCCCACTAATCCTCGTGCCATGGGCACTTGCCCAAGGCGGCCTCGTCATCAATCCCAAGAGCGCAGACGAGAATGAAGCAGGGGCACATGCGGGCTCAGTGAAGATTGATCTGTCGGGACTGGTCAATAACCGGGCGTTCGCTGCATCACCAGGCGATGCGAATTTCGATGGCATTCACAGCGGCTATCCCGCAGAATATCTGCCCGACGCCAACTTCACTTACGCAGGTACGAGCTTTGACTTTCCGCAGTATCGCCAGAGCGGAGACGACAATGTGCTGGCTCAGGGCCAGGTCATCACGCCCCAGAAGGGAAGGTACTTCAGCATCCATATGCTCGCTGCTGCAGAGACCGCAATTGCCACAGGCGACATCATTACCACGTACAGTGACAATACTACGACTACTGCGCCGATTTTGGTGGATCCCTTTTGGGCTTGGCCATATCCTTATGGCGGAGACATCATCTTTCCATACTATTTGACCAATAGCAGTATCGACTACAACCGATCGATGATCTTTCAGACGATCAGCTGGGTGGATAGCACCAAAGAGATCGTCAGCATCCGACTACCAAATGTGACCGCTGGGTCAAGCAGCTCTCCTGGTGGCGCCGTCGAAACTACCAGATTGCACCTCTTCGCGATATCACTCGTCCCGGCCATGGGCTCGGACATCAGCTTAGACATCCAGCATGCTCGATCGACCAACATGTGGATGGAGGGCACAAACAAGACTCAGATCTATACCATCAAAGTGAACAACGTCGGTGACGAATGGATTCTTGCCAACAACAGCGTGAAAGTCACTGTGGAAGCATCCGGTGTGGAGACAGTTGTTCCTGGCGTTATCAATCGTTTACGACCAGGAGATCAGGCTGCTGTTCATGTCGGTGTTGTCAACAAGGAAGGAGTCGCGCCTGGATCCACGGGCGAAGCTACAGTTATCGTGACTGGGAATGGTGTGAACACGAGCTCCACCTTCAATGCGACGTTTGGCATCGCACCTTATGAGGCGACATATGAGTCCATATACTCACACGATAGCCCATCTTGGTTCAACGACGGGAAGTTCGGCATCTTCATTCACTGGGGCGTATATGCAGTCCCAGGATGGGGAAACGTAGGCGACAATGGTATCTTACTCCCTCTCACGACCTACACATACCATTCTGACAATCTATAGAACAGTATGCCGAATGGTATTGGTGGTACATGAACCAGGGACCAAACAACACCAAAGGAAACTTCTACGAGTACCACTTGGAAAAGTATGGTCCAGACGTTGTCTACGATGATTTCATTCAGAACTTCACCGCCGATGCGTACGATCCGAAGGAATGGGTGGATCTCTTTGCCGACGCGGGTGCGCAATACTTCGTACAAGTGAGCAAGCACCATGAAGGATACGCCATCTTTGACATTCCGGCCAATATTACTCAACGAACCAGTGTCGCACTACCACCACACAAGAATTTGTTGCAGATGCTGTTCGATGCAGCGGACGCACATCAGCCTCACTTGCACAAAGCTACATATTTCTCTACACCGGAATGGTTTCACCCAGATTATCAGAAGTACGGCTTCGGTGACTGGCCTGGGGGCAACGCCACAAACCCATATACTAATGAGACACTGCCATACACTGGCTATGTGCCAATCGATGATTACGTTGCCGACCTCATGGTCCCCGAGATGCAGATCCTGGCAGACATGGGCACCGAAATCATGTGGTGTGATATTGGAGGACCCGTAAGTAAAGAGACAGTTTGATGGCTTCCCCTTTCCTTGATACATCACTGGGCAGTTGCCCACCATGAAAAAAAATGGATAAAAGCTTCAAGACTGGTCCTGCGAGACACGACCGCATCTTGGGAGAAATATGCTGACCTTGGAACTATCATACTTAGAACATGACCGCAGAGTGGGCAGCCAAGTACTTCAACGACGCTGCTGCGAAAGGGAAACAAGTCTCCATCAATGCTCGTTGCGGTCTTCCAGGAGACTTCGATACGCCTGAATATGCCAAATACGAGGCCGTGCAGATGAGGAAGTGGGAGAGCAATCTAGGCATGGACCCGTTCTCCTATGGCTACAACCGAGCTACGCCACCTGAGGCATATATCACGCCGCAGGACATCGTCACCTCTCTGGTCGACATTGTGAGCAAGAACGGCAACTTTCTTCTCGACGTGGGACCAACCGCCAATGGCACTATCGTCCAAATCGAACAGGACAACCTTCGTGCTGCGGGAGCATGGATCAAGAGCCATGGAGAAGCTATCTTCAACACAACATACTGGTTTATCACGCCACAAGAAGGTGAAGCTGTACGCTTCACGCAGACTGATGAATCCTTTTATATTCTGACCCTCGATCCCCCCAACGCGACGCTGGTGCTCGACAGTCCCGTACCGTATGTACCAGGCGATGAAGTCACAGTTGTTGGTGGTAATATGAGTGGCACTGTCGTTCCATCGAAACTGCTTAGCAATGGAAGTCTGGAATTGACGATCAGTGAGCAAGTCAGAGCAGCAGACCAGTACAGTTGGGTCTTCATGATCGCGAAGGATGTTCTTGACGGGACCACATATGGCAACGATTCGACGAAGCCAGCGCAAAAGATGTCCAATAGTGCGAGTCGTGATGCATCGGTCATGGTGTATGGGACTGCGCTCGTGCTGCTGGCTACTCTCTTTGGCATGTTGTAGACTGGGGCCGGGCGTGGGTGGAGTGGTGTTCTGCGGTTCATTTACCATTGTAATAGATGTTGGGAGAGATAGTTGGTGCGAGAGATGTATATCATCATATAGCGCATCGAAGTGAAGTGAATGGAACTGTATGCCATCTATCCGCTGTGAGGACTATGTCACGTACCGATGTCTGCTTGCGGTCTTCGTACCTTCTACGTACATGTAGTATCGTGCAACGCACGTGATGAGCGCGAGAAGCGATGTTAGCGCCGATCGTCGGGACAGAAGCCGACTGACAAAGGGTCCGATCTACAAGGGTCTAGTCCACTCACGCCATGGCCCGACCTGCCTCTGCCCTGCCTGCCTGACAAAAGTCGTTCGATATATTCGCCAAATTCATAGTTTCATACCACCGCCACTACTGGTTACGAGTCACGACCCCGACGCGTGTGCTACACACATACACACACTCTCACTCAATCCACCTACGAAACGTTGCCTAGCATGAATCTCCCCTCGTCGCTGACACCAGCACGGCCCGCGCTGGCGCATCGAGCCGAAGAAAACAGAATAATGCACCACGAGGCCGACGTGGTCATCATCGGCGCAGGCATCTTCGGCTGCGCTGTTGCATGTGCGCTTGGAAACCAAGGCCGAAGTGTGATATTGCTGGAAAGGTCGCTGAAGGAGCCGGATCGCATTGTGGGAGAATTGCTGCAGCCAGGGGGCGTGCAGGCATTGGAGACGCTGGGTCTCAGAGATTGCCTGGAAGGCATTGATGCGATCAAGGTCTATGGCTATGATGTGATCTACTATGGCGAGGAAGTGCGGATCGCATACCCATACAATGCAAGAGATGTGGCAGAAGTGGACGAGAAAACGAGCTTGACAGATGAATATCGAGGGACGAAGAGAAAGCGACCAGAAGGGCGATCGTTCCACCATGGGCGCTTCATCGCGAAACTGCGCGCCAAGGCCATGTCGAACGCGAACGTCACGGTAGTCGAGGCGACAGCAACGGACCTGATCAGAGGCGAGTACACGGGACATATCCTTGGTGTGGAGGCGACACGGAACGGTCAGGCGGATTCATACTTTGGCAATCTCACCATCGTGGCAGATGGGTATGCGAGCAAGTTCAGGAAGGAATTTCGAGAAGACACACCTGTAGCCAAGTCGAAGTTCTGGGGTCTCGAACTTATCGACGCGGACCTTCCCATGCCCAACCACGGCCATGTGATACTTGGAGATGACGCGCCTGTGCTGCTTTACCAGATTGGCACGCATGAGACACGAGCATTGATTGATATACCTGAGAATCTTTCCTCTGCCAGCATCAAGGAAGGCGGCGTCAAAGCACATCTCAAAAATGTCGTCCTTCCCTCTCTCCCCAAGCGAGTGCAGCCTTCATTCAAAGCCGCGATTGAGAAAGACCGGCTGCGATCAATGCCCAATTCCTGGTTACCACCCACTATCAACAAAACACCCGGACTACTCATTCTCGGCGACGCGATGAACATGCGACATCCCTTGACCGGGGGAGGAATGACGGTAGCCTTCAACGACGTCGTCCTACTCTCCGAACTCCTATCACCCGACATTGTACCCGATCTAGACGATAGCAAGCTTGTCCTCCAACAAATGCGCACCTTCCACTGGCGACGGAAAGGTCTGACGAGCGTCATCAACATCCTCGCGCAAGCACTATACTCCCTCTTCGCCGCGAACGATTCGCAATTAAAAGCGCTACAGATGGGCTGCTTTCACTACTTCAAACTCGGCGGAAATTGCATCGATGGCCCCGTCGGACTCCTCGCGGGAATCATCCGACAACCGTTTGTCTTGTTCTACCACTTTTTCGCCGTGGCTGTGTACTCGATCTGGATCTACATTTCTCGTGGAAACCCTGTGCTCGTTCCCCTTCGTGCGCTCGCCAGTGTGGGGGTGTTTTGGAAGGCGTGTATCGTCATCTTTCCTTATATCTTTAGCGAGTTGAGGACTTGATGATGATGAAGATGAAGATGAAGAGACAGGGGAGAAGAAGGGAGAAGAAGATGAAGAAGGAGGATAATGATGATAAGAAGATGAAGGGCCTTTTCTTGGGAACGAGCATCAAGACGTCAACAAGGCAGACCTTTTATTCTGTAGATAATTCATTTTATTAATCATACTTAATACCATGATGAACTTCAAGGAACAAGAAAGACCCTGCCTGGCAACAACAACGATAACATCCCCCAGCCTTCCTGTCTACAAATCCTTCTTGTGCTCATCAAACCATTTGGCTCGCTTGTGTTTGCCATCAAAATCTTCCAGTCCTTCATACAACGGCACATCCCAGCTCTTGGCGGGATTGTTATAGCGGTGATGATACGCACCCAAATCAGCGAGTTTCTTGAGATCCCGTTTCTTCAAAACACAACGCGTGGCATTGAAGTTGCTCTCGATATGGTCCTTCTTGACAGACTTGGGTATGACGGACGTTCCTCGAAAGATGCCGAATTGCAATGCCACCTGTGCAGGCGTACAACCACGCTTCGCAGCGATTTTATTGACAGTTGTGCTCTTCAGGAGCGGCTCGGGTTTGTCTCCTTCTTTGTAGGTCGGGTTGGTTCCTCCTAGTGGGGAGTAAGCAGTGACGTGTATGCCACGCTTGGAGTGCCAGTCGAGAAACTCTGTTTGCTGGAGATAGGGATGGACCTCAAATTGGTGGACTTGGGGTGGAGTGGAGGTATTGTTGAGCAGATCCTCGAGCTGTGCAGGAGAGAAGTTGGAGACTCCGATATGGCGAGTTTTGCCAGCTTTGAGCTGCTCCGACATGGCTTCCCACGTTTTCAAATAGTATATCTGGTTCTTACCGCCGGCTCCAGAGGAAACGGGCCAATGCATGTGATACAGGTCCAGATAGTCGAGGCCGAGCTTCGTCAGCGATACATCGAGGGCTTCTTTGACGGCTTCCGGTGCATGATGATCATTCCATAGTTTCGAAGTGATCCACAGGTTTTCACGTTTGAGGCCCACTTTCTGGAGACCGTCTGCAATGCCTTTGCCTACTTCTTCCTCGTTGCCATAGATTGCCGCGCAGTCGATGTGGCGATACCCGACTTGGATAGCCCATGATACTGCCTCGCTGGTGTTCTTCTCCTTGAGGTTCCAGGTGCCAAAGCCAAGAAGTGGGATCGCGTCCAAAGTCAATGGCTCGACTCGGTCGCTAGACGGAGCCAGAGGAACTTGGTGCTCTTGCGCAGCGGCTATGGCTGCCAATGGCAGCACGAGTGTGGTGTACCGCATCTCGAATTGGTAGAATCACTGCGAGGGAGAGTAGGTAAGTAGCGAAGTCGATGTGAGAAGAGGAGGAGAGTAGATGTACTCCTCATCAGCCTCGAGAGTACGTGTACCCGTTTGTACCTGTAGCTCCAACAAGGTTGATGATGCAATCACCTGGAGGTCATCGTGCATGTGTGCACTGCGCAGCGAGCCGAGTGTTCATATTATTAAGAGTTGTGTCTGCCCAGATAATTCACTTCTCTGATGCATCTTCCAACGACTTCCAGATGGATGCTCGAGACTTTCACATGCGCCTTGGCACGGCAAGTGAATACAAAACGCCCTCTGCCCCCTGAGTCCCAGTGGCATTTTGGCATTGGCATTGGCGTTGGCGTGAACGATCTGAAGATGGCAGGTCCCAGGTGAAGGTGAGCTGCCCGCGCTGACGTAAGGCACAAGGGAGCACCCGACCCCGCGAAACGCGAAACGCGTAAAAGTTTTGAACCATGGAAATCTTTGTCCACCAGCGCCCGCTAGCTAAGTTCCTTTCCTTTCCTTTCTTCCCGCTTCAACAACAGGAGATAGGCCACCACCAGGTGTAAAATCCGACAACGACAACATGGCCGGCATGAAGTACGTTCTCGTTTCTGGAGGTAAGTCATGCCAGTTCGCCATTGGCTGGCAGCGCATGTCGCTTGGTGCTAACTTCCGCAGGTGTCATAAGCGGCGTTGGGAAGGGCATAATTGGTATGAACTGGTTGCGTGGATGAGTCCGGGTTGACAAAGGCTTACACGATGAAGCCTCTTCGGCGGCGCTGCTGCTTCAGACTATGGGTCTGAAGGTGTCTAGCATCAAGATTGATCCGTACATCAACGTGGATGCTGGATTGATGAACCCGCGCGAACACGGCGAGGTCTACGTGCTGGACGATGGCGGGGAGGTCGACCTCGATCTCGGAAACTACGAGCGATACCTGAACATCACCCTCGCGCGCCAAAACAACATCACTCTCGGCAAGATCTACAAGAACGTGATTGAGAAGGAGCGGAATGGCGAGTACCTGGGCAAGACGGTGCAGGTGGTGCCACATGTGACTGGAGAAATTGAGCAATGGATTGAGCGCGTTGCCAAAGTCTCGGTCGACGGGACTGGCGAAGAGCCAGATGTATGCATCATCGAGCTTGGAGGGACCGTGGGCGATATCGAGAGCATGGCTTTTGTGGAGGCACTGTGCGAGCTCCGAAGAAAAGCAGGCCGCGACAACTTCATGCAAATCCACGTCTCGTACGTGCCAGTCATTCACGGCGAGCAGAAGACGAAGCCCACACAGATGGCCATCAAGGCCGTTCGATCAGCAGGTCTGATTCCCGATTTGATTGCGTGCCGCTGCGAAAAGCCATTGGACCCAAACGCTATCGACAAGATTGCACGATTCTGTCAAGTCGAGAACCAAAATGTCTTGGCTGTCAGGGACATGCCATCGACGTACCAGGTGCCCATTCTGCTACACGAGCAGAATCTGGTGCAGATGATGACCTCTGCTCTCCGACTGGATGTCCTTTCTCTCCCTCCCGCCCTGGTCAAAAAGGGCGAACAGATCTGGAGCACCTGGCGGACTCTCGCTCTTGGTCTCGACCAAGTCCACGAAGTGCTCGAGATCGTCTTGGTGGGCAAATATCTTGAGCAGCCAGATGCTTACTGCTCGGTGATCAAGTCTCTGGAGCACGCTGCCATGTACTGTCGGAAGAAGCTGCGGGTCAAGAATGTTGACGCAGAGCACCTGGAGAAGCAAACTAACAAGAGCGACTCGGCGGCGTACCACAAGGCCTGGCACGACGTGTGTACAGCCTCTGGAATCCTCATTCCAGGTGGCTTCGGTAGTAGAGGGACAGAAGGCATGATTGCTGCGGCCACGTGGGCACGCGAAAACAAAATTCCCTATTTCGGCGTGTGTCTTGGCATGCAGATTGCAGTGATCGAGTTCGCGAGATCTGTCTGTGGCGTCACATTGCCACAAGCCACCTCGTCCGAGTTTGACGGCAACGATTCTGACCGAGTTATCATTGACATGCCCGAACACAATCCTGGACAGATGGGCGCAACGATGCGTCTTGGTATCAAACCAACATACTGGCAGCCAGACTCGGAGTGGAGCAAGCTGCGTGCGCTCTATGGCCTCAAGAACGAAAGTATCCTTGAGCGCCACCGTCATCGATACGAAGTCAACCCAGACTACATTTCCCGATTGGAGCAGAATGGCCTCACATTCATCGGCAAGGACGAGACTGGGGTGCGCATGGAGGTCATCGAGCTCAAGGACCATCCTTACTACGTGGGCGTACAGTTCCATCCAGAGTATCTGAGCCGTGTGCTCAGTCCATCAAAGCCATATCTCGGCTTCATCGCTGCCAGCGCCAAAATGTTGGACCAGATCACGCGCACGGGCAGTCCATCAGAAGGCATACCACCAATATCAGGAATGCTTGAGGAGACGAGCATCAACACTCCCACGAAGAGCTCTCCCAACGGCACTGGCAAATGAGTCGCTGCAATCCTTGTCTCGGGCATATGAACAGGAAAGAGGGGCCCCAGAGCAATAACCAACATCGGGCGACGGCGTTTCATGGATTGGTCACAAGAGTTTGGACATGCTGATGGTGATAGATTGATGATACTCAAAGCGTGGCGTACAGGATATAGCCAAGCATATCCGCACAGTACATATATGGACGGATAAGCCGGATAAACCAGGGCTTATATGAATGATGAAGTCGACAATACTGGTGTGATCCCAGTTTTCGCTGTCTCTACATACTCCTGGCCAGTGGCGGCATGATCATGCTGACTTCCCAGCTCGCACTCAAAGCTTCAGGCAGGGGTCACGGCAGATCCATTCCACTGCTTTGACTGCTCCAGGGCCCACGACGTGGAACAATACGATGCCGGGCATGGGAGGTTGCTGATTCATTCTTCTTCAGGCTGACACGCATGACTTGGCAACAACCAAACCCTCGCTGAACGGAGCTGACGGGAATGATTATCAATGATATGTCCTGGAAAACCTTATTGCCCTAGTAGTTGAGTGGGGACCTGATCTGCAACGTCTCGGACGACCTTTACCTCCTAGTTACTGCTGGGATCCAGAGGAGCTTGGCTTCAATTTCATGCCTCCCCCTGGTGATGACGGAATCGTGATTACGGCGCAGGCCTGCGTTTTGTCTCGCGGCCTCGCACATCCATACATGTACCTTTTATGTGTTATCCAACGCTACCTACCTAAGGTACCTACGAAAAGACTTTCCAACAACATACAGATGGTTACATGAAGGGATCTTCCTTGAAACAAACTGATATACATCCCGCGCGAGTTGTTACTATGTACTCTCATCATCCGAACCGATCACAAACTACCGTATGTATTACATTAGGTACAGTAGGTAGCTTGGAAGAAATTTTTCTTAGCAGTCGTGTCAACGCACTCGACTCGCTGCAACCAAAACCTTGGCATCACAGCCCCGATTCTCTCCATATCCATGCAAAACATTATCTCTACCTGGCTCCACTCTCTGCTCTTCTCCAATTTTTTTTTGTTTTTTTCTTTTTTTTCTGGTTTGTTTATTAGCTGCCCGCTCTCCAAATTGTAACGTCCGTCCGGGGCACTTTTGTAAGAAGTTTGCCAAGCAAGAACCACCGAGGCACCCCCGACCCCTTCACAGTGCCTAGGTAGGTAAACGATGCTATAGGCCGCAGCTCTCCTTTATTCTTCGACCTGGACTTTGGGTTTGTAAACAGGCGAAGCGAGAGGAGGGTTCAGAGCTCGAGATGTTGTATACTCTGTACACTTACTAGTTCAAAAGGTACTATATACTAGACAGGCTCTGCTGCTGATTACGTCGGTAGGAGGTACCTTTAATAGCGAAGCTATATCTATCCGCTAAGAGAAAGTATAAATACTAAATCATTCGATAACAATTCTCTTGCCTTATCGTTTACAACGTATAAGCGTTGTACGGTTATAGTGTAGATTTAGTTAGGAGGAGGTATATATCGGTAGGTAGGTTATGTAGGTAGAGAGAAAGAGTGTGTGTATGTATATATATACATATATACATATATACATGTATATACAAAACTTGCCTAAGTCCTAACTCCCAAGGTAAAACTCAGTTCACTATCCGACCCGACCGACCCGACTTCTCCTTCGAAAACACACCTCAGGTAAGTACAGGTACATATATATAAAAAATCCAATAACCAAACCCCCTGTTCCTTGCCCCCCCAAAAAAATGGATTTCTCGTTGAGTTTCTACCTACGTTACATATACATGTAGGAGGCTAGGACCGCTAGGTACATGTAGCAGGCTATCTATCTATAGAGCAACAATAAACAAACATGCCTGCGGTCTGTCTAGGCACTAATAAGAGACTTTATCTAAAAGCCGAACATGTGCGATTGAATTTTCTGCTTGAAGGAAAAGCTTACTGCTTTTACTGCTTACTGTTTAGTGTTTACCTACCTTGGTACATGTATGAGATAGATGTGCGTTCGGCAGTTTGTGATGAGGAGGATGGATGGATGGATGGATGGATGGATGGATGGATGGATGGATGGATGGATGGATGGATGGATGATGATGATGATGGACTTCCGATATCCGATATCCGAATCGTCACGGGAAGATGAGATTGCCCTACCACGAGCATGTGATGACGGGAGGTACATGTAATTGTGGTTCAAGAGATTGTTGGCCAGCCGACCGACGGATTCTGTGTAACGGGCATATCAGATAGCATTATCGTTCAGTGAATTAAGGTACCTAATACAGGTACTAGGTAAGGTAGGTACTGTATAGTATAGTAGCCTGCTTCAATTATGCCCCGTACACAACACGCACACGCACACACACACATCGCACATACATCGCACATACATACACACATACATATATAGTGATATCAGACCAAGAGGCGGTGCTGACCTGTTCACTCGATCGCCTCTCGCATCATCATCGTCATCATCGTCAAAGTCTGAGTTGGGTCGGAGTTCTGCCGTACTCTACTAGTCTCTTTCTCTCCCAATGATTTTTTTTTCTTTTCAATCCCTTCTTCTCTTCTTCCCTTTCTTGCTGGAAGACTTTGCCTTGGGACTCGTGCTTCCCGAACCGCTCTCCGAGTCATCGCTGCCTTCTTCGTCCGATGATGCCGAGTGGTCGTGGGACTTGTTCGTCTTCGCCTTCCCCTTGCGCGCCTCCGATCCCTTCTTCACGCCGACATTCAAGCCCTGTCGACGCAGCGCCTTGAGCAATGAACTGCTGGCTCGCATGCCGGGAAAGTCCTTTGCGGTATACACACTAAAGACTTCGGAGACCACGCTTCCATGGGTCGTGACGCATGTCATGTTGGTACCATCGACGCGAATGAGCTTGAATTTGAGTCTATATCTGCCCGGAGATCTACAGCTCAGATCGGGGAAGACGAAGAAGGTGCCCGCAATGCCGTTTTCATCCTTGGCTTGATATGGCGAGGCTACCAGGGTTCCCATGAGACGGCGTGTGGAGGGCATGTCGGGCACAGCGGGTGCTTGCTCCGTCTCGTCATCGCCGCCATCAGAATTGATCAGAGTACAGTGTAGTGCAAGCATGCCATTGAGATCCTGCTCTGGTAAGCCATTGCGGTCTGTAATCTTCATCTCGAGGATCGGAGGAGGATCTATGACTCGGCGATCGCGCTCGCCAAATCCACATGCACGAGCTGCTGCGGGCTGTTGTCGTATCGTGAGGTTGTAGTTGTGTGGAGGAGGTTGGGGTTTCGGCTTCGGCTTCGGAGCAGATACTGTCTGGCTTGCAGGAGCTATAGGCGGTCGCGGCGATGCTTGTGACTGGGGATAGCTTCTCGGAGAGGAATACACACTCATCGAGGGACTGTAGTGATGGGATGCATTGTACTCGGAACTAGCCGCCGTCTGACCACATGCATCCTGCTGATACTGATACTGCACTGCTTGTTGTTGTGGTTGTTGTTGTTGTGGATATGGATGCCGATGCTGCACAGGCGCTTGCTCCAGGCGATTGTGGGACATGTGCGGTAACCGTTGGGGCGGCGTGCGGAGCTCCGAAGGCGAGTTGCTATAGACACTTGCGGGCGCCTGATACGTTGGCCGGCCTGGATTGACTGCCACCGGCTGCTGAGATCGTGGAGGAGATGGCGGGCTAGTCAACAGCTGCGACACTGGTATCGATCGTGAGGGCGCTCTTCCGGGAGATAGAGAAGTGTGATGAGGTACCTGCATCGGCGGGAGCTGTACGGGGTGACCACTGGCATCGAATCCAGATCGTGTTGGCGGCATGGCATGAATGGGAGGCAACTGCGGACCAGATGATCGCAGCTGCTCTGGTCGTTCATAATAGTGTTGTGGTGGAGGGAATGCCGAGGCGCGCTGCATGTGTGCCATTGCTCTCGGATCGTCGTAAGGTGGTGGCTGCACGGGTGTTGGTCGAGACATCGAGTGTTCGTGCCAAGCCTGTCGTTCAAAGCGTTTGCAAGTGCGAAGGGCAACTCGCTCGCAGTGGTGGCGATATATAGTGTCAATGGCGGCAATGATAATGATCAGAACGAGAGAACTGTATTGTGCTCAGATGATGTGAGGATCTGCCCCCTCAGCAGCAGGCGTGTGGGCTCATATGCAACAGATTTAGTTGTGCGTGCGTGCGTGCGTGCGGGCGTGCGTGCGTGCAGTATGCAAGCCCAAATGTCCTGGGCGCCGGAGTATTGTATTTGAGATGAGACGATGGCTCGTTGTGGTCGCGTAGTGAGACCAATTGGCAATGCTCGTCCGCCGCCCGGCCAGAATGCTGTGTGAGATGGGGCAGCCGAAGATCATGCGTGCAGCTGGGACGATAACGGGGCTTCTTCGAATTGACCGATTTCTGCTGGAGGAGGAAAGGGACGGTCAAGGAGGAGGAGATGCAGGTGGAGGACGAGGACGAGGACGTGGAGGAGGAGGACGTGTGTTGCTGTAGCACATCACTGCAGCGGTGCTGAGCACAAAGTCTCGCACAGAACGGCCGGTATAATGAGAGCACAGGGATGCTGCATTTTTGCTGAATGGCCTCCGCAACTGCACACACGGCGAGACGCTAAGGCACGCAGTCCCGGATCGAGATACCCTGGTTTCGAGCGCAATGCACCTGGACGAAGGCGTCAGAATCATGCGACGAAGTAGACGGCTATCTGGTAGCGAAGGGACCAGGGTGGTAGACCGCCGCTGGTTCTCGCAGCCAGACATGTATAGATGTACGTATGTATGTACCTTATGTATGTATAGGTATGTATGGATGTATGGATGTATGGATGTATGGATGTATGGATGTCTGGATGGATGTGCGTCAAATGCCCTTGGTGCCCTCGTCCGTGGCATCCTCCGTGCGCCAGCCCACCCATCAAGCCCGCCAGCCTGCCAGCATTGCGTCGACCGCCCCCGAGCACAGGAGCAAGCAGCAGAGAGCGGTGGTGGGCCGATGGATGGCCGACCTGACATGGAGTGGACGGTGGGTTACGGTGTGTCTGTGTGGGTGTGTGTGTGTCTCTCTCTCTCTCTCTGTGTGTGTGTCTGTGTGTGTGCACTGTGCAAGCAATGTATGTAGGACGCCGACACTACGACATGTCTGGGCGAATACCTACCACCCGAGCAGTGCCACTGAAAAAGTGGACTGGCGCTGCCAGGGTCGATGGCAGCGCTTGCGACAATACCAGGTTATCGGACTGCCAGCTCGTTGTGACGAGCCCGTGGGCAGATGCATGTGCGCTACCAAATCTTAAAGCAGTCGTTGTCCTACCTCGTGAAGGCACAGTCGTGACGTGAACCACATGAGCCCCCGAGATGAGACTGCATGGCCGCTGCGAAAGGTGCACATACCGTACATACCTGTAGGCTGTATGCAGATTGCAGAGGCGACCAGTGCCGTTGCCTTGCCCTGCCCTGCCCTGCCCTACCCTGCTCTGCCCTGCCCTGCCCTGCCGCGAGCGCTACTGGCTACTGGTCCAATGGCCTCCCATCGTCACTAGTACTGGTCCTACTAGGAGGTGGTCGGTGCCAAGGGTCTTGTCGCGCGTTACATCAGCACATGCCGCTTTTCTGCAGTAAGGAGCTGGCTCCTGCGACCTCTCGGGGTCCGAGCTGGGTGCTGGTGCTGGTGCTGGTGCTGGTGCTGGTGAGCCTGGTGCTGGTGAGCCTGGTGCTGGTGCTGGTGCTGGTGCTAGTGCTGGTGCGGGCGCGGGCAGTGGGTATGGCATGGCCTGGTAGGTATGCGATGGTATGGGTGGCTGTGACGGCTGTGCAGCCTGTGCTGACGCTGCGACCGTTCCTATTTGAGTGTGTGACACGTCAAACCGATTTCCATGAGCCCGTCCACCCGCCACCGCCCTGTAGGACATCTTGTTCGCTCCCATTCCGTCGTCGGTGATGCTGCGGAGGCCGGAGAGGTGGGAGCTGCAGATGGAACGACCCGGGGCTGCTGGACATGCACACGCAGCAGCGGGCAAGAAACGTGTGGAGCATCGTTCTAAAACTACCGCATTTGCCACGACACTCTGCTGGTTGCTGGTGTCGCTACCTACGCGATGTGGAGTGGACGCTGCCGCTGCTGCTGCAGTAATCAGAAGCATTGTTCTCAATTGACTGTCAAGTCGGGCGAGTCTCACACACTCCGCACCAGATTCGCTGTCCACTCGGATCCTTGTCAGCGCTGTGACGGACATCCAAAACGTGCAGCAGAATCCATGTCCTTCAGGGTTCCAGAGACAGCACTGGAGCACGCTGCACTGGAGCTCCAGCAACAATAATAATACAATGCTGTTGTGTGCCACGGGACCTCCATCTCCACTACCTTACCTTACTTCTTCTCCACCCCGACAGGGCTATGGAAGAGAAAAAAAAAACACGACCTGGGAGATGCCAGAGAGAGCGCTCGTTTGAGCGGGCGTTTGCCAGCATTCAGCAAGGGAAGCGTGGCCATGGCCAGCGCATTATTTGGTGCTGGAGTATGCCAGGCTGTTCGCCCGTCGGCCGTCTCCACACACGGTGGTCGCAATCTGGAGCACACCACCCGACGTCGCCTCAAGCAGCATAGAGTCGGTATGAGCCGGTATGTACTACTGCTAGCACGAACGATGTACGCGCCATCATCGATGGCACGCTCCCGCGCACAGCTAGGTATGCACCCTCAAGTCCGAGTGGGCGGGAAAACGTGCTCCGCGCTAGGCCCTCGCTCGGATCTCCCATTCTCTATCAACTGCCAATTAGGGCATCTCGTCGTCGTGGTCCGTAGAAGGGGGCGGGCAGTCATTGGCTGGGAGAGGCAACTTCAGCCCGGAACGTGTGAGGACGACAGCAAGAATAGGTCAGCGGTACACACACGCGCCACGCGCCACTCGCCAGCCGGCTCTAAGAGGTACATAATACACGGGCACATAGTGGTTGATGAGACGGTGTGCATGGCGGGCGTGATCGTCCCATAGACTCCATACAACGTGGAACCACACCCCTAACACGTGCCGCGCCATAGCCGCTGTTGCCGAAAACTTTACCAATGATATGTCTTGACCTCGCGTCGTCCTGGTCCTCTTCTCGACTTTCTGCCTCCACCTCCGACATGTAGTTACCTCCTAGGAGGTAGTCCTCGTCCCTCCCAGCTCACCCTCTCCGAGTCCCACCTCATGCGTGGACCTGTTCGACCTGCAAGCGAATGTTCAGTGCACCTGCGCACACCTGTAGCACCGCCTGCACCGACGAGGCGAACCGGGTTCTCTTCCAATAGACCGCTGACCTCTCCCTCTGCCATTGACCGTTTGTTCTCACTTCGCCGCCGTCGCCCACACCCATCGCTCTCTGTCCCTTGCTCGCCGCTGATCGAGACGTCGTGGAGCCGAGGAGCTTCATCTGTTCCAGCTGAGACCGCTCGGACAATGCCTGCCTAAATCGGTAAGCCTTTTTTGCGCTAGGAGGTAGAACGTATCGATACCAGGATGTCATCGGCCTCTGGCTGGCGGAGCATCGGGTTAATACAATTCCCCATCATGAATCCATGAAGTCAGGTACCCTAGCACCCAGCGGACAGCGAAAGCCTCTGCAACCACCTCTATGTAGCCCTCCGTGAATCCAGTCTCCAGGACTATACGAATCGTCCACCGCCTGGCCGGCATGGCTACCTACCCTACCTACCACAAAGGCACAGCCAGTGTCTGGAGTGCAGATGAGGCCCTACGACGACGACCACCACAACGACGACGACGACTACGACGATGCCGCTATTCCGTGCTTCCAGTGTCGCCGCATCTATAGGACGAGTGACAGCTCCGCACACTAGTTCTCTAGCCAGGCGTTTGGCGCGCTCAAGCTTCCGTTTCATTCTGATGACCGGCGCTAGACTTACTTGTCTGTCGCGCACCCATCATTCACAATTTCACGTTGCCTCGTACGTCGTACCCGAATGGCGATCCGCCCTTCTCACTACTGTCCTCACGCCTTTCTCCCCGAGACGACCACATGATAACAACATCCATCGCCAGTAGCAAACCGCCAATATCCGTCCGAAATAGCTCGCGCACGGGTCCAATTATCATCACTGGCCAAGCCTACCATGGTTATGGATCTGCATCACCGTGGGCTCTTCTTGGCCGTGCCATGACGAATCTACAGTCGTCCGTTCCACATTAGTTCTCGTGGTTGTTCCAGTAATACGGATATGGTGGAGAGCGATGACCTTTGGTTGCATTATCGCAATCTCCTTCATGCCCCCATCGAGATAGATGGTCCGCATCGAGCCTGCACAGGCGTGCATTCCGCGACTGCTGGAAACTCCATCATGACATCAACGGAGGGGGGGTTTTGTGTTGGAAGTTCGCTGAAGTCGCGCTCATATCGGCAGGCTAAGCTAGGTGCTGGTCACCCTTAGTAGCTCGACGATCACACTGCGGAGAGGGAGCTCATCACACTGCTTCCATGCACACACCATTCTCGACCTGTCCTTTCCCGGAAACGTGTCCCTTTGCTGCTCAGAGTTCCTGGTCCTGTGTATGCAACGCTGCGTTCATGCCTCTGCACTCTGTCGGATCTGCCATGTTCTCTAGCGCCAACTAACGCCGTCGCAGAGGAGTCATATGTACCTGGGACGAGTGCGGCAAGACAAATCCATTGTGGCAACAATGCCGAGACTGGAGAAACCCCTATAAGGTACTTTCCATGCACGCAGGTACGAAAGCAAACTGTACTGTACAATCACGCATTGACCGCTCGCGTGGCGCGTGCTGAGCACCACACAACAAAAGACACAAACATCGCATACATGGCGCTGGATCCCTTTTCCTGTGATCATGCTTGGTACTGACCGTCACTATCGCATGCTGCACCGATCACATGCCTCACCGGAGCAGTATCCTGGACCATGACAGGGCCATCGCACATTTCGGATCCAAGGCGCGCTTCATTGTTTCCGCTCCGAACGAACAGGTGGCCGGAAGTTGAGAGCGAGTGTGACGGTGTGCGTGATGCGCGTTTGTTATGAGACAATCGAGCGATCTGCCCCCTCGGTGAGAACTGCACTGAGCTTCATCACTCGCTACGTTCTGCACCTGCTGCCTAAACCGGCCGGTGTCCGAGCTGAGCAGTTACTCGACCGACCAGAGAGACGATGGGCATCGTGATTGTGGCGACCACTTTCAGCTGCGACAGCAATTGGCTGCACGGCGACACGGTCTGCGAGGCAAAAACAGCCTATGCAAGACTTGTGTACGAAGGCCTGTCCATACTGCGGCTTGTACACTCGATGCAGTTTAGGCGTCACATGGTGTAAGGAGTCCCATCATCGATACATATGAACCGGGAAAACAATGTGGCGAACCTCCCCCTCCCCTCAAAAATGTGAAGATGTGACGAATGTGTCGACCTGCAGCCAACGCTCGCCCGAAAAAGCGACGGGCGCGACGTGTCCGAGTCACACACCCTCTTCCAAGACCCAAGGGTATAGCGAAAATTGCTATTTTTTGGGGGGCGGTCTACGCTGCGAGTGCGCTCGCCCACAGTGTGCTTCTATGCCCTCCCTCTCTCTCCTTCTCTCTCTCTTACACACACACCAGTCACATCTACAGCCTTTTCTCGTTACTCACTCACACATCACAAGTGCGTTCTCTGCCAGTGTGCCCATCAGTCTCGAGGCATTTCACGAATACCTCTTTTGGACGCAACAAGTCTTGTTTCCGGGCTGAGCATGCTCGTCATGTCTGCAAGGCATGGCGAATCAACTGGGAGTTGATCAATGATCTACAATGACAAGAGTAATAGTGGGACTACACGGGTGTATTTGATATTCCCAACTCCTCTCCCGACAAGGTTGTGAGTCCCCGTTCTTCCTTGACAACTACTGCATCACGCAAGTCTTGCTCAGCAGCAATGTGGCCGCATGTATTAGAAGACACTTGTTGTGGATCCAATATCCGTGCATACGGTGCAGCTCAGACGTCTTCCATGCTTTTACAGCAAGTAAGGTATGTATGTGCTAGGATACTCTTACAGCGGTTGCAGAGCTCAACAGCTGCATGCAGCTGCAGACTTGTCCGTGGCCTTGGGTGTTCTTGGGTGTCCGCAAACAGGTAGGAGGTACATGTACGTGGGAGAAAAGAGGTTGGGCGCTTTCGGGCAAGTTTTCTTGTGGTGATCACAAGCGACACGGGACCGGTTGAGAGCATATTGCCACTCACACACACACACTCTCTCTCTGTGTTTACCAGTACATGTGCAACACGGCCACGAGGGATTCTTGACACCTTGGTCGTACACGGCAGATTCTGACAGCTCCCTCGTGATGGATGAATGGCAGGCAATGCACCACTTGTCCTCTGAGCACAGATTGAGCTAAGTACAACAGCGGAATGCAGCAGCTCGCTTCGACTTGTTGCCAATCGTATCGAATGGAACTTGTTGTTGACCGTCGATGCTCTCACGCCTACAACGATCGCAAAGGCGGCCCGTACAAGAAGCTCAAGGCATAGGTAGATAGGAGGTAGAGCCAGCCACCTGATCTGCCCGCCGCCGCCGCCGCCATACACAGTGACAATTGACTGCAGAGTACGGAAAACAGTGTGAACCACCACCACCACCGCCGCCGCCTCGTTTGCTGTCGCTACTCGCCACGACATGGGAAACTAACACAAAGCAAAGCCCCAGTTTCAGCTTCTGCGAGGCTGTGCGTATTGGACAGCACATGCACAAAATAATACTTTCCTGTTGCAGTCAGACAAAACACGAGTTGGTGTTTAGTGTCAATTGAGGCAATGAAATGGTATGGTATGGTATGAAATAGATGATGGGAAGTGTAACAGCAACATTCAAAACGATGTCCGACATGAACACGGGAGTCGCTGGCTTGAATCACAGATCTGAAGTAAAGTATGTTGTTGCTTCTGAAGTTCCACTACATGCACCCATACACACAGAGTTCATTGAGGCAGATACGGTACGGTACGGTAGGTGACAATCATCTACAACGTCCCCAACCCATCACGTTTATCCGGCAGAGCTCCAGCGCTCGTCTCGCCCCTCGCAGTCTCCTCCCCTCGCGGACGCGAAAGATGCTCCGTCTCCATCGATGGACCCCCCGTGGTCGCGTCTTCGAAGCCCACATTGCGCTTCATGGCAGATTTCAAATTTGATGATGGCCCTGCTGCCCCTGCTGCCCCTGCTGCTGCTGCCCCTGTGGCTGCGGAAGTGAATGGGCCACTTTCATTCATGGCGTGGTACATCCCATTACCGCCATTGCTGCTGCGATACAGGCTCGGCTCCTGCGTAGTTTCATAGCTACCGACGTCGACGCCTCCTCCGCCTCTTTGAGGGACAGAATACATCATATTCTGCTGGCGGGGCTCAGCTGACGCGGCAAAGTCGTTGGCATCGTAATTGGGTCGTCGGAGCGGAGGCGAGATGTGTGCCTGGTGAGGAGTAGTAGTAGTAGTACCAGTAGCGCCAGGGCCATAACTCGTCGGAAGAAAATCTGACGGATGAGTGGTAGCATGTCCAGTAGCAGCAGCAGAAGCACCGGGGCCATAGCCAGAAGAAGAAGACATGGTAGGGCGAAAGCGATAGGGATCTTCGAAGACCATGCCTCCTCTGCCACCGCTGCTGTCATCTAAGCCACCACCACCACCACCGCCTGGACGGAATCGCGGATATCGAGAAGGTCCTCCTCCTCCTCCTCCTCCTCCTGTAGGTCCTCTAGGATCATGCATACCTATTGAAAATCACAATTAGCAAAGACCATATATATACCGCGGACCAGCTTCGAAGCAAAAAAAAAAGAAGAAGAAGAAGCAAAGAAAAAGGGGGCGTGTTACATACTCACCGCCAGCAAATCCGCCGAGCATATCATCATCATCTCTCCAATTCCCTGCTCCACCCCCAATACCACCAACACCACCATTTCTCCCTTGTCTCTTAAACCCACCTCTCCTCGGCCGAAAATCTTCATAATCTTCATCGAATCCATCATCGAGCGCAAAGCCATTCCGTCGTCGTGCACGTCTTCCCATGTTGTTGTTGTTCATTGTTGGTGGTGGGGGTTGATCCATCATACCACCACCACCACCAGTATTCATCATGGGCATGGACATGCCTCCTCCTCCTCCTACTCCATTCATCATCATCATGGGATTCATCTGTTGAGGTATACTACCCCCTCCACCATTCATACCTTGCATTGCAGCAGCAGCTGCAGCGGCCATGGGATTATTCATCATCATGCCTGCCATACCAGTATTATTACTATTATTATTCATAGCAGCAGCAGCAGCAGCGGCTTGCTGCATAGAATTCATCTGCATCATAGACGGATTCCCCTGTCCTCCTCCCGCCAACGGCATTTGCATCGACATTCCCGGCAGCGGCATCGACATACCATTTATTGTAGTTGTTGGCTGTCCAGTATTCGTCATCATCATCATTTGCACGAGTTGCGGCATCATCTCTTTGAGCTGATTCAACATATTCTGGCGATATTGTTCTTTTCTCCGATCCGTGTCGGAGCCGAAGAGGAATGTGTCTTGTTCGGAGATGTGGCGTTGGTACTGTTCGGCCATGTGGTGGAAATTGGATTTGAGATCTTCGAATTGTTCCCAGGGGACGTATCTGTGTGAAGAAAGGATATATCAGTTATCCATATATCTATCCATTCATCCATTTTTTTTTCGGGAGGTGTGTTCCAGATGAAGTTAGATTCAGGGTCAAACAGAATAGAAATATAATACATCAAAACAAACAAACAGGAATAAAAAACTGACGGAATGAATGACGGACTTGACTGGACTGACCTTCGACTTCTGCGTCCACTGCTACCACTACCACTACCACTATGTCGTCCACCATATTCTCCTCCTCCTCCTCCTCCTCCTCCATCCCAACACCCCCCTCCACCACCACCACCACCTTGCTGCGGCCCCTGCATCCCCGGCCAATTCGGAAACCCCCCACCAGCACCACCTCTTCCCCCCGAATAATTACTATTCTGATTATTATTCAAAAGATTCAACTTCCCATTCTCCCGACTCGCCCACTCCTCCAAGACCTCACTCAATTTTTCATAATCCCTCACCGTCCACGCTCGAGGGTCTTTCCACGGCATTGTGGGTACCTGTTGTTGTTGTTGTTGATGTGGAGGTCCTTGCCCAGAACCACCCATCATCATGAATTGCGACATCATGTCTACGGGATCTTGATAACGTTCGCGACCGTCGCCTGTAGGGAATGTTGGGGAATTCGAGGGAGGGGGTTTGGTTAGTTTTTTGTTCTTTTTTTTTGGCTTTTCTTTTGGTGATAATTGATGTTCATGGATTGGAAAGGGAAAGATGGGGATGGAAATGGGAAATGGGAAATGGGTGGGGAGAGGGAGGGGGAGAGAGAGAGAGAGAGATATGACATATTCGTACCTCCTCGTTCAACATACACAAATCTACTACTTCGATGAAAAGGCCGATCGCACCAGCACTTATCCGGATGGCATTCGCGCAGAGTTTGCGAGGGGAGGAAGAGTTCGGTTTTGGAGGGTTGGATGCCCATTTGATGTGGTGATGATGGACAACTTGTTTGCTTGCTCTGGGTTTGTTTGATGGATTGATTGATGGAGAAAGAAGAAGAAGACGAGAGGGGAAACAAAAAACGGAAAAAGGCCGAAGCCCGAAAAAGGGGGGTTTTAGGCAGGCAGGGCTGTTCCACGACCGAGGCGAGGCGAGGCGAAGAGAGTTGAAACTCTCTGTCTGTCTGTCTGTCTGTTCCTTTCGCGTTCGCTTGACGATTCGGAGAGCAAGAAAGAAAGAAAGAAAGAAAAAAAGGGAGAGAACACAGAAAAAAAAAGAGGAAAAGCCGGACCCTCCCCTTCGTCCGCCCCCCTCGTCCTGCCTCATGAATTGAATAGACGGTGAGTCGGAGAGTACAGTAGTCGGTTGCATTCCACCCCCCGGAAGAGAGTAAGAGATCGTAAAACAGAACAACAACAGCAGCAACAGGGGGGGGACGGGGACGGGGACGGGGAAGCAAAAAGCGAGTCACACAAAATTCTCCGGGTAAAGTAGTAAGTAAGTAAATAGGTGTAAGATACCGTAGGTAAGTACCTAGGTGAGGTATAGTAGGCAAGGTAGAGTGCTGCACGACATTAGCGTTCTTTCTTGGGGGTATAAGGCAATAATACTCGAGTAGCAAACAATTCAAAAAAGGATCCTGAAATTAGCTGGCTTTCGTTCCCAGTGTCCCGGACGATGGGATGGATGGGGAAAATTGCGGTCAGGGAGTAACAACCGCAATCAAAGATGGGTGCTTGCTTCTTCCCTTCGGAGGCATGATGGTGCGTGAAACTGCGGAAGGCTGCATGGTCCGTCACCGCTCTGTTGATGATGATGATGATGTTGTTGTTTGGTGTTGTCCTACACTGCTTGTTTGTCAGCTCATGTGATGCCGTGTAACTGTGGTGCAGAGGGAAATAGAAAGAGTTGCTCGGCTTGTCAATCAGTACCGTCAGGTGGCATAAGATATCGCGCACGCACGCATTAATGACATTACGTACGAATACAGAAGGTAGGTTTACTCATAATTATGCTCCCGCGAGATCGAGCATGCAGTACCAAGATGAAGAGCGGTGACCATTGTAGATAGTACAGCCGAAGTGCTTGCATTTCTCCACTTGTTCAAGCGTCTCGCATGGCAGTGCACGGGAGGCTGGCGGCTCGCCGGTAAAGATGCCATGCGCATCTCTCTGTGCGGCGAGCGTGCGGAGGAATGATACAGCATTCTCCTCCCTAAAGTCCCATCTGTAATGCTATTATTTATGCATCCGCACACCCACCTTCTCTCTTAGCCTGCCCTCCTTTCTTTCCGCTAGCCGTGTCTTTCGTGCCATCTTCTGTTGTCGTGGGCACGTCGGTGGCATATTATCACATTACATCGTCATTCGATCAGCTTTGGCTCTCCGGCTGTTGCTATCGCTTCGCGCCGGAGTGGGCTCTTCCAGCCTGCTCGTGATGCGCAATTGGCGGCTTCGAGTGATCTTGGTGGGCTGCTCAGGCGACTCGCTCTCCTCGCTTGCTCTGCTCTCGCTGAGCTCTTTCTCGCGAAGAAGCTCCGCCAATGTCTTTCGGCCTTTCCGTTCCTGGCGCTCCTCTTCGGGATCGATGTATCGGTGGATCGTCCGGTGGTCCAAGACCCGCTCTTGAGTGTCGTGCGGGCCTTCTTTGTCAGTCTTCGGCCAGTAAAAGCCGTACAGCTTGCTGTGGCGTTCACAGCGAGGACATGCAATACGCGTCAAGAAAGCCTCTTCTTGGACGAAGAATTCATCACAATTGCGACACTCCACCCACCGATGGTAAGTCGTGGCAAGTAGCGCACGACATAAATGGTAGTCTCCTGGAGTGCGAGGCTCGCCGCGTCGCACCTTGCCATCGTCGTCGTCTTCTTCTTCCTCCTTCTCGATACTCGTGACAGGAGCTGTGGTCACGTCCACAACGCCTCGTATACTCCTGCGAGTGACCGTCTGCTCTTGTTTAGGCGTTTCAGAATCTTCTTCTCGGCTGCTTGACTCGGTGTCGCGAGTCCGTGTCTCGGTCGTGGTGACTGCAACCTGCATGTTCTGGACGTTATGCCCCAATGGTGCAATATCAGTGGTGAGCATGTCGCAGATGCCCTGTGCGATGTTGCCATTTGCGAATGTTTCCAAGGATGTAGCGCTGGAGGCCAGGGACGAAGCAGATGAGTTATCGGTTCCCATAGAAGACGGCGATGTGGAGTCGTTGTCTGCGCGGGGCTGCTTTCGAGGTCGGCCGCGCCCACGTCTCTGTGGCTGCTCATCATCAGGCCCTGCCGGCGATGGTGGGATGCTGAAGATCGAATCGTCAGCGCTAACCACATTGCGCAAGCTCGACGAATTGCGCTCCTTATTGATCGAGGGGAGCTTCGACTTCGGGCCAGCCGCAGCAGTATTCTGACTGGCCTTTGCTTCACGCATTTCAGCTTTCTCCAGGGCTGTCTTCCTGACGAACATTCCACCTCGTCCACGGATCACCGTGCGGTTGTTGGATGTGACTTCAGCTTTGACTTCAACCACACCTCGCACCTTGTCGTCACTGTCGTCTTCATCAGCCTCCTCCTCATCATCGCCATGATCCTTGTCCCGCTCTTGTTTCTCATCCACCTTTGCCACCTCGGAGCCTTCTGGTAGCGTTATGTGAATGGGATCACTCGCAGCAAGTCCACGCCGCTTGCGATCGGTGCGATCGGCGACGTCTCCGAGCAAACGGAAGATCCTCTCCATTAACGGATCGTCGGGATCTTTTGGCTTCTTGTGGGCCAAACGCCGGGACTTTACAGGAACAGTGCGAGGAGTGCCTGGCTTGGTCCTCCTTGCAGGCGTAGACTTTGCTGAGGAGCTCCCCTTTGGTTTGAAACGACCTCTCCCATCGCGCACATTGCCATGCTCGTCGGGCTCATCTCCATCTTCCGTGATTTGGTCGTCAGGTCGTGGATACTTTCGCGGCCTACCCCGACTTTTTCTCGCGGCACTATCAGGATCGTCGTCTTCGACATCGACCTCGCGTTTTCGTTTATTCGATCTGCTGCTCTCTGCTCGCCGCTGTTTCGGAGTCACAGATTGCGACTCGTCATCTGCGCCCGAATCATCGCTACTGCTCTCCTCGTGTAGGATCATGCCCCGTGGATCCCAACCATTCACCTGTTTCGTTTCGCACGTGTGGCAAAGACACTCGCAATTGCCTACGCCAAAGTAGTCAGTACCATAGGTCACCGTAATTTCCTCGCCAGTGTAGATGTTTCTCTTTGCGATGATTTCGATGCCGTGTGCTCCCATGGTCCTGAGTTTGGCATTGGAGTTACAGTCGTGATTGGCAAAGCGCGCTGGACCGAGAAAGAGCGAAGGCCGTTTCTTGCGGCTGGTTATGACGATACTGAAGTCAGTGCCACTCGAGAGCTCTCGCTCCTCTTGCTCCGTCATCTCGACCTGGATACCGCGCAGATAGCGGATCTGATCACCCTTGCGAATGTTCTTGCGGGCCACTACGCTGGCCTCGGCAGTTGTGATGGTGTAGCGATTAGTCGTGCAGACCTCGAACGGGCAATCCGGTAGCCACATATCGATGTACTGGCGCAAGTGCCGGACAAAGTGTTCCCGCTCATCTTCGGTTCGCAGAGCCTGGTGAAAGCAAGCGATGCCCTTGGTTCCTAACAACAACTCCTGCGCCTTCTTCGCGTTCTTGTTAATGACGACCTCTTGCTGCAAGATCTTGCACACTTGCTCTTGAGTAATATGGCGACTACCATGGTAGGTAGCCTTGAGCTTGCGAATATGGGACCAGAAGTAGACCTACGGTGTCGAGTTAGCATGGCGCGCATATACAGTGTCGCAGTTGCATTACACACCTTGTCGACGAGCGCGTCAGTGGCCCAGTCGTCGTAGTTTGCCAGTTGCGACAAGTTCAGGCCGCCCTTCTTGTTGAGCGCATCCTCGAGGTCGGCAGCATGCTGCGGCGCCATGTTGTTGACAAGACGCAGTCAGCGCACTCCGCCTTGGTCTCCCCTCCACGCTACTCAATGTAGCGGAGAGTGTTGTCGTAAGAATTGAACGCACTTGTGGCCTATATTCTCGCACACTCTGCACCCTTCCAGTCGAGTCCCGACTTGGCACGCATGTATGTTGGCCCGTGGGGGCGTGTCTTCCTTTATGCGTAGGTGGCTTATGTGTTCCGGACCGCGTGTTTGGTATGCGATGTCATTATTCCCGATGCTTCCAGGCGCGGCGCAAACAAGGAACGGATCGCTCAGAGAGAGAGGGTGGATGCTTCTGTCGCGACACTTCGGGCCAGTTGGCTGGGCGTGTAAGTAAGTATTCGAGGAGGGAGAGAGAGGGAGGAGAGGCGGGGGGCAGGGGGGCGGCAGAGGGAGCGAGCAGAAGAACACGTAAGCGAATGGCGGTGGTGGTTGTGATGGCGGTGATGGTGGTGATTGTGAATCGTGAAGAGGCAGAGGCGGAGATGGAGCGAGCGAGTGGCTGGTGCTGGACTGGCTTCCTGACTGTCCCTTGTAGGTGGAACAACAAGTCTCGACTCGGCTCCCACTGCAGAGAACTGCCACTAATCCACAGCGCACGACCGGGACGTCCCGCAGAGCCTCTTTCCCGGTCCCGTCCCACTTTTACTGTATGTAGAGTGATCCTTGCATTGCCGATCGCCGAGCACACACAAGACATCTCCATACCGTACACCTAACCTACCTTACCTAACCACCTCCATACCGGACCTGCACACTGCCCAGCAAAAACAGACGACACCCCGCCATCATGATTCAACTCAAGGTCCGTCCTTCACCCCTTCCCCTCATATTCCCCATCACTAACCCGAGCCCAGACAATGGTCAATGTCATCGACAATTCCGGCGCCGCCATAGCAGAATGCGTCAAAGTCCTCAAACGCAAAACCCCCGCGCGCGTCGGCGACCGCATCATCGTCGTTGTCCAAAAACAACGCAACTTTGGACCCGAAAGCGGTGGAGGTGGAGGTTCCGTGTCCGTGTCCGCTGCCAATAAAGTGCGACGAGGAGACATCAGACATGCCGTGGTGGTGCGCACGAAGAAAGAGTTTGTGAGAAAGGATGGAAGTGTCGTGAAGTTTGATGATAATGCCTGTGTGCTGATCAACAAAGGAGGAGAGCCCATTGGGACGAGATTGAACGGGATTGTTGCGAGGGAGGTGAGGGACAAGGGGTGGAGTAAGATTTTGAGCTTGGCCCCGATGCATTTGTAGAAGAGGGAATCGGCACAACAGAGGAGAGAGGTGGAGGGGATACGAGAGGGCATGGAATCGTTGGCAAGAAGTGGTCAACGGCTGGTGGCAGCGTCAAGTCGAGATGCCGGGAAGGCGAGACTCCACGGTATCTGGCGCATCGCATTCGAGGGCTGCATACATCATGGCCGCGCTGCCGTTCCTGTTCTGTGGAGGGCGCATGCAGGGAGACGAAGCTGGCAGGACCAAGAGAAGACTGCGATGCAAGACTCTACCTAGCAGCTGGAAAGTGCCGGCTCGTCGACCGGACGAGCCACATTGGACGTGACTGGGAATTTGTGTTCGATTTGGTTATGACAAAGCGTGGAGTTCAAGGGTGCGCTGGAATTTCCACTCACATCAGCGGAGCGAAAGCGATTGTGACATATAGGTGAGTGCTACACATCATTCAGAGCCCATTTTTAGTAAGGTAGGTAGATCCAAAAGGAGCTCTCGCCGCATCAGATCCCGAAGCAGCTACCTTATTCACATTTTCACCTCTGCCCCTGTGCGCTGATCAAAGAAAATATACCAAATAAGGTACATGTAGTCGGCGCTAGATCACAAAAAAGTGCAGAGAGTGAAGAAGAGCAAAAAAGAAAAAAGAGTGCGCATGCATCCTACCGCAAGCCCCCCAATCGAATCCAACCCTCGTAAACATATATAAGGTAGGTATTCTTCTTACAAGTTTTCCTAGGCAGACTCGAGAGGAATACCTAGGTAGGTAGGTAGGTAGGTAGTTGCAGAAAAACAAAACATCAAAAGCTACAGGTATCTCAGCTACACCCAATTCACCCCCGACCTAGCTATACATATACATATACATATACATATACCTCCAGGTAGGCATCAATATCTAGCCAACAAATATAAAAAGTATAACCCAACACCGGAATAAAGGGTATATTAGTATCCCCTCTCCCGAGCCAAAAAGAAAGAAAAAAGGTTCCTATATAGAACAACTTTATCTATTCTATATTCTCTCCCGTCTGTCCGTCTTTCCGTTGTACTCTTAAAGGATAGGGTAAAAGGTATATTATATTATACTATATTATATCAAATCTAATATACTACAAAAGAAGGGAAGAGAAAGGAAAGGAAAGGAAAGAGAAAGAAAAGGGTCCTCCTATAGAATAAAGCTACCTACCTTACCTACCTGTAACCTTAAGGATAGTGTATTACTTTCTATAAAGACCCTTTTGCTTAAGGGCCCGTTCGCTTGTACACCTTATAGCTTCTAGCTAGAAGCTATAAGGCTATCTTGAGCTATAAGACGGTCGCGTTCGCTTGTTTACCTTATAGCTTCTCGCTAGAAGCTAGGTTTTTAGCTATAATGTAGATACTACGTTGATCTTATATAAAAGGGGGAAGGCTCGCGTTCTCAACGTAAAAAAATACGCTAAATCGTCTTATAGCTAGATTAACCTCATTTTCTCGCTTCTAAGTATAAGGACCTATTTTTATTATAGGTAGGTACGGGTAGGTACGGGTACCTCCCGTCTTCCGGTGTCTAGTCCTAATATAGTACAATCTATACTATAAAGGGAGTAGTCTCTTACCTTGTATATAAGGCGAGTTGGTTATAATAATACAAGCGAACACCCCCGGCTTATAGATTTAGTTATAACGACCTATATTTAAGAGCAAGAGTTTGGGTAGCGTCAGCTTCTAGCTAGAAGCTATAAGGAACAAGCGAACGGGGCCTAATAGCTACCTACTTACCTACCTATATACCTAACCTATATATATATAGTAGGATAGTTCTTTATTTTCCTTTTTCCTTTTTTGTTGTTTACGCAAGGGTATAGGTAAGGTATACAGGTAAGGTAAGGTTAGAAACCTTTTATCGTAAGACCCTTTTAAAGGTATTATAGCAGTGTAGTAGAGTACTACCTACCTATCTACCTCTACTAGTCGGGACGAGAAGGTTGAGGCTGTGCATTGTAGTAGTAGGACATACCTTCCCAAGTTAGTACGAGGGAGTTTGAGGTAAGAGAGGTTGATGAGATACCTCTCGTCCTATCGAAAGGCTATACACATCATATACCTATCGATAGGGGCGTCGGAAGTCCCGTAGAAGTTTTTTCCCTTCCTCGCTTTTAGACTAGGAGATACAGACTACAGACTACAGACCACCTACGAATCCTCGTACTTCCTTTCCGTCCTTTTTCTTCCTTCTTATCAAAGTTGTTAGACTTTTTATTAAGCTGATTCTAAACGAGGGGCGGATTCTCCTTTAGGACAGAGGTAGATGTAGATATTTGAAAGTAGAAGGTCTGTGAACTGGCTGGATTTGGTGGGACTGGTTGATTTATCCACCTACCTTAGGTATCCATTCATGATACCTCCTAGGAGATAGTAAGGTATTGAGTCCAACTGATGTTGGTTAGTTGAGCCCGAGATTGCTGCTACCGTACGCGCGGCATCGTCAGAGATGTTATGTTCACTGGTACTGGGAAGAACCACACAGTTTTTAGAGGGGGGCAGTACTAGGTATCCACACTTTTTGCGCGCCGAGACTTGGGGCGCATGTCGAGCGCGTGTTCAGCACAGTGAGTGCCGAAGTTTGTTGTGTTGTAGTGGTGTTGTCGCCCAAAGTCCCATGTGATGGTTACCTCCTGCATGTTGTGTTTCCATTGCATCGATTCCCTGCCTGTAGCGGCGTAGCCCCGATCGATCTAGAACCGGCTCTACTGCACAGTGGGATTTTTAGTTCCAGGTAGTTTAACTGAGTTTAGAACTTCAGATCTTGGACCCTTGGCCCGGCATATGGCGACAAAGGTTGAACCTTGCTTGTGAGCAAAGAAGGACTCTGACTGCACTGCTGGCATCCACTAGGAGGAGGTATCAAACCATCCACAACAAGCTGTACAACACAGAACAAGGTCCTGCTGACCTGCTTGGTCTACACACTGTCACGCTTCGCTTTTTGTGTGTGTTTTCTGTCGTCGTTTCTTCCAACTTCCAAGTGTGACCATCTTGGACGCCATGGCTTTTACCATCGCTGGTCCTCTTTCGTGGCGTTTTGGCATGGCGTCATGCGGCTGCTTGTCATCCGAAGTAAAGCGAAAGAACGATGGCACTATGGGAAACGCAGAGACGCCTTGTGCAGACCAACAGGCACGCTTCCTTTCAGCCATAGTGGATAAAGGCGTATTTGGAAAACTGAAAAAGTCAACGCGAGGCGCTGACGTGCACGCCTTGTGCCAGATTCCTCCATTGTTTACTGATCACACCGGAATATCTATGTGGCCTTCTGGTTCGGCCGTTCGATCCGTAGTAAGCCGATAGATTGGTTCTTGTCGTGTGCTTGTGCACTACATAGGAACTTGGAAAGTAAGCGTAGCGTGCTTTTGCAGCATAGATAGATACATGTAGTAGGCCAGACCAGCGCATTCCTGTCGAGACGTTATTGAGACCTTGACCAGACCCATTCACCACCTGCACAGTCCTCTCCTCTGGTCGCAAACTTTCCGGGTCGTTGGTAATACCTGGAGGATTTATACAGCACGTTCACACCCGGCGGGATCTTTTGCCAATATTGCCAAATCTTCGAACAGCCGTGTTCTTTGTTCTGGAAAGGCCGAGATTGGGTTCGACCAGGCTACTGAATCTGTACTCGAGTCGGGATTCGTCGAGCTGTCCAGATCGGGAAAAAGAACGACATACAGCCTCCTCGCCTTGCCAGAATAAGAAGAGCGCAACCTCTGCTCGGGCATTTGGGATCCTGAACATCGTGAATTTGAGAGAAAAAAATCGATCGCAGCGGCAAGCTTCGCTGTCTGAGGCTTGACCTCGCACGACATCCACGTTTCTTGAAATCTTTCTACACCGCACTCCGCCGTTTCAGGCGCAATTTTCGGCGACACATACCCCACCACCATACATACCACCATACCACCATGGCATCAACACAGATCGTACCAGTCCGCTTGAGATCGTGTAGTTGCGGAAAACATATTCAACAAAGTCTGGAGCGATGCACATCTTGTTCCAGGCAGTTCCAGAGACGAGTTTCTCCACGAGCGCGGCCACTTACACCACCTCCCACAGCGCCCGATAGCACCCGGCTGTCCCAGGCAACGATTGCACTCAATGATGCATTTGCATCAGACGACACCGTGCCCCGAATACTGCCCAAATCCATTTACCGCATGCCAGAAAGACCATCAGCAACACCATCACGAGCGACTTCAGCACCACCTTCAGGTGTTTCTTCACCGTCGACGGATGCCACTCATGTACGACGGACCTCGGACGAATCCATGTCAGCGCAGTCTCCCGGGCGGTCTCCCAACGGAAGAGCATATGCGCCCATGGCTGCGGCATTTGTACGTGTCGCTCGCGAAGTCCAGATGGTGAATTCGGCCCCCAATCAGCTGAATCGGGAGAGCAGTGGGAGCAGCAGGCCCGGGCTCGAAGCGGAATTGAGGCTGTTTGACGGACCCGCCTGAATGTTCCAATTGTTCTTTTTTCCTATTTTATTTAGTGATACCCTTTTGATCAAGCGGGGCGATGAGGCTCGATATTCATGTATTTGTAGGTAGACCAATTAACGAATCCCAAAGTACGATGAAAAATGATTTCTGTCCGGATCTCACCAGAGTGACGGCTTTTCTGGTTGTCCTCCCCCGCCTTACCTCCTTGAAGCTTCTATTGTAGAGCCGTTGCGCGTGAGAGCGTGTTCATCGCGTTGCCGAGTCGGGTACTCCCATACCGTTAGCCCACGTGAGCACGCGTTTGTTGATGTAAATAGAAAAGTGGAAGGAGGAGCGCGTGGAAGCTTGCGTGTATGAAGCTTTTGCAAAGCCGCCTCTTCCGCCGGCACGGGCCGCTTGCTTATTTAAGGTAAGGTAGCTTACGTACACAACATTCAGGGGCCATCTCCAACACCTCCAGTCCTCCATCTCTCGCGCACTTTATACAGTGTACATGACTCTCTCAGGCAGATTTGCTCCAGAAGAAGCGACACGTCGGCGAAAACTAAAGTGTCATCAACTACCTACAGTACCTTATATGTACCCCAACTCACAAAAGTCCACAGTTCTACATTTTTTAGGTAATTAATAATGGGCCAGCAGCTCGCAGTGGGGACTCACGGTCTATATTTGCAACCAGAAAGAATCCACTACGGCATCGCGACTGGCCGCTGCAGGCGAGTCGGGAATTCGGGATGTGTTGCATAATCATTTTGACCCACAATAATGATCGAAGGCTCTTCAATGGCCGCGCAGTAGGTAGGTAGTCGGTCGCCTCCTCCAGTCCTCACCGTCCCAAAATTACCTCCTACTTATACCTACCTTACCTACTAATACTCCTACAAACTCCTCTGGAAACATTCGATCTTTTCACTCTTGTGCACCTTGGTGGCATCCATCCATCCATTCATTCCTACCTGACTCTGATTATCTTGTACTCATATCACCCCATAATTTCATCCTACTAGCCAAAGTATATCTCAGCCCACATCGCCGACAATGCGTTTCTTCTCCACCATCACCGCTCTAGCAGCGTCCGCACAAAGCGTAGCAGCCTACTACAAAGGTAGGTAAAAACGATTCCAAAGAGGCGGAGAGAGACAAAGAGACAGGGAAAGCAGAGAGAAAAAGACAAGCAAGGTACCTATCAGTCCACAACTGACTCAAGATAAAAAAAATCCAGGCTTCAACGTAGGAGCAAACAACCCCGACGGAACCTGCAAAACCACCTCCCAATGGGAAACAGCTTTTAACAAACTCCGAGGCCTACCGCAAGACGTATCCGTAGTCCGTCTCTACGCCTCAAGCGACTGCAACACCCTAGCAAATGCCGTGCCCGCCGCCGTGACAACCAACACAAAAATTCTCGTAGGAATCTGGACCGAAGACTCGGCGCACTACAGCGCAGAGAAAGCAGCATTAGAATCTGCAATTCAGGCTCATGGCATAGATTGGATTCTGGCTATTTCCGTTGGCAGCGAGGATCTCTATCGCGGAGATACTACAGCAAGCACACTCGCCCAGCAGATTTATGATGTGCGAGGTATGGTGCGGGCGTTGGGAGTTCAAGCTGAAGTCGGTCATGTAGACACTTACAATGCGTGGACCAATTCTGCCAATGACGATGTTATCAAGGCTTGTGATTTCATTGGTATGGACGCATACCCGTACTGGCAAGGAAGCTCCATTGAGGATGCATACAATGTCTTCTTCCAGGCCTACCAAGAGACGAAAAACCATGTTCAGTCTGTAGGAAGTGGCGCGTGGGTGGTACGTCTTCTTTCTTTCCTTCTTTCTTTCTTCTTTCTTTCTTCTTTCTTTCTTCTTTCTTCCCTTCTTTCCTTCCTTCCTTCCTTTTTTTTTCTTTTCTTTTTTTTTCTTTTTTTTTTTTTTCATTAATACCAATTTCTTTTACAAACACACCCTGCCAAGTCTTCAGTCATCAGAAGAAGCTAACCATAATTTTTTCTTCTCAACAATAGTGGGTGACCGAGACGTCCTGGCCCGTGACGGGCGCCAACTATGGCAGCGCCGTACCATCTGTGGCCAATGCGCAAAAATTCTGGCGATCCGTCGCTTGCGAGCTCTTCAACGAGGGACACGTCTTCTGGTATGCCTACCAAGACTACAACGACTCTCCCTCCTTTGGCGTCTTCGACTCAAATGGAAATGCCATTTACGATCTATACGGCTGCTGAGGCTGTGAAGCCAAAGTCGGCGCTCTTTACCACGAGAAACAGACCGTGGTGTCTTGAAGCTGTTGTTTACACAGACAAGAGAGGTCTGTAGACTTTGTTGCTACCGTTCACGGAGAGAGAAGCCCAGCGACTAGAGATGAAGATCATTTACTTTGAGTAGCAATATCGTCACAAAATACAACGCCCCACTTCCAACTCACCTATTACGTCCATCCAATAGTGCATGCATGTAGCCCAAGTCTACCAACGCCAACGACAAAAAAGTCCCTCTTCACAAGAAAGCACCACCTCCGATCGAAGTGTCCTCTAGCTCCGCCCTCTTCACCAAACTCTCCCTACTCTTCCGCTCATTGAGCCAGTCCGTGACCATGTGCTGCCCGGGAGACCGACGAGATCGATCCCGCATCTCCATCATCGACTGTCGAGACAACGACGACGACGGCTTGCTCACGCCTGCTTTGGGCTCCCTCATCGATTGTCGAGACTCGCGAGCCGAGAGTCTGGTGAGTGATGGTTGTGCCACTGCCTCCTTCAGGCTCATCTTGCGGACCCCGGGCCGTGGCCTGTGCGAACCTGCCGCGAGCCACTGCGAGCTCGACAATGAAGGAAGTGGAGACGGGGGTGGGCGACCGGTGCTGCTCGGTGGTCGCACATTTTCCTTGCTGCCATAGCTATTCAACGGGCGGGACATGCTCGTACGTCCAACGTTCTCTCGAGTTCCGAGATTGGTCGGCGGTCGAGCTGGTTCTTGATAGCTTTGGGGTGAGAGAGGGCGACTCGTCTCCCGATAGCTACTAGGACTGAGAGCTCGCATACTTGGTGGACCAAAGTTCTCTGACAGGCTAGTACGGCTGGGCACAATTCTCGGATAGCGATCGTTCATAGCGGAAACGATGCTGCTCGTGCGTGACCGTGGTTGGCCTGCATCCTCGCCTGGCTCCGAGAGCGGCGAAATGGAGCCAGGTCTATTAGAGGCACTGTTGAGCAGTCGGAATTGCTGTTGTTCATCGGTGCCCAGAGTCGTCTTCATCTCATCTGACAGCCACGTGCGCCAAGAGCCACCTTCTTGTGATCGTTGATGACCAGGCGGAGTCTGCGTCACTGGCGAAGGACCGCGCATGAGTGACTGCATGGCAGGCGACGGAGTTCGGCGGGCTTGCATGTATTCCTCGTTGCTTGGAACACTCAACGACTGGTAATGTGGTTCGCCCGTTCCCAGGCTGGTCTTCATTTCGTCGGACAACCACTTGCGCCACGACCCGCTACCATGTCCGCGATGGCGTGGCTGTTGTGGCTTTGCAGGAGATATGCTGTATCTTCGCACTTCCCGTCCAGTAATCAAAATGGTCGTCGTACCTTCCTCTCCTTCTGGCGATAGCGGTCGCAGTGAGGCACCATCAGTGGCGCGAGAGTAAACACTGGGAGAGATGACATCTGACCTGCTAGCATGTGGCACTCTCAGCGCAGATCTACGCTTCAGACTGCTGCCGGGCGAGCTGACTTCATGGACTGGCGAGGGTCTGTTGATTGCATCTGGGGTGATGGTCCGTATGGTAGGCAAAGTTGGCTCGAAGAGCGTTGTATCGTCGATGGCTACGCAAGCATGCATCAGTTTTTCAGAGAGGCAATTTCGGAGAACACTTGAGACTCACCTGATGCCTCGAGAGGTGATGATATATCTGTCGTTTTGATCGGGTATTCGGACTTCGCGGGGCGAATACGTTTCTGCAGAGCACTGTAGAGCCCAGCACTCTCCTCAGATGATCCGTTTAGCTCCGCTTTGCTACTTCTACGCAGTCTATTGCGTACCGGCCCGCCAAAGAAGGAGCCTTTTTGGCGTAGCTCACGGCTATTCTCCTCCATTACAGGCTCCGCTTTGGTGTCAACCTGAGCCTGAGAGCGTACGGAGTTGACGAAGAAAGAACTTTTCTTGCGCAGACCACGGCTGTTGAGTTCCAGCACGGGCTCAGGTGCTTGCACATATGAATGGGATGGGCGTCGGCTGCTACGAATGCTGGAGACTGCTGCGATAGTGGAGTTCGTCCAGCTTGTGACTCGAGACTTGGCTGACATGGAGTATGGTCGGGTGTAAGGTTCTGCTCCAGGAGACACGCCGAAATCTGCCGTGTTATGACCTTGCAGAGCACCTCCTGGCTCTGCAACTGCTGGTACGGCGTCCGGAGGGGGAGCATCAGGAGAAGGAGCACGTGCCAGTGAAAGGACATTTACGGGCGTCGACTTTCGAAAGACTTGCTTGATGCGTCCCTTGATGGCGGTCGAGAAATGGCGTTGTGTGGGAGTGTTGGCTTGTGCAGCCCTGGCAGCCTGTGTCTCTGTGGAGACGATCATATACGGATCCACTGTTTTCAGGACGGGCACATTTGCCAGCGGTGACTGAGCAGCCGGCAGAACGGGCGGCGGCACAGCAGCTACCTCTGGTATAACCTTTGGTGCCGCTGTCGATGGTATTGATGTCGTCTCTTGCTTTTGCGTGGTTGAAGTAGTGGACCGAGTGGAACGCCGCCGTGCAAGATCAAAATGGCTTCCCTGCGATGTCCTCGACTTCCGACTCGGGCGGCGTGTGGGAGTGGTCTGGTCTTCTGCGTGGCGCGCATAGGCGCTCCTCGCTGCTGCCGCCGCCTCCACGGTCGACATGCTTCGCGTTAGCCCGGCCACATCAGCAGCCATGTTAGTACAGGTAGTCGACGTGCTCGCAGACGGGAAGCAGAATGGGAAGAAGGAAAACAACGGCCCTGGGAGATTGATACCTACCTGCCTGGCTGCATCCATTCTACAGTCAGCAGCAGCACAGGGCATCATACAGCCAGACGGCAAGATGGACAGATGCATAGCACTTGCTTCTTCCACTTGCTAGAGAGTCGGTCTTGTAGCAACGGGAGTCCACTAGAAGTGTTCCAGAACAAGGCGGCACGCACGCGATGAGCCGTGACCTGATCTGTAGTCGATATTCGTAGGAAGAAGATGGTAGTAGGGTCGGAGACTCAGAGAAGGAAATACCTGTACCTATCCGCAATGTACCCTTGCTGTCGTTACCGAATGGAGACTAGTCCGCCCACACCCATGTCCCTCCCTCCCGCCCTTCCTCCCCCTCCCTCCCGCCGACAGATTGCCTTTTTCCCCGGGCAGCTTTCGTGTTCTTCGGCTCTCGAATGTTCATCTTCTCGTCTTGTCCCATCAGCATCTCTCATTCTCTCTCTCAATGTAAGTCACGGGTTCTCCACAACTCCAAAGTTGCTCACGCGCAACATGTCGTGGGGGAAAAGAACGGAAAGTCACCAACAAGACACGTCGAAGAACACCACCTCTGGCGCGCGCCATGCCTCGGTCCCGTTGGACTTTCTTACTAAGGAGAATCGAACCGAGGCATCGCGCCGCGAAGCTTCAAGAACGACGGGACTACGCGAAGTATATCATGACTTCATTCGCCAGGGACAGGGAGAGCATGAGCACGACACACCACCCTGAGTCTGTTGTTGTTCGAAAGGCGGTCGGAACTCTCCAGCACTTTTCCTACATCTACTACACTCCCCTCGGCTGACTCTGACACTCTGGACACTCCATATCGCAGCCATGGGTAATGTCCTCACCTCGCAGCCTGGAAAGGGCCTCTGGACACTGTTCGCCTTGGCTCTCAATACTGCTCGGTTCCCACTATGGATGCTCTGGTATCTTCCGCCCTTCCTACGCCAGCACCCAACCTGGAGCTACAGGCAAGCAATCATGGTGCAAATAGTCAAGACGTTTCTGTGGAATGCCTCAATGGTCGAGATCAAGACACCTCTCGCATTACTCCCTGGCGCCGAGAAGGAGAAATGGGCAGTCGCAAAGGTCGCTCCACCAAACACCTACACTGGCCCAGCTAGGATTGATGGATCTCTCAAGCCCGAGGACTGTGGAGGAACCTGGTATCCCACACCCAACCCACTTGGCGGTGTCTACCGACCCAAACTGGTGATTCTGCACTTCCACGGCGGCGCTTATGTCATTGGTGATGGACGCAAAAAGGATGCTGCATTCGCCGCCAAAACCCTGCGGGACAACACTGATGCGACGTATGTTTTCTGCCCGCAATACAGACTGTCCTCGAACCCGGGCTGCAGATTCCCAGCTGCCCTCCAGGATGCCATCACGACATACTCGTATCTCATCAACGAGCGTGAGATTGACGCGAGCAAGATTATCATCTCAGGTGACAGTGCAGGAGCCAACCTCGCCCTGGCTCTCACGCGCTACATCACCGAGCACGGCGAGGCTTCTGGTCTCGGATCCCCCCACGCCACCCTTCTCTGGTCTCCATGGGTATCCCCAGCCGGCTCATTGACATCAGAGGGTTTCGATAGCAGCCCCAACGTCAAAACAGACTACATTACATCCGACTTCGGAAAGTGGGGCGCGCGGACTTTGCAGCCACTCCCAAGCACTGGTGCCACTTTGGACCATCCATATATCAGCTTTGCACAGAACGCGTTCGCCACCAAAACTCCCATCTACATCTCCACTGGAGAATGTGAAGTTCTGTTCCACGATGATGTCGCGCTGTATGAGGAGATGCGCGCGATTGAGGGCAATGACGTTCACCTCCAAGTGGAAGAACACGCCGTCCACGACACAATCCTGGCTGGACCTTTGGTGGGTTTCGAAAAGGAAGCTCAGTTGGCAGCCAAGAGGGCAGGAGAGTGGCTGCGCACTTTGAACCCGACTGGCAACTAGACAAGGTGTTTGCTTTTAATGTCAGGAGTAACTTTACCTTATTCACCGTGTGGCTTGATTGCAGTCTTGGGCAAGTCGGTCATGTGTACACTACAGTTAGGCATACCAGAATCATCTTCCATTTTTCAACTAATCCTCTGAAATGTTGTACTGCTCACCCACAGAATCTCATGTGCATACCCTCGGCGTGTCCGACGAAGCGAGTGATACACATAAAAGACTTCGTGGCAGAGTCAAGCAAGCCCTTGCAGGGGAATTTTCTGTTGTGTGGAGGGGGAGGGGGGTGGCGGGATGTAGGAGGGAGGAGTTTCAAGGTGAAGGTGAGGTGAACCTCATGCTGTGACGGGCTTGGAGAATGGATCGATGGGTGCTAAGGTACTGCTGCGCCAATGAAGAGAGCTAGAAGGTACATTTGAGGTGGCTATGATGGGGTTTGCGTCTTGGGATTCAGCGTGGGGATTGGAGACTGCTACGTCCGGCCTTGTGGTCTGTTATTGGGTTCTTCGGCTTTGATATGATAATTAAAGAAGAATGGGCCAATTCATCATCTCCTCGTACCATACAGTGGCCCAGCCATACTTATTTTCAACCTACCTCTTCAGTATACACGCGGTTGGTTTAATATCCTCCTACTACACGCTGGCCAGACTGAGTTCCTTCAAGCACTCGGCAATGTGGTCATTGTTGTCTTTCCAACCTACCATGTCAATGTAGAGATTCTTTACCTCCCGAGAGAGTCGGGACGAAGCCATAACCGAGCTGTTGCTTCTGAGGATCATCCTCGTACTTGACTGAGGCATCGGCGGAGCACTTGGTCTCGACATCCACTTCCCTGGCCGTGAAGTCAAAGTCCTGCTCAGCTTCTGTTTCATCTGCTCGCTGACCCCCAGGAACAAGTCAGAGCGGCAATATTGATGAAGTGCCAGATCCTGCAATGTCTCAGCTGCTTTCCAAGCATCGACGACATTGAAATAGGACTTTTCGGAGGGATCGGTGACCGAAGCGACATTGCTATTGACCGCAAATGTGTGCGGCCACGGAAGGTCAGATAGCGCCCTCATAATGACCCCCATGTTGCACAATTGCAAGATTGGCGAGAGCAGATACGTAGCGACAACTAGAGTAAAATCGGGACCGAATTTTTCGGCGACCCGAATTGCTTCCTTGGCTATTACGTTGACAGGGGGCCTTGGGTGAGATGACATCGGCAGATAATGTTGAAACTCCTGAAAAGCTACGGCTTTGTAGTGCTTGCCACTGATGGTTCCGAAAACAAGAAACTCGTAATCCCATACTGGCGTGTTGAAAAGCTGACGGGCATGCTCGGTATGCAGGACTACGTTGCGCTCCGGTAAGCCTTGGGTATCGAGAATGCTGATGTGTGCGTTACCGATGCCAGTTCCGGCCATTGCGATCACCACAGATAGTGATTGAGACCAAGACGAGTAGACGGTCGTGACCCTGCTATGGGCTGCGAGATGCAATTCTGTTATGCGCCTGAGCTTATCGAGTGGCGTCTCCCGAAAAGACGGCAGGTCTGGCGTCTTTAGAAATGCAAGTGGAGTAACGGCATCGATGGTGTTGAGTGCTGCACTGCCGCCAGACTGGTTGTTCCAATAGCGGAAAAGGAACCTAGGAATCTCGCCACGCATGGAATCGACCTGTTTCTTGATCTGGGCTTGCTTTCCAGTAGGGTGCTGCATCTCGCGAGCGTCGATACTCTGTGTGGCCATGATGCAGGGCTTTGTTGTTGGTCAGGGCAATTGAGTTCGCGTGATGTGTATCTGTTTTGGTCGTGAACAGTGTGGTGTCTGTGCTGAGCCTTTCCCTAAGGAAATCCACGAATATAAGCAGCTTCCCACAGCAGGTGTGTCTTATCGGATGAGCGAAGGACATGGCATCCTCGCCGAGACAACGTGCTCAGTCGCTGCCACATTTTCCCAGACCGGCAACACTGGTGGTGTATGAAGGGGAGCGACACATCTTGAATGGGCGTGTCAACTGAAGCCATCTGATACTGTCTTGGCTGACATTTCGATACATGTGGATGAGTTCAGATGGTTGTCTCGTAGCCAGAGCTCCTGTCGCCGGGAAGCATACCTGAGGAGCGTTCAGCCCACTCTGCTAGCCTGGACTCCGAGTCTGGGCAGAAGAGATGTTGCTTGCTTCACTGTGCTCAGTTACGTCCCTCGGGATGGCTCTGTGACCGTATGCAGAAATTCAACAGTTGTTCAGTCACCACCAGCTTCATTGACCTCCTTTTCCGCCCTCTCCTGCTCGCGTAGTTTCTTCTTGGCCAGCAGATCCTTCAACTTCTTCGCCACACCAAAGCTCCCTTGCGTGTCCGATCCGCAGTTGGCGCATTGTTTCTTCTTATGCTTCATGTACCTCGTCATGGCGCACTTTTCGCAAAAGTAGTGGCCACACTTCGTCACGACAGGATTCTTGTAACTTTCCTTGCAGATAATGCAAGCAAAAGGAATCTCCATGAGCATCTTTTCTTCGTCGTCCATGCCTTCCGTATTTGGATCTGTTCCAGCACCGGGTTTCTTGTCCTTCTTGCCAGCCTTTTCCCACTCTTTGTCAAGCTGCCAGCCTTGCTTGTAGTCTTCTCGAGCGTGCAAGAACTTGCAGCTATCCCCAAAACCGCAGAATCCTGTTTGCTTATAGTCCTTGCACACGTCTGGGGCGAAGTCCGTAACGGTGATGGCGCGCACATTGGTGGGAGCTTTCTGCGGTCCCAACTGCTTCTTTTCGGGATTCTTTTGGATGAATGTGGAGTACTTTGCTGTGCCTTGATATGTGCCATCGGTAGCTTCAGGCACTACAGTTTCAGTGGCAGGCTTTGAGTTCGAGCCATCTTTCGCAGCCAGAGCGGCATCTGTGTACCAGTTGGAGGCCTTGGTGGCATCGTCGTTGGCGGAAAAGGTGGTGGAGCGATCTGCTTGGAAAGCGGTGTATTTGCTCGTGACGACGTCTCGCGTGGCAGCTTCTGCGGTGATGTTGACCCCTTCCTTTTTGCGACGCTTGATTCGTGCGCCCTGCTCATCGTCAGTGTAGTCGGAGTCCTCTGAGAGGTCGTCTTCGGGCGGAGGCGTCGCGGGTCGTTTGCGAATGTTGGCAGTCTTGGCGCGCTTTTTGAAGACGGGCGGTGGTGGAGTGGTGTCTGCCATGGTGGAGGTTGCAGTGATGTTGTGGGCGTGAACCTACTTCCAAAGGTCAGGTACCTCCTACCTCCTAGGTACAGGCAAGGGAAGAGGAATACTGTATGATGATGATCGCCCTTGCCAGACAGGCAAGGCTTACCTAATTCACGCACATCCCGGAAAAGTCCAGTCCAATAACGTTTGTAATGTTACCTCGTAACCTCAAGGCTCACTACAGCCTACAGGTACCTCATAATGTCAGCCAACCTCAGGCTCCTCAAGGCTCAAGCGGCCAAGCCCGGGCAGGAATTGAAACGCTGAAGCAACGCCACTCGCAGGCTGCAGCAGTACAGCAGTAACAGTACAAGACAGACCGGGGCGACCTGTATGCCTGTTTCGGATGTGATTTGTTGCATGAACTGCACCAGACCCCCTCAATTACACGTATGCCACTGCAATCATGACCTGGTCATACATGTACCTTACAGGTAACGGTGATGATGATGATGATGATGACGGGCGTCGGGCGGTACAGTCAGGAAGGTAATACTCATCATGATACCGCCCGGAGAGAATACCTTACACCTACATGTACATGTTGCATGTATATCATATATAGGTGTACCTCTACTGATCGTGAGGGGCAACGACAAACAGCCAGCACATATCTTCTATTGCATATCCATGTCGAGGACCCATTGCCGGACCAATCGGGGTAGATGATCGGAATGGGGGGTAATGATCGGGTCTGTGCCCGTGTGTGTGTTACCGACTTATCGTGTTTTGATGGAAAAATACACAATACACAAAAATACAGTTCCCAAAGTTCCCATCGTCCTAAACTCTGATGGAGCACGACCATTGCGCGCTCATCTTCATCGGTTCATCCCCACCTACTGCAGCCTGCCGCTGGCTGTGAGAGTGCTCCTCGACGCCGTGACTCGTCGACAACTTCATTTGTTGTTCCCTCCTTGTTGTTGTTCTTCTTCTTCTCCTTGCTACTCCCCTTTACTCATTCCATCTTCTTCTTGTTCCTCGTTGCTTTTGCTTGTTTCTTGTTCCTGGTTCCTGGTTCCTGGTTCCTGGTTCTGCTTCTGCTTCTGCTTCCCTTCTCCATCTTTGACCTGCGCAGAGCGCGCACGGTACCGGAATGCTGGGTTGTCTTGTCGCCTGGAGTACTCAAATAGAATAATAAACACTCGACAGATCGAACCGCCGCGTGGACCCGCTGCGCATCATTGCGCCTTCATACCTACCTGTACCGCTGGACAACCACATTCCCACCTTCCGGACCAGACATCTGCTGTTTTCCCCTCCACCGTCCGCCCGCCCGCTCGCGCCCCCGTTTCTCTCGCGCCCTCCTTTCCCGCGTCTTGTCATACTGTGGGATTGGGCGCCTGTTCTGGTGAGGTTTCTAATCTTTGCGGCGGCGACGACGACGACTACGAATACGACGACGACGACGACGACGACGTGATATTACTTCATCCATCACCATCACCAAACAGACCAGATCAGCCTTGGTTCAACAGCCAGCGCTTCCCAAGCCACTCCCGAGACACGCCAGACAGTTACCGACTGGTCCACCGTTCGTTCCCCAACTCCGTGCTACAACGCGTCGCGTCTTGCTCCATTCGTTATACTCTATACAAATAATACCCTGTTCCGGAGCACATGGAACGGAGACCCATGGCTGAAATCGTGAACCCGCCGTCTGGCACGGTGCGCTCCAACGGCAATAACAACAACGATCCCTTCCAGAACGAGCCTTCTGGACATACTCAGCGATATGCCGCCTTCGACAACGCGCAGTTCAGCATGTCCGCCCACTCACCTCATTCCGCGAAACGCGCCCTGGAGGCTCACATGCGGGATACAGACAGGCGAATCAAGGATGCCGCACGACTTGGCATGACCCTCACGTCGCAGCGATCAGAGCTTGCCGCGAAACTGAAAGAGGTGGAGCAAATGCAGCAAGATGCTGAGATGCCTGTCGAGCTACAGGGGAGGCTTGCGGAGCTTGAGCGAGAATACAACGAGGTGGGCCGCGAATCCGCGCGCGCTTTCCTGCCAAAGTCGAGGGTGGTCAGCGAAAGTCAAGACCTGCAGTCTGCCGCCGTCATGTCTGGCTCTGGCCGCGAGTCGCCTACGAAATTGGCTGCACCTTCCAGAAGACAGCGAAATCAGCTATCCAACAGGGTCCATGATATCGAATTCGCGACCGAGATTAGCACTTCTCTGCTGGCTCAAGTCAGGCAGCTACAATCTGCGCTGGCAGAGAAAGATGAGCATCTGAAGGACACCACGTCTGCAAAAGCCCAGCTGGAAGCGGAGTCTGCACATCTGCTGCAGAGAATACGGCACATGGACGAAAGTGAGCAAAAGTACAAAGACGAGAATTGGAATCTGGAAACCCGTCTGCAAGATATAGAGGCAAGCTTGAAAGAGAGTCTGGACAAGGAGAACAGATTGGCTCAGACGCTCAAGTCAGCACAATCTGAAAAGGCTGCGAAGGAGCGTGAGCTGGACGAACTCCGCGTCTCACATGAGAAGCTCAGCGAAGACCAAGCCAATGCTCGCAAGGTCACGGACAATGATTTCTATGCTCTGCAGCGTGATCACATGGGCCAGCTGACCGAGAATGAAAAGTTGCAAGCCAAAGTCAAGGAGTTGACCTCGCAAAATACTGAGCTCGCGCGGGCTGTTGCGTTCCGCATGAACCAACAGGTCCCTCAATCTGACACGGACTTCATGTCCGCCGAGGAGAATATGCAGTCCGACGACGCAAGCCCAGATCGCAGCGCCCCCGGCTCTCCAGTCAAAGGAACTCCGGCTCGTCATGGCATGCTCGAATCAGAAACATTAAAGTCAAGCTTGAATCACGCGCACCGCATGATCCAAAACCTCAAGAACAATATCCATCGTGAGAAGACGGAGAAGATCGAGCTCAAGCGGATGTTGCAAGACGCGCGCGATGAGCTCGAGCACAAGCGGGAAAGTACCGGCATTGCAGCCAACGTTGCAAAGAAGCGCAAGAGCGACAACGACGTCAAGTTCAAGCGACCTTCGAGCAACAGACTTGGCGCTGCTCGCTCCAGCACAACGGAAATTATCGATGAGCCAGACTGGGAAGATGAGACGATTGAGCAGACTCCCAGCAAGGCCAAGGATGGTGGTGGTGTTATGTCGAGAGGACACACCATGGCCGGAGTAGCAGCTGCGACGGCCTATGGCCGAGCATATGGGAGGTCTGATGGTGACACTACAGATGCATTCGAGACCGCCAACGAGACCGATACTGGCTTTGAAACAGCCACCGAGCGCGGCGGTACCACCGAGAGCGAAGCTTTTGCGACTGGCGCTGAAGACGTTGGCCATGACACCGAAGGCGATGCCACCGAGACGGAAGCCAGCTCTACTCGCAACCCTCGGCCCACCATCTCAGCCAAGCGCTTGTCATACATGTCTACTGCTTCCACATCTGGAGACGACGATGACGAGGAAATCGTAGGCACGCCTGTTCGCAATGCGCAACAACCGAAGTATAAACTGCGTCTCGGTCGGAGCGGCAGACGCTCTGGGCGTGTGAGCGATGTGATGCTAGAATCGCCACAAGCCAGTCAGGCTAGCCCGAGCTCTAGTATGGGAACGCCGCAACCTGCTGGCATGCAAAGTCTGGGCGACGAGCTCGATGCTCTCGACGACGACGACAGCATGGAAGGCACGCCTGTTTCGGAACGACATATGGACGATAGCTTCATGACCGAAACGCCCGTCACGCAACGTCAAGTCAGTGTTGAGCCAGGCACACCCAGTACGGCAACGACGTCGATGGATGCAATGGACGATGACGAACTCGCGGGCGTTTTCCCTGCCCATCACACTCCTATGATCAGCCCAAGAGGTCCTTCGCCTGCCCACAGTCCTGCTGTTGCAATCAGCAAGCCAGCGATGGTCGATGCGGGTATCATGACCGAGCCATGGGAGCCAGAGCCCGCTGTCGAGAAGACAAGTCTGCTCCAACACGCCGGTGAAGTAGCAGCTGGCGCACTGGCGGGCTTCGGTCTGAGCAGAGTGACTGGTCCGAGCCGCGAGTCGACGCAAGAAGAGTTGCCACACAAAGAGGCCGCTACTGGCCCCACTGAAGAGAGCACAATGATTGATGCGGGTGCACAGCCTGCGCAACCTCTTGAGGCGCCTGCTGAGCCAGCCCAGGCCGAGCGCAAGATGATCACCATAGGTACTGATGCCCGCGGTGTGCCAATCACGATCAGCACCGGCACAGACGCTCGTATCATACCGACGAGCAGTATCGGAACTGACGCCAGAGTCGCAACAACAACAATCCATGCAGGCACAGATCCCCGCGCACTGCCGCAGACTATCAGTATTGGCACAGATGCCCGTGGCAATCCTGTGAGTATTAGTGTAGGAACAGCGACTGATTTCGACACCGAACCCGAGTCGATTCTGCTGGCAGACCTTCCACGCGCTCCTGCCTCGCAGGAGCATTGGCCGCTAACAGCGCAAGATACGGATCCTGAAACGACTCTGTCCCCTGCTCAACCATATTCATCTTTTGCCAGTACTTCTAAGAGCGTGGAAAACGATGCCGAGGGGCCACAAATGCCGGCCGCGGCGCCACCTTTAGTCCCACTGGCTCAGCTTGCGTTCTCTCAAGTTGTCTCCCAGGAGATTGAGCCTATTGTACCTGATCCGATGTCAAGTTTCAAGGCTCAGCCATTCAGCCAAGGCCATGGATTCTTTGCTCCTGCTGCTGCTGGCGATGTCTTGACGAGAGGGCCAACCGAGGAAAACATTCCCATGGATTACCCTCTTGCAACGGCGTCTGCTAGAGAACCACTCGCGGAGACAGCAGCCGATACCCCGCCGTCCAGACCACCACCAGCACTTCCGATGAATGACGGGGAATCGCAAACACTCGTTACGGGCCATGAGATTGATCGTATGCTGAAGAATAAGAATGCTGTCGGCGCAACTCTCTTCTCGCTGGACGGCACCGAGCACTCTCCATACAAGAATGCCACCACTGCTGCCACGGTAGCTACAGCTCCCAGCACCCCGATGAAACGAGAACGCCAGTCCCAGTCCTCGGACATTCGTCCTTCGATCTATGAATCGCCCACTCTGCATCCACCTGGACGAAGACCTTCGAGCTCGGGATCTGCACGCAAGAAGGATGCTCTGATCAGCGCCCCTCCGCTGCCTGCAGACCACTATGTTAAGATTGCTGCAGCACAGCAGCCTGGCTCCCCAGAGCAGCCAGCATCTCGAGGTAATATGGGTCCACCAATGATGCCTGCTTCCGCGTATAAACGTCCCAACACTCCAAGCAGCCGGCCATATTACGAGCGCGCAATTCACTCGCGCGACTCTACAACACCTCGACCGGTGCGAACGAAGGACAGTCGCGGAACAGTAGCAAACATACGGTCAGACCGGGTATCGCATAGAACGTCGGTATCGTCGTTTGCATCCGAACTGGATGAGCGTTTCAACATGGAACGAGGCCACATGGTGTTACCACCAGACGTCGAACCCGCCACGGATCCACGAATGATACAAGCGATCACACAAACCATGATCGGAGAGTATCTTTGGAAGTATACTCGCAAGACGGGTCGCAACGAGACCTCCACCACGCGCCATCGGCGATTCTTCTGGGTGCACCCCTATACCAGGACGCTATACTGGAGTGAGCATGACCCGAGCACTGCTGGTAAGAGCATGATGAAGGCCAAAAGTGTCGCCATCGAAGCTGTGAGGGTCATTTCCGACGACAACGCGTTCCCGCCTGGCCTGCACCGCAAGTCTCTCGTGGTCATTACTCCGGGCCGTGAAATAGTATTTACAGCACCTACCGCACAAAGGCACGAGACGTGGTTCAATGCGTTGTCTTACTTGTTGCTGAAGACCGAAAGGGAACACAGGGAAGCAGAAGACACGATGAGTGATGCTGAGCTGGAAGAGTTCAATCCTCGTGGATTCGGTGGCACCGTCCGCAAAAGCATCAGTAAAATGGCCGGAGGTACCGTCAATGGACGCAGCACGAGCCGACAAAGCCGACGAACAAGCCTCAGCAGCTACAACAGCCGCACCACGAGAACAACCAGTCCTCAGCGGAATGATGCCACCCTGACTGGAAGGACATCAGCGGCATCGCACTACCCGAAGCCACCCCCTGCTGCAGCAAACGCCACACTTCGTGCGGGTAGCACACAAGGGCGGTTCAGCTCCATGGCGTCCCGCTTTCGACCCGGGAGCAGCCATCGGGCGCACTCTGCAGCGAGCAATCGAAGAACAGACCCTGCCGACCCCGCAGGCATTTACGATGCGAGTATTGTGGCGGAATCGGCAGAAGATTTGAGAGCAGTGATTGAACAGCAAGAAAGAGATGCGGATCGCTTGGAGAACGTGAGGGCCTGCTGCGATGGTGAGTACAGTGCATCCAGCACGCAGCCTTTCGTCGCCTTGTCTGTTCCGAAACCAGCACGGAGATATGTCACCGTTGTCTCTTCAGAACAGGCGAGGCGGTTGAATATGGCCGAGCTACCGAGATGAATGAGTGAATGTCTTCCTGTCTACATTACTAATACTTTTGTGTGCTCGCAGGCAAACATGATGTTGGGAGTTTGAAGAATCGAAGTGGGCACGTGAGCAACAAGAGGAGGTTCTCCGCGAATGCGCATGCCCATGCGACACCGTCTAGTCAGACGTGAGGCGGCGAAGCCTTTTTTTTTTCTCTTTTTTTTCCTTATGCGTCTCATCAGCGACCACTTTTCCTTAGTGACAATACAATCCCTGGCCATCTCGACTAGGACAATAGTTTCTTTTTTCCTTTGGGGCTTTCTGAAGTTGGCAGTGCATGTGAACGGCTGGCTTATGGGTGTGTACATACAAGTGAGCGGGAAGGATAATGTGTCAGCATCCAAATTGTTCTGATGCACCACGGGCGGAAAAGGACCAAAAAAAGCTCTATTTGTAGAGAAAATTCATCATGACATTTATTTTGATCGATGCTGAGGCACGAAGCGTTTCAAGGAGACGTCCAAGATGGAGCTGACTGCGCAGACTGCACTGTGCATACGTTCTGCGTGTGATTGAGTTGAGAGTGATTATCTTCATATTCTTCAGGCTATCCTCGAGTTAGAGCAAGAAGAAGCTTGGCTACCTGTAGATAACTGACTGTAACTAACTAGGAGCTTCGTTCTACTTCTACGAGTTACTGTCTCGGCCTTGGCCTTAGCGTTGGCGTACGACATTTGCTTCTGATGTCAGCTTCAGCCTCTCTCCCTCCCAACCTCCCTCCCTCCATCCCTTTCGCTTGGCATTCTTTCCTCTGCGCTACAACCACACCACTGACCGCATATCATCACTTCTCTCTCTCTCTCTCTTCTGAAGCGCAGCCACATCTCCCAAAGTAAGAACAGCAACGGAGGGACAGAACAAGATTTCCAAGCAAGACCCCAAAAGAAGATGCCCCTCCAGATTCTCAGCAACGACGACATCAACAAAATCCTCCACTCTTTCACCAAAGACGATATCCTCGCACTGCAAGAAACTCTCGCCGACGCCTTACACTGGTACTCGACATCATCCGATGGCAACAATGACTGCTGCTCCGACTACCAGCCCGAGCAAACCACCTTGAAGCGCAAAGACGGCTCTACCACCGTCTATCTCCCCGCCAGCGGAATCACGGGCCAGGGAGTCAAAGTCCTCAATATCGCTGCTACTTCCCCCGAGGGGACCACGAATAATAATAATAATGGCCGTCCTCTGCCCGTTGTCATGCCCAGCAACGCCTCTGGAGGAGACTCAATGACGAGTACATCTTCTTCTTCCATCACCACCACCTCCACATCGGCCTCACAAGCGACAACAGAGAGTATGCGGAATCTTTCACTTCGATCGAAATCGGAAATTCTTGACGGGACTGTTGCTGCACCTTCTTCTTCGACGACGAGCAAGGGTTCTCTGACTTTATTTGATAATGAGGGAAATACGGTGGGCTTGATCAATGCGGAGGAGATTACTGCTTTTCGGACAGCGTAAGTGTGGATGGAACTATTCACATATACCTACCTGGGATGATCTGCTTCTTTTTTTTTCCTTTTTTGTGGGCAGAAAGCACTTTCTGACTGGGCGACTTGTTATAGGCTTGCGTCGACGATGCTGTTCGAGAAGCGACAGTCTGTGCATGATGTGACCATCTTTGGCGCCGGCAAACAAGCGTACTGGCATGCACGTCTCGCTTTACTCCTCCGTGGCGAGGAGATCCATCACATGAATTTTGGTACATCCATCCCATCCACCTCTCAATTCTCAACACAACAATTGTTTTCTGACTATTACACACAGTAACTCACAACTTCGAATCCGCCCACCACCTCCTCACCAAACTCTACAACCCGCAACCCTCAGACCCCACATACATCAACCCCATCGGCACGCCTTACAACAGCAAAACCAAAAAAGAAATCCTCACCCCTGCCCACACCGAATACACCCGTCTCCTCAAACAATACGTACGCGCCAGCAACATCATCTTCTGCTGCACGCCCAACCCATCCCCCAACCCTCTCTTCCCAGCAACCTACCTCACGAACCCCGAAGGGCGCAAAAAAGGTCGCTACATCGCCTGCGTCGGCTCCTACACGTCGCACATGGTGGAATTACATCCTGATGTCCTGCGGTATGCCGTGGCTCCGCATCATGAACATCGTCATGTGCATAAACGACAGAAAGAAGGTGGAGCGATTTTGGTGGATTCGGTCGAGGCGTGTTTGAAATTTGCGGGGGAGGTGGTTAAGGCCGGGTTATCTCCTGATCAGGTGGTGGAGTTGGGGGAGATTTTTATGTTGAAGAGGGAGAGGGAAGGGATTGTGAAGGAGGGGAAAGCGAAAGGGAAAGGGAAGAAGGGGGAGGGGGACGGGGAGGAGGAGGATGATGATGGATGTCATTTACAGGAGAATTCGGGTTTGAAAGAGTGGTTGACGAGGGGAAATGTGATTTATAAGAGTGTGGGATTGGGATTGATGGATGTGGTAGTAGGGAATGAATTGTTGCGGATTAGTCGGGAGAGAGGAGTAGGGATGACTGTTGAGGAGTTTTGAAGAAAACGAAAAGGGAACGAAAGGAAGGAGAAGGTGTACAGGACTCTCAAAATTTGATTTTTTCGTTTTCTTCTGCAAAGGACGACCATTCGTCTGCCTTTGATCTCTATCGCTGTCTCTCTGTCGATTCTTCTCACATCTCTCTCGTCAATGTGTAGACCCCATGGAACCGCTTTTCTCCCCCCGGATGTGTGCATGAGAAAGGAAAGGAAAGAACAAAAGAAAGAAAGAAAGCAAGAAAGAAAGAAAAGCAAAAAACAGCCACACTCAAACTGGGTATCCGTCCCTCATCATCATCATTATCGAACCATCGAACCCAACCTCCTGACCATCCTCTCCATCTTTCACCTTTCATCTTTCATCATCTTCGTCATCTCCATTCACCTAAAAATCCCACGATCTCGATGCTGAACTCGAACTTGGCCTACCAAAAAACAAGAGTCAGCAAAAAAAACCCCCAAGTACATCCATCATACACAAACAAGTCTGTCTGGAACTTACACTTCACCGGACAACGATCATGTCCACACTCCAAATTCGCGCAGACTTTCTGCTCCACAATCGTTTCGGCTCCGCAGAGACAACATGTCCAACGAGGACAAGGTTCCTACATCATTATCCCGACAAACAAACACATTAGCTTCATTCAATTAAAAATGTTTTGATTTGTGGGATGGTATTTTTTTTTGGAACTTACCCAAGGAGCAGCAGGTCTACTATTGGTAATTCCCGGTGAAGCCCATTGTAAACCGGCAGGTTTGTGGAAATCGTAGAGAGGAGGACGGACGGGGATGGCTCCGGAAGAAGAGATGGGTGAGGAGGATGATGATGGGAGAGTGGCTTTGCCACCAGTAGCACCAGCACCAGCAGCACCAGCAGCAGGAATAAGACGAGTCTGATCTCTCAACGGCGTAAATCCGAATGTCTTACTACCGGCACTAGCCTTGTCGTTCTTGTTATTCGACACCGCCGCCACCGCCGACGAAGATGAAGAAGAAGGTCCAGCACCCCACAACTTCTCCCTAAAACTCGTCGTCGTCGTCGGCAAAGCCATTTTCGCCGTAGTGTACGCAGCTTCAGAATCTCTCTTGCGTTCATTCTCGGCAGTTTGCGGCGGAACAGACATTTTCTCGCTGGGAGAATGGGGCGAAGAGCGTGGAGATGAGGGGATGCGAGTAGAAGTAGTACTAGTTGTAGTACTAGTTGTAGAAGTGGGTGGCTGCAGCAAATTCTTGCGAATGGTGAGAGCGGGTACGGTCAAGACGTCGCGGGGCGTAGAAGCGAAATCGCGCGAAGTGACTTCTGGGTTGGTGGTGGCCGTGGCCGTGGTGATGGGGGTGGTTACGTCTTCTTGATGAGAGTCTGCTCGCTCTTGTCGGTGGTGGGTTGTCGAAGAGGGGGAAGAGGGGGAAGAGGGAGAAGAGGACTGCTGCATGCCTTCAGGCTGCGAGGAGTCATCTTTCTCGTCGACGGGTGGGTGGCTGGACAGAGGCATCGGAGCAATGTCGAAGAGGCAACCTCGGGCTTGCACGCGCTTCACTGGAGGGCGACAGTCGGGATAAGTGACAGAAGGGGTTGCGACGGTGGGGAGGTGCTCGTCGCGCTCGGGGATGCTAGAAGGCTCAGGGAGTGTTGGTTGTGAAACAGCAAACTTCGATGTTGGAATTAAGAACTTCTTGCGTGGCAGAAATCTCTTGCCGCTCGCGGGAAAGCTGGACTTGGGTCGCAGTACGGGATGGGGCGTAGGGTCGGGTTGGTCAATCTTGTCCTCGTCGTCGTGGTGCTGGATGTCGTTGCGCTTGGGGAACAGTCGTTGGTATTCCTCTTCGCGTTCCTGATGCTGCTGCTGCTGCTGCTGCTGTTGCTGAGCGCGTGTCTTCAAGTCGTCGTCCGAGCGCTGTAGAAGAGGAGTAGAACTGTTAGTATCCTCCTGTCCAGATTTTTTCTTGTGCAATGTCAGTTTCCCGAACATCTTGTGCAGGGATGGCGCCATCACTCACACAATCCCGCTTTGGCTTGCGAGATGTATGTTAACTTGTGGTGTTGTGGTGTTGGTGGGTGTGTGGGTGTGTGTTGTCTTCTGAACAGCGAAAAACTGTGAGCGTGTCAGTTGACATTTGTCGCGTACACAATGACAGGGATGTGAGGGCTTCTCAGCTTCACTCGCGCGAGTGAATGAGCCAGCCCGCCCATCTCACCACCCAGGATATTTCCAAATTCAAGTAGCTTGCAAACACAACGTGATTCCACTTCACACCACGTACCTCACCCTTCTCTTCCAGGCATCCTGCGCACGATGAATAGCGAGCATCTTTGCCCCCCGTACTGATGGCAATATATGGCCACGCCCGCCCACCTCGATCCTCACTGTCCTTATAAGAGGGAGAGAAGGCCAGAAAAAACAAAAGAAGCGAAAATTCAATATCATCAATTAATGCTGTATGTCCGACACCTATACAGGCCCAGGGTATCTTCGCACATGGAGAGCCGCATTATGTTTGTGGGGAAAAAAGGACCATTTCCACATGCTCCCTCTGGTCGGTCGCATTGCATCACCATTGTCTTTCGTACCAAAGATTCCGGTTGACACACTGGCCGACCCATTGAACCCAAAGGGGTTTCAGAAAAGGCCAAAATGATGCGTGTCGAATGGGAGAGCTTTACAAAGTCAGCTTGATCCCACTCCATCCGGCAAGTCCCCATAAGCCGATTGCAAGAGGTTGGCTCAGCGCAAAGCCAAGAACACGACCGCGTCCATTCTCTTGAGCGGCGTTGGTGTAACCGAGTGCATACATGACTCTTCCCACTATCCAGCCAATTCCCAGAAATGTCGAGACCATGGGGTACTGGATGCCGGCAATCAAGAGCGACAGGGCGGTCGCGGGCAGCATTTCCAGGTAGTTGGCGTGTGCGCGCTGCTTGCAGTTGAACATGTACATGGCGGCCATGTGCTCCTTGTCCTGGGCTTTGTCCATGTCGCCACTGTCAGCGTACGCCTTGGGAGCGTTGATCTGTGCCGCTTGGCGACTCAGCCCTGCTCGCATGCCATGCCAGAACCCGAGCTATCATCATCATCATTCTACAGTCAGCTTTGCAATCGAGGACGGACAATCAGGTATAGAGATGGGTGTTGAACGTACAAAGAAGGTACAGGCTGTTGTCGCAACAACATATCTATGCTTGGTCAGTTCGATGATCATCTTCCCTCTTATGTTTTCTCGATACCAAATCGTACCCGTATTGGTTTGGCACAACGATAGTGGTCGACATCTTTTTCTTCTTTTCTTTTCTTTTTCTCTTTTTCCTCTTTCAGTGGCTGTGGACTAGAGAGTACAAGTGTCGCTCTCACTTCTGGAGCCAGCAGCGTCAAGGAAGTAGGGTAATGAAGTAAGGATAGGTACCGAGAATACAAGAAGCCCCGCGTCTGCCCAACGGTGGTGGTGTTACAGTATGAATAGTTTGGTCGAAGGGTGATTGATGATGATGATGATGATGATGATGGCCGTTTTGGGACGACACTTCTTTTATACCTACAGGTACCTGACCTTATCTTCCAGACAAAAAGGAGAAAGAAGCCAGGCCAGTCTTGTCGTCTTTATTACAACACTGCCCTCCCCATCGGACCCTCTCCATCTCGCGCTTATCCTGGAGGGAGGACGTGCAGATCCTTCTGGTGCTCATGCACTGCGGAGCCCATAAACTGATAATGATGAGTGAGCACTTTTCGCGCCATGCCGCCAAGGGCAGCTCATGCGCGTCGCGGCGCTTCTCTTCTAGATCTGGACGCAGCCCGAGGTGTTCTAATGGACAAGTGAACACAAGCGGGTGTGCTGTGCAGAGGTTCTCCCGAGAAGCCGATGACCTGCAGGCTGCAGCAGACAAAATCATGTCACCAAAAAGACTCGCGTAGAAAGGTCGCCGACACTGGTCAGTGGTGGGTGGGACGGTGACGGGAAGGATTCCAGGTTGTTTTTTTTTTTTCTCTTTTTCAATGGCACAGGAATGGCACAGGAATCTGCACGACGGTCCGCACGCGAAGGGGCGATTCGTGCCGAGGCGAGGGCGGCGCGGTAGTGGACAGGACAGGGAAGCCGGGGCAGGATGTTGAATGGACGATGAAATTACCTCAGAGGTTGAAGGGAGTCATCAATGTCCGTGGTCACTTTGCAGGACGCCGTGCTTTGTCACCCGTTCCAGTCGTAGAAGTAGCACCCGAGAAGAGGTTAGGTATTCACGCGCTGGTATGGTCTTGCGAGTAAGCAGAGTGAAATTAACACCTACATGTACCTACAGTACATGTACCTTGGATCGGCGACTCCGCGGCCAAGCAATGCCATATAGAACCACATACCTTAGCTCTACGCAGTAGAGGTAGTGGTCTTCTATCATCAAAGGGACAGGTAGGGACATACCTAACACAGAGAAAACGGCGAATACATCAGGTACCTGTAGGTAGGAGTCGCGAACCAAGGTACCTTTAAATGAAGCTGGGCAACGACATACTCTATCTCCCATCACCAGACAGCTTTCATGGCAATAGCTGGAGCAGTTGAGGACTGAGTACTCATATCTGACCTTACCACTCGAGCCCCAATCCCTCATATCGGCAGGCCCGGAAACTAGGTATTGTACCTTACGGTATGTACATATACCAAGAAGTACCAAGTACCTCAACCCCGTCACTGTCACCGTCACTTCACAAAACCAAAAAAGATCTTCAATCGCCGACTTAAGAAAGTCGGGCAGGTAAGGTATGTATCCAGCAAGTCTCCGAAACCTCTGTTTGTCTGCCCTGCCCTGCCCTGCCCTACCTACCAACCGATGATCCGCCGTTCAAGTGAACCAAGAAAAAAAAATACTGCCTTGAATGATGACCGAGAATTCTTCAGCTCCCATTCCCCCAAATCTGTGTACTCCCCGTTCGTGGATACTAGGTAGGTAATGTTGAGTACCTAGGTATTATTCAACTTATTGATTTCTAGAAGCAACTGATGCATCGACTTGGAGTAGTGGCTGACGACGACGACAACAACAAAACGCAGGCAGGCCAGTTTTCCGAAATTGGAAAATTCAGGTATGTAGGTATGTATGTATGGCTGATGACAGCTGTATATTACATACATACATAGGTAGGGAAGGTAAGGTAGGTAAGATAGAAGTACACATGTGTGTGTGACATGGGACAGCGCCATGTTGCGATTGCGAGCTGATTATTTAGTTACCTACCTTACCTGTACTCTCGGACGGAGCCTTCCCCAAGGCGCAGGATTCTATACCTAAGGTACTACCTAAGGTACCCTATCGTCTTACACCTAGCCGGAACATCAGATCCCCGGTTCCTGGTGAGAGCGTACGGCGTTGTAGTCTGACTACCATATCTCAGACAAAGAGTACCGTAAATAGGTTCTCATCAAGCTGTGCATACCTCTAGGCTTATACAGAAGCTGGAGCACAGCTCTTTCTGTCAAAGTCGCTTTGTGCGTATCTAGCGCGTAGTCCTGTATGGGGTGTCTTTTTTTTCGGCTGGAACCATGGTTTCGCCATGGTGGAGCTAACAGAGGCCGCTTCGAAGCCAAAGGTCGACTTGCATTCTCGAGATGAGAAATCCGAAGGTGAGTTGGGTCCAGCGTAGGTAGTTGAAAATCGGATATAACGAAGCCGGTCCTGAGGTGAAGCCGCGTGCCAGGTACTAAGGTAAGGCACTCGTGGTGGACATCTCAGCAGAGGAGACCCCATCTTCTCTGCGCTTCGATATACGCTATGCATCCAGGCACAAAACCAATACAGAACGACAACCACCAATGTCCTCGAGGCCGTCACTGCTGCATTGGCCAGAGCTTGTACCCTCAATCATGAACTCGACAATCATTCTCCGTTCCCAGCTCTTCTCGCCTTTGCCCTCTCACTCGCAGCTTTTTTCCCAGCCTTTTTCGCCTGGCTCAAACTACTCGTTGGCACATTGTTTCTGTACCGTTCCAATGCAGCTTCCGACACTTCGTCCAACGTAAAAGCTCCCAAATGGCCGTTCCTCCACTTTTGAATCATCCACAACGCGATACTTTCGAGATCGGGCTCTCCGCCTTTCATCAGTCGGCCCGTCTTCCTCGCCACGGCGTCTAGCAGCTGCATCGCATCATTCGTCGGCTGCGAGTACTCCTTGTACACGGTCGGGTCGTGAAGATTTATATGGAAGAGCAAATAGTCTGCGAGATTGAAAGGAGGGACCACGGTATCCTTTACGCTCCCACAGAGCGCGAGCTTCAGCATTGCTTCCGAGTCGGGTACATATGGCATAAACACACCAGGCGTATCCAGCATGTACACGCCGCTCAAACCAGTCTCGTCCGCCTCGATGATTTTCACGCCCGTTCCAATTTTCCGCGTCACACCAGGCTGTGCGCCAGTGTGTGCGACTTTGCCTTTGTTCACGCCTTCTCGTCGCAGAGCGTTCAGTAGCGAGGACTTGCCGACGTTGGGCATCCCCACGACCATGAGATATGAACCTGTTAATCCCCCTCGGCTGCGGTTCGCATCTTTGATGACGTCCAGAATGCGACGCACGTCTTTGCGGTCTTTGTGATTGGAGAAGATGACTTTGGAAGGCTCATGCCACTCGCGAATCAATTGATGTCTCTACATATACACTCTGAAATCAGCTACTACATCTCTTGTCTCTTTGTTCGCACTACTTGGCGTGTGGCCTCGTGTACCACCACCCATCATGATGATCAAGTGTCATCTTTTTTGTTTTCTTGCCTACTTTCGTGTCCTCTACCGTGCCCTTACTGCCCCCCAGATCTTTCTTGGTATACACCACCATTCGCTCCCGTCCCGCCAGACTGTCCTCGAACATTGGATTGCGCGACGTGAGGGGGATGCGGTAGTCGCGGCATTCGATGATGTGGTCAATCTGCGAGAGCATCGTCTTCATCTTGGCCAATCCGGCGGCGTGGTGCCCAAGATAGTACGATCGCGGCAGTGACTCGAGGGTCGGAAAGACGACGCGCGGGACGAATGGTGAGCCCATTTTCAAAGAGTCTATTGGAGGTTCTCTATCCTCGATCGGGAGACATTGGGTATGTCGCGCGAATTGATGTACGTGCGTGAATGGATGATGAAGGACGTGAAGATGATATTGTACCTAGAAGTAAAGTAGTTCTATGCTTGGCATTCTCATAGTCACCTAGCAACCTTTGTGCACGTTCACTGCATGCTTCAATACATCGCACTGGCCCCGCTTGCCGGAAAACTGCTGCCAGTGATTCGTACGGTCCGACCGCAAACATGAACCATGGAACAGTTCGGTCTGTCGAGTCGAAGATGGAACTAGAACCACACTACTTGGACCTTTCTTGGATACTTTCGAACAACTCCTTTATCAAGCATGTTTACAATATGAGTGCTCCAAGCGTTTGAGATGCTAGAATCTTACGACTCTGGCCTGGGGTCTTCACCAATTCCAGACAAAGGCCCTGCTGCAGGCAGCAGATCTCCATTGGATTTGAGCGCATTCCCAGCGATATATCTTGTGGCATCGCACTTTGACACGGATGAATTACACGAGTTTGAAGAAGAGCTTGATTTGGCACATGCCTCCATCACTTACTCGCTCGATGAAGCACACATTGTACTGACTCGAGCTCTGAAGAAAGCTCGCATCAAGCTTGATTTGCGATCAAAAGGCCTTCATACCGAAGAAGTGCTGCAGTCCGATCCGGCTTGGGCACTGGCGTCTCAAGACAGCGCGTATGGGTCGCAGCCCGCAACGAATAAACGCAAGCTTGTTGAGCTGGAGGCTGCGCAGGAAGGCAAACCCAACACGACCCTCATCGACGACTCCAGCACGGATTCTGAGGGTGATACTGTGCGCAAGAAGAGATTGAAGAATCTGGTCAACTCTCCTTTGGCTGAAAGTGGCAGCCTCCTAGATCATCCGAAACCACAGACTGACCAGCAGCAAGATCGGATCGTGAAAGTGGTTCGTACGGATTGGTTTACCGAGTCACGAGCTGCTGGACAGCCACTCCCACTTAAGAATTATATCTTGTATGCAGGCCGTGTGATCAAGCCAGGTACAGAGAAAACACCAACCACATATGGCGCCCACGGAAAGCTACCAGATCGCAGAACGGGAAACAACCAGCACATCTCATCACATGCAGCTGCAGCAGAAACGCCTCTACTAGGTAGCAGTAATACCATACTGCAGCGTGCACAAGACGACGCGCCGGCATCGTCGCAGGGCCAGGCTGCCAAGGATCGCTTTGGAAGTCGCAAGCACCATCATCCACATACCAGGATCCCATCTGCCAACCCAGCTAGCTGGGAAGCTGGTCGAGGCACAAAACAAGAATATGCACATCTCCTGCAGCAGACCACTACCGACTACGAAGGCACTTCAAGCGACATTCCCGAGCCCCCGGAGTGGGTCAAGGCACATGTCAAGTACGCGTGTCAACGATCAACCCCCAAAGACAATCCCAATGACGTGTTTATCGATTTGCTAGGACGGATCAAGTTTGCACGATTACTGACCAACGATGAGATTGGTGTGCGAGCGTATGCAACTTCGATTGCTGCGTTGCGTTCACATTCTTATGAAATTAGCAATCCACAGGAGATTCTGCGAATACCTGGTTGTGATGCCAAGATTGCCAACTTGTGGGTGGAGTGGAAGAACAATGGCAAGATCAAAGCTGTCGAAGAGGCCGAAAAAGATGAAGACTTGAAGATTCTGAAGCTGTTTTGGAATATCTGGGGCGTAGGCGTGACCACTGCGCGCGAGTTTTACTACGATAGAGGATGGCGAGAGCTCGATGACATTGTGGAATATGGATGGTCAACATTACAGCGAGTGCAACAGATTGGGGTGAAATACTACGATGAGTTCCTGGATCCCATCCCACGAGCTGAGGTGGAAAGCATCTGCAAGGTGGTACACCAGCATGCCGTCAAAGTGCGAGATGATGGGATTCAGTCCATGATCGTCGGCGGTTATCGGCGAGGCAAGGAAGCGTGCGGAGACGTGGATATTGTAATCTCACATCCCGATGAAGCAGCCACGCATAACGTGGTCGAGGACATTGTTGCCAGCTTGGAGAACGAAGGATGGATCACCCACACGCTGACACTCTCCATAAACAACTCCAAGCGTGGTCAACAGACACTCCCTTTCCGCGGTGACGGTGGCGGACATGGCTTCGACACCCTAGACAAGGCACTGGTGGTGTTCCAAGATCCCTCGTGGCCAAGCAAAGATGAGGACCTAGCCATGAACCCCAAGGCCAAGAATCCCAACATTCACCGCAGAGTCGACATCATCATCGCACCATGGCGTACGGTAGGCTGCGCTGTAGTCGGCTGGAGTGGCGGGACGACATTTGAGCGTGATCTGAGGCGATACGCAAAGAATGTCAAAGGCTGGAAATTCGACAGCTCGGGTGTTCGAGATGTCGGAAATGGCCAGTTTCTGGATCTGGAAGGATATTTCCAGTATGGTGATAAAGAGGGCGTGGAAGGGCGGGCGATGACGATGGAGGAGGCGGAGCGGAGAGTGTTTGAAGGGTTTGGGTTGGAGTACAGAAAGCCTGATGAACGTTGCACTCAATAGTAGTAGAGAGGTAGGAGGTACGAATATCTTACTAGGAGGTAGTAAGGTACCATTTGGCTCGGTCGAACTACCTAGTAAAGTAACGTGAGCCAGTCCTAAGGCAATCAGGCGCCAGGCGAGAAAAGGGCTGGAGGTGAGGCAAGCTTTTCACTGCATCGTGACACGACATCACCGCCCGACGCAGTTCGTATACCGATGCGCGTGTTGTGGTCTCGTAAGCAGCAAAATCCATGCAGCCGCCAGTGCCACAACCCACGCGGGATTATTTTGTGTTTTGTGTTTTGAGGTGTGAACGTGGCGGTTTAGTTACAAAACGTGGAGTGTCGGTGGGCCACCACATCATATCACATGCGCCTGGGAGCTCGGCAGGGTACGGGCGGTTCAATAATTCTAGTTTTAGTTCCAAACTCATTCAGGTTCCGTCAAGGTTGGATTTCTGGATGTGGTTACATTCCTGGCGTGGGTGCTCGACTGCAAAGGGTATCGGGGGGGGGAGGAGGCTGAAAAATGCGGTGTCCGTTCGGAGGTTGGGTCCCGGGTTCCGCGCAGTGGGAGTGAGTGGTCGGAGAGAAGAAGAGGAAGAGGAAGAGGAAGAAGATCCATGGAGGAGAGGGAAAGGGAAGTTAGAAGAATGAGAAACAGAGAACCAGAAGGGAAGGCGGTGGGTGGGCCAATCGGTGCTTCGCCTTGACCTTATTTTTACACCGCGTCCGCCGTCCGCCTGACGCTTGAAAGTTGACGCCTGCCTTGCCTTGCCTTGCACTTGCCTTGCCCTGCCCTGCCTGCGCCTGCCCTGCCTGCCTCGCTCCTACCATTTTAATTATTCAGGTGTATGTCCTATGATGATGGTGATGGATCCTTCTTTCCTCATCTGACAACACGCATGGTCCATCGCCAAACCACCTCCCACAGTCCACACATCCACACACTTGACACTTGCCCGGCCGCCTGCAGCGTGCAGCATCCACTGGCAAGGTTCAGCTCTCCACCCACGCATATATGTGCCCATCCGCGTAACAGCACCGGCACCGCTGCACTGCACCATGCTGCACTTGCAGCCTCCGCTACTGCTACGCCATCACCATCTTATATGATCTCTTGGACTGCCCCATCTCATCTGATAAGATAGCCTTCCCGCGCACGCTGCCTACATACTTCACAGCTTCTGTTCTTCTTCACCTGCGACCGCCATGGTCTCCAACTACGGCACATTATTACATCCATCATCAGAGGGCACGGATGCCGCCGACGTGGAGAGGGGGCCAGGGCCAGGGGCGGCACCAGCGTCGGCTGTAGACACACCGAGTTCCTCCGTCATCGCACCCTCCTACAAACGCGAACAGAACGGCTCGCAACCGCTGTCAGACGCCGACGACGAGAGGAGATCGATCATGTCGGAACGCAGCCATGAATCTGGACAGGCCGGCGTCAAGCGCGTTGAGGCAATCAGCTCGACATGGTCGAAAACCGGGCTCTACATGGCATACGTGGGTGTTGCTCTCCTGGCCTACGCGACTTCGTTAGAAGGCCAAACCACTACGAATCTCACCATCTTCGCAACGAGCGCATTCAAGTCGCATTCCATGGTATCAACCGTGTTGGTCATCCAGGGCGTCGTCTTGTCTGTGGTGAAACCGCCCATGGCCAAAGTAGCAGACGTGTTCGGCCGATTCGAGGCCTTCGGTCTCTCCATCCTATTCTACATTGTAGGCTTCATCCAACAAGCCGCATCTAACAACGTCGAAACCTACGCAGCTGCACAAATCTTCTATTCGGCGGGATCGACTGGCCTGCAAATCCTGATCCAAGTCTTCATTGCCGACACGAGCGATCTGGTCAACCGAGCGTTGTGCTCTACCATTCCGGATATCCCTTTCCTGGTCAACGTATGGCTTGGACCTGCAATCGCAGAACGCATCCTCAAAAATCTAAGCTGGAGATGGGGCTACGGAATCTGGTCTGTTGTATTGCCGGTAGCATTCTTGCCACTCGCGCTTGCACTCATCGTCAACCAGCGTAAAGCTGCCCTACGAGGTATACTACCAGAATCGCCCTTCAAAGGAGAATCTGCCTGGGAGATCATCAAGACACTCTGGTTCGAGATGGATGCTTTTGGTCTTGCGCTCATTTGTGTGGCCTTCACCTTGATTCTGATTCCACTGACGCTGGCCTCGAAAGCGGGTTGGAGCAATCCAAACTTGGTGACGATGCTGGTGATCGGTGCCGCGTGCCTCATAGCCATACCCTTCTGGGAAAGGAACAAGACGCTGGCTCCTCACGCTTTCTTCCCGCGCTCATTCTGGAGGAACAGGACACTTCTCTGTGGCCTTGGGCTGTCCTTCTTCTACTTCAGTGAGTGGTCCTGCGATTTCAATACTGACTGACAGGCGGCGTGGCTGACTTCTCACAGTGGCATTCTACCTTTCGGTGTATCCATACTTTCAGTCGTACCTGCTTGTGGTGCAGGATCTTCCACTCACAACGGCTGGTCGCATTGTGCAGACCTTTACCTTTACGTCAACAGTCACAGCCATCATCACATCCATCGCCATCAAATACACCAAAACATACAAGAAGTTCATGGTTGCGGGCACAATCCTATACGTGATCGGTTTAGGGTTGATGATTCATTATCGGACAGAAGAGTCGACACCAGCAATGATTGTCGGAACACAGATCTTTCTCGGGGTTGGAGGCAGTCTAGCCCATGTGCCAGCACAGCTTGGCGTACAGGCTTCGGCCAGTCACTCGGAAGTGGCTGCAGCAACCGCTCTCTTTTTGACATTCTTGGAGATTGGAGGTGCCGTTGGAAGTGGCATCAGTGGCGCCATCTGGACATCAAACGTTCCGAAGAAGCTGGCACTCTATCTGCCACCAGAGACAAAGGACATGGCTGATGCAATTTACGGCAACATCACCCTTGCCGCGCGAGGGTGGCCCATGGGCAGTCCCACTCGTGATGCAATCAACCTGGCATATCAGGAGACCATGACGAAAATCCTGACTGTAGCAGTGTTCGTGGCGCTGCCTTGCATTGTTCTGGCCTTTATGATGCATGACTACAAGCTGGACGAGATTGACCAAGGTGTGAAGGGTGTGGTCATTGGTGCCACGCAGGATCGTGCGGACCATGGCGACGAGGAATTAGCGGGGCCCTCCACTCATAGGCTCACTCGAAGTTCTGGAGAGTACGAAGAGGTTGATGATCTAGGGGATGTGTCGGACGAGTCACAGAACTCGAGAACGAGGTTGATCAGAAAGTCCTCATAGATATACACGACACGGCATTTTGACGAAATTTTCATGGGCATGAGCGACGAAGGATACGACTAGGGCAGGACCGACAATGCGGTTGGCAATTCTGCATCTTGCATATTGATTTTTGGTGGTGTGAGCAGGACGGAAACGGAATTGGAAGGCGTTTTTAACTTGTGATGGGGCACAGCATGGATGCGAGGTTTGTGGGCGACGTGTGTTCTAGATACCCTCCCTATCGATGTATCGGATAATCCGACTTCACCTAGAATTATTTGAGTCTTGATCCCCGTCTGAACATTCTGAACGAGAGTCATCCTTTTCTTGCCCGCTTGGCCGGTGCCGTCCGTTGGGTTACATGTAACTATACCTGTAGGCTGTATCGTAGGTTAGAACTCAGGTATAGTCGAGCGTCACATACATGTACTGTCACATTGTCACATATTATATACTGTACATGTAATTTCCAACACGATGCTTCGCTGCATGTCCCTGGGCGTTCTAGGGTGCCACAGTCGCGTGTTGCGAGTTGGTGCAATTTCTCTTCTCTTTCACGTGAGCGAAGAGGCTGTGCTCGAAGCCTAGAACGAGAAGTCTCCCTTATGATATTCGCAGCCTGCGCCACCTGCTTCCTGCCTGCTTGCTTGCTCCTTGTCTGATCTGAGCGGGCTGCTGTGCCGCGTCCCATTCATTTTCTTTGGCGATACAACAATACCTGACCTGTACGCTGTACCTGTACCTTACGCAACAGTTGATTCGGCGCTGGTCGGCAGCGGCTGCGCTACATCCTCACACCGCACCCTCCACACCGCACCTGACCTCACGTCTTGTCTCGTCTCGTCACGTCTCGTCACGTCGCCTCGACTCGACTCACTCTCACACACTCACTCTGACTCTCACACACACACTCACCCGACATTCACACTCACTCACTCACTCATTCACTCACGGCCAGGACACTGCAATATCCTCGCTCGGCCTTGCAGACGACGCGCGTCCACGTAATCCGCGGCTACTGCTGCTGCACCCGCCGCTATTTACCCACCCGTCCGCTCAACCCAGGAGTTTGTTGCGAGTGGTCAGGTGCTACAACGGCAACGCCTCGGAGCGCATGTGACGGAAGGCACACGGAGTGATCAGAACGCCTGAGGAAAACGCTCGCTCGCTCGCGTGAAGGCCGTCAAGATGGTGGTTGCTACAATCAAGTATGGATACCCCTTCCTTGCCGTCCCTTCATGATGGAAATTCCTTGGGCGGCAGCGGAGCGGTGGCAATGGAAGAGCGCTAAGCTGCGGCGGATGCGATATGGACAAACAGGCCAATAGAGAGCACGGTCCATATTGCGACGCGATCAGTGGCTCGCGCGAGAGCGTCCCAGTGAAATGGGAGGACGCTCGTGGAGTCGTGGCAGACGGGCGTAGAGTGGAAGCATTTGGCTGACTGAATGCTTCTCTAGGTGTGTTGTGGTCGGTGATGGTGCTGTAGGCAAGACTTGCTTGCTCATCAGTTACACCACGAACAAATTTCCCTCGGAATACGTCCCAACCGTTTTCGACAATTATGCAGTGACGGTAATGTAAGGCTTGGAGGCGTCTCATACAGCAGATGACCGGCGCTGACGAGGACGTAGGATTGGTGATGAGCCATACACGCTGGGACTATTCGATACCGCTGGACAAGAAGATTACGACCGATTGCGACCACTCTCATACCCACAGACCGATGTTTTCCTGGTTTGCTTTTCCGTCACCTCACCCGCCTCGTTCGAGAACGTCCGAGAAAAGTGGTTCCCAGAGGTACTCCACCACTGCCCTGGAGTGCCTTGTCTGATTGTTGGTACACAAACGGATCTGCGAGATGATCCTCAGGTCAGAGATAAGCTGGCGAAGCAAAAGATGCAGCCTGTAAGAAAGGAGGACGGTGAAAGAATGGCCAAGGATCTGGGTGCTGTGAAGTATGTGGAGTGTTCAGCTCTCACGCAGTTCAAGTTGAAGGATGTCTTTGATGAAGCGATCGTGGCAGCCCTAGAACCACCCACGGTGAAGAAGCCCAAGCGTAGGATCATCTCACTCTCTACCGACTGCACAACTCATACTGACAGATTCCCATAGGAAAGGGCAAAGGTTGTATATTGCTATAGCCTTGCGGCTGTGTGATACGATGCTATTGGATTTCTCACGTGAAGATGGCGAGTAGGCAAGCAGGCGCCCTCATCAGATTAGATTCACTTGTTCCCGGACATTACCAGAGTTGTGGTGCGCGTGGAGTTGGAAGGCGCATTGTTTTCAGGACTACGCAGGGCACTCATATCAGGTCAATTGCCTCTGCTATTTTGCATTTCTCCCTGCTTTATATTCAATGTGAAGATCAACTTGCTGTAAACACAACCGCTTCTCAATAATGGTCTGCGGCTCTGGACAAAAACACGAAACATACCTCGCCAGGTCAGTTGAAATCATGCCGCCTTCTACACTGGCTAATTATTAGCGCGAGCGCAGATATAGAGGGTCCTTCCGTACCTACGGTAGGGGCCGTTGGCATGGCGAGGCGAACGCGCTCACATAGACATGACCATGCGCGCTCGCGGCATTCACTCGCCGTCAATGTCTTTGCGGCCATTCCTTAAACCGAGCAATCGGCGTAGAATATAGCGCGCGTAAGGCAGTACGTCCATTATCAGAGCGTTGTGTGAAGCATAACTTCACTTCACTCAACCTGCACCACTATTGTCCCGCGCGCGTTTGTACACCGGTCAGCTGACAAGGAATTTCACTATTACTTTCTCCACGCGCTTGCGAAACTGCTTCTCCCTTCCATCGCACTGGCAAATTGGTAAGTCCTCCCTCATGTTGCAGGGCCTGTGGCCATCATCAAAACGAATGCTAACACGTTCTTAGAGGCCTGCCAAGCCCTGCCAAGTGCCGCTCGCGTTTGTTTTGGCAAGCCGCTAACATGAGTAGCAACAGAAGACGATCCGCACGAAGCTCGCTGACTGCGGCACCACCATCGCTACCAGTGATCCCGGAGATGGACACACCTGGCGGAAACGCCTGGGCGCAAAGAGAAGTCGAGCAGGAAAGATACCAGCTGGCCGGCAACGCGTTCGCCCAGCGCCAGTTTTCCGAGCAAAAGATGACGCCTCCTGGAGTGGTACATCCAGCCTTTCGAAAAGGCTTCAACCTCCTCGACACCACGAAACCGATTCCCGAGCTCGACTCACCAGACCGACGCCGAAACACGGGACCGCACCAGCGAGAGTCTTCACTAACAACCATGACACAGTTCATGCAGCCGTCGCCAGAGCTCAATCTTGGTACCACGCCAGATGCCACCCCCAACCCGACACAGCGCGAATGGTTAGAGACTCGAGACCACCTGGAGATGCATGGTAATAAGCCATTGCATATTCCCGTCTTCAAACACACGCCCAAAAACACAGCGGCAGAGTTTTCCTCCTCAACGCGCGTCGAAAAAAAGGATGATGCAAAGCTTCCTCCTCATACACCAGCGACGACGAGTCCGAGAAAAGGGTTCTTCGAGCGCCTAAGCAAATGGACTTCTCGGCTTGGTCAGCCTCAGACGCCTAAGCAGGACGCTGAGCCCCAGCGTAGTTCCGGATCCCATTTGCCGCCAAAGGCTCGCGCAGTCTTACAAGAAGCACCTCCTCCACGAAGCATTATACGCTCGCCCTCCAAGGCGAAGTCATTCTTCTCGCGGCAACCGTTTGATCTTAATGCGAAGCGACTCGAAACCCCCCGTGCTGCCACCTCGCTTGGTCATCGTACACCTCAGATTGTTCACTTTGCAACACCACGCTCCAGCGTTCAGGATCAGGAGAGTGCCTCGAAAGCTGCCGTGACTCCCTGCCCTCCAAATCTGGGCCGATCACAGAGCTTGAAGTACCTCGACCAAGCCATCCCGCCTACGCCGCCTGCCAAAGACACGCCTCCAGATGAGCTCGCGATCCGTAACATCTCATCACAGCGACCGTTTGTGCCATTCACGAACGAGACGCCAAGCAAGACGAGCGGCTTCGTCAGCACAAGTGGAAAATTGAGCCCGACTCGAAAGGGGAGCTATGGCAATCGTGGAGCGGCACAGCTCGTCACTCAGCCGAGCATGTACTCGATGCGCGCTTCGGTCGTGCCGGAAGCGATGGACAAGGACGAGTTCGACGATGCAAAATCTCGACTGGGCGCTTTGGGAATTGAGGGCTTCAGCTTACCACGGGAGACACATCGCGGCAACAAAGCCCTGACATACAGCCCGAGCATCTCTTCTACCGAAGGCTTCCGCTCTCCGCTGACTCCATTTCCTGAACGTGCAGCCAGACTGTCGGCGTCTGATAGATATGGAGTGTCACAACCGTCTACGAAAGATCGCACGGAGACAATGCAACTACGCGGCTCGCCCAGTGCCGCGCAGAGCAGCAGCTCCGACACTGGTATCATTCCTATGGTGTATCCCGAGCTTGCGAAAGATCCGTCTATTGCTTCTTTTATGACTCCGGATCTTATCTCGTCGCCACCACAACCTGGCGCTGCAGAGCGTGCATTTCACGAAGTCGAGACTATGCTCAACATACGGGAGCAGCTGAAGATGGATAGCCCGATCAAAATGCCCCAGCGGAGACGTCACTCTAGTACAAGCACAGTACGAGATGATCACACTATTGTCTCTCCAGAGAGCGCACGTTCCGAACTCTCTACTGAGGGATTATTCGCGATCCCGCTCAAGCGTGCGCAACGTAGCGACGGCGGCGGCCCTTCCCAATCTTCACCTAGGGGGCAGACCTCACTTGAGAAAACGTCGACCAAGCAGGCTCCGCCCGAGACTCCTTCCACTGTTCGTTCATCACCAATGGCACACCACCCCAGCGCCATGCCATCCCCATTGCGCACCGGAAGCCACTTCTTGCCGCCGACTACCTACACACCAACGCAGCCACGCTCGCGAAAAGAAGCAAAGAAACCTCTGAAGATCTCGACAGTCGAGGAAAGAGGATTGAATGAGGCTCTCTTGTCACCGTACGAGCCACCATGGACACCTGGCGGTCGACCAAAACCCAAGGAGGATATCTTCAAGAATATGCCAAGCTTGACACCACCCGTTGGAGAGAGTCTGGTTGTGCGCCACTCACCTCCAATTGGTGGCAGCCGTTGGTCCAAGGAGACGACGACGGCATCAGCTCGTACCGGCGACCCCAAGAAACCATCTCCCACACGCCAAACTACTTCGTCTGGCAAATCCGTCGTCGTCGAGCCTGCTACGGCTGCTGCTATGGAGGAGCAACAACATCAACAACATGGACCTCAAGCACCACTACCCGAAGAGCCCGGTTCTGTCGAATTCAACAGCAGCATTATCGAAATTATTACTGATCGCGACGACAAAATCCGTGACTTGCACAATAAAATGGAAACGGAAACTACACGTTTGCATCAACGACTCGCTTCCCTCGAGATTTACGATCGCATGCGTACATCTAAACCTGAGGTCTGCTATGGCGGCGGCGGCGGCCAACGACACGAGACGACGACCAGTAATGCTACACAAACAGATGATGACACACGTTCGAGCGTCGATCGGCGCGCGGCGAGACGTTCACAGCAGCAGCACCAGCACCAGCATGGAAAAAAACGCATCTCGACTGCTTTTGCTCGAGACTATTATCAAAAGCAGGAGTCTAGCGAGGCAACAACAACAACAAGTACACCTATGAGTGAAGAACGCTCGCGAAAGCCCGCTTTTCCACAATTGTTGTCTCAGAAGATCCCGGATCTTCCTCCGCCTGCTGCTGAATTGCCCCGCGAGGATTCTCCGACGTTGCCTCCTGGTTCTCCTGGACCTGTTGTTGTGAATTTTTCTTCTTCTACTTTTTCTTCTCCTCCGGCTCCGGCTCCGCTGCAGCTACCAGAGCCTAGCACTCTTCCTGTTCTTTCTGCTCCGACAGATAGCGGCGGCGGTGGCGGTGTTGATCCGAGAATTGACGACCTCATGACTGTGGTGCAGAAGCAACAGACGACGATTTTGGAGATGATGCAGGAGATTAAGGATTTGAAACGTGCCGGAAATCATGGTGGGTCTGGAGAATGATCATTGGAAGCTTTGACTGTGAGGGTTTCTCGAACATTCCAAATTGGGATGGACTTTTTTGAAGAAGGAGAAGGAGAGGGAGAGGTTGGGAGACAGGCTCATCACTCAAATTGAAAGGAGATTGTTGTTGAGTTTGGAGTTTGGAGTTTGGCGGTTTCTTCTGCCATCCATACCTACACAACCAACTCCAGGACGGTGAAGAGGCAGCGCAGCGTGGATGACGATTTTCGACGTTCATCAAACGCTCTCTCTCTCAGGTTTTTCGTTTGTTTGTTTGTTTGATTGGGAGAGCGAAGAAGAACGAGAGAGCGAGAAGGAAGCATCGGGTTGCTGGATCAAGTTTTTGCTTGCTTACTCGTTCGCACATGGCGTTTTTTCTTTACTGCTACTGCTACGACTACAACGACGACAACGACGACAGGAGATGGATGCGTTGCTTGGCGGCTGGCTGGCTGGCTGGCTATAATATGATACTGAACGAGGGTCGGCCGGCTACTTGCGAATGAATGGGATAGAATGCTCCGAGGCTTGTGGTGTTTGCTTTTTTTTGTCTCGTCTTGTCTTTCTTTCTTGTGATGGAACTGCCGAAATAGGTAGTGAATTCAATTCAATTCTGGTGTCAAACTCTACCTTTACTGGGCAGATGAATTATGCCCTTGCTAGCTTGAAGAAGAAGTACCTGAAGTGATTGAAGTCTTTGGACCTATAATAAAGTGCTATTTTTGCGTATAGTTCCGGTATAGCGAACCATGTTATTATTCTTATAGAATCGTGTATAGAATTGACTAGAAGTTGAAGTAATCCCGACGCGTCTCGGAGGTGGCCCGTGCGAAGCTTGTACGTCGTGGAGAGCTGCTTCCTCTTCAAGACGGGAAGGGAAGCTCAATACACGCGACTTTTCTTTTTTGGCACATCACGATTGACGCGACAGGTGCACGAATATGGCGTCTTTCGTAGATGACAACGACGATAATGACCAAGACGAGGAGGAGAATGACAATGACAACGAGAACGAGGATGAAGAGATGGAAGATGCGAATGACGGCGATCAGGATGCCGACCAGGACATGGACGATGAAGACGACGGAGGCGATGATGACGATGACAATGATGATGACAATGATAATGATGGCGAGGATGATGATGATCAGAATGAGCCCGACTCGCCCTCGAGGAGACCGAGTCAAGCTACATCTGCTCCGCGACCAGCAGAAGGAGACGACAACCCAGAAGTCGTAGTAAAATCTCCCTCACCTCGAGGCTCTGGTATACGATCGCCTAATACAAGGGCAACCAGTATATATGTGCCTGCAATTAGGCCAGAAGCGCTGACGGCGCAAGCCTACGATATTGTGCCGACCATGGCCGCACCGCACGGCACGTCTATCAATGCTGTCTGCGCGACACCCAATATGAAATATGTCTTCACCGGTGGCACAGACGGCTATATACGGAAATACGACTGGGTAGATACTGCCAATGGCAAAGTCCCGCTGACAGTGGCTCAGAAGCACCCTTTTGTGGACAGTGTGATGAAGGCTGGGTCTATGGTGACTTACTGGGAGAATGAGGAACGATCACTACAAACACCGCCCAAGAATCCGGACGAGGGAAAGTGGTCGAGCCCGGTTTACTCTCTCGCTGTCGAGAAGCAAGCGGTCTGGCTCCTGTCTGGACTCGAGTCGGGAGGAATCAACCTTCAGCTTACGAGGCACTCTACTGGCAACATCATCACGACCTTGAAAGAACACACTAGCGCTGTTTCTGTCCTCACCTTCACGGACCATGAAAGGCGTGTGTTATCAGGCAGCTGGGACAAGAACATGCACGAATGGGATCTCGACAACGGTAAGGTCATTCGCTCGTTCAAAGGAGCCAGTAGTCAAATAAGTGCTATTGAGCTGCGGCCATTCAGTAATACGCCTGTGCCCGAAGTTTCTGAAGCATTTCCTGAGGAAGAGAGCGCTACGTTCTCGAGCAACAATGCTGACAAACCGGCTTTGAACGGCACCTCAAACGGTCCCAGCCAACGGCTGTCTGCACTCCACGGCGACGAGGATGCGGCCGGATCTCCTGACGGGAGTTTATTTGGCGATGGAGATCATGGATCGCTCTTTGGCGATGATACTGGTGGCGGCGGAGCGGGGGGCGGTGGCGGCAACGCCTTTGGTGATGACGACGACGACTTGACGCGAGCACTCGAAAGCGAGATGCAGACTACTGCTGAGCATAGTGGTCCAGGTGAAGTTGACATTGAGATGCAGCAGACAGAAGTTCCTGTGGAATCGGCCAAGCCCGATGCGGACCCAATAGATACGGGACCAGACGCGGGCGAAGTGGCCGATGCTGATGAGCCAAAAACTGCTCATACAGCGACGCCACCAACAACAACAACAAACCCAACCCAGACTGAGGACGAACGCCCCGGCGCTCTGGTGACGACCGGACTACCTCACTCCGATGAGCCACTAACAGCGCCACCCACTAACGATGAAAGCGACATGACCAAGTCAGAACTGCCTCTCCAGTCCGAAAGCACATTTCTGGACGCCTCGTTCGATGGCACACTCCGGATCTGGGATCGTCGAATGGCTGCACCCGTCGCCACCATCGCGACAGATCCTGGTACGCCCCCATGGTGTACTGGGGCCTGCTGGTCACCAGATGGAAATTTCTTCTACGCTGGTCGTAGAAACTGCACGGTAGACGAATATTCCATCCACCATCTCGGCACGAAGCGAAGTAAACCCAATCGAACGTTTCGCTTTCAACAAGGGAGTGGACCCGTGTATGCGGTACGAGCGATGCCCAATAAGAAACATCTGGTGTGTGCCAGTCAGGATATTTTGAGAATATATGATTTGCAACAACAGCCGGAAACACAAAAGCATTCGCGAGTACCTTTTACGATTGTACCAGGGCACAGAGGTGGCGTCGTCAGTGCTATACATATTGATCCTTCTTGTAGGTTCATGCTGTCGGCTGCGGGAAACAGAGGCTGGGAGGGTAGTGGAACGGAGGTTCTGTTGGGGTATGAGATTGGAATACAGGATGATCAAGGGGTTTGGCATGCTGTTAGGGGCTCATCGGCATAGTGTTGATGTCATCAGAATTCCATCACATACATGTAGTGTGGTGTACCTGTAGTAGGTAGTGTATACAGTGTAAGGAGGTAGTGTGGCTGCTGGGTGGACACCGGGTGGGAAGCGCAGGCGCAAGGAATCGTTTATTGCGATGATACCCCAGGAGAACGACATGTTTACTGTAGGTAGGTACCTTGGGTAGTTAGTTCACTGTCACTCGCACACAGTACGTACCTACCTTACAGGTACCTGACCTACACTACTAAGGTGTTTCCAGAAGGCGCACTTCCTGCCGGTGAGCGAGTGGCGTTTAATTCGCACGCCTTGCCAATTCCAGTCGATCAAACAAAGAAGCTCGAACACTGTCCCCACAGTAAATAATGAATGAAGGGGACCTACTAATGTACCTTACCTTACGTATCTTATGCTTCAGCTTCTTCCACTTGCCCTGGAAATATCCGGCAAAATATCTACCTTGAGGTAAAGTACCTTGGTGTACGTATGATTTTTCATTTTTTTTTTCATGATGCCTGTAAGGTACATACTGTACAGTATACGTGTACATAGCTGTATCTAGTTACCTCTACAGGTGTAATATATACATGTACGTAAGGTATATAGCAGCTGGAGCCCTGACGGTCACCAAAATGGCCAGTTCCCCGTTCGATTCCGTTCCGTTCTATCCCCAGACAGACAGACAGACAGACAGACAGAGATGCTTGCAACTCTTTTTACAAGCGAGATGGATCTATCTTACTTTAGAGGGACCTACCTAGCTAGGAGGTAAGGTAAGGTAGAGGTACTCGACAACGACGACAAACAACAACAAAAAAACTTTTTTTTCAAAAACGCCTCAGAGATCTGGGAAAGGCTGCGCCGGCATAGTGGGTTGGGCAGCTGAGCAGCCCCATGGCGTCGGGAATGGAGTTGGTGTGTTGCAAAATCGTGGTTGTGGGATCGGGGGGAATCTCTTTTATTTTTCTTTTTTGGCAAGTTCAGCCCAGCCCAGCCTGCCAGCCTGCAGCAAGCCATGGCGCACTGAACTCGATTTCGTGGTGTTGTGCATGCCATGCACGTAGCCGAATCGTTGGTTTTTTTTTTCCTCTCTCTTTTATTTGCGTGCGTGCGTGCGTGCCGTTCACACAACAGGCGTGGCAGAACAACCAGATCGTGGAAGGAAAAAGAATTATCACATCGGAGGGCCGGCTGACGCCCTGTGTCTGGTACCTGCATGCCGGAAAGGCTGTGCCGTCGAGGGCACAGCGTGTGCCATCATGCATGATACCTACTGCTGCTGCTGCTGCTGTTGTGCGTGGTTGTCGTGATATGCAGTGTTAGTAGAGCGATGCAGCCTCGCCGATGATGATGATGATGATGATGATGATGGCATATATCATCTGCTGTCCACCACCACCACCACCACCACCACCACCACCACTGACGGGGCGAGCTCACTTGCACAATGTCTCAGAAGCACTCGTCCCAAATGCTGCTGCGCGGGACAACTGACACGTCGCAGCCGTGTGCTTGCGTACTTGCTTGCTCATCATCGCCTCCTTCATCTCGCATGCTGCAGTGCCGTGCAAGTTCTACTCTGGTCTCTCGAAAGAGAAAGAGAAAGGACACGGGCAAGGGAAGGGTAAGCTCGGCCAGCACGACAGACCAGGATGCTCCCATTCTAGTCTACAGTGGTAACCAGGATCAGGCGGCTAGTCAACGTCAGAGTCTGCAGTCATTCACGCGCGCGGTTCCCCTTCCCCCTCCAGACTCCAGTGCACCACAATGACCACATCCACGTTCCCTCACCCCCAATCCCCAATCGACGTCCACATCCCACTGGCTTTCCCGTAATGACAGCTGAAACTCGTAGACCAACGGGGCCCCCTCCCTCCAAAAAAGTGACAGGTCGTGGTGTATCACATTCACGCATCGCGCGCACGTACGTTCTCGGTGCTTGACCTGTATTGTAAACAATATACAGTCGGCCTGAATGAAGTCTTTTCGGGGCTACCAGATGCTGCAGTGCTGCTGCTCTACCTGAAGCACAGCGCTCCGCAACGGCATCTCTTGCAACTCCCCAATGGAGTGTGAGGGCCATCTGTCGGCACGAAATGCGACCGGTGCTGCAGGCAGCAAGCACGTCAACACGACCCATCGATCTGAACCGGGCGCTCCCATCCCCCTCAGGTTGACGATGGCGCATCGGCTGCTCTTCCGCGGCATCGCCAGCCGCTGCACGACATGACCATGAGGGCGATGGATGCTGCACGATGTCATCCTGCTCGCTCTGTCGCCCCCCGGTGGGCCGTGGCCCTTCCTACGAACGGAGCGGCAGCCAGGGAGAGAGGGAGAGGGAGAGAGGGAGAGAGAGAGCGCGCGCGAGATAGAGAGAGACGGACATACTCGGCGGCCACCAGGTGTGTCTGAAGTCTCGGGCGGCCGCGCGCACTCGCGTGTCCAGCACTCATTCTGAGATGTTTGAACGAGGCGGGCGAGGTGCAACCTGCCTACTTGGAAAGGTGGTACAGAGGCGTGCGAGTGTCTTTGATTAAAAAAGACCTGCGGCTCTTGATTCGGCAACAGCAAGACGTAACGGCACGCTGTCTACTGCCCAGTGCCCACCTTCTGGCCGATGGGATGCACGGGCACGCCGTGTCCTCGCACCGGCTCTCTCGCATCAGTGCTCGACGTGCTTTGACGAAAGGCTCGCATGCGTTTGCAGGGCGTCTGCCTTGTCCACCGGTGCCGTGGCGTCGGGAACCAGGCGATCTGGTCCTTGGGTTGACCACCCATCTTCACGTCCTCGCCGTCGCCGTCTGTTCCCAGATTGCGCACGCGATCCACCGATGCGTCCGATGCACAAATCAGCGTGCCCGCCGCTCATGTGTGTGTGTGTATGTGTGTGTGTACGTGCGCGTGTGTATGTGTGTGTGTGTGTATGTGTGTATGAGGCGCACCGAGATGAGAGCTCGGCGAACCACGACCCACGACCCACGTCCAGCGTGTTCAGCAATGCAGCGCCCGTCACTGGGGGGAGGGGGAGGGGAGCGGGTGGTCTCGCCCAATATCCAATATCCAGCATCTCGCGGTGCATGGTCTGGTCTAGTCTGGTCTCTCCTCGGGGCCGCCGCGCCTCGCGGGCCCTGTGTATTCCCTACGAGGCCGATCGAAGGACGGTGATCATGCGTGTCACCCGATTGAGCGGCTCAGGCGGGCTTCCGCGTTGCGCTGGCGGTTCCGAGAAGGGTCGAGCAGACGTCCGATGGTCCTGGATGGAGGAGTTCCATCCTCATCTTCCTCGACACCCTGGCCCGCAAGATGACGATATACGCCGGCCCAGCTCATGATTGCGTTGGAGAGCAGGCAGGGAAGCTAATTTGAGACTCAAAGAGATGCTCCGAGCGGCAGCCCGCCTGCTGCTCTGCTCACCACCGTGTGTACATAGGTGCCGGCCGTGAAGTGATATATAACTTCTAAGGTTCAGCTTCCCATCGGACCGGTACATCTGCTTAACCACTCGTGTCCCAACCTACCAAACTCTCCGCCAAACGCATCTGCGCTTCTCCGCAACGACTCCAGGCGCCATCTTGCTTCAGCGAGTTTCAAGTTCCTACAGTCGACAACATCCGTGGTCTGCTGCTCCCTCGCTGGCTCTCCCCAGCGTCCCAGGTAGGCCCTTGATGCTGCTCTCGTGGCTGAACGTGGTGAGACCCTGCTAACACTGCCCGCAGCACTCGTCCTCATTGGTCGCGGCGTTGAACTTGTTCTCCCATCAGGCAACCAACTTGAAACGCCTGTCACCAAAAACTCCCTTACTGCAACCTTCGAAACCCCCCCTCGAAAACCAGCCAATCAGCTCGCAATGTCGGATTCCAACCAAAAGTCGTACCTTCGTGACGGAAGCGGTCCTCGTGCGGTCGACAGCGGCAAGGGTCGCAGTAGCAGCCGCAGAGACGAAGAGAGGCAACGTTCGAAACACAGCGCATCCAGACGCCCATCCGATTCCAAGTCGAGCCACCGTCGGGACGCTTCGTTTGCATCATCCAAACCAGAAGCCCCAACATTCGAGCTCGATGTCATTGGCCAACCTTCACGTGCAATCGTCTTTGGCCAAACCGTCGAGACATCCATCATGGTCAGCCTGAAATGTCACTCACCCGAAATGGTCGCCCGATATCAAGATATGGACACCTCGCGGTTCATGGGCGTCGTCTCCTTAGTCTCGGAAGCACGCAACGGCGAACGTGCGTCCGTTGAATGCGGCACGCTCACAGGCCAAAAAATGTTCGACTCGGTCCACGAATGTCCTGATCACATTGTCGAAAGCCTTGCTCGCAGTCAGCCTTGCCGCGTCTCACTCGGCTACTTGACGTTTCCGCAGCTGCTCATTCGTCAACCTGGTGCTTATCGATTACGTGTTACTCTTATCAAGATGGGTAGTGCTGGTTCGTCGGGTGGCTCTACTGTTATTGCTACGGATAGTGAGTTGATACGGGTTGAACGACGCAGTACGACGGGGACGACTGGTACTGCTCGTAAGCATGGTCGCTCTTGAGGGGCGATGGGAAGAAAAAAAGAAGAAGAAAAACTGCTTTCAAGATGGTATATATACCAACGAGGGTGGTTGAAGTTTTTTTTTTTTTTTTTCTTTCTTCTTTTTTGGTTTTGGTTTTTGGTCTTTGGTTTTTGGTTTGTGGTTTTTTTACTGTCGCGTTACTCGCGTGGCGCGTGGTGTTTTCTTTTCCGGTGGGGGGCTGGGCTGGGTTGGGTTGGGGTTGGGGTTCATTATACAACATAGGGGAAAGTTTTGCCCTCGACTGGACCTACAGGTACATGTTACCTTTTCTTATTGATGAGATGGGAGGAGGGTATGGGCGGGCGAGCGGGCGGGCGGCGTCAGGACGCTTTTTGCTGAAAATCGAGAACCGACAGAAATCTGCCACTGTTGGCCTGGGGAGGGTTATTTTTTTTTTTGTTTTTATGAGGTTGGTTGGTAGTCCTATTTTACCTTACCTTACCTTTGTCGTAGGTACAGGTAGGTAAGGTAAGGTAAGGTAGCTGGCTGGAACGTACAGTATATATGTCTAATATAATGAGGCAGGCAGGCACGCGCTGGAGGAAAGACTGGAATTGTAGTAGGGTACTTTAGGTACCTAGAGTAATCGAAGATTCAGAAGAATGTTTGAAGTTGATATACTAGGTTCTTTCTTACTTACCTTGCCTTGCCTTGAGATCATTTTCTACTGGTAAGGTAGGTAGGTAGGTAGGTAGGTAGGCTTCTTATATTGTTACTGTTACCTGACTTTTAGGAGGTAGGTATCGCCTCAAAGTCTTTTTGGATTATATAAACTCTTTACATGCTAAAAAGTGTAGAGGAGAGAGAGTGTGTAAGAGAGAAGAGGTGTTTGAGGTAAGGTGTATATATACCTGACCTGTGTAAATTATCTGGCAAAATGACTTGAGAGAGAGAATTTGGTGGCCTTTTTTGTCTTGCCTTGGCTTGCCTTGCTCAGAGAGAGATCCGTAGGTGAGGTAGGTGAGGTAGGTGAGGTATACATGCATACGCGTATAGAGAGAGAGGGAAAAAACCATTACAGTTGATGGAGAAGATGACGGGAGGAGGATGAGGATGAGGATGAATTGAAAAAAAGGGAAAAAAAAAGAAAAAGAAAAAGAAAAAGAAAGAAAGAGAAAAAAAATAAGCAGAACAGAGCAGAGCAGAGCAGGTTGCAGAATCTTTTCTTCATTTGGAAAGATGGAATCATCTTTTTTCTTCAGCCTGATTTTTTTTTTTTCTTTTTGGTTTCTTTTTAAAAATTACACAATAAACACAAAAGAGTCTCCTCATCATCAGCAGCAGCAGCAGAGATAGAGATTTCCCCCACCTCACTCATCCATCCATCAACCAACCAACCCCATACATTACAGGGTTGATTCTAATACTACTACTACTACTACTATTACTAGAAGAGTCGCACAGGCTTGTTGTTCAAGTTGACTTTGGCGTTGACGTTGGCGTTGACGGTCGAGTTCCCGTCGTCGCCGCCGCAAGGGTCACCGTTGGAGTCGACGCCGTCTACACAGTCGCCGCCATCTCCGTTGTTGTTGTTGCCGCCACCACCACCACCATTGTTGTTGTTGTTGTTGTTGTTGTTACCTCCTCCTCCGTTGTTGTCGCCACCGCCGTTGTTGTTGTTTCCGTTGTCGTCGGGGATACCAGAACTGCCGCCACCGCCGCCGCCACCGCCATTGTTTCCGTTGTTTCCGTTGTCTCCTCCTCCTCCATTGTTGCCACATGGAAGACCTTCCGAGTCGAAGCCGTCTACGCAACCGGAGCTTCCTCCTCCGCCACCACCACCACCCTCACTATCTCCTGAGTCCTGGCTCTGGCCGTTGGATCCGAAAGTTTCAAAAGGCTGGTAGAATTCTCCTTTGGGATCGCCGTATTTCCATGTGCTGAAAGAACCTTCTTCGTGGACCGAATGGAATCCGTCTACGACGGTCGTCTTGGTATATTCGCCGCCATTGCAGTTGATTTTGTAGTCGATGCTTTTGGGGTCAGAGCACAGGTTGACGCCCGCGGGAGACTTGGCAGATCCGGCCTCTAAGGGCGTCAGTGCTCCTGGGCCTCCTTCGGGAATGAGGCCGGGGCCCTGTGGTTGTCCTGCGACGGTGGGGTATGTAGGGTATGGTAAAGACTGTGGGTATGGAGAGTACGGTGGGTATGATGAATACGGTGGGTACGATGATTGCGGATATGATCCATATGGATAGTAATCATATGGATATCCGGCCTGTCGCTTGGAGACCTGACCTTCTTCTTGTGCTTGTTGTGCCTGTGAGTCGGCAGAAATGGGAAACGAGTGTACTACCGCCACGAAGGCGGTGAAAGACTGAAGGAAGAACAACATGATGAAGTTTGACAGCACCAGCAGGAACAAACGCAGGTGACGGTGCCTCGAGCGAGTGGGCGGCGCGTCTATGTGCCTTTGATTATTATCATTTCACCCTTGCTCAGATTGCCAAAAGGCTCATCTCCAGAAGCCCAGGCCACAGTTGGCTCGTCTGATGACGACTACGAGTTTTGCGGATATGAGATGCAGCGTCAAGGCTGTTTGTACGGGGCATCCTGCCAGCAGTATATTAGTATTCCGAGCAATGCCATCTCGCCCCCTGCTGACGAACCACAACCATCGAGGACCTACTGGTCTGTACGTCGAAGAAAGTTGCTGTTCCTGGCAGAGGGTTTGTTAGTAATGGTGTCATAGTCAGGGTTGTAACCGATGTCGCTTAAGCACAAAGATATAAGGCATGGGTAGGTACGTTAGATACTGAATCAATCAATAGCTTATAATCTTTAATAGGTTATAAGCCCGGATAGATTATTATAGTATTAACTGCCCTGTTACGGTCAATCTCGTTCTTATAAGCTATATATTATCTCTATTATTATTATTATTTGCCCTTAGGCTTCTAGTATCAATTCTATCTCTAGTATTAACTCTATCTAGTATCCTTCTACCTAAACGAATGTTAAGACGAAACATACATTACTAGTACAACGCTATACGATAGAAGATTCTAATAATTACCGATATCGTAGAAGTACAAGAACGAATAACCTACCGGAGTCCGCAATTTTCAACGCTACGAAGCTTACAATACTTAAAGAATTTTCAACTTAAACGCTAATTAGGAATCGAGGTTTACCCTCGCTTTTTATACCCTAAAGAGGCTTAATACTTACTTTTAACTAACTTCTATTCTTCTTTTCGGTCTCCGTAACCTACTATACCTAACTATTCAATATTTTATTTATCGAGAATTATATTATTAAGCACTAGAGTACGGCATATTTAAGATGCCTAAGAAACTAGAGAATAAAATACTAGAGCAAGCAATTATTCGACGTTTTAAGGCCGTAGAATACGTATAAACCTATCGGTAGAAGCAGAAATAGAAGAGAGACGCTTATAAACTCCGTATTCGACAACTTAATTATTATCCTCCTCGAGCTCCGCGTTATTACTCTACGCTTAAATCACTACTAGTAGAAAGAGCAAATCGATTAACTATATTCTTTGATATCGACGATTAGGGCAATACTATCAACTATTAAACCAACGATATAAGATAGCGGGTACAAGGCGGTAATAGTTCTATATACCTATTAAAAAATCTGTAACCCGTCCGCCGTACCGAGGCTATAATCAATTCAGCTACCGATTAAAGCTCTTCTACGTAAGCCCTAACGCAATACAATCCTCTAGCCTAGGAGAACTCGGCCCTAGATTTATCTAGTAACTCTAACTCGTCCGACTCGGAAAGTAGCTCGTCCTCGGATTCTAGTAACTTATTAAGCGATACCGAAGACAAAGTCCCTATACCTACTCGAGATACCTTACCTATTGTTAACGAGTTAACTCGACGCTTTGCCTTAGCTCCTATCGGAGGTATTACTATTAACGAAGACGCTAATATATCTCGTAGAGGAGGCCGTAGCGCCTCTAAACCAGTTCTCTGTCTTAACGAGAACTTACGAAAATATATCTCCGAATACTAAGGTATATACAAAGATACTAAGGCGTTCGACAACTGCAAGCTCCTTACGGGGGCAATAAACTATAACGACTAGATTAGAGAATTCTCTACCGCCTCTAGGAAGGTTAGGTTTCTCTTACTTTTTAACGGAGAAGAGACTGCTCCTATAGAGCTACCGGATAATATACTAACCGAAGAATAGAACGAGTACATACTTGAAAAGGCGACCTAGTTAGCAAGGAACGAGTTACTCCTTAGTTATATTTAGTCCAAGGTCGTACCGTACCTTTATATTAAGATTATTGATTACAAACGAGTTTCGGAAGCCCTTTAAATTATCGATAACGAGTGTATAAGTATCGGTACCGACCTTACGATCTCTTACCTTAAGAGACTACTATTATATACCTTTAACGAAGCGTTATCCTTCTTAGATTTCTAAATCGAATTTAACAAACGATTTAATAAATTCAACCGACTTAGAAGCAATATCGTCTTTAACGATAATGTTAAGTGTTTATTCTTTCTAATTACCCTCGGACCTCGATTTAAGGCCTAGGTTACTAATATTACCTTAGGGTTAAAGGTCGTAGGCTATAGAAGGGACGGATAGGAATTATACAACTTTAACTTACTTTTAAGCGTTGCGGAGAATTACTAGGACTTAGTAAACAGAGATAATAGTAGAGCCCTCGTTCTAAGCGAAAATCGCTCGTTTGCCGCTAGCTTTAAACAAGGCTAGAAGCGCTCCTTTAATTAAAGAACAAATTAACCTCCGTTCGGAAAGATACTTAGCTAACCTAACGTGAAATATTAGTAGCCTAGTTATAAACAGTCAAATTATACAAATTATAAATGCTATAAACAGAATACCGACAAATATAACGAGATGCTTGTACGAAAGCGCGTAAGGACGGCAGAAGGAACAGAGTTAAATTAAGTCTCCGTTTATCTATAGAGACAAGCCTATATCGGAGGCACCGCGAGTTTTGGTACTGCTAATAACTTAAATTTGAATCAAACGAGTTAAGGATCGACGGTCTAAATTAATATAGACAGCAACTTCTGTAGTAGAAGAGTTGTTTTTAACGACTATTAATAACTATCCGGTAAATTCAGAGATTAATCGTAGTTATACGACTTTATACTAGAAGCCTTTATTACCTTCCCCTCGATAAGTTAGTCCGCGTCTATTGCCGCCTATAAGGCGATTAAGGGTAATACTTAACCTTCGGTGAAAAAGGCAGACGTTAAAGACTCAACCTTTTAGAAGTTTGATTAGGTAGTTAACTCTGGCACTTAAGAATATATATACAACGAAAGAAGTATATTCACTAAGTACCTAGAACTCGTAAAGCCAATTAAGATAATTGGTTACGGGAGAGGTTTCTTCGTAGTAGGAGTTAGAAAAGTTGTCCTTACTATAATACGCCCTAATAGTGCGATTGATATAGTCCTTACTAAGGTAATCTACGTCCCTCAAATAAGCGTTAATCTTCTATCCGTCGCTAACCTTAATCGTAATAATACCGAATACCGTTCTATTACCGGAGCCTACTACTTTATCGATAGAAGCACAAATCAAGTAATCTGTACAGGTACTTAGTATAGGTCTCTCTAGAAACTAGATGTCTCCCTTAGACGGTCCTACTACTCTTACTAGTTTAACAACTTTAATGAAAATCGAGAAAAGAACGGTTATCTAGAGGGAGTTGACTTTACTGCCTCTTTCTTTAACTAGCGGACGGTTTAGCGACTTCCTCTTTATATATAGTATTAAAGGTTAGGTTATATTAGCTAGAAACCTCTTCGGGAATTGCTTAAGAGGCAAGGTGTTCTATTTATTAACGACGAATTTAGCTATAAATTATATAATTATAATAAGATACGGCAAAGACATATACGATTAGAACCTATCCGAGAGACTGAACGAATCGACAAAGTTTATATAGATCTTTGTAGTCTATTACCAATTTCTCGAGTAGGAGAACGATACTACCTACTAATTGTTAATAATTATACGAGATACTACTAGATCTATACCCTGAAGACAAAAGAGGCCTTAGAAGTCTATAGATGCTATAAGGACTTCGAAAGACGAATAGAACGATAGTTCAATAAGAAACCGAAACGCGTAAGAGCTAATAGCGGAACGGAATTTATAGACATTATCTATCGTACCTTATACAAGGCAGGTCTAGACTTTACGATCTTAGCCCCTTATTAACCTAATTAGAATAGAGTCTCTGAAAGAAAGTATTAAACGCTCTAGAACATTATACGCTGTATAAAGTAGGATAGTTATCTACGAAATAAACTCTAGCTAGAACTTGTTAAGGCAGCGGTCTTTATTAGCAATCGTATACCGACTACTGCTCTCTAGAATTTCAAGAGTCTATACGAGGCCTTCTACGGTAATATACCGGAAGTAGACTAGATACGACGAGTCGGATACAGAGTATACAAACTCGTACCTAAGGCGAAGTTTCTAAAGAAATACGACGAGCGTGCTTACTTACGGGTATTAGTTAGTTTTAAAGGTTACTACGTTTATCGACTCTAGGATCCTGTTACGGGTACTATTGAACAAGCGAAGGAAGTTCTCTTTAACGAGAATGTTCGCCTTGATTATTAGTTAATAGCAATAGAGTTACCTCCGCTATTAGCAAATGAAACCCTGCCGTAGGCGCCTAAATGTGTTCTCCTAACGGGAAATACTATACAGTCCTACGGTTAACGTTTCCCTAGAAATCTTTAGCCTTCTTAAGAGCAATTGGCTATACGATCCGAGTAGGAGAATTATATACGCCCTAGCGATCAATTGATGCCGAATCCTATACAACCAATTCCGGCGAACTTAACTAACTAACGTATACTAATTCCAGTGCCGTTCAACCCTCCTCGACTAACTATTCCGGCCCTCGACTATCTACCTATACCGTTGTTTATATATATTAATCAATCGGATTAAATCTTAGTACTTAATACGTCTCTTAAGAAGTACGCCTTAGAACCAATACTAGAGTTTGAAATTGAAGACAATATACGAATTCCGACTACTTAGGAACCTCTAGACAATAAGGAACTAACGACAATGCAATTAGCGGAGATCGATCCTATCGTACTAAAAACCTACGACGAAGCAATATCCTGTCCTTATAGCAAGCAATGGATCGAAGCTATTAAAGAAGAGTATAGTTCCCTATAAGACAATATAACCTAGAATAAGGTAGACGAGTCAACAGTACGAATACCTACTCTCTCTAGTCGTTAGGTCTTTACTATAAAGAGAGGATCTCGAGGGGAAATTACTCGCTTTAAGGCACGATAGGTCGTTCGTAGTTTCGAGTAATAAGAAGGGATTAACTTCAACGAGACCTTTGCGGCTGTAGTGAAACTAATAAGCTACCGACTTATGTTTGGACTCGCGGCAAAGAATAACTAGTATATTTATTAAATAGACGTCAAAACTGCTTTCTTCTATAGAGATATTAATTCAGAGATTTACGTTGAACTTCTACCTAGATTTAAGAAGATAGGAAAGGTCTGCAAGCTAAACAAAGTACTCTATAGGTTAAAGCAAGCACTACGAATCTAGTATAAAACTCTTACGAATACTCTTAAGGAACTCGGCTTTACCTACTATCTATATAATAACGTAGTATTCAAGAAAGGCTTAATGTTTATCTTGGTTTACGTCGATAACCTACTTATTACTAGGCCAGATCTCGAGTTAATTAAAGACGTTAAGTATTTACTTAAACAACGCTTTAAAATAAAGGATATAGGGGAATATTAATACTTCCTAGGGATTGTAGTTAAAAGAAAGGAGGGTAAGATCAAACTAACTCAGATAGCTTATCTTAGGGCTATAATTAACAAGTTTGGATTATTAAATACTAACCTAGTTACTACTCTATACGTTACTAACAAACGATAGGAGCCTATACCTCCGGAATTTATAGCTACTCTAAAGTAGCGACTAGAGTACTAATCAATAGTAGGATTATTGATATATACTATACTCGGCACTCGACCGGATCTAGCCTTCTCGGTCTTAATAGCTAGTCGATACTGTTCAAATCCCTCGCCTAAATACTAAGAACAAATTAAGCGGATTCTACGATATATACTTAGAACTCTAGATACTAGACTCGAATTTAATAGGGAGTCGAAAAGTGAACTAATAGGCTTTACCGACGCTAAGTACGCTAGAGATCGCTCGGACAGTAAGTCAATTAGTAGTTATGTCTTTACTATTAGAGGTACTACCGTAAGCTAGAGATATAAGAAACAAACTACCGTCGCGCTTTTAACGGCTAAGGCCGAGTATACTGCCCTCTATTACGTAGGAAAGGAGGCTGTCTAGCTAAAGGAAATACTAGAGTTTTTCGGATTACTATAGGAAACTATTATTATTCGAGTCGACAATTAGATAGCTATTAGGATCTCGAACAACCCCGAAATATATAAGAAGACTAAGTATATTCGAGTGTAATTTTACTTTATAAGACAGCTAGTTAAAGACAAGACGATTACGATCCTCTATATACCTAGACTATTCAATACGGCGGATATCTTTACTAAGGCACTGAATTAAACGACCTTCGAGCAATATATATCTAGAATAGGAATAGTTAGGATTTACAGAGGAAGGGCAAAGAAGTTAAAGGAGAATAGAGTTAATAGTAATTTGGTTAGGGCCTTTTTAGAGTATATTAAGAGAGGCTACTCTTTTCCTACTATAAAGGTAGAGGTTTTTTAAGAGGGGACCTAGGTTTCATTTTAAGGAGTTATTATAGCGTTATAGAAATTAACCGACTATCGGTTAAGTAGGAGTGTTAGTAATAGTGTTATAGTCAGGGTTGTAACCGATGTCGCTTAAGCACAAAGATATAAGGCACGGGTAGGTGCGTCAGATACTGAATCAATCAATGGCTTATAATCTTCAACAGGGTTGTTGGCACGAGATATTGCGAGGGCAAGGGGTATGCTTGAACCAACGCAGTGTGCTCGAAAAGGAAGCGGGCAAGTGTGAGATGCAGACACTTTATGGCTTGTTTTGTGGTCATGCGTGCTGATGCTGATGATGAGGCGACGCAATCTGCCAAGTTCTTCATAATGAGTCGTGATGATTGTTATCAGCATTGCATTGCCCACGCACCGGAACACGGCAGCCATCGAGTGCCCTTCCGACAGGTATACAAGGCACCACGGTATGAATGAAGTCATTGAGTTCCCGACCGTATTCGTATGCCATCAAGGCCCTCGCCTGCAAGAAATCTGTCAGGATCCTCCATATGGGGCAATGCAGACAGGATGGAGGGTTGAGAGGGAGGAAGGGTGAGGTTGAAGGTAAGCTTTGAGTTAGCGAGCAGCCGGAGCAGGAGTAAGCGTGACAACGACACATGTGCAGCCGTTGCAGCGAGTCATTGGCTGGCCTGAAAGGTGAAGACAACGGACGGGGATAATGAGGCCATTATTGTTGGAAATGAATGAGTCCATGCACTTCTTCACACTTTGCCCGAGATGAACAACGCGCTAGACCCTTGTTAGGGTTTGACTGTTATTGACGCGAGTTGGTCAGGAATTTATGATATAACGAAAGCATAAATGAAAGTGAATTCCCTACTGACCCAGTGACCGAGGCCCTAGGGCTGCTAACTACCTAAAACGTGTTTATTTTTATGTGAAGTTTGTGCACGTTGGGGCACAGTTGTCAGTTACCCAATGACACGTGAGAAATGCGAAAGAGCTCCGATTGTCTGTCTATATTGAACAAGTAAAGCGTTAGAACCTGGAAGTACATAAAGCCTTTGTGAGGCCTTCATTTGCTAATGACTAAGCGTCTTCAACTGCATGTGGACAGGAGTCCTAGTCAATTATTGATTACTACTTGATTTCGCTTACGTCAATATAAAAGTAGAAATACTTATGCCATCGCCGTGCAGCGTGCTTGGGCGGACTGCATCCCTAACGGGCCTGACCTAGCAGCTACAGCCGGCATGTATATCTGAGTTTATGCTCTTGTAATACCAGCTTCAATCTACCTACAACGAGTTGGAACTTGGGACTGTCGAGGAATAGTCGGATGTGTATCAACAACACGGAAAGGTCGGACGCTACCACATTCGGACACGGAGTAAGGTAGTGTCAAGTGAAAAGAACGGACCTGAACCGAACATCTCGTTCTCTCAACTTGAACATTTATTATACTTTCTCACGATCAATATGATTATAGCCAAGTCAGACCTCCTTGCTGCTGCTTACAACTTGGCACGGAGTAGTCGGCAAGCTGTTACTTTCTCAACATGACATGGTACCCCTTTAACTCGCGGGCTGTGCGATTTAATCATAAAATAATATCGTGCACGGTAGTTATTTCATGTAGTCGATGAAAAAAGCATCAAGAGACCGACCGCTACATACCTTAGTACATATATATCACTAAGGTATGTTTCATGTCTGGCGAGAGCGTGTTCTGAATATCCTTTTTGATAGGTATGGTAGGTTCTTCCAGATTCGCCTGGAATATACTCTAATAGCAAAGACAACAACAATACAAACCAGATCCCGATAGAGCTGCGTTCACGATGCTGAGCAAATGAGGTGTATCTTACTTGCAGTCCTCAATGCACACGAGCATCAGCCTTGTTCCTGCACCGCACTAGACTTCTGCACTGCGAGAGGTTTGCAACCTATCCGAACCAGGCCGGTCAGCTCCATCAATCATCCTTGGCTACATTATTTTCCGTATACCACATTTGTCCAATGTGAGTCTTGTTTACTGCACTATTTCGACTTTAGCATCTGCAGCTTACTGAAATCCTGCCGAATACTCCAGAACCGGCAAACACTCGCGATGTTTTTGTCTTCTTTGCCTTCCTTGAAATGCACCTGCAGCAGTACGATTAAATCCTTGCCTCGCCTCAGCACACATTTGAAGCAGATACGGACGCTCAAGATACGTCTTCTGGAGTCAACTCGCGGCTGCGTAATAATACCCCTCGTCTCCAAGCAGCAGTCATGTGAATAGTCAACAGCCGCAACAACGATGTCGCCTTTTAGGAAAGTTTAGCTCCTCCGCGCCTATAGAGAGCAGTTAGCCCTCTCGTTGGCTTTTAGTCATCGGGCACGCCTCTGCGTGAGAAAAGTATTGCTCGTCGAGGAGTCTCTCTCTCTCTCTCTCTCACGATGTTGGTTTGCCCGAGAACATCTTTACTGCGGGCGTACGGGCGGCTGGATATGCTCGGCGTGGTTGGAAAGGAATTGGATGTGTAGATGTCTCCAGATACAGGAACCAGATACCTTGGCAATCTTTCATACCCTGAGGCGTGTTTCCATCAGCCTGCAGATAGTCCCGACTAAGGTAGTCAGGCTGCAGAAATTGCGTAAAGGCGTTGGATATAGACAACGAACGTCTTATACCAAGTTCTACGCCTCGCACGGCTAGAGTCGAATAGCTCCTCTTTTCAATATGCGGACAACGCCATTATCGATTCCATCGATTTCGCGCTAATTGAGACATTATCGACTTGGACACGCCAACATTGCTGTTCTCTGCTGGACTTCTGAGTAATAAATTAGTATATAAATATTCGACGAAGGATGATGGTGTTGCAGAGAAGAAGAAGAAGAAATGAAACTCTTTTCGAATTTCAAACACTTCATGCGACATGCCGGCTTCGCACAGACTACCTACCTCCTACTCTGACAAACAGACAGACAAACAGGTGCCTTTCGGGCCTCTCTCTCTTGCTTTATTTTGGATATATTCTGAAGAAAAAAGTATATTTTCTCTTTTACTGCAAAGGTCCATGTATATCTGGTTAAATTTGGAGATAGACTTCCAGAGAAAGCAAATCCAAAAAGAAAAGAGACAAGCCAGCCCTATGTAATAGATGCGTGCTATAGACGGCTAGCCGGCCGGTGCTGTAGATGGGTTTGCAGTCGAATGTCTTTCCTTTGATGTTAGTAGAGAGAGAGAGACGAGGGAAATGTCATATTACTTTTCGACGAGGTATGGATACATGTATATGGAATCATGATTACCCACTACCCTCGGTAGAAGCTTACTTAGGTTGGTAGGCAAAACGTTGGAATGCAATCAGTGTGTCCCATCGCTGAATTTTATCTACATGTGGCCCGCGTGTGTGGCTCGGTAATTGAGCTATATGAAACGGCGCCGTACGATTGACGAGACGTAACCAATGCTCGCGTGTGCGCCATGCGGTCAGCACATTGTCGAGCTACTACCCCACGAGATGAACCGGTTTCGCTCGCGTCGCGCCCACAGTCCTTGTGATATGGACAAGCTGTGGAAACGGTGATAACTTCTTCATCCTTCAATCCTGCGCCTCAATAGTGATACCGAAGCTGGGCTCGGGAAAAGCATGCGGACGCCAGAATCATGCATGTCGGTTTTGGATGGCCCGTTGCTCCAGAGATGGCGAAGCAGCTCTATGCTAGGCAGGATCAGATTGTGTAACTGGGTCTCCTTGACGATTGGATGTGGCCTGGAATGGAAGGATGTTTCGCTTCCAGGCGCATACTTTGTAAGCGAGAGCCTAGAGGTATTGTGTTCTGGGGCGCCTCAGAAATGTACTATGCGGTGTCTTTCATTGGTCTGGCCGCTTCTCTCGGAGATCCGTGACTCGCAATTGGTCTCGTGAGCTCTTCCACAGTTTCATCAACCCACGAGGCAATGTGCCAGGTCGAATGAGCGGTCTGGCGTTTCGACGATCAATGCATGCCGTTTTCACGATGCCAGTGCTGTAAAATGGCCAAGTCTAAGGCGTTCAGCGCAGTCCACGCTCAACTTTCCACAAGTCCAGAGCAAGTCCCGGCGTATCCTTGATCACAGCGTACATGTCCTGTGTCTGAACCAGCTGCGGGTGCATTGTGAACAATTGCACAACAACATCGCGGAGTCCTCGATCGGTGTCGACGGTTGACTGGTACACCAGCTCGATTGCCTCTGCGAGTTCTGCAGCATCGTAGTAGCAAGCTGCTGCCATCTCAAACTTTTGCTTTGCAAGCTGCTTCAAGCATGGAATGTCATATTTCTCTCCAAGAGCATAGACTTGTGCATGCAGGACCAGATGAGACTCCTGCTCGTTATCTTCTTCAGATTCTTGACTCTGCGCATCACTGTCTTGCAGTTCATACTGGTGCGGCGAGTCGGCGCGATTTCTGAGAGGTGACTGCAGTGGTTTGTCTGCCCAGTCATTGCGCTCTGCTGGACATAAAGGCTGGCTGAGATAGAATCCTGCCTGTGCGAGCAGAGGGTCTTCGATCTGCGTGAAGTCGATCTTCTTGGGCGCTCTGTTGGAGTGAGAGTGGGCACGATGCCTGAACATAGCGGACGGGCGTTGTCCCGGGGTTTCGTTGAGGTAGTCGAGGTAATAAAGGAAGTGAATCATTTGCTCAACAGCTTCCGCGTCATCTTCGCTGAGATCGATAACACCTGTCTCTGCCTCTCGGAATTGATGAGAGCAAGCGCCGTCGAAAAATCCGCTTCTTGAGCACACGATCGCCTTGTGGACAGCCCATTGTTTGTAGTTGCATGTTATGGTCAAGTCTGAATACTTGCCCCCGAGGTGTAACCTTCGTGATATGTTAGCGACACCCATGTTTGGGGCAGACGGTGTAGGAGCGATACGCACGCAGACAGAGCGTTCATAAGTTCACTTTGAGCAGCCGAATCCGTCATGGTTGGTGACAGCGCCGTGATGCGGTAGCGCCCTTAGTGCTTGGGGAGCCGAGGCAGTGTATTTCCGGATCCAGAGCACGCAAGTCCAAGTTGGAAGCAAGGCAGGTTCGGTCTTTCGCAGATGTTGCACAATTCACCTGCGAGGAGTTGTAGTGGTGCAACGCGAGGTGTGAGCGCGACGAATAGATGGCGCGGGAAACTATATACTACCAGCTGTAGCCAGCGAGTAGAACTAGACAAGGGAGGAAAGTTAAAATGGCACACGCCTCCCGGCCATGGATGGGTACTGTGGGTAGGACCGTAGTAGGAGCCTAGCAGGTAGGAGGTAAGGTAGTTCGATGTGGCTTCACTCCTGCTACTATACGTGCCGAGTTGACGAACATGCGCAAAGCTGTGAGTGGACAGCTGCTCTGCTGCTGCAGCCTGCAATCCTATGCTCGCTTCCCATTCTGCAGCTGCCATCTCCTGCTCCAGACTGGACCACTGTAGGCGAATTGGACACGGGATCAAGCAAGTCCACCTCACTCTAATCAACTCAGCCGCCGACTGGATGCGGCATTCACTGCGGAAAGCCGCCGAAGTGCTGATGATGAGTGGAGTATGTATCAAGGAAATGCGCTGCGTGATTACTCGATTGAGACGAAGCTGAAGCAAAGCGGACCTCGGACTTCTGCTTCCAGTTATCACATCACGCGCCTACGCGGGACATCTGCGCTCCAGTAGTCAAAGCTGCGTCGAGATCGTGCCATCTGTCGCTAACAAGGCATCTGTTTGTCTGCTTCCATCAGCTGGTCTCAGCTCACTATTTCTTCCCTGAATGGTTGTCAGGTCTGAACCCAGAATTTGCCATGCAGGGTGGATAAATACCAGGATGGCTGTGCATGCCATGCCACATCATTTTATAACACTACCTGCTAAAACGGGAACACTCTGTTTGTCAACATTGCTGGGGTCTCCAAGTTGAGTGATGAGGCAGCGATGAATGATTTCTTCGGCACCGATAACTTTCGCAGTCTCGCCTTCAACGGGTGATTTTTGATGTCTTCAACCAGATCAAGCGACTCTCGAGTGAAAGCACCTGTCCTCGTCATCACTCAATTCTATATAATGTACGTTAGTGTCGAATCTGCCTCGATTTGGCCCACAACGTCCTCATCCGCCACCTAGCACGCGGAGGAGCTCAGTCCGGTTGACATGCAGCGAAAGGACCAAGCGGGAAGGCGACAGCGCTGTGATGAGCCCCATATGGATGACTTGCACTTCTGCCTTGGCAAAAGCATAGGCCGATTGGTAGATGAATAGAAATGAAGTGTCGCGTGGCACACATGTGAGTACATGTAGCCTCGAGGTAGTGTGGTCTGGGTTCTACAGTAACTCCTACCTTAGGTAGCGATGCAAGCATGCGCCGATCGTCAAGCTTGCGCAGCTTCCTCCGTCGTATGGCATCCAAAGGCATATCGCCGCGCCACCAGCAAGCTCTTCCTCCCATCCCCCTCCCTGGAGGCGGGTGAATCACAGCATGAGACGCGCCATCGAGGTAGGTTGCGCATGACAGATGCATGGACCGGGCGCTGGACAATCTCAATTCAGTCGTATCGAGCCCCGATCTGTACGTAGGGCTGTCCCGGAGTTGCTCGAAATTGTCCGGCTACCAGACTCGATGGGGCACACGTAGCGGAGATGGTATTCGTGGTGGTGGTGGTGGTGATGTTGGTAGTGGTAGATTGTGAAGATGGCCGTCTCAGACGCGTTTAGATTTCAGGTCGCGGTGGGATGGCAGCCAATTCCGTCATCAGCGACCGCCACTTCGGTTCGCGCTTTGATGAGCTCAGGTTGTTTAAGCTCGATCTCGTCTGGAGACACGTTCTACAGACACGTTCACTCTGACAAGACAACTTGGAAGTCGTGCACCGGCCCTGGAGCTATCGCATACTACTACGTACGCGCGTACTCGCCGGATCTATCGCCAAACAACGTGTCTGATCAGCTTGATCCGCCGACAGCAGCAGCAGCAGCATGACGGGCGACTTCAAGCTGTCAGCCACTCTGCGCGGCCACGAGGAAGATGTAAGCAAGCAAGCAGGCCGGCCGACAGGCAGGCAAGCGATCTGTTTCCAGCATCTCTACTGTTTTCCTTGCCAGCAATGGACACTCGGAATAGCTGACGAGCTCACTCTCTAGGTCCGGTCCGTAGTCTTCCCCAACAGACACCTCATCTTGTCTGCCTCGCGCGACCACACGGTCCGACAGTGGACCCTCACTTCGCCACAGCCGCCGACCTTCGACGACACAATTGCGTTGCAGGGCTCGAATTGGTTCAATGGCTTGGCATATGCTGCACCGTCGCAGCAGCATCCTCAGGGTGTGATTGCAGCTGGCGGCCGGGAAACGTTCGTGTATGTCAAGCGGGTGGGCGAGTCACTGACTGACGATGCACATCGTATGCTCATCGGGCATGCGGGCAACATCGCCTGCTTGGCCTTCACCGATGATGGCAGCAAAGTTATCAGTGGCTCCTGGGACAAACAGGTCTTCGTCTGGGATGTGGAAGGCGGCCACGTTACAGCTGAGCTTCTGGGTCATGAAGGGCCGGTCTGGGGCCTGCTGGTTTATGAGAACAAATTCATAATGACAGCTTGTGCCGACAAGATCATCCGCATATTCGACTTCAATGGGAAGCCACTGCAGGCGATCAAAGGGCATACAGATGTCGTTCGGTGCTTCGCGAAGCTGCCCTCTGACCACTGGTCTGGAGGCGCTGTTGCGTCTGCTGGCAATGACGAAGTAATCCGACTTTGGACAAGGGATGGAGAACCTATTGGAGAGCTCGAGGGTCATACGGCATATATATACAGTCTGGCCATTCTGCCTAACGGTGATTTGGTGAGCTCGTCAGAAGATCGCACTGTCAAGGTCTGGAGAAATGGGCAATGTATCCAGACTATCACACACCCAGCTCTCAGCATCTGGACCGTTGCAGCATGTCCAGAGACTGGCGACATTGTGAGTGGAGCGAGCGATAACACCATTAGAGTTTTCTCTCGTGATCCAGAACGGCAGGCCGATGCAGAGGTGCGTACAATACGGTTGAAAGGAACCATTGCAGGCATTCCACCGCAAAGCAACGACTGATTTAACATGACCTCTAGACCATAAAAGATTTCGAGGAGCGCAATCGCATGTATGCGATACCTGCGGAAACTGCTACCCAAGGCCAGCCATTCCAAAAAGAGAATCTGCCGGGTCCAGGTATGTGTTAAAGCACCTATTTGCGCGAGATGATGTCGCACGAGCACATCATGCAAAGAGCCTGGGTTATATCAATGCAGGCTTTTTTCAACAATGCCAAAGATTCTGACGCCATTTCCAACAGATGCACTCCAGACGCAGGTTGGCGAGCGAGATGGTCAGCAACTTTTCGTTCGCGAAAACGACGGGAGAGTGACAGCGCACCTATGGGCGGCCTCGACAGGTCAATGGAATCTAGTACGACCTCTTCCAAACAGCCCTGATTCCTCATTACTGATAACAGAGATAGATCGGAACAGTCGTCGAGGGTGAGGGCACGAGCACTGCCAAGAAATCACACAACGGGCAAGAGTACGACTACGTCTTCGACATTGATATTGAGGATGGCAAGCCGCCTCTGAAACTCCCCTACAACCTGTCCGAGAGTGCATGGGATGCTGCGCGAAAGTTTCTCGAGCGCAATGAATTACCGATGACCTACTACGAACAAGTCGCGCACTGGATACAGGAAAACACAAAAGGTGCTAAATTGGGACAGGGCCCCGGCACTACAAACACACAACAACCAGGTCGCGACCCTTGGGGCAGTGACAATCGGTACCGACCTGGAGATGCTGGGTCGGCATCAGCTGGAGGTCAGCGTAAGATCCCACAGCGGACATATGTCGACATCGTTGAAGGCAACCCTGCGAATGCTATCAACATCATCCTGCAGAAGTCAGAAGAACTTGGTAAATCTGCAACGTTGTCGCCTGAGCAGATGCTGGACTCCAAGGAGCTCGAAGCGCTCAAAGCGCTGTCAACTCAACTACAGAACAAGCAGGATCCCCGGCCGACCCAGACGCAGACTGATGCTCTGCTCAAGATCGTCTCGTCCTGGCCTACGAAAAGCAAAGTACCAGCAGTTGGTATTCTCGCTTTACTGGCCGTCTCACCGTCCTTCGTGAATGCCACAAGTCGTGGAAAAGGGACTATCATCGAAACCATCAACGCCGCTGGACTGTTGAAGCCTCATCAGGAAACCGCAAACAATGTCGTTCATGCCATACGCCTCCTCGCCAACCTATTCAAGACCGATGCAGGGCTTCTGCTTGTGGATGGTCTCTTCGATTCTACTCTGCAGCTCGTGCGCCCTTTCTCCCAGCAGCCAGAATCTCCCGCTCAGCTTAGAGCACTTGCCACGCTGTACCTAAACTACGCTGTGCTATTGACCAGCCAAGCGCCATCAAACGAGGCCGCACAGCGCGAAGCCCGAGCCAAGACGCTCCTGATCGATACTGCTAGCCTGTTGGAAGTTGAGGGCCCTCATCTTCCGGATAACGATGCTGTGTCTCGCTCACTGTTGGCACTGGGCACTCTGCTGTCTTTGGGCGCGGACTTTAGGGCAGCTCTCAAAGAGGGTTTGCCTGGAACATTATTGGGGGTTGAGAGAACACCGGCAGGACAGAACCCCAACATCAAGGATTTGATTGCGGAGATTCGAGACGAACTTCGTTGAGCAGATTCCTGTCCCGGGTTGGAGAAGAGTGGCTTACAATACGACCGAGACGATACGTTGTTGCATTACTGCATTCGGTCTGCATAGCGCGGCATTAAAAGTGTACCTATGGTCGCATGTTGACTTGCTGAAACGGAAACCATAGAGAGCTATAACCGGGGATGAAAGAAGTTCCGTGTCGCGTGAGTTTCGAATAGCCAAGAACGACCGGATCTGACTCCGACCCTTTGCTTTCCTTCCCTACCCGCCCCGCCTCGCCCCGCCCCGTGTCCGCGACTTTCCCTGCCACTCACAAAATAGAGTCCCGGCCGTGCGGCTTTGCGGTCCATCCTGTTCCTGGGCCTGGTTCCTTCGTTCCCGACCAGCACAACGTCTTGTGAGATGTCTGCAGCGTCCACATGGCCGCGACGAACCGCGTGTCGGTAGGGGCAGCGAGGGTCATACCGATACTGCTCGTTCTCATCGTCGGCTATGCTTCCTACGTCGTCGTCGGACCGCTCTGCATTTCCTACCTCATCCATCCTCCCCGGGGGACTCCTCGACGTCTGCTTGCGGGCATCCTCATCATCGTCTTCTATTTTGTGTTGCTCATACCCGTGGCCATTTCGTGGCTGAGACTCTTGCTGGCTGTACTCATTGAGCCGGGATATACACAGCGAGGAGACAGTGATCTGCAACGACCGACGGTCACAGAGCCGCCACTGGAGGGACTGGAGACGTTTTGGATGCGCGATGTTTTTGTCTGCGATCAGAATGGACTGCCGATCTGGTGCGATGTCTGCAAGTGTCCGAAGCCTGACAGGACTCATCACAATCAGGACGTTGGACGATGCACGAGGTAAGCGACAAGCTCGAAGACAGACCAGTGGAGGAAGGTTGGCGTTCTCAGAGATCCCTGCTGACGTTCAACCTGCGACTTTTGTAGGAAAATGGACCATTTCTGTCCCTGGGTGGGAGGAGTAGTGGGAGAGCGATCTTACAACTTCTTCGTCCAGTTTCTGTTCTATACCATGGTTTTCACTGCTTACATTACTGGGGTGCTTGGCTACTACGTCGCTGGATATAAACACAACGTTCACTGGTTCGTGGTCCTCGGTCTGGCTGGCTTCTTCCTGCTGTTCACTGCTGGCATGGTTATGAACAGCTTAAACATGGTGTTCAAGAACACCACTACGATCGAGGCAGTCCGTGGCAGGATGTACCTGGCTGTCATTCTGCCTCCCGAAATGCAAAGAGACCCGCTGGTACCACCCCCGCCCGCAGTGCTATCGCAAACCCCAGGGGATGGAGCGAGCGATGAGGGAAGTGAGCGACATCTGACGTCCGAATTGGATGATCCTGCACATATCAGTTATTTCAAACGACAGTCCAAGCCCACCAGGCGCCAGTCAACATCACATTCATCTACTCCTTCGAAGTTATGGAAGGGGACAATCACATATCCGTTGAGACTACCCACTGATCGACCACCTATTCCTGCTCCCGAGCCAAGGACATTCGCCATTTTAGAAACGCCACGAGGGCTCAACCCATGGGATCTTGGGACGGCAATGCTCAATTTCAGAGCTGTTTTCGGACATCATTTCTACGAGTGGTTTCTTCCTCTGAGGCATTCTCCATGCTGCGAACATAGCTCGCAGATCTCGGAATATCCTTTGGGTCCCGAATTTGAAGTATTATTAGTGGATGCGGGCCTTGTCCGGCCCGCGACAAGCTCATCGCAGAAGAATGAGCGCCGGGGGAGCAGTACACCCAGCAGAAGAAAGAAGCGCAGGCTGGACGAAGGATGGCAGAACGGGGAGAGACCCAACGGCTGGGTCAGCGAAAAGGAAGCCAGGAGGATCCGTAATGAATGGCGAAGGCGTGTCAACCAGGCAGATCACCCCTTTGGAGGGGGGCGACAGCCTGATGATGTATATTGATCGTTGATGCACTTTTCAGAGGCCGCGAGAACGAACAATGAAATTCTGCCTTGCCCCCCCCCTCCCGGCGCGAATGCAATGCCCTCCAGATTACACGTGCTATGAAAATTGTCATATTTCAACTACATGTACGTGGGTGGGTTGAGAGCATCAGACGCGCGCTCGTCATGACGAGTCCCAAATGTCGTGTGGTAGAAGTCTGCTCAAAAAAGTAATCTGGAGAGGATGAAGATGAAGATGAAGATAAAACAGCCCTCAATACATCTGGTATCTCTCCTCCTTGATACCTTACCTTACCTCACCCTTCCAGATCTACACATGTCATTGACTCCTATAATGATGCTTCTTTCCGCCTTCAATGCCAGTTGATAAGGTATCTATCCCTCGAACAGCTGCGCGTCAGGCTCAACAAATATGGCCATATACGTACATCTAGCCTTCCTTGTACATCTAATTCGAGACGTCACATTGAAGAATGCGTAAGGTAATATAATATACATTACATTACGTAGTAACATACCTACGTAGTAAACCAGTCACTTCCTAAAGACCGCAAAAAAAGAAATTGATCAAATCTGGTGAATTAATTCCTTTGGTGAAAAAAGAAAAACTTCCATAGTAGAATCCTTGTACAACGTTTTCGATCCCGCACGCTAAGTGTATATAGCACAGCAATGACTTCACACGGAAATTTCAAAAACCATCTTCTGTAGGTAGGTAGACATATATGTAGCCGACAAGATCTGTATAGATGGGCAGCGTTTTTCCGCAGGCCGGACCTTTCCCCGTCCGGTCCTAACGGGTGATATGGTGGTATGTGAACGTTGCCCGATAATTGATTTTGCCGCCGATGTTTTCGACCTGAGCGGTCACATTTGGGTGTGTTTTTTTTTGTGTAAGCGTCGATGACAGGTAACTTCAGAGATGTAACCTCTCCATACCGTAAAAAACAAATCGGTTCGCCCGTCCATGGTTCTGGGACAGATTCAAAAGGTTTACATGTACCTACCTACCTCCAAGTAAATATTCCGGAGAAGGCGACAAAACACCACATGGCAATAGGATGGTAATAGATCTCTTTTCGCGAACTCGACGAGCACCCAGTAGAAGTTGTGCCGAACCCATCTAGTCCGGCTTTCTTTGCAGTAGGTACTTCCAACAGTACTGAAACGAGCCTACCTATAGTCTTGTAAGCATTCGACGACGTAGCGACGACTTTTCAACGTTGCAACGCGGTGGAACCCATGTCAGACTCGTTTCTACGCAATCGGGATAATGCAGGACCAGCGTCAGTCTACCACGAGAGTCGGACCAACTTCGTGATTGCTGCACACGAGTGACACGACGATGAGCTGTCAGGCGCCACCAGCAACTTACCAGGGGGTTGCTTGCAATTGCTGAGTATAAAGTCGACAGGTTGACTGGCTAGGAGGCCAAGCGTCGGCGGCATATCAGCTGATTGCGGTCTGTCCTATAACATACCTCGACGTGTTGGGTGCGAATAGTATCTGTGTCAATGCTGTAATGATTGGGGTATCTGTCGCAATTCGTGTAATCAATGATGCTTCACCTTCACGCTGCTTCGCTGTCTCTAATTTGCCTCCCGCACCTCTGCTCATGCCCTGTGACATATATGACCATTCGACCTTGCGTACGGTTCCATGACGCTGCGGCACCGTGCGCGTATTCATCAGGCAAATCCCTTGCCCATGCAGCGGATCCTCAACCCGCCTAGTAGCGCGAATGCGGCTCCTCTCTCCGTCTCCCATCATCTCTCGCTCCTAAACCACCAGACATGTAGCTCATCTCCGAATCCCGGTCTCGATCATGTCGACGCTGGTTCTCGCGGACGAAGTCCAGATCATTGCTCGCACCACCTGTCGACGGGGCCTCGAGCATCTTGGGTACCTTCTCCTTGAACTCATCCTCGCTATCACTGTATTCATATTCGCCACGCTCGTATCGATCACGGTTGCGGGTGCTCTTCCGGGCGCCGGACTTTCTCTCAGAACGTTCCTCTTCATAACGTTTGTCTGCATAACGAGCATCTCGCGTCAGTGAATGTTGTCGATTGGCGTGAGACCCACCTCCATGACCATGAATTGCGCTTGTCTTGTATGCTCGGCTTCTTCCCGACTGGCCTTGTTCTTCTCGACCCGAACGCGCCTCTTGGAGGCTTGGTTGTGCGCTGGTATCAATGAAGTCCACCAGTGGTGGCGGGTTTAGCGCGAGCTGATTATACAAGTGCTCCAGGTTCGGTGGAGCTGTGGACGCATTTGCTGCCTTTTGGGGAGCATGATCAGTTCCGTGTGCCTCATCCACACTGGATTGGTCTGGACTGGTTCCATTTGGGGGCGTGATGTCTCTGGGATCGGTGTAATGAGAACGGTGTCGTTTACCTCTGATGTCTCGCGTCTTGTCTGCGAGCTTCTGAATCTCTTCTTTTGTCAAAACGCGCAACACGATGACACAGTCGAGACGTTCCTCGAATCTTTCTTGCGCTGCTTCGAGTGCTTCCGGGTTTACAAGACGCCGATCGATCTTTGTCCATCGTGCGCCAGGCGGAATACCCTTTTTGGTGGCCTAAAAACACATGTGGTCAGTGACTTCTACACTTGGTCAGGACGGCGGGAGTAACGTACATCTTTGAGTGGAGCGACACCTTCTCGAATCGCGTGGTTGTCTTCAGGGAACTTTTCTGTGGGCTTTTTGAGGATACCCTTCGGCCTCTTGTCTTCGACCTCAGTGGGAGGATCCACGATGCGAACACGGTTCTCGCGTCGGTCGCTCTGGGAGTTGTCTATGATCTGGTACGGCTCGTCCGTCATGGGCCTGTCAAGTATGCTGGGTTTTCTATGAAGATCAGGCGATGCCGATTCGTGGGCGGTCGTTCCTGTCACATTCGATACGTCGTCTCTGGCGAAGCTGCCTCTCGTTTTAGAAGGCGCGGTGTTACTGCTCGAGCTCGAGTCTGAGTAAGGCACGCTGTTGTTGCGGAGTTCGCGGTCTCGCTGTCGCTGCTCGCGCTCCTTTTTGCGGCGCTCCCGGTCTGGATCAGCATCCACAGCACGTTGCGCAGCTGATGCTACACCAAGCTCGCGCTGAATCTGCTCCATGCGACGACGATAGTCTTCCTCGGCTGATATTGGAGGCGCAGGCTTTTCGGAGCGCCCGTTTTTGCTGTCGGAATCAGAGTCTCGAACGCGTTCTGGCTCAGGTCGAGGGTGACTACGCTCTCCTTGCCTACTAGAAGGACGCTCTGGTGCAAATGATGGCGCGGGACGCTCATTAGGTGGCTCAAGTGGTCGTTCTGTCGCCTTATCAATCGAACGATCTTGCGTCCTGTCCTGAGCCTGAGATCGCTCAGTAGGTGCGCGGTCCAGTGGTGGTGGAGGTCCCTGTTGTCGGTCGTTGCTTGAAGGTGGTGCAGTCCGCTGCGGCTCAGGAGGCGCTTCGAACGCGAAACCCAGGCCCCGATCTCCTTCTTTGCGCGTACGGTCTCGTTCCCGGTCACGGCCATAGTGATCTTCGTCGCTGACGGTACGTACAGCCTCCCTTCTATCACGTTCATCACGATGGTGCTCACGCTCATCATTATGGCGCTCTGGCCTCTCTCGCTCCCGTTCGCGGTCCTGCCGGTCACGATCGGCTCTACGGTCACGACTGCGATCTCGCTCTCTGTCGCTTCGCTCTCGCGGGGGATCTGGGTCCTTATCTTTGTCACGTTTGTCGGAAGTGACCTTGTTGATAAGACCGGTCAAGCCAAAAGCCGCTGCAGCGCCAGCAAGGCCACCTGTTGCGGCCTGCGACAGGCTTGGCTTAGAAACAGTATCTCCATTGCGTCTTGGACTGTCATCCTTGTCTTTCTTGCGCCCATATTCACGGTCACGATCGGCGTCTCTCCTGACATGATGTCGTTCGCGATCGTCCTTTCGCTCGTCTCTCCGTTCTTCTTTCCGATCATCCTTGCGTTCCGCAGGAGGCTGCACATACCGGTCGCGTTCCCTTTCACGCTCTGTAAGACGCTCATGATCGCGCTCTCTCGGTCGTTCATAATCACGGTCCTGTCCACGGTCATCCTCTCGCCGTGTAGGAAGCTTGACTGGAGCCTCCCTCAGATCTCGTTCGCGAACTCTGTCCCGATCCTCAGCCTGTAGCCTCAGAGCATACTCGCGATCCCGTTTCTCCTGCTCCAGGCGGCCATTGTCCTGATACTGAGGTGCATAGGACTGTGGCGCAGTGTCTCGTCTTATGGGCTCGGCATATCCAGAGTCTCGGTATACGGTGTGCTCGAAGCTCTCATCACTGCCTCTTACATCGTGCCGACCATATCTGGTCTGGCTGTCATCTCGGAGGTTGGGGTTAATCCCGAAGCCTCGCCTCTCGAGACTAGGGTCGGGCCTGCGAGTGATGCTGTGCCGCCGTGCAGCCGATCTCGGCTCCCTCCCATAGTCGTAGTTGGAATCATAGGTGTGAATCGTGGTCCGACGTCCTTCAGTAGAGCTGTTTCGAGGCGCAGCAAAGATGGGGTCGTTTGAGTCCCCGTAGTCCGCATAGCCAGCATGTCGACCACGAGTAGGCGATTGTGCGACGGGTCGAGGAGCGTCTCTGACACTGGAAGTGCGTCCCAAGTTATCGTTGATCTTGTCCCAGCCTCGCGTACTTGGCGGTGGCCCTCCACTCTCCTTGACAGGTTGTCTCTGTATGAACACTGGTTCAACCATGCTCACTGGGCGCTCGTGGCTCAGAGCACCACCGCGGTCCAGACTGCCGCGTCGTGGTCGCTGCACTTCTCGCCATCTTGGCTCTGTATCACGGTACATGCTGGCTGGATCAGTGTACGAATAGGCGTCCTCGTCCTCAATGCTCTTGTCTCGAGGCCGACCGTGTCCTCCGTTGGTGTGGTAGGTTGCTCCGCGTCGGCCCCTCTCACGCTCTCGTTCCACTCCAGTTGTTCTGTAACCGCTCTTCTCGACACTGCCCTTTCGCTGGTGGTGTCGGTCTCCTCCAGCAGGAATGTTCACGTCAGCTACCAGTTTGGCACTGCCATCCCCGTCCACACTGTATAACTTCTTGTGGGTGACTGTCGATACGCGAGGCTCTTGTGAGGAGTTGGGCGTGACATATATATCACGTGGGGTTATTTTGGTGGGGCTGGAGGGACGAGTAACTTCCTGCTGTATGACGGTCGGACGGCTGCGAGAAGGGAGAGCAGTGGTGCTGGAGGAAGCAGTCGCAACGCGCGTCTGATCGGCGTGGGAGGAACGACGTGGCCGTCCGGAGTAGGTGTCGAGATACTGGCGTGCAGCTGGGGACGGCTGCGCTTGGGTGATGAAGGTCTGAGTCGATATGGGGATGACGCCGCTGGTGCTGGTGCGGGGTGAAGTGTAGGTGCTGTGTCGCTGCTGGTAATAGCCATCGCTGGTCAAGGTGGTGTCGGAGGCTCGCGCAGTATTGGCAAGCCGGCGGCCGCCTGGCGACAACGGGCGGTGGTTGTAGGACATGGCGAGTTGGGCAACAGGCTTCACTCGTGGCGCCTGTGTAGAAAACGAACCGGGTCGCGGTCGCTTGAGAAGCCCACCGGTTGTGTAGGAGGGATAGGGATAGGTGGAGGTTCTGCTCTGCTCCATCGTGATCGTCAGCGCATCATTCCTGTCGTGTAACGTTGGGCCCGCGCCGGTCGAGCGATATCAAAATAGTGGGAGGTTGGATGCAGGACTGAATGGTGCAGTGTGTTTCCCAAGACGACATGTCGCTCTCTCTCTCACACGCAGGGCACAGAAGGATGTCTCTTACTCTGAGGCTGCTGCAGCGGAAACGCCGCCTGCTTTGGCTCTGATACGGCCAACTCCCACACGACAACGAAGAGCCTGCCGCCGCTGCGAACAAGGACTGCGCTGCCAGAAAGTGTGAGGCGGTCTGGTTGTCAAAGCAATTAAGGCAATGGAGCCCGGTCTGCGCTCGGACAAGTTTGATGCCTGAAGTTGCAATTTCTGGTTGGGTTATGCCTGTTGGCACATGTGCTTGGGCACCACTGTGATTTGGCCGATGCCGAATATGGCGTCGCGTTTGGGCTGGCGCTTCTCGCAAAAGTGATCCGTCGTGATGGAAATATTCAAGCGTCGTCCGGCGACCCGCCCAAGGAGGGGAGACAGAGGCAAGGCGAAGGGCGTTACGGAATCCAGTGAGGAAATTGGTTCACGGTCTTCGGCATAGCTCCTGAGGTGGCCCTCTGTAGGTACATGTACATGTAACCTACAGGTACCTGTATTCTATACTCTATAGACGTGAAGGACACCTACGTCAGCCGCCCCTTTACGCGAGAGGAGTCCCGGTTTGTTAGTGTGCATCCACACCCGCTCCTCCTCCTCCTCCTCCTCCTCCTCCTCCGCGGCCTCCAATCCGGCCTCAAAGTCGGTGTCTCCCAGCGCTCTCTGCGTTATTCCTGTCTGTTGTATGTCCAATGTGGGTGCCCTATGCCAATGGCCTCTCTGTGGCTCTGCTGTATTTAAGGCTAATGCAGCAGCATATGCGGGACCACGGCCGCCTGTAGGCTGTCGGAGCTGGAACCTGCAGTTCGGCGCCACATCCTGTGAGAGCTGTGAAGCCTCGCGAATAGAGTAAGAAAAACACGAAGGTATCCCAATAATGACATCCACTGCCATCGCGAGTCCGCGACCACCCTGTCATTCGTCCAATCGTCGGCGAGCGAGTGCCCTTCCTCCGCTCGCCGCCCGACGACTGCAAGGGTAAGGTAAGGTACCTAAAGGTATAGGTAGGTACATGTAAGCAAGCACGTGACGGATGCAGGACGCTCTGCTTCGGCTTCATCTATCTCGCTGACCCGCGGCCTGACCATCATGACCACTCTCACTTTACACCACATGCGCCATCTTCACAACCTGCACCGCCTGCACCTGTCTGACCCACAGCCACATCTCGGAGTCGCACGTAAACTACGGATACACAGAAACGTGGTCATCCTTCTCGTTCGGAGGCTGTATGACGCACACGTTCCACGGTGGTAGTGAAAGCGAAGCAGATTCGTGGGCCAGCCTGGGACTCTTCTGCGCCGATTCTGCTGCAGCGTGTGTCAAAGCGCCGAGCTCGGCCAGAGATACTTGCACGATCAAGCGGCATAGCGCGTACAACTACTCTTCCAGGCACAGTATATCTTGGATTGAGCACCATGTGAAGCCCGTAAGAGCCCTTGAAACTTGGCTCTGTCTGACAACAGCACACGTTACGATCCCGCGGCAAGATGGAACAGCACTAGCAAAAGTACAATAGTACCGGCACATGATGTTGAGCATGTGTTCCCGGACTACCTTACCTTTCGATCTGAATTCCTTGGACATCTTGATGATCTGGCATATCGACGTCTTATGCACTAAGCTCACCAGCACAACCCTGCGGGAAACCTTAGCTGCGCTATACTAGTTCTACTGGCATCTCGTTCTGCAGCTGATGAGGGTCTGGTCGTCTGCCCGTCCACATATGCTATGTCGATTCCGATTCCTGAGTGGAATCTCCGGATATCTGCTCCTGTCATACGAGGTAGGCTGCGCGAGGCAACATTGCAGCAGGGAATCTTCAAATGTGAGACATGCCATTCAGGTACCCATTATAAACTTTTCTATGCAACGTCTGTCTCTGCGTCTCCAATTCTGTCCCGCCGAGTCAGTATCGCAATCAGAAACGGCCCGGGCGAGCCGCTGTGACAACCAGAAAAGCCTTCGAGGTACATGTACGTTCTCACTACAGTCGTATCTCAGCTCTACCGACTGGAAAAAATCCTTCCTCTGGACTGTCCTCCGTAGAACATGTGACATTCAAGCAGCACCGGGAGGCATTTTGACGACTTTTCAAGCTGTGAATTTTGCTTCTGCACATGCCGGCTATCCTGCTACATCTGATCAGGACTGCCACAGTAGGTATTCAATCGTCATTGTGCGATACGACGGCTTCTTGACTCGGATATTCCTAGATGTGTTTAGAGAAATACGACCAACCCGACCGGGACTACTTGAAAGAATGTGCAAGTTCGGTAATAGATGTTACCTACCCACAATCCTTCCATACCTATTCCAGAGAGTCCTATCGGCGGCTACCACCTAGTAGTCTAGCCCAACAGCACGCAATGTATTTGAAATATTCCGGTCTTTGGTTCCTGCTTCAGAGAATGATGTCTTACCGCGTGACTGGGTCCTGGAACGCGCTCGATGACCACGTCCACGGTCAAGCGTGCTCAAGGGCGCTCGTCATTGGGCAACATTCGAGACACAGCGCTACCTATACCTGCTGGACAGCTATCGCTTTCACTGAGCCGAGCAAGGCATGGTGACAGTGTCGCTGACATGTGCTTCGGCGTGGCTACTTCCTACTATGCATTGTCGCTGTTCCATACCAGGTATGTTGATATTGGCAGTTGAAGATACATGTAACCTACTAGGTACAATGCAGATCCCCGGATGTGCGCGGTCGCATATAATCCGAAAACACATCGGCAAGAGGTGAGGTAGTGTGGCATAGGCATCGCATCCTGTACCTGCTAGTAACCTCCACCTCTTCTCCCTTCTCACGCGAACTCTCTTGGTTTCTGGCATTCGATGCATCCAGAACGATCTGGATAGATACCATATGCAACTGGGCCATGCATTGTGCACATGCTTTACCTTGCTACACCATGATAGCACTTTGGCCACACCACTCTATGATAGACACAGATTTCTCTGTCTGGCAGGTTCCTCGTGCAATGGGGCGAGAAAGATAGCATTCGATGGTATCACTGGTACCCACTTATGAATGGCCTTTTCATTTTGGTGTTGGCTCTTGTATGCCTGATATGGCATCAGGCGGTGGTTGTGAGGCAAGCTCTCGAGATGGAATGTGAAGAAATGGTTATCTTCTCGGCGAGTACGATTGACGGCCTGCCAATATCTTGTAGAAAGACTTGCCTTGGTCCAAAGTGGTCCAAAGTGGTCCAACGATCGACGAGAAGAAGCAACAGGAGCCTGCCAAGCTCGTGGATTTGTGATGAACCACGTTGACCTCTACAGCATCAAATATTGTGACTGAGTGTCCGGAGGACTTTTACAAGGTCCTTCATGCGAGCGAGCGATCTACTGTCATAAGTAGTTCTTCTCGTTATTGTGAAGTGATTTGCCATAGTGGAATTACCAGGTACAGTTGAAATTTCGCTCCCGGGCCTGCCACGATACTTCCAGTCTTCCAGCGTGCTCTTCTTCGTCAGTACCTATATCACCATCAGCTTCATGTAAGTCGACAGTGTGATGATCCTGCATCTTTTATGCGTGCTGCCCACAATGATTTCGTGGGCATGAATGTCATGAGGAGTGAGTCCGTGAAAGAGAGAGGATGGGTCTAGGTAACTTTGGGATTCTCCCGGCTGTTGCCCGCACTATACTCAAAGTGGGAGTATGTTATGATGGCGCTGGAAGGTGCGACCAACACGTCCACGCCAACTGCTTTCCAGTTCGTTGACCTTCCACGACTGTACATACATACCTTACCTACCCCCCTACGGTACCTTACGCGACCATCAGTTTGCTACGAGAGGAGGAACAGCCAGGCACCTACTGCTATCGATATCGACCGCCTCGATGCACGAATAAACACAGACCGAATGCGCGTTTGGTAGGCACGCGCGTAGGAACACAGCACTCACGACACGACACGACACGTCTCGGCACAACATAGAAATATGAGCTCGCAAGCTCAGAGCGGCCCTCGATGGCGCAATAGTCTCTTCGCTGGGAGAGATGGAGATTCCCCTTCGCCTGGACCTCCGCCAGGGCACGCTCGCAGCAAGTCGAGCATCATGCAGGCCGATTTGGCCTCACCCACGCGGAATGGCCACGCACGAAACCAGTCGCTTACAGAATTTGGCCTTCCTGGACTAGGCCGCTCCGACTCGCGCCGACTACGAGCGGGTTCGGGCTCAGTGCGCAGCGCCGCGCCTGCTGGCACGTTTGCCCCTCAGTTTATCAAGAGCGAGAATTTAGACGGAGCAGGGGAGCACGTCAGTGGTATTGAGGGCGAGAACGACTTCTCCGGCAAGCGATACGTATGGCTGCGAGATGCCGACACGGCCTTTGTGCGTGGATGGGTCGTGGATGAGCTACCAGAGGACATGCTCCGTGTGCAGTGTGATGATGGAAGCCAGCGTGAGGTCGCCACCGATAGCGTTGACAAGGTCAATCCAGCCAAGTTTGACAAGGCCGACGACATGGCTGAGCTCACACATCTGAACGAACCGAGCGTGGTACACAACCTGCTGCAACGATATCAGGCGGACTTGATCTACACATATTCTGGTTTGTTTCTGGTCACAGTGAACCCCTACGCCACATTGCCCATATATGGGCGGGACTACATCAATATGTACAAGGGTCGGAGCCGAGAGGATACAAAACCGCATATTTTCGCTATCGCAGATGAAGCATTTCGAAATCTGGTGGATGAAGGCGCAAATCAGTCGATTCTGGTCACGGGAGAATCGGGCGCTGGAAAGACAGAGAACACCAAAAAAGTCATTCAATATCTGGCGGCAGTAGCTACTACTACTGATGACACACGGGCCAAATCGGGCGGACGACAGCTGTCGAACCTTTCGGAGCAGATTCTGCGAGCCAATCCGATCCTCGAAGCCTTTGGCAATGCCCAGACCGTTCGTAATAACAATTCGTCTAGATTTGGCAAGTTCATCAGGATTCAATTCGGACGGGCTGGACAGATTGCGGGCGCCTACATTGACTGGTATCTGTTGGAAAAGAGCAGAGTGGTGCATCTGAACTCACATGAACGAAATTACCATGTGTTCTACCAGCTGCTTCGTGGCGCCAGCTCTAGCATGCGTCGCGACTTCATGCTCGATGGCATGGATTTCGAGGATTTTGAGTACACCAAACATGGCAACGATACGATCTCCGGAGTATCCGACAAAGAAGAATGGAACTCGCTCGTGGAAGCCTTTCACGTTATGAACTTCTCAGAAAATGACCAAAAGGACATACTGCAGACCATCGCTGCTGTGCTGCATCTAGGCAACATCACTGTGATGAAGGAGACTATAAGAGCCGATCAAGCATCGTTAACGCCACAAGCAGAGAAGTCTGTTGCTCGTGCTTGCAAACTGCTTGGAATCAGTCCAGAGCCATTCGTACGAGCACTTTTGCACCCTCGCGTGAAAGCTGGCC